ATGGAACAAACGAGAAGGGAGCTAATCAGAGTGGAACGACTCAAATTGGAACCAATCGACATGGAACAAGTCAGAATGGAACAAACCATGGGCTCAAAGCCGGTGAAACTTTGACAGAGGCGGGTTTCGTACGAAGTTTCCCTCATCCACCAATCTCCAGTTGATGGGACACGTTACATTACGTAACATTTCATTCAGATATAGAGTGAGTATCTGATAAAGAAAATCAGTTATTTCGATTCCACTCAGTTGGGCAAGCACGCCCACGTACGGAGTATATATTTGAACTTAAAAGTTTTTATTTCATTGCACAAGCACATGATGATTATACGAGAGGAAAGGGTTAATTTCAATTTTTAATGCGGTGTTGGGAGCAACGGGACAATTTGGGTCTTTGTCGCTTTCGTTGATTTGAAATGGATTTGGCCAGACTTGGCATTGGGATTGGACATTGGCATGGGCGTGGGTCTGGGCATTAACGTTATACGAAGTGATGCAGGGCGTATGCTTAGCGAATGTATTAGGGAAAGAGTAGGCGTTCTTATAGATATCCCATCCGCGAGATGATTAGCATATTCTAGCATACTCGATCCTGCATAGCAGCGGTGGTTCTTTTCTTTTTGGGAATGGGAACTTGGAGCTTAGCCACAAGCATATGGGGTGGCGTTTTTGAATTTTGTTTAGTTTTCTTTATCGTGTCGATTTGGTTGTTCTTTTATGAACAGATAGTATCGAATGCCTCTTTTGGCTCTTTACTCGGGCTTTCAGGTGCCGGTTTTGGGTATCGCACGTAGCTTGGCCGGGTAGCATCTAGCTCCGGATTGGGGCAAAGTGTTGACTTTGATGATTCTTTTGATTTCTTACCTTGTTTGTTGGGTCGATGACCCAGGCGATGAGAGAGAAATTGGAGAATATTTTCTCGAGGTCTAGCGGGTGTTTTAATACAGAGACATTATCTAGGTACACGTTTGCGAATAGGGAAGAGAAGAAGCAGAGACGGAATGGAATGGAACATGTACATATGAGTCAATAGGAATGTGTTTGTTAAGTTTTATGGTTTTCAGGGCCATATGAATCGTCTTGGGTGTGAGCATGTAATTGTGTATGTGTGATGTGTTTGAATGATGATGTCAAATTGTAAAATTTCCATCCTCATTTCCTAACTACTTCATACTGTTGTCTCTTTATGCCCTTCGTCGTTCTGAACATATATGATGGATGGTTTTTACTGCATACCTACCTACTATTTGAGACTAAATGTTTACTTCTCACTACTTTGTGGCTTTGTTACATGTAATGTTGTGGGTATTAATCATATGGTATTTTCTCTTGCAGGATGGGATAGATGAGTTTGTTAGTCTCAAGGAAGTGTTTAGGTGATTACTGGGCATATGATTGGGAGATGGGGAGAGGCATGGGGGAAGATGAAACGGGATGGGATAGAGTGAGACTTGAGAAAATGAGATAGAATGAGATAGCGATGAATCGGATGATGTAGAATATCTATAACCTTTAGATGTTGGAGGAGAATTTGACTGGAGTGGATATAGATAGATATAGGTATTCGATTGTGGGGTTGTGAGATGATGGGTTGGAGTGTATGGGATGGGATTGAGTGGGAGGGAAGGGAAGGGAAGAGATGGCATGGTGGGAAGTGATTATACAGAGTGTCTAAGTAGATTTATCATTTGTGATGGTTTATTTGGGAATTTTTGATTGGATTGTATGGTTGGATGGTTGGATGATGATGAAATGGGGATGTGAATTCGGCTAGGATGGGATGCGTACTTTAACTTTGAGAGAGGGAGTCGAATTGGAAGTTAGAAGAGGAAGCTAGAAATTAGAGGTCGGGAAGGTAATCAATGGAAAGTTGTGAGAAAAGAGCGGATACAATGCTCGATGACATGAGTTTGTATCATCTCTGAAGAATGAGCTTACTTGGTATATATGGAAAGGGTGATATAATAGTATGACACATATTACATCGTACGTTAGGTGAACACCTATTGCACACTCTTACTCACCCTCACCCACTGATCTCTTGATGCGCAGTTTTGAGCTTGCGTACATATATCAATCAGAAACCAGATCTGCTTTGAAATTTAGCATTTGTCTTGTTTTACCCTTCACAGATATTCATCGAAGCATTTGATTCGGATTATCCTATCCACTTCCGAGGAGCTATGTATTCGTTCTACTTATCTCTGCAACCCGAAACCATGTCATTGGTAGAAAGACAAGAACATTGCATTCTCATTACAGATATCGTCATCAAGCATAACAAACTTACTCAATCCATATGTACCACTTCATCAACTTATTTTTTTCTCCATCAATAAGTCCGTCCCCCTTTACCCTGCCTCTTCTCTCTACTCTTATCCTTTTTCTCCTATATTTCCCTACCTCTTCCGACCCGACCCGATATCTTACCTCATCTCACCTCATCCCGCCCCATCTTACTCTATCCCGTACGCTCCGAGATCAGAGTACCGACCCTGCATATGCATGCGTCAATGCCGTTTCTTCTGCGAGACGGCAGAGTCTCCGCACCAGTGGAAGGAGAATTGTATATTAGAGTTTACATGTGGTGTTGTGGTGTACCCTTTGGATTAACATTCTGTGCTATATTTGATTTCTTTAATGGGTGCATATACATTTTTGTGATACCGTCAGATACATAGAACAGATTTCCCGTGCATAAAAAGCTACGCAATAGGCGCGTAGATATAGTGCATGCATGCGTGCCGCGTTGGCTTTTGATTGCATAGATACATTTATACATACCTAGGTATGCAGTATGTACAGGGAGACGTGAAATGTATATGTACAACTTCCGATGAATAATATGTGATAGGATTTTTACTTTGCGGGGATGATTGCCCTTGAAAATGAATGGGAGTTAGCTACTTTATATACCCTGCATATTTGATCTCTATCGGTTATTCCATTACTTGTCAAGTGGCCTCGATGCAACAATACTTTGAATGAGATCGGATGAACGGAAATCCTTGGCATGGCAATCATATCGTGTTGTGGTTCATGTCGGTGAGTGCATTGATGTCGTGGTCGCTGCATGACGAGCCGCCATTGACTTTGCTGATTGCAGCGCTTCGAGACGGGTACCTTCGAAGTGGGCATCATAGTTTTTTATTAGAGCCAGCTGCATCATTGCTCTTTAGCCACAATTCAAACATCCTTGATCAATAAACGGCTTATATAGCCTGACAACCAATCAGTCAATTATGGGTTCTGGGTAATCACCTGACTTGATGCTTAATCTCGTCGTCAATTCAAACGCTGATCTGATTGAGACTACTAACACTGCTCCAAAGCTGGCTCCTGGAACCTGATCATCGCTATCTACACATAAAATTCTTAAACATATAACAAAACGATCTCTTCTCTTACATGATCCATGGTTTTGGAATGCTAGTATCGCTTTCCGTGCTATTTTACATTCTCACTCTACCTTCATGATGCACTCATATTTGGGGGCCAAAAATTGATGAAATGTCGTGGAGTATCTCGCGTTGCACCAAAAGAGACAGCTTGTCATAGGTGTAATTCCACCGCATAATTCTCGGGCGTAGCGAATTTCTGCAGAGTCAGATATAAATCCCGGAAGTCGGATCACACATGCATGGCCGGGAATTACTATGGTGTTGGGGAAGACCGGTTCGGTCGTTCATTATCCGCGTTGGCCGCGTGGAAGGGAGGAAATTTGATACGACGACATGAAAAAGAAGGGGTCGACTCAGACCCAACGATCAAATTCTCTGAGAACAACGCAAGTTCTGCGTTCAGTAATAGCTGAGATAGGAAGAATCTGAAGACATCTATTGGATGCTCGGATCCGGTCAAACGTATCACAAATAACTGTGTGTAATCCAATTTATTTGTGAAAACCGGCATTGAGGTATCCTGAGTTGAATGATCAGAAAAGTCCATGCTCTCATGGCCGGGCAAACCTTCCCATGATTTCCTAGTATGGCCACCTGATGATGCCAATAGAATAGGGCTCTGGATGATAGTTACTGCAAAAGGACAGAAGACCAATAGGGGAGCACTTCATCACGTGAATTGGGTGGTGTTGACAGTTCACAAGTTGCAAGTAACTATCTCCTCTCTCTGTGTACTGCGCGGAGAAAGCTTCGAAATTGTTATCGAACCCCCACGAACTTTGGGTTGATCAGTTGTCAAATACTTCTGACGAATATGATATCTATCCTGAGCTTCTGATGTTTCTTTAAACAGGCGAATAGAAAAGAGTGTTCCCTTCATAGACTACAAGATTCAGTCAACTTCGCCCAAACTGCATTGCTCAGGCCTGCTAATATGGTGAAGTGGAATTATTAGAGTCCCAGATAAGTCAGCAGGCATGGGACACCAAATAAGATGATGGAATGAATGTTTTGAGCTGGTATTCGAAAATAAAGGAAGGAATTAGGCGATCGATTTCCAATGGCCGCGAAACACCAACTTCGGTAGACAAGGACAAAGAAAGAATGCGTATCTATGATGGGCAAGTAATCAGGGAAATTGTGAAGGATGGAAGGATTGATTTCTCGTTTGAAACACGCTACCCATACAAGGCGAGACAATCTTCTTCGCCAATTCTCGAGCTTGAGTGATAGTTAGCGGATCTGCGATAAGAGAAAGAAACCCTCCGAGAATTAGACTATGATCAGCGATCTGCAGATATAATACCTCCTTCGTCGACTTTCTTAAAACAGGTATGCTTCTCGATCACTCAAAATTCAACATTTCGCTTTGAATCCCAAGAGCAAAATTCAAGAAACACCAAACTAAATCTGGATCTTCGATGGAACCCAACTTGATCGGCCAAAGAACTTAGGTTGCATGTGAAAATTTTGAGAAGCATTTCGTAGAATTTGATTGATGTCCTCGTGATATTGTTTTTTGCATTAAATCTTCCTGCTGCAGTTCTTCGTAACACGACTGTATTCTTGCTGCAATGTAATTAGCCTCATATTCCAGCAATGGAATGCCACGAGAGATACGCATCGGAGGCGGTTTATAGCGTTGTATTTCATTTGCACGGTTAGTAACCTTTAGTATCTTATGATTACTAGGGAGTATGTTGGAACCAATGGGGTATGAGAAGACAAGCTCGCCAGTCCGCCTCAACAAGGCGATTTAGATATTGGCTTCCAGACACCACTATTGCCCGGAATTTTATATTGTATGCAGACCTCTCTGCAGATAAGTGTAAGGTTGCTGCGACCTTTGATTCAGCTAGTCGACTTAGCAGCAGTCTATAAATCCACAAAATTGTCCGATTTCAATAAGACGTTAAATGAGGGGCGTTGATAGCTCCTGATATCTATTGCCGCCATCTCCTTAGTCGTAACAAGGCTCTTATAAAATGTCCGAACATTCATACAAAAGAGTGTCATAGACCAGTGTATATGGTGATACACAACCAGTCCATACCCCCTTAAACCTCTTGCTTTACACTCTTCTTCCTGTCATACCATCGCCAAGTGCAATGTCTTCTCAACTTAATCGATACTGGATACCCAATTTTGATATCAACAAGAGAGTCATCACCAAGGAGATCCAATACTATCTGGGACCAGAATCCACGTTGAGGCCATATACACGAGACGTACGTGATGATAATTTCAGCTGTCAAATAATCATGCTCATAGGGTGCATAGGGAGAAGACGGATATCTGATTAGCACACCAGGAGAATGCTTGACAGATGTGAGCACCATTATGTACAACAAACCATCTGAGAGTCTCGATTAATCTGGTATATAGGAACAGATAGACGATATCTGTATCAAGTCGAAGGAGCTCTGGGTAAAGCAGGCAGCGGCTCGAGCCAAGAAGGAGTCAGACAAGCAACTAAAGCGGCCTCTGCACCAGCCAGTTGTGATCTCACGGGGCTCAAAGCCCCGTTCCTCAAGATCTCATCGTCCGGATCATAAAAGATCTTGATAATCGAATGGCATAGACTTAAAAGAGGACGAAAACGATCCTAACGATGCAAATGTCCTGCGCGTGGATATTTCAACGAGAGCTAAAGAGTGTGGCATTGTACTTGTTCCATAGAACAAAAGGACTCGAAGTTTACTACAGGGCAAAGATACTGAACCGTTGCGGAAGTAAAAATGCATAGCGCTTGCATACATCTTATTGTTGCTATTGATATCCGGGTTTTTTATGTAGCCTTCTTCGCATCTTTTGGAGGTGTGCTTGTTGGCGTATAATCTGCATATCCCTCTACATATCTGCCATTGTTCCAGTATAGGAGAATTCATATGTTGGCACAATTTTCCTCGAGATGTAAGAGCCGTGAATAGACATCAGCATCCACAAGCCATTCTTGCCAATTGTGAATTTTTTTGACAATACAAACCAAAAGTGCCATTCCAGCCATGGAGGCGATCAAAACTCCTGTGACTGTTTTCGCCGTGTCTACCACTAGAGTCATAATCGCTAGCTATGACACTAGTCTTAGTCGTATTTGATGCAGCCGACATTAGGACTCGTTTGAAGCCTCACAATCCCGGACATCTAGGTTGAGATGAGGCTGCATTTCAAATGCGACCGAATAGCATGTTAGGCTGAGGTGATCTGCAGCCAAGAACGAAGCGAGACATTGCATGTACTGTAGTTGCAGCTCTTTATCCTTGTACTGAATTTGACAGAATTTGGCGACATAAATTTTGTAATAATTGTATTGGCAATGTAGACTTTCCCATCGTCCCAAGACAACAATTAGTGTTCCATTTAGTGTTGGAATTTAATCTTTTTTTTTAATAACGACAGGAGCGAATTCTCAAGACCGACTTAACGAAGCCTTTTGACCTCAACACAAACTGAACTCAAAACCAACAGTGACCACATGGGGTTTGGGTACTCGATGCCGTCTATTTTCTCATGTGCCCCTAGGGCACTGACTCACTATAAGTCCTAAGAACTTTGATCTGAATCAGTTCGTAGGAACAAGAATACTAAGACTCTGTATATGGAGACTATGCTGAGTTTCTCAGGAAAAAATTGCGATATCTGGAAACAGTGTGTTTTTCACTCGAGTTCGGGATGGCTTGTGAGGATCCTCATATTTGGTTCGAGACTCAAACAGACTTCAACAGTTCATTTCTGCAACACCGTACTGCAACTTTGAAGGTCCTACGTGTCCAGTGTCAAGGCGTAAGGCTTCTTTCATATGCATCGAGTTGAATGGGACCAGATGACCACAAGGCAATTGCTTGAATAGCGATATCAGTCCCTAATCTACGAGTTTTGATATCTTGTGGTTCATCTGTGTCTGCTACATAACCCAAGACGTTGACCCACTCTCCAACCCGGGTTTCATGGTGGGTTAAGCTATTCAGCAGAAGTTGAACATTGACAGAAGCTTTGATCCCGTTGCCAATGGGAAAGTTGTGTTCCAAAGTAAGAACAGCAGAGCCCCTGTTGTAACTTATCACACTATATAAGTGCAATGTCAGTTTATCTCTTTTTGAATTATGAACCTTTCCAAATTGCTCTGCCGAGTACTTGGGGAACTCTCCTTACAACTGGTGACTAGATAAGATCTGACAGAGAATGTCTGTTTTTTCGCATAAGAGAAAGGAGAGATTACTGATATACATTGTAGACAATGAAATTTTTGTTGAAAAGAAAGAGGAGTAAATTAAGAGGGATGTTAATCATACCATCCTAAGAATCGAACTTTATCCCCTTCTGAAAACTGTTGAAGGTCGGCAAGTAATATGAGCTTCGAAGGGTTGGGTCCCGAATATTGTTTTGACATATTATTTGTTCTAACAACCAACTCAGAGAAATTGTACTATGGGACTATGAAAAAAAAAGGTATTGGTGTTGTTGTTGATTCTTGTGTTAAAACTTTACCTGACATGCGTGAAACTCGAGATCACCAGATGGCTGGGCTAGAACAAAACATTACACGTGATTCCTGTTTGATCTTGCGCTAACCTGATATAGACGAGGGGACTAGCGTCATCATCGACGCCATGTTACCACACTTTCATCATTCACTTCAATCATCTATGCGAAACAACCGTAGACAACCACAAAAACATTTATAGAATTCAACCAACGAAACACACTCGACACTACTGATTCCATCTCTCACGGCCAGCCAACTCGTCTACTTGCCTTTACCGTCTTTGTCCGACAAAATCGAGCTCCCCACTATCAAGTTCTGATAGCAGGTCTTATCATCAAACCCTAATCATTAGCCGCTACTTCGATCGATTTCGAGCCTTCACAGTCTCCTCATAATTTGCGAAAAAGCGCTGGGGACTTGAAAGTCCTGCCAACTCAACGATTTCGAGTCTGCACAGTATCGTGAAATATGTCGGGTGTTTGGGGCTGGTTCGGGGGAGGGGGTGCGCAGAAAGCGAAGGACTCCCCGAAGAATGCTATCTTAGGACTACGTGCGCAGCTTGAGATGCTGCAGAAACGAGAGCGTCATTTACAAAGTCAGATGGATGAACAAGATGCGATAGCTAGGAAGAATGTAAGCACGAATAAGAATGGTATGTTCTATCTCTCCGGACCGTCTATATAGCAGCTGCTAACATTTGGCCATTTCTTAGCTGCGAAGGCTGCATTGCGCCGGAAGAAACAACATGAGCACACTCTAGATCAAACTATTGCGCAGATATCGACATTAGAACAACAAATATACTCGATCGAAGCAGCCAACATCAACAAGGAGACTCTCCTTGCCATGGAGAAAGCCGGCAAGGCAATGGCAGCTATTCATGGCAAACTCGATATCAACAAGGTTGATGAGACAATGTACGTTTTTTGTGGTTCGATGAAGATGGAGATAAAAGCTAACATATATACTTTTAGGGACAAACTTCGAGAACAGCATGCTTTGGGCGAAGAAATCGCTCAAGCTATTACGAGCGCACCTCTCGGCGAGCCTATAGATGAGACTGAGCTCGAAGACGAATTGGCGGATCTTGAACAAGAGCAGTTGGACAATAAGATGCTAAAGACTGGTTCCGTACCAGTCTCTGATGAAGTTCATAGGTTGCCATCTGTTGTGAATGGAGAGGGTGAGTTTCTAATACCATTATCATTCTCTTGTTGAAAGTTACTAATGGCTCATTTTTCAGTCAAATCCAAAGCACCCGTTCATGTTGAAGAGGATGACGAAGAGGAAGAGCTTCGAAGGCTACAAGCTGAGATGGCCATGTAATTCAAGAACAATAAATCCAATGTTGAGTGAGGGGGTCGTTGGGCTTTCTGGTTTTATCAGTTTATTTTGTGTATGGGGGGAGGCGTGCGAGATTATTTTGGGAGGGCACTGGCAGCTTCAATTTTCAATTTGCACAAGAGAGGATATCGGGAGTTTCGAATCCATTAACTGCGACGGCGTTTGGGATTTGTTGTACATCTGTCAAACGGACACCGAATACCTTCTATTACCAATAAACTAGAATAACATCTACCAACAATGTAATGATGCATGTGTTTACCAATACCTTCCTTGAAGTTCGCTCACATGATAGTCATTCACCGATCTGATACTGTGGATGGATAGACAGATACACACATACATACATAGGTACATGAAAGCTAAAGTAGGTATCCATCACGTCAGCCTCGCTTTTGAGTCATGTTTTACTCTCCTGGCTGAAACATTGGGGAGTCGACGACTAGCAAATACAAGTAGCAAAACACATCAAAATTCTCTTTGAGAGGGAATGCTGTTGTTCTTAAAGACTTAGATTCAGAGTTAATCCTAGTTGGCCCAGTTCCTTCGGATCAATTTTTAGTTGTCGAATTAATTATAGAAATTCTCTCTGTTCAAGCCGTCTCTGAATTTTTCTAGCCACTCGTTCTTGGTCTTTTTGTACCCACACCACCAACACAACATCTTGTGCATCAGTGCATCAGTGCATCAAATATATGTAAGGTCTCACCATAAGTTATAACCCCTCATTTTCTAGATGCTTGAAGCAAGTTGAATTGACATATCGGTATCATCGACGGAATCGCCAAAAGAGCTAGATCCTCACCCCCTTGAAGATTATCGTACATCGGATACCCGGGCACCCAAAAGGATGGGTACAGTAACTCAGTAAGTACTAGGCGATAACTTATGTAGGTAGGTACTTCATGTAATGTATCTGTACTGACAACTCATCACGTCGCAAACACTATTCTGGGCATCAGCACCAAAGAGTTCCACTGGTGTGGCAAAGGGTTACAATTAAACAATATCGTATGGATGACATTGGATGCCATTATTATTTATTGGGGGTCCGCAGAGGGGTTTTGCTTGTTGTGATTTTCTTACTTTTCTTTTGCTTATCACATTCTGATTTCTGTCTTAATTCCACGATGATTGACAGAGGATAAAGCTGGATATATAGGATGATCATTTGCTTGTTCGCTGGCTTGATTGGCTTCACTGGTAGGTAATCGCAAGCATCAAAAAGATGAGGCAGGTATATAAGGCGACTGACCACGTTGCACAACCCACCAGGTCAATCTGCACGGCGCCGCGAAACATTTTCGGGTAGCAGTCTCGTACATCAAGATATTCAATGAATTGATTGATTGATTTGACCAGTAGGCGTGGTCGCTGGTAGGTTATTCAATACAATCATCAATCATCGTCCCACATCATCCAATGACATCTACCCCGTTTAGTACGACGTAGACGTATGAATTGAATGGAGGCTGCAAGCAGCAGGGGTTTTGGCCCATTTTACCGGATTTATTCCTGCACATTACAATTTTTTTCCTCTGGATTTTGAATTTTCTGACTGCACGGTCTTGTCCACTTTCTCATCAATGTGCAGCTTGGTTGGGCTGCACTCGGGGCCCTGCAACATAGATCGCGGATTGCCTCGAAAATCACATTTGATTATTATCATTGATTTGATTGCGACGTGGCTGCAATGTATCATATTGGGCCAATAATGGTTGAGCACGACCATGATTTAGGCAAATTTCTCACAATGCTGTCGACAAACATTGGCAAATCGTGGGATTACCGTGGGACTTCTGGCCCATCTCTATCTTATGCTATGGGAAAAGAAGTGATACTGTACTCTCTTTTGTCAATGACTTCCTTCTTGTACCTACCAATGAAACTAATTTTCGTAGGAAATTCCGTTCTTGTTTCCGAATCTTTCTTTTAGTCTTGATTTTATTCATCATTCTATTTTCCTATAGGCGAATTATTTTTCGCCTTGCCATCTGCTGATATAAGTCATCTTGGATTCTTCAATTATTGTCCCGTTTTCCATTCCAACCACGTTGAATCGATTCTCGGGTGGTAACCAAACGTTTGTCACCCAAAGATTGGGCACCCGCATTCAACCGGAGGCAACCCCCCTCGTCATTGTAGACCATGGGAAGAAAGGATCAAAAGAACAATAAGAAGGACGTTCAATTCGTTCATCACGTAGAGGATCCTGCATCTTCTGTTGCTTGTGACGAGGTACACACACCCTCAGTATGAATATTTCTTTTTGTCCAGCCAGAACCACGGCCATTGGTAATAATTGGTCCTCAATCCAGACAACTCAGTTGGCGAAACCTTTAGTATTGGATACATCAAATATTAAAATTGCCAGATATTATGAGGGGAAGACAGGTAAGCTTTCCTGATTCCATGTCTGCATCTCGAAATTCCATCAAAAGTCTACAATCTTCTCCACAATTATTGTTTTTAATCAATCGAACAATCATGAATGTTCCACTTCCATTAAAAATGCAACATTGAATGCTCCCATAAATCTAGCTTTGCATTGCTAACCAGAAACACAGACGATGAAGATGACGAGGAGGGCGAGGGTAATGATAATGATAATGAGAATCAAGATAAATTAGAGGGAATACCAGAGGAGCCAATAGAAACACAAGAAACAAGCGATACCCCGCTGTCTGAAAGTGAGGATGGAGACTCACCTTCACGGGAGGAAGATATATCCAAGGAGGAAGGGAATGAAGATACATATGACTTAGAAGAACAACCTCGGTCTCCCGAAAGCGACAAGCCCCCATCGACAACAGGTGAATTGACTGACTCGAAGTTGATAGAGTCGACCGCGACTCCAGAAGAAAGTCTAGCGAATGATAATACAGAAGCAGGTATGGAAACATCTTATATCTTGGAGTATAAGTATCATCTTCACGTGTTCATGAACGCCACTTGATCGATCTCTTCTTTTCATACATAAGATTGCATTATTGACTTTGAAATAGTGCCGGAGCCAGAATCGAATGATAGTCTAGAAAATCCTTCCGATCCTACTCCAAATACATCAGATGACGTCCCCCCTTCCATTCCAGACGCTCCACCATCAGAAGACAAACGGGACGACAGATATGCACTTAGTAAAATAGAATCCTGTCAATCGCATCCGTCAAATCATTCAGTTCGTTTCGCCGACGACATAGCGTCAACAAGTTCCAGATCAAGAGACAAGAGGAGCAAGAGGAGCAGTAAGGATAGAAAGCCACCTGTGCCCGAAGTTCCAAGCAAACCCGAGTCTTTATTGAGTAAGAGAGTTAAAAGGAGCAGGGAAAGCTCACGGTCTACTGAAGATGGACTACGAGTACCGCCAGAAGTTCCCGAACCGCCCCAGCGGAAACATGCTGAGCTCGAAAAACATTCGAGGGGGAGAAAAGGAAGGCAAAGGACAGGAAAGAGAAAGGCGACGCTAAGAAAAGTAGGAGCAAAGGAAGGGATGCTTCTAAAATGGCATTAGTGTCAATACTGAAACCTTCGGAAACGGCAATACATGATGAGTCCATACCAGCTGAAAATAGTGGTGATGAAGCAGTCCAGGAGCCACAGACAATTCCAGATCTTGTTCAGCCAGTATCAGGTGAGTACTACTATTGCTTGATGAATTTTTGGAATATCCATCTGCGGTCAATAATCAGACGTTATGAATGACATGTACTAACTATCACCTCAAAAGATCCAGGCCCCCCACCCCTACCCGAAGATAACCCAAGTGAGAATATAGAGGCCGAAGGAATAGTACCAGTACAAGAGAACTTACCAACACAACTTGAAGAACATCCAGACACCGAGGAGACACCATCAACCAGTGATGTACCAGCTTCAGATGACGTAAAGGAAGAAGAGGGAAACGTTGCGAGCATGCAAAACAATCAAGCCGTCTCCGAGGAACATGTAGCTACAGAAGAGGCGTCCACAACTGATGTGCCAATAGCAGAAGATTCACAGGTGGGAGGTGGAGAGATTCCGAGCACAGAAGACAATCCCGATGCCATTGAGAAACCTCATGTTGATGAGGAAGTTCCTGTTACAAACGAAACGGTTGAAGTTGATGATGATAAGCTCATGACTGCAAATGGGATCGAGATCAATGCGGAAGAGCCCAACAGTGAGGTTGTTTCGGAAGCTGCAGTGGAAAGTCCTATCGATGACGAGGAGAGTTCTTTACCAGATGAAAACGATTCACAAGATCCTGAAGTAACTGAAAAGAGCTCAAGCAGCGAAAATATTCCAACTGGTACCGAGGAGATGTCAGCCCCTGGGGAAGAGGCCTTAGAACCTGTCGAATCCACACCAACAACTGTCACCGGCGAAGAAGTTCCAAGCCCCCTGCAGACACCTACAAAAATCGATGAGCCTCAACCAGAGGATAATACTCACTCTAGTGATGACCCGGCTATTCTGGAAGAAAGTGCACATAATGATGAGGAAGTACCACCTCCCTTCGAAGATATATCCGGGGACAAAGTTGAATCAAACTCCCAAGCCGAACTTGATGCGAACGAGAAACCAATCGAGGAAAAATCTTCTGAAGAACCCGTTTCTGAAGAAGCCTCCGATCCAAGCGAGCCAGTATCCCTACCTGCCCAGGAGCCAGTAATGATCGAAAGTGATGTTCAAGACGAGGAGAAAGAAGAATTAGATGACGCCAATCATGAGACTTTGGATACTCCAGAAGAAGTTGTTCCAGACCAAACAGGCACAGAAGATTCAAAAGATGAGCCTATTCAACCAACCGAAGCCGAAACGCCTAGTCCCGAAGAAGCTGGACCCGAGAGTGTTGAAATTCTGGAAGAGGCAGATAATCATACCGATGAAGAATCTAAGCCAAAAGAACCTTCTCCTCAGCCAACCGAGGACAACCAGGCGGAAACAGAGCCTAACAATATCGATACCAATATTCTGACCCCTGAGGATCCGACTGGGACTACCGAGACTAATGAGCTGGCAGATCACGTGGAAGACTCTAATGTCGAGGATGATGTCACTCAGGAATTAGCACAATCAAGCGATTCTGATGACAGTCCAGCCATTGAAAAAAAGGTTGCTGGAGATTCTACCGAGGAGAGTTCTGAAATCAGCCCAGATACAGAAAGCGTTGAAACCAACGATGACGTCCTAGATATTCCAGCTACAATCGAAAAGTCACCTCAGAGCCAAGAAGATGCTCTCGTTAACTCCGAAGCTCTGGAATCTGATGCAAAAGTCGAACAATTGTCAATCGAGAGCGAAAATGTTCAACAAACTCCAGTCAAAGACGAAGCTTCGGAAGAGAGTCCTTCGGATGATTCACAAGCCGTAATCGAGGGAGATTCAACACCAGAAACTTCCGTGGCAGTTGAAGACATGTCTACTGATACGGGAGAAAGCAATGAGAGTCCAGAAAACGAAGAAACGCCGATGACAATTGATCAAACCTCCAACGAGACAGAAAGTGCTCCAGACTTACCGGAATCTGAAGAAAGTCCAACAGAGATTGAGGAATGTCAAGAACCACAAGCGAATGACGATACGGTAAAACAACTCGAGAACGGCGCTGTACCGTCGGTGGTTCAGGATGACTTGGAGCCGGAAAATGTCTCATTAGGAGATGTTGAAGATGTTCATGAATCATCCGAGGATGACGAGATAGCAGATTTACTCATGCCTGAACAGGATCCTGTAGTGATTGAGGAGACATCCAACCATCCAGAAAACGTGCCGATAGAAGATGCTTTAGACAAGATAGAAGCGATCCAAGAATCTCCAGAAGCCGGCCTAATGCCTGAGGCTGACAATGAAACCATTCCTGTCAATACAGAAAATACTTCGGAACAACCAAGCGAGGAATCACAAGTTGAATCTGGAGAGGAACAGCTTTCCAATGAAACTCAAGAATTGCCAGCTAGCAATGAACAGCAAATGGAAATCCATCAAGATCCTCCTCAAGATCCGAATGAAAGTCTCGCACAAACAACTCCAGATAATACCAATCCCGAGCCAATTGAAGAACCTCGAACCGAGCTTCCTTCTACCGAGCATGATGACGAAATCGAGGTGAAAGAGTTAAAGGAATCCGATTCAATCGAATCGGAAAACGAGGCATCAAGTTGGGATGGCGATTCAAATGATGAAGATTCAGAATCTGATAACGAACACGAGGACGAAAACTCATCTGTTACCGAGGAAAATGGCCCTGAAACGGCAGGGAGTGAGGAGGAACATTTGCATGAGACGGAAGAAATAAATGCTCCGGTTCTCACCAACGAATCAGATGAAGTCCATGTTCCTTCCTTGGATAATGCACCCAAATCATTGGACGGAGAGGCTGATGTTCAACATGATGAAACAGCCAATATAGATAATACCAATAATCCTATTCCTGGAGAGGAATCCGTCGAGGACATCCCCGAGTCCGTAGAGGAGAACAATCAGCCAGCTGTAACAGCTACCGTTGGAGATCCCGATACTCCTGTTCACGAGGAAGAATATACCGAAGACCCGCAGGTACCCGTTGCGGACAACCTTTCCGAAACGGTGGTTGAGAAGGATGATGTTCAGCCAAGCGAAGATATCGATATTGCAGAAGTTCACGAACCCGAAAAAGAAGTTATCGAAAATACAGAGGCCCCTGCCATTGAAAGTCTTCCCGAATTAGTCAGTGAAGGAGATAAAGATATCGAGAAATCGGATACCAACCCATCCCCGGAAATTGACAATCCTACCCAAGAGTTAGGAGAAGACCCAGGAACACTCGTTATCGAAGGTGATACTCCCAAGGCAATTGTCGAGGAAGAAGGACTAGTACACTCAGAAGAAGCAATTCATGATGAGGAGACCGAAATTCCAGTGCCCGAGGGTGAATCTGACCAGAGCCCGGATGCCCCTGCCATGGAACCTTCCGAGCCAGTCAGCGAGGAACCCTCGGTTGAGATCATGGAAAATGTCCCGTCCCAGGAGCCTGACAGCCCTGTTTCTGAGCAAGGGGCAACTGAGGTACCAGAAGTCTCCGTCAATGAGGAAAATGAGCCCGAACCAGTTGTCGAAGACAAAGAACCTATTCAGCCCAAAGAAAGCGTCTCAAATGAAGATCACAACCCTCCAGTCCATGAAGAACAGCCAGTTGAAGCGCATGAATCTCCTGCAGGTAAGTTGACATTAAACTTTCTTCCGCTAACTCACTTGATTACGACAAGATACTAAGATAGCAATAAATAGCCCCGGAAGAGGTAGAGAGCGATGATATCACTGGTGATGTTGCTGCTAGTAAGTTTATCTACATTTTTTCTTAACATTGTGCTTCGTCTGGTAGGAATGAATCCAGGGAAATAACGAATTCTATTAGTCACAGAAAACGAGACCCAAGCGATCGATGACCCCCATCCACCCGTGGAAGAGGATAAGCAGATTATTGAGAATGTAGAAGCTCCAGTTGGTAAGAAGCCACAAGAGTTTGTAATCAGAATGTCCGGCGTACTAACAACTTATTGAAAAGAACCAGAGTCTATTCCCATCGACGCTACACCTCTTGAGACAGTGGCAGATAAAGAACCATCAATAGAAGCGCCCGAAGAGGAGGAAGCTCTAGAAAAAGATGCTGGTAAGTACTGCGTGGACTTGGGTATGTTGTATCATGAAATGTGGCTGAAAAAAATGTCTAGATCCCGATTCAACACATATAGAGACTGTTCCAATCGAAGAGCCTTTGACTGAAGATCTTCCTACTGAGGAGCCCCTTGCTGAGAATCCGCTTACTGAAGAGCCCGCTGCTGAGAATCCTCATACTGAAGAATCTGCTACCGATCCAATCCAGGAAAATCCAGCTGGTAGGTGTTTGATAGCTCATTTCTCTGCCATTCCCCCAAAACAAATTACTCACACCAAGATACAGAACCAGAGCCTGAGCCCACACCAAGCGAGCCTATTTCCGATCCAGCCGAGGAATCAGCTCCTTCAGAATCTCCTATAGAACCAGAAGCCAGTAAGTGTCCCGGAGGATTTGAATTCCTCTCAAACTGGGCTTTGGATCCCCTACGCCGAGCTTCCCCAGAAAATAACAAGCTTATCGATTTATCTCCAGCAGCCAGCGATCCCCCTTCAGAGCCTGTGGTTATGGAAGAAATTTCCCCTGGTAAGTTTCACTTTTTCGTCTCTTGTACACGTTATGATAAATAAATTAATGCGGGGTAATTAGAACCCGCCCCAGTTGATAATTTCGAGGAACCAGTGATTGAAAGCAATCCCGAGCCAGAGAGCGTTAAGACAGAAAGTCCTATTGGTAAGTTATGTGTTCTCTTAATATTGTGTACACATGCAACTCTGCATACGTATGTCCACGATCATTTGACACGTGTCGAATCTCATACTTCACGACAACGCCACCTATCTATTTTGAATATATTCAAAACTATATATTATACGGCGTATATTCTATTGGCAAATTTCTGAGTCAATCTGCTTCAAATAAATTTCCACAACCCCAAGATGTGTTTCAGAGGTCCGGAAATTTCGAGAACTTTCATGCCAAAAGATGACAAATCCAAAGTTTGAAAGAACAATGGGCGTTGCAAATGCAAATCGATCCAATAAACACCTCTCAGAGATGAAATAAAAGTGTCCTTACACACAAACTGACATAAAATGTTTCTAGAACCCAGCCCAATCATAAAAACTCCCCAAGCACCTACCAAACCCATTGAAAATTTGGAGGATGGGGAACAAGCACCACCTGGTACGTTAGATCTTGGAGACCTTGGATCCATTCTCGTTTTGGGTCTAGAATTTACAATAGCCCAATGTTTTAGAGATAGTGTGGCCCATTTCCAATTTCCCCTTAATCCTTCAGTCCCTGACGCTAAGTTTTATGCAGAGTCTGAACCTACACAACTTGATGTCGTTGAACCAACTGAGGAGATTCAGGGCGAGGAACAGGCTGAGGTTGTTGAGACAACAAATGGTGTGTTGTAATTACCTTTACGGAGTGAATATGTACTGACGTTGAATAGAAGATCCGGCAGCTCAAGAATTAGTCGTTGAGCAAGCTGAAGAGGCTGTAGCTCAAGAACCAATAGAAGAATTGGCTGTTGAGCAAGTTGAAGAGGCTGTAGCTCAAGAACCAATAGAAGAAGTACTGATTGAGCAAGCTGGAGAGGTTGTGGTTCAAGAACCAATTGAAGAAGAAGCTGTTGAGGAAGCTAAAGAGGTTACGGTTCAAGAGCCAATCGAAGAAGTAACCTTTGGGCAGGCTGAAGAGGCTGTGGTTCAAGAACTTGCTGGGGAGCCAGCTACTGACCAACTCCCCGATAATACCACTAGCGAGGCGCCAATACTCGATTCATCTACAGTTGAGACTGAAAAAGAGCCGGTTGTCCCGGAACCAACCATCGAAGCACCGATTGAAGAACCCGTCGTCGAAAGTGCCCAGGAATCAGTGGAGGTATCCAGTGAACCAGATCTCGAACAAACCGTCGAAGAAGCCAGCGTTACACCGCCGAACGAAGAGCCCGTCGCCCTAGTGGCTGAACAGCCGATTGATGAGACAGTTGATGCGGAAGCACTACCTTTAGAGGAGCCAGTGATAGAGGGCGCTGTTGTGGAACAAACTACAGAAACCAAAGAGGCACCCGAGGACTCTGTCGAAGATCTATCGTCTGATCCACCTGCGGCCCCAACAGTAGAAGAAGTCCCCGGGACTAAAGAAATTCTACAGGAAGTCATTGAGGAGTCCCCTGCTCCCTCAGATCCCATACAAGAGCAAAGCGAGTCTCCAAAGGAGGACAAGCCAAAGGAAGTCGAAGACTTTGAGGCTGTTGCCCTTGCTGGACTTGCAGGTGCAGCCGCAGGTGCAGCGGCGGCCAAGGCCTTGGACGACAAGGACAATGACGAACCAATAGCTGATCAGCCTTTGGTAAATGAGCCGGAACGCATTAAAAATCGAGAGGATAAAGGAGCTGAGTCTCCCTCAAAATCGGACAAATTGGATAAAGACAGACGCAGACACAGGAGCTCGAGGCACCACTCATTCAGTAACCACAACTCAACCAAATATGGTGAATATCCACCTTCCAGCAGACCAGAAGAACAGCCAAGACGCCGAAGACATTCTCACAGCCACAGAACCAGTGGCGCAACTAGTGATAGAGAAGAGGATAAAGAGAATTATCGTAGCCACAGATCTAGTCAGAAGGAAGATGATAAAGAGAGACCAGAACGTTCTCATCGCCGACGATCTAGCCATAGGGAAGATGAGCCCGAGCGTTCTTATCGACGTAGGTCTGGCCGTAAAGAAGAAAAGGAAGATAAAGAGGAGCCAACCCGTGGTATTTCTCCAGCAAAGCAATCTCCAGATCGTCGAGATAGTGCTATTGAGGGTGTGGACGATGAACGTGAACGTCGCCGACGCCATCGTAGAGACCGCAATCGAGAGGAGCAGGAAGAGCACGACAGGAAAAAGGAGGAACGCCGAGCAGCTAAAAGAGAGGCAGCAATCAAGGCCGAAGAAGCCTTCAGAGCAGAAGAAGCACGAAAAGCTGAGGAAGAGGCACGAAAAGCTGAGGAGGAGGAAAGAAAAGCTGAGGAGGCATTGCAAAAGAAAAAAACTGAATCCATTCCGTTATCCGCCGCTCCAAAGCGGTCAAGATCACGAAGAGAAAGCATTTCAAAGTCATACTCAGTCACTCCGCATGAAAGTGACGGTATTCGATCCCGACTTCTTAGTCTCAAGAAGCGTGTTCAAAGCGAAGTTACCAGTCCATTTATAGCAAACGACGAGCCACATATCAAGGAGAAGCTTACCCCCGTCACACGTCCCAGAAGAGACTCCATTGTTGATGAACCGGGCCTTCCTCAGTTCGATGTTACACCAGAACGCCCGAAGATGAGTTCTAATACGAGAAAATCATCTCGATCATATCCACATCAATCTCACTCGTCGTCTCGCAGAGAGTCTGAACGAACTCATAGTTCTAGGAAAGAGCCAAGTCGAGGAGATTCTACCAGGGAGAAGTATAATACGGAGGAGGAGAAGGAGGCAAGAAGGGCTCGCAGGGAGATGAAAAGACAAGAAAAACTTGCCAAGGAAGAGGCGGAAGCAGAAAATAGACTCCAAAGAGAGAAAGACGATGAGTTGAGGCGTCAAAATCGTGAGGAGAGACGAAGAAGGCGAGAAGAAAGAGATAGTGAGGAACGCGAGGCCAAGGAGCGAGAGGTTAGGAATCGAGAACTGGAGGAGAAAAGTGACAAATCATTGGAACCATTCCCCGAAAATGATGTCGACAACGGAGAATCGAAACCTAGCTCGAGGCCAGTCACTCGGGAAAGACGACCGACAAGACACCATTCGAATTCTTATAGTTCACGAGGCTCTCGTCCAGAAGTACCCACATCCCGAGGCTCTCGTACATCGGAAAAGCCAGCGGAAAAACCAAAGAGTGCTTTCAAGAGCTTTATGACATTGGGGAAAAAGGTCTTTGCTTCGGAAAAGCATTGATCATGATATGTATAACGGCCATGATGATATACGGAGTTCTTTTGTTCGATTATTTTGATTTCGATTCTTGATTGGTATTATGTTTATGATTGTGGAATACACATTTGATAAGTTCTGGCTGGTGATCTGATTCTTGCGACGATGTTATAATATGGTGGTCGATCTGTGTTTTCAAGTACATAATAGTGTTGAGCAAGATCTAATGGGGTTCTTGATTTCTGTCAGCCCTTTGTATTTCAAGTCTCCTTGGTCATATTTCATTTGTTAACTGTAGTTATTGAATGTACTTAACAATCTTTGGGATAATGGATATTAGAATGAATAGTCTTTTCTTTTCACATGAAGTTGAGCAGTTTATCGTTATGGTAGCTTCAATCTCTTGGTCATACTTCGTCTTCCTGTCAAAATTCAAATTGTGGCTCTTCGATTCACTTGTTTGTGCATTCAACCTGGATTCAAATACGAAGAAGACATTCGTTGCTGGTGTGGTACTTAGTGTTATTTGGAAGCCATTTCGAAGCAAAACTGCCTGCATCAGGGGGCCCTTGAAAACAAACTCCGCGAACTCCAGATTGATGAGAATGGACTAATGTGTGGCGAGGAGAGCAGAAGGGTAACCCCAATTTCATACCTAGTCTTTGGCCCTTTGATTATTTACAACCAAACGTTCCTATTTCTTATCTGAACGTAAAGGGATGTTTTCTTTCTCTGAACGTATTGGGAAAGTATCGGACGAATTGCCAATTATGTTAGAAACTTTAAGTATACTTTCATCTGATATCGCTTCATGATTGTTCTAGACCGTGCTGCTCAGGGAAAGAAAGAAAGTGGCCAATTTCGCGGAGTCTTGAATCAACACCGTCAAATCCACAAACCCACAACTCCACATATCCACCTGCACGTCCATTCTTCGTACTACGTTGACAGATTGAGATCATTCCTAGGACATAACCAATATAAGACGTTCTTTCTATTCCTTCATGATTTGTCAAGTTTCAATTATGCATGCATTTATCTGCTTGCTTCGTGCTGTTGCCGACGGCTATTGAAGAGCGACGGAAACCGACCCGTCCTAGTTCTTATCATCGGCGATGTTAACGGAGGAGTCATGCCTTTAATATCGCAATCTTGTGGATTCATTGGGCTCTTGGTTTAATGAGTTTAAACCGTCTTGTTGGTACACTGTTGGTTATGTCTCGTTCTCGTGTTCGAGTAGCATGTATATATATTGTGGCGGATTTATCATTTGCGCCGCATTTCCCAGCCGCCTTGCTTTCTTAATTTTTTCCCTCATGGAATTCGATTTGTCGTTATGCGTCCAGCGTCTGTTACCACTTGCATGGCTATACCCACATTCGTACGGATATGACATGTACAATTTTCTTCAGTTAGAGTTCATGCTTACGAGTTCTTTCGGTACCAAATTGTGTACCCAGTAGTGCCAGTTCAGTGTCACTGTGACAAGCGCTTGATGTTGACCTGGAGATGATTTTCCGGTATTGACCAGGGCGAAAAGGCAAAGGGGCGGAGAAGACAGGGCAAGACATATCAGCGCTTTGAGATTTCTCCCTGATCGTTCCGCAAGGATAAGTTTTGATCGTCGCCTCAATCAGGAAGTTAAATTGCGCTCAAATGGTCTATCCGGAATCCTCGTTTCATCCGAATTTTTACAATCAAGTAAATACGTACCATATTTGTTCCCCTGGATTCCGCTTTTCAATAATAAGTTGGAGATGACAGCTGATATTGCTTGATCCGTTTGTAGAAGGGAAAAAGTACGAGCACATTTTTGATATGTGTCCCAACATCTATCAAGCCACCAACATGCCTTATGCCTTACACTGAAATCCAATCCAACTCTATTGAATCCGGACTTCAAACTTTCAACCCCTTTTCGTTTTTCACCCAATACGATCAGATATTCGTCATTATCGTGATGATCTACAGTTTTCACTGACCATGCCGCACGTACCACAATCTTTACAGCGTCTTCACCACAAGGCCACCCACAAGCCTGGGGTATATAAAAGGATTGAATATTTTCTATCAAAGCTAAAAAGTACGGTCCGTCATAGATAGAGTCAATTTGTGATCACACAACTGACTATTGGAAAGAATTTCGGACGCTTCCTACCCAGGAAGATGCTCATATCTTAGAGCCATGTAATGGATTCTTCAATCTACCAGCGGAGCTTCGGCATGAGATCTACTCATATCTCTTCAAGAATTTAAGATGTCGAGATGATATCTTCTCTGAAGCAGAATGCCACGACTTTTTCGTACATGAAGGAGCAGTCTTATTCCGTGTGAACCATTGGTTCCTGAATGATGCGGCTGAATTCTTGTGTCGGATGAACCCTCGATTTATGTTATATCGACCTTCCCTGTGTCGTTTTGTTTTTTCCATCACATATGATTGTGTTCGATTTCTGAAGAGTCTGGAGTTATCAGTACCATCTCCCGAGACCAAACTACTGGAGCCGATCCTCGAAGAGATCATAACCTCTAATGCTCCATTGACCTCACTGACTTTACATCTCACTCCTACGTTTCCGGGAAGCTTAAGTTATCCATGGCCAATGTATATCATTCCTAGATTGCAAGTGGAAACACCAGCAAAGGAACATTTTTACAACATTCATCCTCATTATTTATCTATCGAATATCATTCGCAAGCTGCTGTGGATAACTGCCACCGATCCCCATTGTTGATAGGCAAATTACAGGATCTTCGATATCTAAAGATTACGGGTCAGCCGGAATTCGATGTCATGTTTGAACTTGCCATCGTGAAGCTTCATCTGGGAATGATGGCCGCCGCTAAATCCGCAGGGACATACCTTGCCCTATCACCGAATAATGGGCCTCGTGGTGAAGAATGGTATTATGAAATTTGGATCATTCCAAGTAAGTCATTCCTACTATTGGTCGACTTTCACAATCATCGTTGCAATACTTTCACTTGGGGATTAACATTTTTGATGCTGACATTGTGTATAGCCTCGCGTCACTCGAAACCAGCAAGTCTTGCATCGCATAAGCTCTTAGAGTGCTGATGTAGACATCTCAACTTGTACCGAGGACTTTTACAGACTTTACCTATGCTAGAAGTATGCCCAAGCATTATGGCTCTCACCAGTAGCCCATTTCCTCTGCCTTTACCTGGAAGAGATGAAATACTCTACATATGAAAGCCACTTTTGCTCTGTGTCTCTAATCACGTAAGACTAAAGAAATTAAATGAAAAACGCCGCTTCACAACTACTCGAGTATATCAACGATGAACTAGTGGGCTCGGAGAGTTCTAATTGCTGACCACTTCCGCCTTGGTTCATTCATTATGCAACTTTCGCTGATAAACAACAGATCACGAATCATCAACTGATGAGATCAGTCTGCTGATTTGCGCTGAACAAGATAATGAAAGCTTTGTGTCATCGGGCGCAACAGCAAAGTGCCTTTCGGAAGTACCATAAAATGTGTATATATTCTATGGTGCCACGTAAGACGTGAGCCTCATCTATACTTCGACAGATGACAATTGAAAACATCACAACCGAAGAAAGCCACATTTCGATAGGAAACAGCGACAACCTGGGAATGTGACAACGAATGAAATTCCTCTGAATCCTACACAGACCCGAGCATCAGTGTACCGATTTTCCATCCTAAAAACAGATTGCCATCCGAGGGCCGTCAAGCTGACCCGATTCATGCCGGATTTAAAGTCGACCGATTCCATCTTGAAAGATATCATTACCACCCTGCACCACCGAATCTACTATGCAATTCTAGTCGCAAATAAGCGACGACTTCATGAGTGTTATACGTTATTGACAGGGCAGATGATCGACGCAATATCATAACGTCATTATTACCCTAACATTAAAGGATATCCGAGAAGTTCTCGTTCTATCTCAAGTTCTCAGGAATCTTCGTTTCTTCAACCTAAGAAGTTATTCTTCACATCTATGAAGAAAGCTTCGCGCATATTCATCCGAACTTGATATATCTATCGCCTTTGATTAGCGAGACCATACCAAATGATATCTGCCGAAAATCAGGGGTGGATAATGATGAATTGGTTTCACGATATCATCTTTACGGTAGATAAAAGGGCCTGCTAAGACCAAAAAGACACAGTATGGACTTTTCAATATCCATGGTCATACTTGTTTAATTAGAATCTGCTCGGAATCTATCCACGATCAACTATCCTCGAATCGAGACTCGATGCCCAAAACCCGATACCAGCAACACTATCTTAGAACCATTCCACCGTTCGCACATACAACCTGTCCGGTACACCATTGACTATCACTCGTACACAACATACCTACAATACCCGCAATCTCAGAAGTATAAGCCGGTCTACCTCCAGCATTTGGCGCGTCATCTACCAAATCCTGATCATCCAATTCCGGCCTGATCTTACTTCCAGGAGTACTTTCAATCCAAGGTTTCAGCCCCCTCCTGAATTCTGCAGTGGTACCTGCCCACATATCCGTCTTCACTGGACCTGGATTAATAGAGTTTACCGTTGCGCGATCATGCAATTCGCGTGCCCAGGTTCGTGTCATGGCATCTACAGCTGCTTTGGTACCACCATATACCGTTTGGCCCCAGAAACCCTCGGAACTAGAGACGGAACCAAGATTGATGACGCGGCCGGATCTATCGTGGGGAAGATAGTCTAACGCGGCTTGTAAGAGAAGAAGGGGACCAAGCACGTTGATCTTGTATTGCCAGTTAAAGTCATCGATTGTGATGTCTGGGATGGGTGTGTTTTTAGATACACCTGCATTGTTTACCAGGATATCGATTTGGAATTTTCCAGAGGGGTCTGAGAAATGAGATTTAGTGTTGCTGATGATGGTTTCTGCGCCGGATTTCTCAGATACATCGGCTTGGACGATGAAAGTTTTGATGTTGTGTTTTTCCTCGAGCTTCTTGGAGAGCTCGGTGGTGAGAGTGGCGGAGGAATTGGATGTGTAGTTTAGGACAAGGTTGGCGCCTTTTGATGCGAGGTTTTCGGCAATTGCTGCTCCGATTCCTGGGGGTTTGTTAGTTGGTGTTGGTTTTATAGGATGTATCACTGTATGGGCAGGAGTGGAAAGAAGGCTTAGTGAATATAGAGAAAGATTTGTAGAATAGAAATGACAACAAGCAATTGACCCACCTCTAGAAGCACCAGTAATGATAGCCAGTTTCCCCTCTAAGGGTCTATTCGAAGCCATTGCGTAGTTTTTGATGTGAAGTGGATTTCTCGAGCAGTTTAGTCTTATATCACAGATATAGAAGTGATAAATGCACTTTTGTCTTTTGATTACTGGATCGCTTGATCAATCAATGAAGAAGTAAAACGAACAACAAGAAAGAAATGTCTACTCAGCCTTTATATATGTGTAACAAATAGTCCCAACTTCACTCCATTGACTACCTATTTACCTTCCTCATACCCCCACCACACATCACTTGAGCATTCTATGGTGGGGTTATACATAATTGTCGGCATAGAAATCCCCGGGGTCCATTTATCATTTCCTTAGTTCTTATCGGTTAAGCGCACCAGTTACGTGTGGTTTGAGAGGAAGCTTTGCATTACACAATACACCAATTGTTGACCTGTCAAACCGAGCTCTAAACAACCAACCAGCTATCCCATTCGAATCACTCACAGTCCTCCACCGAAAAAACAAAATTGGAAGAAAGGCCGTCGCATTAATAAATATGGATATCAGACTATTACGATCCTCGGATATTCCGCATGTTCAACATGCCAATATCACCAATCTTCCCGAAAAGTTCGTCATTGCCCTCCCCTCTTCCCTCTACCCCTCCAAACTAACCCTCTCTAGCTATTTCATGAAATACTATCTCTACCATGCCCTCTCCTGGCCACAACTCTCCTTCGTCGCAGTCGACGTCTCGCGTCCCCAGAAAACCCCCTACGATTACCCCCGCATCGTCGGCTACGTCCTTGCGAAAATGGAAGAAGATCCTGCGGATGGCGTGCAACATGGTCATATTACCAGTCTGAGTGTTATGCGCACACATCGTCGTCTCGGTATTGCCGAGAAACTAATGAGACAGAGTCGTATGTTCTCCCTTCTACTCTACTCTCATTCTCATCTTCATTCTTTACCCCCCTGGGAACTGGAACTCGGATGCAAGATAGAAATGAGACCCCAGCAACAAAAGCACAAAAGCTAACCATACCAACCCAACAGAAAAAGCAATGGTCGAAACCTTCTCCGCCCAATACGTATCCCTCCACGTCCGCGTCTCAAACCAAGCCGCACTCCGTCTCTACCGCGACACCCTCGGATTCCAGACCGAGAAAATCGAAGCAAAGTACTACGCCGACGGCGAAGATGCCTATTCGATGAACTTGGATCTATCGTATATACGCGAGCAGATACTCGATGAAGAGGAGGGGGATGAGGGAGAGCCTGTCGGGAGCGCAGGAAGCGCAAAGGATGTAAAGGCGATTGAGGAGGGGAAGGATGGCGAGGCGGCAGAAAAGAAGAGGAAGGTCAAGGTAGGGAGGGGATTGGGAGTGGGAGAGTTGGTGGAGAAAAATGAGGCGTTGCCTATCAGGGAGGGGAAGTGAAAGAGATGGCGAAACTATTTTGCGATTCCTCGTTTTCGAGAAAGAGGAATGCATGAGGGTTATTAAATGGATGTGTATGGGATGCTAGGACTGCATATATTCCTGGAGTCTAAAAGTCATTTTCATCATGCTGGTTTGTGGTGGCTTTATAGACGGTATGACGAAATACCTAGGAAAGGTGCTGCTCTTGTGGAAACATGAATTGCAGTTTGCATACCTAGTATATCATGGACGCCCGAGGGAGAGGGAGGAATCTTCTCTCAAGCAAGATTACTTATACAGTCTACATATAGATCATATGGATTGAGAATCAAAAATACTCGATATTTTGCATCGTCTTGTTCCTTTGAAATGTATATGAAACTGGCTCGTGAAAGATCAAGAAATGCGTAATAGCTTAGTCCTTGAGTCCTTATATGCCCTTGCTAAACTTCTGATATAGCTATATCGAAGAATGATATCACGAGAATACTTTACGCATCTGTATACTACATTCCATATATACATTTCCCTACTCAATCCATCGCAAAATGCAAAGCGCCAAAAATCCATTTTCCTATAAAATCACAGTACTGCTACACTATCATCACACTATATCATGACGAGAAATGAAGATTTCTGTCTGCTTGAAAACCCAAGTATTCATTCAACAGAATAATAAGAAACTAGAACTACAAAGATACCCCATCACCAGTGCCAATTTCTCCTGGAACAGGCGGTGCTGGGTCAACAGGTAGTATGGGGTCGGGTTTGGCGGCCTCAAGAGATTCGTTTGGTGGGGGAGCTGCGTTGATGGGAGGGTTTGCTTCGATGGGGGAATTGATTGGAGGGTCGTTTGATGGGGGTGGGATCGAGTCGGTTGGTGGGCTCACAGCTATATCTGTGAGTGGAGCTGCTTCGACTGGAGGATTTACCTCAGCGTTTTGAGAAGGTACTTCTTGGGTGGGAGGAGAATCCGTTTCCACCGTTGCTGGGTTTGCGGGATCTATGGGTGGTGTTGGGTTGGTAGGGGGGTTTGGCTCAGCAGGAGGAAGTGGTTCGGCGGGAGGGTTTGGATTTGCGGGTGGTAATGGATCCGTGGGAGGATTTGGCTCGGCGGGGGTAGCTGGCTCCGGAGCTGGAGGTTGTGGCGGGGGAGGAACAGGGTCCTCGGGTTTTTGAAGGCCGATATCATTTACTGGCTTCGGGGTATCAGATGGAAGTGGAGGCGCTGAACATACTTTCGGATCTTTTGCAAACTCTGGACCTTTGTAAATAGGGTTTGGGTCTTCTCCCAATACACTCTGTGATTTGATCAAGACTGGAATTACAGCTCCTGTCTTCAGGGAGAATGTTCTATGGCCGATAACTCGTAAGATAGTGTTGATCGCTCCAGAATGGGAACTGAGTGAGACGAATGTACTATTATCATTCATGAACAAATCACCCAAGAGAGCTTTGAATCTTCGGTTTTCTGCCTCATGGGTTTCTGAGTAATTGGCGCGCCAATAAGGATCTTCTTCTGGGAAATTGGATTCAAATTTCCAAGTGGGGGCGAGGGCGTGGATATAAGTTCTCGAGCGGCGTCGATCGCAAGTATGAGAGGAGATACCTTCACGGAGAAGTTCTTTAATAATAGGTGTGAATGGAGGAGAGGTGGGTGGAAGTGATAGATTGCTGAATGTAAGGGAACATGTTTCGAGACAACGTGTCAGGGGTGAGACGTAATAGGATTGTGGTGGAGATGCCTTTTGTGTAGTGATTAGTTTCTCCCAGAAATCGTTGGCCACCAGAGCTTGGGCAACACCAGTGGGAGCAAGTTGAGCATCGGCCCAGGTTGAATTTTCATCTCCATCCAAGTGAGAATAGTAGCACTATGGAGGTCAGTAAGGATCGCGTATTGAGGGCCAGATAGAACATACATCCCATGCTTCTTTTCCAACCTCCGTCTCTTTTATATTATGATAACCTTCCCCGTGACGCCCCACTTCAAACTGTCAGTTGCATATCATGTGATGGCAGTAGTGATCTTGAATACATACAGTAAAGAACTTTGTACTGAACATTCTTAGGAGTTTGATTGTTGAGTTTCACAACATGATTCTCAAATCTTTCCCATTGAGTCTTCTGTCTTTCCGGGTCAAATTCTGCATCCGTATCATATACACGATCTTTTAACCCAAAGTTCGACTCCTGAGTAGATAGCCATGTCAGTCTGAAATCCAACAACATGAGTGTGAATTATCTTACCGTGTAACTGAAGGTTTCCGAATTTGTATTCTGATCATCTTGTAGGAAATATCCTACTACATTTCTAAACTCCATATGTCTAGTCTTTGGTTGTACTTTGTTATTCATCATGTATAATGGAGTCAGAAAAAGTGTAGCTAAAAATAAGCAAGGTCTAGAGTTTTGATTGTTAGCTGATAGCTGATGAGCTTAATGATTCTCCGTAAAATAAGATGCAAATTAACACAAGCAAAATAGAATAGTAACAAAGAAGTACCTGGGTACACAATGGTCCTTAAATAAAGAAACCCAAACCCAACTTACACAATCAAAGATGCTCTCCAACAACCTGTTCGTCGATAAGCATATTGGTATGCATTGGCAATACTGCTTGCGCCCGACCTTTCATTCGACCTATGACCCAATAAAGACTCCTGGTCCTCCATATCTTACACCTTCACTCAACGCCGGCTTCAAAATTCACAACCATCCGAAATCCAAATCCTAAAGTAAAAACGAACACCAAAATGACATGATACGGAATCTTCGGACCAAGAGATAGTATCGGCGACAATGAGAAAAAAGGGGCTCTAATGCTTTGAACCAAAATTGAGTTTTAATGGGAAAAAAGTGCCAACCAAATTCAAATGAGCATCACGTGTCAAAGGAATGAATTGTGTTAAGTACAGGATACTGGTTTCACATTGAATATAATTTGATTGGTCTACGCTTGACGTTTCAGAGTTGTTAGGAGGAGTTGGGATGAGTGCTCTGGAACAGGAGAGGATTACTTCTAGGCGCGTTGGTATTTTGTACGTAACCGCAACGGCACAAGATTATTAGTGCCTAAGGCTGAAATCAAAGTGACGCTGTTTTATGATTACTGAACGGAAACTAATAAAGCGGCGGTAACTAGCCACAAAGTCAATTCAAAAACTCGTGATTTCCATTCCAATCGTGATCCATAACGCCACAATGTTAAAGTTGGAGAATCAGGTCCGTGTATGATGTCACTCCAGGATAAATCTGGTTGTGAATGCAAAAGTTGTGGGGAAATTAGCTCAGAGCTCTTTTTCAGAAAAGCAAGCTCGAGGCACGCAAGCAAGCAAAGCTTGAAAGTGGAGTGGAGAGTGGAACCAAATGAGGGAGAGCTCGGAGGGGAATCAGATCTAGACAGGTAAGGTACATCGTACATTGTACAGAGAGGAACGGGAACAGGAACAGGAACAGGTATGAAGTATACGTAGTCTAGCGGTAGTGTATGGGCCGGGACGACGAGTTTGAATTTTCATGAGAGATTATTGGTGGCGTCCAAGATGTGAGTGATTTGTTTTGCTAAGGAAAGTACGCTCGATCAATCGAAAAGGATTTGGGTTACGAGAGATATACTTGCATTGGATACATACTTCCATTGGATACATACTTCTATTGGATATATACTTTCATTGTAGATACGATTCTATTGGAGATATACTTCCATTGGATAACACTTCGTACCTCCAAAGGTATATATCCATCCTAAGATAGGTATCCTCATTGAATGTGTCAAGTAAACTGTATACTTGGTGCTCTACATCAGCTACTGCTATCTGTACGCTCTCGAGTCTTCACATCACATCCATGATCCATCTGGAATCTGGAATCTGGAATCTGGAATCTGGATTCTTTGTAGATTATTCGCAATATATTAAAAGGCTCCACCTCAAAATCCCATGCATTTGTGAACCCAGAAAAAGTGATTTCCCGATCATTCTCATATTTTCCACCTGTTTGTTACTCCACAATCATGCCAACCTCTCACAAACCCGGTCTTCATCTGCCTTGGAACTCTTTCCATGACGTGCCTTCCCAACTTTATCCGTAATGGCTTTAGCTTCCATTCACCCCGCTACATAAATCTATTCTTTGTCCCTCCCTTCTCTCAGATTTCTCCTCTACTCATCAATACAAACAAACAAATCAATCTCATCAACTCTCAATCAACAAGAACCTTTAATAAATCTTTTCAATCAACCACCACTTTACAATCACATCATGTCTCTTCACTGTACGTACTCATGCTCGGGACGCCTTTAATGGGAGATGGCTTGGAATGGAACTGGTGATGCTGGAGCATTGTGAGAGAGCTTTGAAATTGACACATTGAGCTTGGGATTTGTTCCATTGACACTTTCCAAGTTGAATGTCAAGAGAATATCCTCACAATGTATCCTCACAACGCATCATCATACCATCACCACCTTCCCTCACCTAGCTCCCGTTTTTTCTTTCAATTCCCCTCTACCCCACCAATTAGCTGCCACTAACGCCTACTCCTAATAGACCTCCCACCAGTTAAGCCATCGGCTATTGCCCTCGGTACCATCTTCAACCACGCTGCATCCCTTGCTGTCCTCGGCCCAGTCTTCGGCGAGACCTACCACAGAGCTCAAGCTGCCAACTCCAAGGAAGAATTTGTTAAGTCAAAGGAGGCTGCTTCCGCCGCTGCGGCATGGGGAACTTCCCTTGTCGGTAGCGCCGTCCAATCATATGGTGTTGGTGCTTTGATCAATGCCACCGGTACTCTCTCATACAAGGGTGCTGCATACTTGGGATCTTTGATCTTCATGGCTTCATCTGCTCCATCTGTACGTCATCCATCTTGAAACATCATGCATCAAGAACAATCTACTAACAACCTCATCAGTTCATTGCACAAGTCACCACTGAGAAGCGACCACTCGACACTGTTGCCGTTGGAGCTCTCGCCCGCGTTTTCGAGACTGTCGGTCTCTCTCTCTTCCTCACCTGGTGGGGAACCCACACCAACCCATTCGAGTAAATGTATTACGCTTTAATATTGGGTATGATCGTTGGGAAGGATTAACGGAATGGGGTTATGGCATGGGAAGGAAATGACGTGCGGATTGGAGTATTCCGTTTCGTCTGTGTATTATCTCGACTCTGAATCAATTCACTTTTATGACTTTATGATTTAATCGTCAATAATTGCACAGCTTTATTAGGCAGAATATGAATTTTTTTCAAACAAGGACCTCTTCTTTTGGGTGAATCATATATGGTTTTTTTTTTTTACACGTGTGAAATTTCGTTTTTTGACATCTGAAGTGTTTTCTGTATTCCATTTCTAGACTCAAAATGTTCGACTAGGTACATTGAACTGAATATACTAATAATTGCTAAGCTAGATGGTATCAACAAATCATTGAAGTAATGAACCTCTCCACTGTCACCACGCAGCACGCTCATAAGCTCACCCCTCGAGACCCTTCCAAATATATTCCCAAATTTTATTTTATCTGTCACATACGACCATAGACTGAAGAGAATTGGGCATCCCGTCCGCTCTGCCATACACAAGCTTCAGATCGGTGGATTAGTAGTTGGGTGGGTGACCACCAGCGAATCCCCACTGTTGTATGTTTTTGGTTTTTGGTTTTTGCCTCCCTTGCTCGTTGATTTTGTGTGTTAAGGGTACTCCGGTTGGTGGGTGTATTAAGGTAGGTAGGCAGATGTCTTTTGGACATTTGGATTTGGGGGGAGAGGGATGGAGTTGGGTTATCAGAGTGGAGCGGAGAGAAGGGGAGGGAAGAGAGGAGAGGAGGTGACTTTTTTTATGGTAATTAATTGATGGTAGTAGAGGACTACTGCTTTTTTGCGGGTGAATTTGTGTTGTTTGTTATTCTTGACGCGCGTCGTTGTTGGTTTTTTTTGAAGGAAAAAATAAAATATGGATGATATGATAGTGTGTTTGTTGTTAGCGGCATTGGGAAGAATATTTCTGGAGAGAGGGGGGTTCATCTTGGACTTGGGAGTGGGTGGGAGAGAAGGGGGAAGGGAAAGGGGATTAATAGTAATAGGTAGTGAGAAATTACAAATATAGATATTTATAAATACGAATGTCTACGTTTTTATGCTTGGGGTTTTGGGGGCTTGGGATGAAGATTGAGATTCAAGGTAGGGAGTATCTGGGTCTCGTAGAAAACTTCAATCGAGCAGTAGATTTCTGATGAGTAGTGATAAGTCAGTGGTGGAAATCTTAGGGATCACCGACTGCCTACTACTTACTACCTACTGCTATTGCTAAAACCATGATTCACGTAGTCTTGAAGTGGAGAAATGGGGGGCTCGCTAAGAGTTATTATATGTGCTGTTTGTTATGCTTGGGTTCGCTACCTACTTGGCGGGCTGGGAGCTAGGAAGAATGTATTGTGTATATATGGAGATGCTTTGGTTTTTGTGGAAGTTTGTTTCTGTTTAGCTTGATTGATACGTAGGAGGGTGTGATTTGATTGGGTTGAGATGTGTTTGTTGGTGGAGGTGAGGTGAGGTGAGGTGAAATAAGCTCAAAACGTGGGATCATGGACCTATCTGGTGTTCAATACATCCCCCACTCTGACCACTTGTCCCGCAAGGTCAAAATTGATTGACGACATGTTGATTGAGGGGAAGAAGTTTTGCATACCGCCAATATTGTGTTTATGGGTCTTCCCTTTTCTTCTAATGCCTGTGTGAATCTTGTCGTGACAAAGTGCATATACTGTAGCATACTGTTTAACCATCTGCATTTTGCTGGAACACTGACTTCGCTTGAGATATTTGATCCTAGAAACATGAGATTAGATTTGTAGAGTTGAGATTTGTCTTCTCGATGTTGATTGGGGTATAGCTTCTGCTGCGATTGAAATGATGACCCTTAGCAAGCGGTACATGTTAATATTCAATTATCAAAGCAAAAGATATTCTACAGGTATGGTATCATTATTGAACTTTGCACTTGCAAAAGAAGTCATGATATGAAAGTGAGAAATCAACTTCCATATCTTTTCATGATATCCTTCATCCCCGTGCAATATGCTCCGAGCATTGGAAGCCCTACAGCCAAGTATCTAGTGGAAATAAGAGCTAATGTATTGTAGATTGCTTAGGCATAGACATTTTCCATCGCCGTCCTCACTTTGCGCTTGCTAAGTAGGAGCTGTACTTGGGTTGAGAGGTAACACAAGATGCCTACCCGACGTATCCTTAAGATCTTGGTATACATTCTAATATATACATACTAGGTGTGATATATTACTAGTGCAAAATAGTGAACGGCTATGTTGCAAGTGAACAATGAATGTAATAAACGTATAATAAGTTTAGAAATCCGTTTGTTTTAATCCCAAGGTTACCTAAGCTCGGACCATTCATTTTTCCGGCTCAAGATACGTTTGACCTTACATCACCGACCAGACCCTCAAGTAGCTCCCAATCTCCAAAAAGACACACTCCCCAAAAGCACCTGGAAAATGCGTCTTTCAACTATCAGCGTTTGTTCGCTGCTCTCCCTTCTCCCCTCCACTCTCGCAACTCAACTCATCTTCACAATCCCAACGACTCCCCAACTAAACCCATCAACTCTCCCCCCCTCCACCCACGCAATCCTCAGTGCCCTTTCTCACACGCACACCGCGCCTCTCACACCATCCAATTCCTTCTCTTTCCGCAACCTTACTAGCGGCTCCTACCTCCTCACCGTTTCCTCTCCAGCTCACGCTTTCATTCCTCTCCGCGTCGATATCCATCCTGCATCCTCCGAGTCAAATCTCATTCCCATCGAAGCATTTACCACTTTCCGCGCCAACGAATGGAGCAACAAGGGAGAGATCATCCCGGTTTCTAAACTCGGAGATGATAAATACACAACGGAAGTCAAGCCACTTGTCGAGAAAAACTATTATCTTGAGCGAGTGGGTTTCTCGCCATTGAGTTTATTGAAGAATCCCATGATCTTGATTGCTGGATTCAGTATGCTTATTGTGTTTGGAATGCCTTATCTTATGGATAATAGTACGTATATTCTTCTTGAATTTCTGGGAGTAGGATTTCAGGCTTCACAATCATGGCATATAATATATTCTTTGTTTTCTGTGCTAACAGTACATCTTTTACAGTGGACCCAGAACTCAAGGCGGAGTTTGAGGAGCGACAGAAGAGTGGTGGTGGAATTACAGGCGGTGCCAATGGCGCCAATCCATTGCAAAATTTCGACGCGGCAGCTTGGTTGGCTGGATCTGGTGGAAAGAAGGAGGGGGGTGCTGCAAGTGGTGGAAGAGAGATTATTAGATGAGCGTAGTGTCTGCATCCGTGGAGTTTTGTTGATACTCTAGCTGATTGATGAGAGATGATCAACTTTTTGGATTGTGATAATACCTAGGAACCATGGACCGAACCACGACGCGAAAAATAGACACAGGAAAGATAGATTTGTTAAGACAACAGAAGAATGGGGTTTCTTATATTGTCGTTGTTTAAGCTTAAATTCCTCGCGGTATAGGGACATCTATATCAATTCCAGATTCATGCTTCGAGAAGCTACCAGGAGCGAGAAATCGACCCATCACATGAGATTCCATAGTGCTTTGACGCAGGAAAATACTTACAATTGCTGATTTATGATGCCGGGCGGCTCTCGTCAGTAGACCTACTCTTGTATCAATACAGTACTTAGTGAATTCTGGATAAACAACTCTCAATGCATATCTTACATTGCAGATCGTATCTTAAGTGGACAACGATAGAGCAGACCAGATGGCACTAGTATCAAGCATCCAATTCCAAAGGGTAGTATGGGTGATTCTGCAGTTTCTTATCCATCTTACTATTCATGACAGCGGCCGTTCAAACAAAGCTCATGCTGAGGCTACCTGAGTAAGCATTTCATACCTGGGCAATAATTATGAACCGAAGTGAAGTCCTCTTCTTCCATTCTCCTATCTCCTACTCATGACTACGAATCAGGCTCGCTAAAAATTGAAATCTTAGGGGGAACCCCCCCCCCCCCAATGATTTCAATGTATAGTGTTCAAGATATACAAACTAGAAGACTGGATTATCAAACATCAGAGTTTTCAGATGTGGAGTAGCGGTTGTGTTTGAGAGGATATGGAGACTTAGTGCGCTACTAGCGAGCTGGATACTATCCGTTAGCAGGCTGGAGTATACTGTTTGGGGGCCTGAGTCTTGAGGCGGAGCTGTTCCTGTAAAATCTTGGGATAAAGTATGAAGTTATTTAAGTATTTCCTATTTACCTGATCATCCCATTGAATTTCCCTTCTAAAATGATACATGATATCATCCTCTCCTCGGAATTTTGAATACCCACCCGGGACCTGGAATTTCAACACCTCAATCAATGATCATACAACAATCTAGAATCCAATCCCCAATGACGATATACCCCAAGATTTCCGCTTCCTGGAGGATCTTCGTAGGATCTGACCCGATGGATTGGTAACCAGATTGCTGGGTCGGCGGCTACCAAATCTGTATCTCCACAACTTTTTATATGAATTTTCATGTCTTAGTTTTACACTAAGTCATCTCTGCTTTGGTAGCACATGCATCTCTTTGCATTATAAAACTTAAATCTTGACTCTATCTCTTCGAGTCCCGGTACGTCAAAATTCAGAAACCCATCGTTTTGCACTACCATGAGTACTTTGCCGCAGCGGTCAATCTCTCGCGACCTCGCTTATCCTATGAACTCAACATGTTTTGTTCTTCTGAAACAAACAAAAGTCCATGGAACTCGACCGCTCAGCCTTCCTGAGGCGCTAAGAAGTAGCCGGGTACGGGGTTCTTGGGTATCGGATACGTGTCCCTGGGATTGGATAAAGGCACTTGGAGAAGTTGGTTATGGGATTTGTTAGCGGCGATGAGAAGGGTTTGGGTTTGAAAAATGGACACTGGACGTGCCGTAAGACGGGTGGTGGTATTGTGTTGGGTCAACTAACTTCTTCGTGATCCTTTGAATATTGGCCTGTGTATATAGATGAGGAGTATCTCTTGGTTCTTCTGCATTCATTTCGTCCTCTTCTTCTTGAGAAATAGACGTCTGTTCACTCCTTAACTACCCAGTCGCTCTTTTTGAATCTGAAAATTCGTCTTCTTTGAATTGTTATCTCAGCCTCTCAAACTCTCGAACTCTCAAACCTTCCCTACCACTTCGTTTTCCTCAAAAATCAACAAAATGTGCTGCTGTTTCGGATCCCGCGGGGAACACGTCGAGCCCGTCAAGAAAATCCCACAGCACGAATTCGATGAAAAGAAAAAAATGTACGCATCTAACAGTCATCGAGTAACCGTCCCTGCTAGCCTGGATCATTATAGAAATCGTTCGAGAAGCAGCAGCAATTCTGGGCGAAACGGATATCCAAATCGACCATCGCAAATCGGGCATAGTAATGGTGGATATGGCAGTGGTAGTAGCAGAGACTCGAGGGATTATCATGATAGAGATACTACTCATGGATATGGTCACGGAGTACGCCCGCCACCATCATTGGGGACTAGAGCGCTGGGGAGTGGATTGGATACATCGCGGGTCAGTGACTACCGGAGATGAATAGAACATGTTTGAGTAGTAGGGGATTCTCCATTTGTCTTTGCGAGAGGAGAGAAGAAGTCAAGAAGACATGTTCAGAGAAGAAGATACGATGCTGGATATCGATCTGCGATACTTCCATTCAAATCTTCGAGCCTCTCGGGAAGAAGTCACCACACCATCCACCCCTTGACTCCAAAGTATGGACACATCTGCAACACTGTCACCCACGAGCTGGAAACTCAGAAAGATATCAAGAATGAGAGAAAGAAAACCGCTTTGAGTGATGTCCGCATCAAGGATTATTTGGAGAATATGTATGTTAACTCCGCTTCTTACAATTTGTTTCATGGGAGACGATTGGAAATTTTGACGTACCATTTAGGAGATTGATAATATGAAGTAGGAAAGTTAGAGGGAAGGAATATTTTGTAATCAACCTTGTGAGCTTTTTTTTTTGCGTGATGATATATTTGCACTGAAGTCCTCGGATCAGCTTTTTAGGATTGAGGACGAAAGTTCGCAAGATTTGAGATGTTGATGAAACTTTCTTCAACTCTAAAGAAAAGATAGTTGTTGAAAGGAAGGCATTTGAGAGAAACATCAGATCTCACAAATCAATTACCCTCAATTCTTGAACAACAGCGTTTTATATAATATATAATTTTTTGACTAGCCCACCTTTCCGTTACTAGTACTACTTCTAAGTCTACCCGAACCCTTCTTTCTTCCTCCATCTAAACCATACAATCCACCTGCAAAAAATACCAAAAACGCACCCACCAAGGTCCCAGGACTAAGTCTATTTCCAAACAACCAAATACTCAATAATAAACTAGCTAATTTCCTCACATTCAACACAATCGTGACCGTAAGTGCAGAAGATGCAGCGGCAAGTAAGTTAACTCCGCGTATGCATGCATATTGCGTGAGCACGTTCATAGCAAGAAAGACGAGTTGGCTTGGTAGATAAATTTGTGAGAACTTGGAGACGAGGTCGGAGGGGAGCGTTTGGACATCAAGGAAGGGAAGGCTAAGCGGTGCGGAGGAGGCAAGCCTGAGAAATTGGCGATACATGGAGGGGAAGAAAGGAGCGAAAAGTGGCAGTGCGAGAATATGCGAGTAGAAGAGGTTTTCTTTCCAGTGGGGTCCGTATTCTTTGTAGGTTTCTTCCGTGTAAAGACCCATTATTGCGGAGAGCACTTGGGCAATAAAGAGGATAACGAGACCTGTGTTGAAAGAGGGTATGTCTGCGTCTACTTTTCCGTCCTGCGAGGGGATTGTTAGTGAGCTTCGAGGGTATGAGAAGCGTGATAATACCTTAGACTGCGCATCGAACATAGCTGCTGTGACCACTCCAATTGTCAAAAGAATGACAGCTATAATTTGTATTCTAGAGAATCGCTTCCCCCATAGATATCCCGCAGCCAAGGTTGTAATACTACCGCCAGATCGCAAGATGATGTGCATAGGCACTGATATATTATATCCGAATGCATGATTGTTCATGACATTGATTGTAAAGAATAAAACAATATTGATAATCCATCGACGTATAGGGACACGATTTGGTGTGAGGAAGAGCGGGGGTCGACTTCGATCGAATTGGGAGATGTAGCTGGTCACAGCTACAAAGATGAATTGAACAAATGTCATAAGAGTTCCTTCAGAAAATTAGAATGGCATTCGATGAGGTGGTGCATGGAGGGGATGTACCGCTATCTTTCTCGACTCTGTTTTAATCACTGTCAGCGGGGTACTCGAAACAATATAACGTCAAAAGCAAGGGAGTCAAAACTTACTTGACAATGGCTTCCAAAGCGAAAACCTAAGTATGCAATGAGCTCCTCATCCTTTCCAATTTTCTAAACGTGTAGGAGCACTCACATTTGAGCAACATCCTCCGAAAATCAACCCAAGCATAGCACCCACTGCCAGCCATTGCGGAATTGTTTCAATAAACATGCGCCCCGCCATTGCAAGCAATTTTGAGGACGTAGATCTTTTATCATTAATTCCATACATTTCGGCCTTTTCCAATGATGGTGCAGCATTAATAACCTTTGGGGCTACGACATCTCCATCGGCATTCGAAGCTTGCAAATCTCGAAGGGTGGAACGACGCCGTTGGGCCGGCATAGATGCTTGCTGCTGGCTGCTAGCAGAATCAGCTCTGCGTCTTCGAGCCATTCATAAATACGCCTTTCTGACTAACTGAATGCGATCAGGGGGAGGCGTTTCCGTGTTGGATTCTAAGAATGGAGGATTTTTGAATGTGATGTTCCAGAATTTTAGGTACCGATGTGACTGAAAGCGGTACGGTGGAATATGATACAAAACTGGATAGTGGCTCAGCAACAATGCAGTTGGCATCAAAAAGAAGAAAACAATTTTAAGAAGATGTTGGAATCTGACACGTAGAATAGAGGCACACTACTGTATTTTTATTTGCTTTTGATAATCCCCCAATTGCAGGTGCGCTCTGCAAGGATAAGTAGGTAGGTACTCCGTCGATTCTAGCTTTCAGGTTTTTTTCCCTATGTGCTGTCTAGGTAGTTGAATATTTTGTGGAGGTAAGAGCTCAAGACATTTATGCTAAGTAAACAACATTATAATCCCTATTATAATCCCTAGACTGGTATAGCTGAAAGAAGTAGTAAAGGACAACGTGGAAGTAGCTACCCTGAGTACCTTCAGCTGAGGTAGTAGCAGTTTAGCATGGTTGTTCTGGAATCTAGAGCAAATATACCCCATAAATAGTATCATGGTCCCTGTAAGTCCCCTGAAATTGGCGTCTAATTTTCAGCGATTGCCGAATAACCCCGGTAATAGCTTAATAAGGTTATTTAAAGCTCTTCAAGCTTAAGTACTGTTGAAGAATAATTGTAAAGTATTTTCATGTGCATAGGTGGTTAGATACAATCCCCTCGAGATTCTTATTCCACTGACATTTAACTAGCTGCAGCGGAAAATGGATGGAAGTCCATTCACAGTATATATACCTATCTAGCTGTATGCTGGGGATAAATGGAAATGCAAATTCTCCTCCTCCTACAGTTCAAAAGATCTTTGAAGAGAGTAACATTTCATCTATGAAGCTATTTCTGGTAGTTAGCGCCCAGTGAGCTAACAAAATTTGCATTATTATTTTGATACTTCGGGGGTTCTTCCTGATCAGGAGCAAGTGCGGCTAGTGCTACAACCTACGAATGTCACCATCTTCCATGAGCAGTCCCCAATACTCCCTCAAATATTGGAGCACTTCTTTCATCCATCAATGATCGAATGATCGAATGATCGAATGGGCTGACCTCAATGATTCCGAGAAAGTCTTCCCTTCCACAGCTTCAGACCATGTAATCAAGTGATGTTCAAAACTGCTCAAATATGGTTATCAACACCTCAAGATATCTGCAATATTTTCACACTCAATCTACCAAAAAACTCCGTATAAACCAACAAAATTTCATACAACACTTTTCCAAAAAAAACAACAAAGACAACCTGAAAGAAACCCCCTAAAATCTAACCGAAAATCACCTCAATTGAAACCCCTCTCTAAAGACATACCCATCCAGATACCAAAATCACACCACAAAACCATCATAAACATCACCCAAACACTTCAATCAAAGCCGTCCCTTTCTATCAACAATACTATAGTCCTTCCACAAATTAACCCCCACATTACCCACACCATCTCCCTTAATTCTCGAAGCGATGATTTGTTTCCGTGCTAGCCATTCTTCCCTGGACTCAGCGCTCCCTCTGCGGAGTAAATATGTACCATCATCATCCTCTTCGATGTTATTATCTGCATTTTTCAAAAGAGAACCATGCTCTTCGATAGAAGATGTTCGACGAGTGTGGGTATGGAAGTGGGAAAAGGGATTGGAATGGATGTGAAAGTGCTTGTGGGATTTAGTGGAGGAATTAGAAGAAGCAGGTTGGGAAGTGGAAGTGGAAGTGGATGTAGATGTGGAGGCTGGAGAGGAGACGGAGTGGTGCGATGATGAATTGCCCATTGTATTTTCTTTGTATGAGTTACGCTTCTGTGAATTGGATCAATAAATTCGAAGTAGATAGATATTATTCAAATACCCAGACAAAAATATCAACCAAAATACAGAAAGAAAAACAAGCATGCGCAACCTCTCCATTCCATCCCCAATATATCCCTCCCAAAACCTATACGTCCCCATCAAACCCCAACATCTGCATACATCACCAGCCATCCCAACACCCTCAAACAACATCAAGTTCCTCCCTCGCAACGCCCTCGTCCGGGTCTTCAGCCCTACAACCATCTTTTCACAACCACAACATCGCCAATGACCCATCTCTTATCACGCATGAATACTAAATTGTAGGGCTACAAGCGACCGTGGTTATATGAAGTTGGTCCGTAGGCGCGCGACTACCTGGTTGCACGAACGTCCCGAGCATGGTAGGAAGAGAGACCTGGCCGGTTGAGGGATCGCTCCAACACCTTTCTTCGATCGATAAGTACGATTTATACAATAGAGGCGGTGCAGATTTTCGGGGGAAAATTGGAGAGTAATGATATCATGCGAGTGTTCATCTGCGTAGCATCGAGCGAACTCGGTAGCTGTAGTGAAGGATTTACTTCTTGCGGTCTACGTGGTGTCTTCACACCATATACTTCTTTTCTCTTACTTGTGATCGATTTTCCAGATATAAATCTTTTTACATGGCATTTCTCTTTTCTTTCTCTTTTCTGATATTTGAAATAATAATGATAATCTTCTTCCTCTCCTCATTCCTAAAACTCAGACTGAACACTGAAGAAGACGATGACGAATTTGAAGAATGCCTTCTCGGGCATATCATTAATCAAACAATCTTTGCGCGAAAGCAAAAAAGAACTGGTAAATTGTAGTTTTGAAACATGTATATTATGCTCGGATTATAAACCTATACTCAACACGTGCGCATTTGTAGGTTATCCGATATGCTAAAAAGAGCCGTGGGTATAATGTTCCTTTTGAGCGATGAGGTCGCTACTCATTGATCTATTACACAGCGACGTCGCCAACTATCTCGAGGCTTCTTTGCCTTCGCTCCTGAGAAAGCCCTAGAGTGTCTACTACACCATGTTGCGCATGGAGACCTAACACCGAGAGAGTTTAGGGCCTACATGATGAAGTCTGCCGAGATCTGATCATCATACCGTTTCGTAGAAGCTCCCAGCCATAACGATGTCTAATGAACCCATCCAACGCCCGTGTACTCCCGAAGCATCGCTCTAATTCCGATACCAAGTTTATAGTCGTACCTATTACTCAGATCCTCCCGCAGTCATCGTCAACATTGCTGCTCCCAGAAGAACCCACCAATACCTGAAGTTCACATTATTAGTACATCTATCCATCCATCCAATTGGCCCCTTCGCAAAACCCAACAACAAAGAAGGACTCACTTCTGCAAAAACGACTTCTCAGGCACCTCCTTCTCCAGCTTTCCCTCCTTGCTCAAAACAACCTTAGGACCCAAAACTGGTTCCTTCCCCTCAACCATCCGTCTAATCTCCACTTTCGGCGCAAAGTCCCTCGTAGCACCCGCATCTATAACACCACTCTTAATCGTAACCCCCAACACCGCACCCTGCGAATCCAACGTCAAAAGAATAGTCGGTCTGTAACCCTTTTCGAAATTCGACAACGAGAGAAGAGAAGTGGAGCTTTTGAAGACAGAGGTGGCAGGATCGAATATGCCTATGCGAGCGAGATTTTCACTCGGGTTACGGGAGTCCGGTTCTGGAGATGAGGATATCTCGGGAAGAAGATCGGTAGGAGGATCGTAGGATGAGAGGGAGGCGGAGAGGGTAGAGGGGTTGTAGGATATACTTGCTAGCGGGTATGCGGAGGCGGAGAGGAGGGGTTGGATGTAAATTGTTGCTGTATCAGTTTGGTCTGTGATTGCAGCGGTCAAAGGGAGGAAGTGTGCGCAGAGCGCGAGGAGGAGAGTGGCGGGCTTCATGATGGTGGTTGGGTTATCGGATTGGATTGTTGGAGCGAAGCTGGAGATTTGAGATGAGAGCTTCGTGGAGCTATTGTCTGGGGAAGGCTGTGATTACGTAAGATGATAAGCGCGAATGTTCGAGATTCCATGCTGTGGATCAATTTCAACATTAGATGTATGGATTGTACGACACAATGTACGACGTTGAGAATTCATTCAGTTACGGCCTCGATTCAAGAAATTTGATATTTGCCTATAATGTTCCCAGACCATTTCGTGTTTCTTCTTTACCAATTCGACATAACAAGACTGTTTGCCTGCAAAAGCAACAGCTTTTCATAAGATTTGGCAAATAATGCCATTTGCATTTCAACTTGAGTATATACATGATTCCCTCATAAACAGACAAAACCGAGGCACCCCTTGATCTATTTATCAATGCCGTGTAAAAATACTCCTACCCAACGCCATAAAACCAAAGAATCAAGGCGAAAGAGAAAGGGGTATTATAAAACGCAATCAGGGTCCTTCTGACCGCGAAGACTCTTCATGTCCAGACTCTGCCTTATGATTTGGGGCATCTGACTCCTTCGTGTTACTCATATCTGCGTCAACTCCAACCTCGGCTTGCTCGGGGGTATCAGGCTCGTCGCTTTCTTCATCGTCATCTTCTAATTCATCAGAGTCATCCGTCGTATCTCCTTCCATTTTATAACGCTCGTTTCGCTCAATTAACCCTTTGTAATAATCGGTCAACATTTCTGGCTTTGGGATTATTTTCCAATCAACACGGTGTAGAAATTCAAGCTCCAGTAATCCTAACTCTGCCAGTTTGACACCACCAACTCTCGCATACGTAGAATTGTTCCAGAAAATGTCTGAAAGTCCTTTTGAGGCTACCGTCGCTGCTGTGATCAAAAATCGATGAACAGTCAATGTTGTAATTGTAAATGCAGGGTATGATGCGCAAAGTTGATCAATATAATAAACCATAGAAAGTAAAAGAGGAGGTTTCAGGGTTGCATGCTTTGCAAGCCGCGCCAGATAATCAAGAACAGAAATCCCAGGAGGTGATCTAGAACTCATTAGTAAAGAGGCATCCTAATGCAATATGAATATACATACCTAGAATGAAAGCGTGTTAATACCCCGCCTTGGGGAGGAAGAGCGTCATTTCTTTGAATCAATTCCGCGATCATACTAGCTATAAGAATGACCATATCCTCTTCCTCACAGTGCTCATACTGTCGAGGCAAAATCTTCACGGACGTTTGAGGTTTTACTCTCTTCGAGAGAGACTCCTTTTTACTGGAAGTATTCGCATCTTCAATTGCCGATTGGCGTCTCTTCATGCTTGGTGATTCCGGTTGTATTGGCGGGTTTATATTTCGTAATACATTGACGTTGGGTTGCTCTGGCGCAATGGTGGGTTCTGGAGGAGGATCTTCTACTTTCACTTCCGCGGACGGCGATGCTCCATCTGCCATCCTAGAAGGCATCATGGGAGGACTCCACTGCGTAGATGCATCAACATAGACCCATTTCTTTGGTTGCGACTGGGGTGTCGATTGCTGTTGTGGTTGTGGTTGTGATTGTGGCGAGGGAGAAGGTTTGTTTGCAGCCGATGTTCTGCGCGACAGTGAGGGTCGTGTCGCAGTAGGTGCATAGTGATAGAGAGTAGGAGAAGCTTGGGATCTGCTCAGTGATGGCGACTTCAACATATTCCTTTTTCAAACTGAATCATGATCAGTGCCTTCCGACTCTGGTCTAAATTGGCGGAGTGGAGTTGAGTGAGTGGGTAAGAACGATGGAGTGGGGTTATGATAGGGCGTGGTGTCAGAAATAGCTGCGATTCGATACTTTTGATGAACGTGGAAGGACCCAAGAGAGAAAAGTAGAAATGTACAGTCTCATAAGGTTTTGTGTATACCGACTTTGCGATGTATCTGTATCTAGCAAGGAGGATGTCAAGGGCCAAAAGAAGCAAAGGAGCAAAAGAAATAGTCAATAAAGAGAAAGAAAAGTGTTGACCGGAAAACTCTGCTCGAGAATGATTCCGGGTAATTTTTAAGTACCGTACCTGAATATGTGTGTGATAGATAGTAGGTGACGATGACTCGTGGTACAATAATGCCTTCTTCTCTTTCTCTTCCTATCGAGTATTTGGTATTTAATCTATCTGATCATTTTATATCATTTTCGTTATCTTATGTGAATGTTCCGTAAGATGCCTTGGACTACCTGCCACTACCACTACCTCCCTACCTCCCTACCTCCCTACCTCCCTACCTCCGATCCATGTGAAGAATTCCAATCCAATCCCACGCTTGAGGTCAACCCCAGACTCCAGAGTAGCGCGTCATCCATCAGTAATAGCAAAGAAAGGGTGTTCGGTTCAGAACATGGAACATGTCTCCTAGGCGATCTACCTGTCTTGTTCACCGTACCTACCAAGGTCTCTCCATATTGTAATAATTATTGTACATGCCGGATTCTTCTTCAAGCGATTGATTGTGCTGTTTTTCGATATTTGTCTTTCAACAATTGCATTGTTGTTATTGTTGTTGTTAACGACTTCTTTGTAGAGAAGGTAGGTATTGTGCGAGATACAACTCATTCGTCATTAACCTTAGTTCTAATGGAACCTTATCCTTATTAACAAATTCCCTATCCTATCTGCGTACAACATTCAAACATTCTTCTATCCAACCTACTGCTAATAAATCGACCACGAATCACACCATCTTACCTGTCGAACACAAATCAATTCAAAAATATTTCTTGCTACGTCTAATAACTTCCTTCGTCATCGGGTGCTATTTCGAGATAGTTTTCCCTACATTCACAGGTTTGAAAGTACGATATGGCTAGAAGTTTAGCCACACAAGGATGGCCGCTCTTGATTCGAAATGCCAGGTCTACCTCGGAGCAGATCGCCAACTTGAAAGGCCTTAAGAATGAAATCGTTGGACATGCTTTAAAGAAAGAAATGGTTGTAACCATGGGCCTTGTGGAACCTGTCGTACGCCTATGTTTCAATAAGTCGGTTCCCAAAAATCAGGACGGAAAGGCACACGACCATAGTTATGCGATCCGACCATCACAAGAAGAGGAGGAGGAAATGCTTCGACTGCAAGCTCTTCAAGTCTTAGGAAGCCTTGCATATGGTTAGCAGATTTACTATACTCATTGTACCTTTCATTAACATAAACTAGGTGGTCCAGCTTTCCTTGCGCCATTACACTATGGCTCTGCGCTCCCAGCTATCCTATCGAACTTTTGCCCATCGAATAACCCACCACAAACAGTTCTCGCAGCACTTCGGGCCTTAACCAATCTTGCAGAATCTGCAATGCTTGCCACAAGTGCACATCCTATCACCATCAAATCTCTGGCAGCAGCGTTATTTACACGCCCGCATCTTGCCTCGCTAACCCGCATCATTTCCCAAACATCATCATCACACATTATACAAAATCAGATCTCGTTGGCGGCATCACTTATAGCTCGAATATGCTTGCAGGAGTCTCACCAACAAAGTCTAGCAACCTCCGGCGTTCTGGATGCTTTGGCTGTGAAATTAGCCAGCTTTGTTGTGGCTCAGGGACTGGTTATTCCAGGTGCAGATATTATTGCGCATAGGGACGGACTACTGGAATACTTCCCCCAAGCTTCGCCCTCAAACGTCAGTTTTCCGGCAATTTTAGAGGCTCTAGCTAGTATTGTAGCCGAATCCAAGTTGAGAGCTTCACAACTACTTTATCACCCATCAATTATGGCCGTATTCCCATCGATTCCAGCAGGGGAGGAACCGGTCCCGCAACACTCGAGGGCTGCTTGGAATACGTTCAATACAGCATGTTTAGGCTCAAAGCAAGGCCAATTGAATGCTATTGATTACCTACTCCCGATCATTCCACAACATCCAATTAAGAGCGCACAGGCTTCCGCATTTCCGCCACTTGGTTCATCAAGCTCTCGGGAACCTCCCAATGGTCGTGGAAAGTCTAGTTCTGCCTCCACATGGGGCGGCGCCCCGGATCGCAATGGTTCGCCACCGGAAAGTCAAGTGGTTCCAGATGAATCTGAAACCCCCATGGTTGCATACTTGATATTTATCATGAGGTCACGACAAGGCAAGGAGAGACTTATGGCTGCATATCTGCTAACAGTTCTGTTTCGAGCTGGTCTTATCAACAAAGTCCGAGAACCGACATTAGCTTTGTTAGTCGTGCCGCTTCTTGTGCAGATGTTGAATGAACAGTCCACTCCAGTGAGGTCTAAGGATGCTTCTCATGATCATGAAACGTTGAGAATTGAGTGGTCAATCACAGAAATGGCTCCACGAATATTATCCTTACTGATTACGGATAGCGAACATCTCCAAAAGGCCACTTTTCAAAACAAAGCAATGCCCAAGCTATCTAAATTGATAAAATTGGCTTATGAGCCTGTACCAGACAGTGAAAATGCCCAATTCTGGTCACCTATTCAGTCGAATGAGACCGAGGATTATGTGGAACAAACCCCATCCTCACGTCTTGGCGATGCTGGTCAATCTGCTCTCCTTGTCCACAAAATAAAAGTAAGAGAAAGCGTGTTGAGAGCTATAGCCTCTCTTGTTCCTTTCAAAGAAGAACACCGAAAGTCCGTCGTGGATAATGGTATCATTCCTTATATTGTCGAATCGCTAAACCCTAGCCCCCAAAAACCATCAACCAAAGTCAATGATAAAGGTGACAAAACAGAAAAGAAACCCGAATCAGGCGACGTTGAGGGTAAGCAGGATGGTTACGGGATCAACCACGTGGGCGTCCTTATCGCTGCTTGTACCGCTACCCGCGCCTTGGCAAGATCGGTCTGTATACTTCGGACTACCTTGATTGATAATGGGGTGGTTGCACCAATTTTTCCCCTTCTCACTCACTCAGATGTCGAAGTCCAGATTGCCGCTACAGCTGCAGTCTGCAATCTTTTGACTGACGTTGCCCCAATGAGAGAGGTTTGTACACATCCGATGCTATTATTACTTCGTTACTAATCTATTCGCAGAGTTTCATGGAATGTGGGGTACTTAGGATCCTTTGTGAACAGGCGCACTCGACCAACGCAAAGCTTCGTCTGAATGCTACCTGGGCACTCAAACACTTTGTTTGTGGTGTCGGCAATGAGGCCAAAAGAAAGTGTTTAGAGGAGTTAGGTTCTGGGTGGTTAGACCACCTCATTTGTAACGATACAGAAGATGAAGCACTTCTCAAAGAAAGCAGTTATAGCACAGCCTCTGGGCATGATGATGCTATGGACGAAGATGTGGAGATGAGTCAGTTTGAAACACCAATGAATGGCTCATTCCCAGCCCATAGCAACTCCAGATCTAGTAGTAGCAATCGCAGCAAAAGCTTACAGCAAGCAGAAGCTAAACTTGCAGCTCTAAGGGAAGCTGAACTAAACCCTGCTAAAAAGGCCAGAAAAGACGATCTTGCTGTTCAAGAACAAGGTCTGGATTTCATACGAAATTTGATTTCAAGTGCAGGATCAGGTCATGGTGGCACTGCAGAAAATACTGAGATGATTGACTTTCTTTTCAATTCTTTGGGTCAAGATCGAGTTTTCGATATTCTGGCATCCAAGCTTCGACCAAAGATCATCAATATTCCCTCCAACGCTAATCGCCGAGATTCTAATGCACAAGAAAAGAAAGTCATCACCCCCCAACCAGAGATTATTGTCGCTGTCGTTTATATTCTTGTTCATATGGCCGCCAGCATCCCTCAGCATCGTCAAATCGTCATCGCCCAAACTGAACTCCTTAAACTTCTCGTTCCTCACTTCACTAACAAAGCTTACGAAGTACGCGTCGCTTTGTGCTTTTTGGTCTCTAACCTTACCTGGGTAGATGATTCGAATGATGGACCTGCTTGCGCACAACGCGTACATAACTTGAAACAACTTGGTATCCTCGAAAAAATTGAAAATCTGGAACATGATCCAGAATTGGATGTGAGAGAAAGAGCTAAAGTTGCTCTTTGGCAGATGAAAGCTCCAGTTTTCAGCTGATTGACTGAAAATGTTTTAGACATGTGTATATGGGGAATGGGTATTCGGGGTTTTTATAGCATAGGCGTTTGGAATGGGAATTATAAACCTGTGCATTTATGAATGGATGGCATCGGTTATGGAGCGTTTGTATTATCACGCTGGGATATGAATTCAAGGGAAGGGGAAGCAAATCATCAATGGGTTGTTGATAAGGTATCGAAATATTTTCAGGTTGGACTTGATCGAGAAAAATACGTCGGTTTGGTGAAATAGGACTTAAATTCAGAATTTTCTAGTCGAACTACCTCAGTAGGTATAAAACAATGACATCTGATGCAATGCTTTCTACTTGATGATTTGCGGATGTTAGAATAACTTGTAAGAGGTAGAGAGAATTGACAGCAGGGAGATATGGTAAACCTTATCTCAGGATCTCGATACGTGCCCTTTTGAAGAATGATACGTTGAGATAATGGGGTAGGAAGAGCATCTCGGGGTTTTACTCCATCGAATAAGTTCGACGAAGTAGGCTCGCGTGGCTCGTAGGTAATGATGTAGGTCGGATCACGTGCAAAACAAGCTTGGTGAATTTTTTTACCGACCCACAGAGTCCTTTTCTGCACAAACATGCAACCTAGTAAATATCTTGAGCTAATGATTCACAGACAAGAGTAACTGAGGCTTAACAATTAATAATTTATACAAGACGAGTGTCAAGTTACCTGGAACTGTAAAATGAATAAAGCACTCACTAAAAACAAGGCCGAGGCTTTGGCTAGTACATCAAGTGGTCTTGTTCCTCTTAAGACTACATTGGAAACGAGGGCTCGATATTCATTACTCAGTGTTTACATTACCAGCGTTCCAGCGAAAAAAGCTAGTGGTGTTCTTAAGTAAGTGTCAAACCTCATTTTTATTGAACTATGCACGTACTCATATTTTCTCAGTTTAACGAGGAAACTCTTTCCTGAAGATGGTGGTTATGATCTACAGCACATCAGGAGATTCGCGAAACATACGGACGTTCCAGGTCACGTTCGCACTTCTATGCTAGAAGCAAGAGCAGAGAGCGATGACCCAGCTGACATTGAATCTCCTGAGCTTTTTCTTCTTGTGGGAGCTGCAAATCTCATCAGCTCGGAAGAATTACGTAGTGCTCTTTCTCCAATTCTAGATCCAGCAACCATTTGTTCCATCAAGGTACCTTTATTAGCCCCAACATCGCAGGAACAAGCGAAGTCTTGGTCGTCTCAATACTGGCCGATAGTATATAAGAAAAGTAATCCGTTTGGTCCCCATCCAGCAATTGTATCTAGAGCAGAAGAAGAAGTACAAGGAGAAGTCGAGAAGTACATGGACTTAGCGGCTGAAGTAGCTCGTTCTTCAAGCACGGCAGGTATTGGAGAGGAAATCGGTGCTGTAGTTGTCGAGCGAAAAAACGGAGCTGCACGCATACTTGCGGTTGCTGGCGACGCGCGATGGATAAAATGGCCACGGGTTGGGACTGGTAATGTTACAGCGCATGCGGCGCTTCGAGTTATTGCAATGGTAGCAGATGGAATAAAAGTTCAAGAAGAACGCAAAGCTGGCAAAGAGTCAGAGGCAAAGAATACTTCAGAACAAAAATCAATTTTCCGAGATCAAGCATTGGACACCCTGGAAACAAAGCACCACAGCTCGGCTGAGTGGATCGACGGATATCTTTGCCATGAGTTGGAGCTTTACATAACACATGAGCCGTGTGTTATGTGCTCCATGGCTATCGTACATTCTCGCTTTGGACGGGTAATATTTGGGCAACGTATGCCAAAGACTGGTGGTCTCTGTGCAGACAGCGAACTCGGTCACGGACTATTCTGGCGTAAGGAACTGAACTGGTCGTTGCTAGCGTGGCAGTGGATATCTGGCGAAGAAGATACCAAAACATCCAAAGAGTCACAAAGCCCAGTGTCTCATCTTGGTATACACGCCTGATGTTCCGAAGAGGCTGCAAGAAAATGCCTTCTAAGCCCCCACGATCATCCGGACTTGAGCGTTAAAACACGACTCTGTCGGTAGTGGTTATTGATACCTAATATTTTGATTGGCAGTATAGCTTGAAGTCACTACTATGGTTGCAATGGTAAGCGACGGTTAAATCGGCACAGATGTCCCAGCTGGTTTGCAAAGATTCAAACTTACCAAATTCGAAAGCGCCAAGAGAGTTGAACATTTCAATATCACACTGCTTCAAATTGTTGGCTGCCCAAATTCAGCTAAAGTCTGAACGCAATAATGGCAGGGCAGATTACACGAGTAAAAAGGGAAAGTACTCTTGTATTTGAAGATTTTCAGTTGTCATAGATCGTCCTGTCTAAAGATCTCTTGGAAGAACGTGCTCCATGCCGAGCTCCCTTTTCATCGACTCCTAAACTTCGAGAATCCTTCTATAGAACTACGCCATCGCTTCTAGCATCCCGATTTAAATGCTTATCAATGCCAAGAATGCCTTGGGTCTGCAATACAGTGGCGCAGATGGCTCACAGCTAACACAAAGTAATTTCATATCTTATTTATTGTTATCTTGGGAATAGATCAAGATTGAGCAGTCCATTCGGCCCATAACGATACAAAACGGCGGGTCTATACTTCCTTATAGACGGCAACATCGCTGTTGCCTCGTATGCTACAGTATATGCTACATTATTAGGCTACACAGAAATCAAACCAATTTATCAATCAAATCTAAAACTGACTCGAAGTCTGATACGATGTCGTTGCTGGTAACACTACGAGTCCATTAAGCGAATCAATACAACCGCCCATGCTCGCGATACATTTGATAAATAGCACCCTGTAATACGTATTACAGGGCTTGATTGGGGAGGTTTGAGCAACCTTGTATCAACCTCTGAACCGGAAACGTGCTAGATCTATAACGTATGATTTGTCGTATTTTTAATTCTTCAATATCAGCCTCGTCGGCTGTAGCCATCATATGCAACACACTCTTCGTCACTCGTGAAGCCCGTTTCCACATCATAATCTGCAATTCGTTGATGTGAAAACATGTTTGGTACAACCACATTCACCACGCCGCAAATTGGACGGGAACCTGCCATATTCAGTGATTCCCACCTTGAGTAAGATTGTGAGATACGAATCAGTCACCAATTGAATGTTACCCAGTGGCTTGGCTGGCGCATTCATTCACTGCTTGATAAAGCTGACTGCCCTCGTGGGTATTTCACAATGCACCTCTGTTTCAAATCTCTTGAAGATTAGAAGTGATATAAGACAAGCATAAAGTTCAGAACTCTCTAGTACTTCAAAGCCATCTAACAATGGCGAGCACAGAGCCCTCAAGAGAAGCCGCGCTTCATCCATCAGCCCCCGCTGCACTTCATACAACATCCGGTGGAAACGCCGTTTGGCACAATTTCAACAATGATTTTGCTCACATCCAAGACCCCAATGAGAGGCGAAGACTTGCTCTAGCTGAAATCGATCGCGCTCCCTTCGGATGGTACCATGTTCGTGCGTGTGTTGTTGCCGGCATTGGTTTCTTTACCGATTCTTATGATATCTTTGCTGTTGGACTCCTCACCACTATGCTTGGAATAGTTTATTTTCCGCATAATAAAGGAGTCATGCCAACTAGTTCCGACACGGCAATCAAGGTCTCGACTAGTGCGGGAACGGTGGTTGGTCAATTTGGATTTGGCATCTTGGCGGATATTGTGGGACGTAAGAAGATGGTATGTGGTTTGATGATGGGTCAAGCCTCAACGCTTACACGTAGTCGCAGTATGGACTTGAGCTGATCATTATCATTTTTGCTACATGTGAGTACGGATGGCTCGTTAACTTTTTTGTTTCAACTTTGCACTTCTGTCGCTCAATTTTACCCTCCACTCGAGTGTTTCGCTCTTTGTGCTCTTCCTCTCCATGCGGCAATAATACTTCATTTTCCTCATTTTCCTCATTTCCTGTTGAATTCTGTACTTGGTGAGGATTACTGACCCTCCAATCTTACAGTGGCACAATCTCTAACTTCGAGTTCTCCGGCTGTGAACATCGTGGGGGTAATAATCTTCTGGCGTGTTCTTATGGGTATCGGTAAGTTAAGCTCATGATCTTGCTCTCCTCAATTAAATATGAATGAAATAAACTAACCCAATTGATAGGAATTGGTGGTGATTACCCACTCTCATCTATCATCACATCAGAGTAAGCCCCTTTTCTATCAGCTATCAAATCTCGGGTTCTGAAGTTGTGGAATCCATTCTGCTCATTGGTGAAAGACTGGCCGAATCATCATTGCATCATCGCAAAAAGCTCCGAGTAGTTATTAAACTTCCCTGAAACTTGCCGTCGTGGAAAATTCTCATTCAAAACCGAGTAAGGTCTAACAAGCACATAGATTCGCTACCACCAAATGGCGTGGAGCAATGATGGGTGCAGTCTTCGCCATGCAAGGAATCGGCCAATTCGTCGCCGGTCTCGTCATGCTAATCCTAGTCGCCGGATTCAAAGAATCTCTCCTCACCGCCAAATCCGCCGCAGTATGTCAAGGTGTATGCGGCTTGGCAGTTGATAAAATGTGGAGAGTACTTATTGGATTTGGCGCGGTTCCAGGTAAACATACTCCTGATTTTAGCGAAAATAAGTTGTCGGTCGAAGTATCCACTAATACCCGCTACGCTAGCTTGTGTGGCACTCTACTACCGACTGACGATCCCCGAAACACCTCGCTATACATTCGACGTTGCACGCGATGTGGAACAAGCACAACTAGATGTCGAAGCATATATAGCCGGTAAAGCGGAAGGTCATCCCGACGAAATAGCGCGAGTCCAAGGACTCCAAGCCGGCAAGTCTCAAATGAAAATCCCCAAAGCTAGTTGGAGTGATTTTGTCGCTTATTATTCGCAATGGAAAAACGGAAAAATCCTCTTCGGTACAGCTGGTTCTTGGTTTTTGCTCGATGTGGCTTGGTATGGATTATCGTTGAATAATCCTGTTATATTGACTGCGATCGGTTATTCAACGGGTCCGACAGTCTACAAGACCCTATTGAATACAGCGATTGGCAATCTGATTATTGTGTGTGCCGGTGCGATCCCAGGGTATTGGGTTACGGTTGCAACAGTTGACACGATTGGACGGAAACCAATTCAACTTATGGGATTTATTGTCCTTACGATTATTTTCATCGGGATGGGTTTCGGATACCATAAGCTTTCGGGTCATGGGTTACTGGGTCTCTACGTTGTTGCTCAATTCTTCTTCAACTTTGGTAAGTGCTCTCTTTTCTCCCCTCTTCCCTTTCCCTCCCTCTGCAACCCTGGAACCCCCAAAATGCCAATCCCACAACTAATCATCCCCCTAGGACCCAACACAACAACCTTCATCGTGCCCGGCGAATGTTTCCCCACCCGCTACCGCAGTACCTCTCACGGTTTCAGCGCTGGCATGGGCAAGATTGGTTCTATCATAGGCCAAGCGGCCATTGCACCCCTGCGTGTGCGAGGCGCAACTGCAAAATCTGCAAGTCCGTGGTTAGATCATGTTTTGGAGATCTATGCAGCCTTCATGTTTGCGGGGATATTTACAACGCTGTGTATACCCGAGACGAAAAGGATTAGTTTGGAGGTATTGAGTGGAGAGGATTATGGGAGTGAGGGGGTGAGGGATGGGGGGAGTGGGAGTGAGAGGGGGAAAGGGGCCGAGGTGGAGGCGAAGAGTGTTTAAGAAGGGGAACTGGGCTGGAGGGGAGGTAGGTTGTTGATTGACGGATGAGGATAGATGGGTGAGGGAAGGTAAGGGAGCAATAGTATGATGTGATATGATGATAATGAACAAAGCTGCCGGTATCAGCACGATTCTTGATTAATGCTAGGGTAGGAATGAAGTAAATGAAATTCTGACTGTAACTACCATATGAATGAGGAAATGCTTGAGAAATAGTCAAGCACTGAGTTAGCACTCTTAGACATCGCATTCCATTTGAAGAGTTTCGATCTTCTCAACTCTGATACTATTTACGTGAACTGCTCTACCACAGTAAATGCTGTCCTCAATGCACTATCCCCATCTCACCTTCTCTACAACTGCCTACATGTAAACAGAATACCTCGAAGCATATCCCAACATAGCTCAATAGGATATCTACTAGATCAAATTTCAGCTATTCAACACGCTAGACAGAGTTTACTCCTACATGGACTTCACCAACGGAATTAATTGCAAATGGGTCAAAGTCAGTACTTCGAGACTTTGTAGACACAACCTAAGAACTCACATGGAAGCATTAAGACATATTCCATGATTTTTGATTTCTCATTGCTTTCTAGGTACAAGTTTCTTCTGCTTTTCTTCGAAGTCAAGGCTCATGACCAGTCCAGTAGAAAAGGAAAGAAATAATAATGTCAGAAGATCTCTAGAAAGCTTCAAATGAACCATTTACCCATCAGATGAAGCACATTTTGATTCGTGCGTAAACGGAAGCAGACGATGCAATAACATACGCCAAGCTAGCTAGAGAAAGAAAAGAAGAAGAAAAGAAGCCTTGAGGGTTACAAGAAGAGCCTTTCTTCCCATCGGACAACACGATGTAGAGAAGAGAGATGCAGAAGAAAGGTGTGGGCACAAGATGTCTGCTCATGACTATCAAGTGAAAAAACCAATTGACACGCCAAAGAGTAACTAGAACCAGAAATCCACCGCTAGGAAACCAAATAATAAGGAAAATCGAGTCTATTGTCGTGGCCAATGCAGGTACAAGTCGAGCTGCGCAGTCGCTCATATTGTACCCTGCGCTAGAGATAGAAGGTGTCATATTGAATCATGCTAAGATCTTTTTTTGATCAAGCTGCTATGGTACAAAAAGGCTGAAGACTCGTAGGAAAATTTTGCTTCCGTAATGCACGCTATCGCCAATTGAAATTGAAAAGAAATAGGTATGCACGAATGTAATACCTCTAGAATGATGCTAATGTAACAAAGGGCCGTTAAAATCGTTTGTGAATACAACCATAGAAGACGAACTGTCCAGAAAGCTTCAATGCAAAATTGAAATCATATCAAAAAGATTCAATTATGAATAAATGCTAGATGAACTGTAACATCGACTGATTCGAAAATGAATATCGTTCCTCGTACCGTTACAAGCGTTGAAATCGTATCGTCATGCCGAAATTTCAACCAAATTTGATATGGAAAATTCGGGATTAAAACCAGTCACTACCTGCTCCAGGCTGAGTGCCAGGCTGAGCGCCAGCTCTACCATAATTGTATGGGTGAGCAGCGGCAGGTGAAGTAAGGCGACTGTTTGGTGGAAAGCCAGCTCCTTGCTGAGTTGGAGATTGGATTGCGGGAAGTGGTAAACCATTGGTTATGGGTGCAGGACCAATGCCATTTGGGAATCCTCCGGGAGAGCTAGCAAAGGGACCGGCTGATACATTGGACATGCCACGTTGGTGACGAGTAGCAAGTTGACCAGTCTCGTTATCGTTAGGAGTGGTGGGACCAGTCGAGGTATTTCCGCGGTTTTCATTGCCTTGAATCTTAGCTTGAATGCGGCGACCATAAGGTGTGGTGCGTATAGCTGGCAGGTGGGGTCGAATAGCCTCAATGAGACGTGTCTTCATGTTCAAATTGGCGTAGTCCAAGGCGGTCTGGATAACATAGTTGGCGAATGAGTCTCGCAAAAGACCGTCAAGCTGATTAGGTTGGAGCATTTCCTCAATCAACATGTCCTTGGAAGGTTCTTGGGCGCATCGAAGACACTTCTCAATGACGTTTGAACTAAACTTCTGCTTCGACAACTGTGCAACTCGGCCTGCAAACATAGCAACCAAAGGCTCGGTGAAGATGGGCTCGTTGAGATCGAGAATGTATTGAACCACATAATTACCAAAAGGATCCTGAACCAATACGTAAGCATTGTTCGAAATCTGTCTAATCAGCCAAGCCTTTTGATCGCCAGAAGCATGATCAATGCACCTTTGAAGGACACAACAGCCATGTCTGTGAGTTCCGACATCAACGCAGTGCTGTCCAACGGCATCAAAAATGAATTGGGCATCTGTTGGAGAGAGTTTGTTCAGACACTTCTGAATGACATGATTGCCATTCAAATCCTGGATAAGCTCGACGACACGGTATCGCAAAGCGCCAATAATTGTCTGAACCTGACCTGCTGTAGAGATAAACTCGATCATCTTTTGCAAGGCTCGTGTTCCATGTTGGTTCAAAGCAATGCGGACCAAATCGTGCGAGGCGTTTTCGATCAGGACAGTGCGTTCTTCATCGTTGCAGTATTCAAGCAACTTTTGACAAAGATAATTTCCAAAGGGATCGGTCATAAGCTCAATGACATGTTGGTTTGTCTCGAGCCAAATCATGTGAACTTGCTCGGGGTTGCGGTCTTCCAATTTCTTTTGCAAGTAACGGCAGCCATGTTGATCCTTGCATAATGCGTAGATCTCGCCACCAAGCTGCTCCAAGGCTACGTTTGCAAAACGGTTCATTGCTACAGAATGAGTTAGCTTACATCGATCATAGGGTACTCGAAAGCTTACCTTCTCCATCATTTTGACGACGTTGTTGAATGACTCGTGCTTGACTATCTCTCTGTCCACCATTATGTTGTTGATACATCGAATTGCCATAGTTGTTGTAAGAATTTGGAGGGGGGTACATTTGTTGACCAAGTTGCATGTTCTGCATTCCCAAGCTCATCATATGCATACCATAATTATTATAATAGCCCTGAACTGGTGTGGGGTAATTTTGTTGGCCGGTTGGAGAAGTCACAGATGGTGACATCTGAGCTTGAGACATGCCTTGAGCCATGGCTTGTGTTAAAGCTGGACCGAAAGGTGCAGCACTGGCTTGCAGGGCAGATTGGATCGATTGATAACCATTCTGAGCCTCACGCAGAGTGCCATTGTCTCCAGAAGTCATTTCACGACTAAGCCTGTTCATAGCATTTGGTGGAATGCGACCCAAGCTAGCATTATGATTGTGCAAGTGTTGTTGAGCGTGCGAATTAGGAGTATTGTTGTTGTTCTGCATGCCGTTTGTAGATGTGCGAACCGTTGGGACGTCGTTGGCAGAGTAGGATGATTGAAGCTTTGGTGGGGTAGCTTGAACGTGCTTTGGTGGAGATGTCACTTGAGCAGTACCATCCTGCGGGCCTTCAAAATACTTCAAATCCAAGGAATGACGATAGGATGGGCGAACACTGATGGGAGACTCAGCGGTGCTAGACTGACCAATAGAGGTTGTAATTTGTTGAGGAGATTGAAGATTATTCATTGGAAGGCTTTGTTGATTTGGTCGATGGCGGGCAAACGAACTCCAACCATTAGCGTTGGACTCTGGTGCAGGTGATTGAGATAAAGCTAAATCAAGTGCTGCAGAAGAAGCGGAAAGCTGCATAGAGCGGTCAGCACAAGCGAGTGAAACTTTTTCAAGATTGCATACCAAACCAGGGAACTCGTCGCGACGAACAAGAATAGGGAATTTGTCATCGGTAGCGTTCATATTCAAATATTTATCAACGCTTCCGGGTGCAGCATTCTCATCTTCGCCGAAGAGAAAGCGAGTGGTATTGGTTTGGTCAAGGGACAACATATCGTGCATACCGTTGCGAGATTTAGTAACTGGCATAGAATATCTATTGAGACTTGAGGTGTATTAGCAAGGGTACACTTGATTCGAGGTCCGTAGATCGAAGATGGAAGGTCAGAATTTAAGATTTGCGTGGAATTGAATGTGGAGAAAGAGAGAAATAGAAAATGCTGAAGATATTGAGAAGGATAATGTTGATTTTGGGTTTCTTGTAGGTTGGAGTCTTGCCCAGCAAGTAAAGAGGTAATTGTTAACGATCAGAAATAGAGAGGTTGTAAGTTTGAAAGGTTGAAGATCAAAAGTTGAAGGATATTTGAGGAGTAAGGAAAAGTCGGAAGGACAAGGGCACTAGTGGCCGAGGATATTGTTGAGGTAAAGACAATAGGAAAAATAGGCAGAAAAGTCAATCGAACCATTCCTATTCAATACAATCAAGTGAATATATCGGCCGATCGAAAGTGGTGAGTTGATTAGGAGGTATATTGAGAGTATTGAGAGTATCGGAAGTATGAAAATATTGAGGTCAAAGCGGTTGGAAGCGAAATAATTCGGATATACTCATGACCCCTCTTTTGATGGAGCAGATTCACCTTTACATTGTATACTGGCAATGTAATATGTCATGGAGAGAAAAGAAAGGGGGGAAAAATGCAATGATTGGCCTTCGAATAGCTTCCCCAACAGAAAAACTTGCTCAAGGGATTTCCTGCAATTTGCCGTTTCCAGCTTCAGTAGCTCCGAAGATGGGATCAGTTCAAGACTGATGTGCAAGTGCCCATACTTTGAGCAGCAACTAGGCGCAAGCCTAATGAATATTATGTTGAAATAGGAGCTACCCAATCGCATGCCCAGAGATGAAGAAGCCAGCCCGCAGATTCATTCAACGGGTACTTGTTCATTGAATGCATATAGAGATATACGGGGGTTCTTTGTATACTGCTTTGTGGGGAAAGCCTCATGATAAATGCAAACTTTTGAAAATAAATGTTTAATGGCAGTGTGCAAGAAGAAATTGTGCATATTAGAATTCAAGAGAATTTGATATACGTACGCATTGGTGGAACGATGGCTGGTTGGATCTTGTCTTACTGCTTCCTCCTTTTCATCTTCATCTGAATTGCGGCGTGAGCCTGGCACAGACTTTGAAGGTAGCTTGTCATCAATTATGAGTCTAGACTGCATGATTCCAGCTTGCGGCGATGTGAGTTGAGAGCCAGATCTTCCTGGACGGTTATAAAGACCTGGAGGAGAGGTAATGCTAGATGTCGAATATCTATTAGGACGAGAAAATGCTGAAGGAAATCCAGATGAGGATTCTCTGTATTCTGGTGGTGTGGTTGGTTCTGATTGATGGCCGGCGTTGTTATTATTGTTATTAGATCGACCAAGATCTTCTTGCATTTGCTGTAACTCTTGCTCGTCTCTTCGTTGTTGTAGGTCCAACAATTGCATCTCCGCCTCGAACCGCCTCTTTTGTTCACGGAGCCTCTCGTATTCGAGTTTCTTTTTCTCTAACTGATAGGAGTGTCAGCTTTTATCGGGATGGGTTGAATATCGGACGATATGAAAAAGCGCTTTGCACTGCAGGGAATATGCAGTTTTGCTTTTTGTCGAAGAAATAGGAGGTTGGAACCAGAATGGCGTGGTAATGAAGAAGAAGAATCGCTTACCAGTTGTACTTTATGGTACGTCTATTGTTGAATTGTCAGTAAATGCTAGGGTTTCAGAAGAAATTTTACAATAGCATGAAAAATCAGAAGAGGCTGTTGCAGGACAATAGCGATTGTTGTAACAGGGAAATTCAATTGGCTTACCGAGGGACCGTATTCCTGAGATTCTTGCGCGGTACGCTGAGTGGTGATAGAAGCAATTGTTGGAACTCTCCCTGAATCGGTAGTGAATCTTCTCGTCAGTCCTCCACGACTCTCTTGAGGTTGTAACGATTGTGGCATTCGGTTTCCATTTCGAGGAGGAGAAACAAGACCGAGCATGGACGCATCATTCCTCGATGCCTGTTGGCTACGAAATCGCAACTCGTCCATTCGATCACTAGTGCTATTCGAATATGCCATAGTGATAATCTATACGACTGTGATCGGTCAGGTCAGACTTGGAAATGCGCAATTCAAGGCTGGCTGGAGTGAGGGTTTGCCGTGGGGTGCAATGCGCAAAGATACTGATGGATAAAGCACTTATACACTTCACAATTTAACTCACCTACAGAAATATGAAAATAATCCAAAATATCCTCCTCGTCCTGGACGTCCAGGCGCGGGAACAGAAATGTTGTGTCAAAATGAGTGTATACAGAAGTTGGGGAGGTCGATGGCGCTAAACGAGGATAGACGCTACCACGCTAAGATGTGTGGACGTGCCCAAAGGATTGATTGCTTACAAGATTATCTAGGATTTTCATGGGTTATATCGGAAGCATGGTGGTATCTTTGGGTTTAACAAGATGTGATAGATTTCAAACACTTACATTGATGCGTTTCTCGAGTCAAATCAAATCTACAGAAAAGAGAATTTACGGCAAATTGAAGTGCACCGGTAATAGGTAGAAATCTATTGGTAAAGTGTCAAGCTCCCTTCAATTCATGCCAGCATCCAACCGAGTTTTGATCAGTACACAGTCTCGACGATAGAGTGTACGCACATCCACTTGATAACCTCGATAAGAAACAATCGAGTGGGCAAAATTGGATTGTATCCAGCTTGATCTGCTTGTGTTAATGATTATATATATATATATATATATATATATGATTTAGCTTCAGAAAAGTGTTTATATATACACATGTATATAACTATACATTCCATTTGAGTTTTTCCCCTTTTTCGTTTCCTTCTCACCATCTTCCCGCATTAATACTAAGATGGACCCTGATTCGATTCATTCGAGGGGTAATAGCTTGCTATTTTGACCAATCAATCAGGGGGTTTAAACTTTCAGTAACGTGCAGCAACTTCTGTATGTTGGCAGGCACTCAAGCACCTTTTTGCCCAACCTCCTCTACTTTATTTCCCAACGGTAACGGTGAGCTCTTGAAAAAGATTGATGAGACGTGAATGTGAATACGATATATCGCATTCTCGTGCAATGAGCAAAATGAGGAAATATCAAGGTAATCACGGGGCGCCATGATCCCTAATCTCAAATACTTTCGATACCACTTTGAGGCGGGGGCGTTGATGAAACATTTACAGCCCTCCCCCCAGTCTTCGTAATCGGGAGGTCTACTTGCACAATCAACCTATCAAAAAGCTCGATCTATGAGCCTCTCCAGCCTCTTTTCAATTTCGAAGCACAAACCCAATGCACACATACAAATTGGTACCATCTTTCTGTCGCTGTTTAATGATCTCATCTAGATCGACTGTTAATCCATCATGTACTTGAGTCTTGAGCACTTAGGTATGCATCTTCAGGATCCGTAGAACTCTAAATCCACAATTCTTCGCAGGAACAATCACTATTATCCTCTTTAAGTCCTTCTCTTTTTCCACCATCCACTCAATCAGTGGCAAAAGTCTTGATGTGTGGAGTACCAAAGCTACCTAATGCGTCTCCAATCAATTTTGGTCACGATCTTCTGCATGCAAGTCGAAATCCTCGAATCATACCGAACGTCAACTGCAGCTTGTAATGACGTTAGTCTCCTCGGAGCCTTGAAACACCAGCAGGCTCCTCTAAAGCACATTCCAGGAACTCATTCTAAATCATCAACATTCCTTTTGCAATTGCGCTGTGAGTCAAAAATCTTCTTATTCAACTCATCGCAACACAATATTACAAGTGACTGAGAGTGGGGTTGTGTCCTGTGGCGTGCAAATGATAGAGAGCAAAAGTAGCAAAAAGTAGCAAAAAGACCAGATCTAGCGGTGAGGCATGTGTTCCAAATTTAGAATCTTGGAAGAGGAACATTTGTTGATGCCGAGCAGCATCTCAGCATATGTAGAACGTTGCATGCAAGAAAAGATAGAGTCGTAGAACTATTGTAGTCGTGCCTTGCAGATGCAGTAATAACAGTATGCAATAGTGCGAAGAAGGGTAAATTCAGATCAGATATTCTATTACAATGGACTCTATACAACCACTTGATCGTCTCAACTTCAGTAACAACAAGTGATATGTATTATCAAGGAAGCCAAATACAGATCATATAGTGTGTAACTATCTGATCATTTTAACTATCTCGTAGCCTGACTATTCGTAGGAGAAAAACAGACCGGAATTGACCACTGGCGAAACCTTTCAACAACCCAATCGTTGTAATTCAATCCAGAAGATTGAGAGCTCCAATAGTATTATAACTGAAGGCTATTCAAGGATCTATCTAATACCGTTAATCCTCATAAATTTATTTACCGTTGATTTACTATAAGATTTATGATTGCGGTGATCAATTTTGGCCTCTTTTTTCTCCCACGTATAATCTGATAGGCTGATAAGGTTCCGGTAGCCTTGCATGGTTCATATCTCAGCCTTATCGTGCAATTGGCTGATTCTCGCGGGGTATTCGGCCTAAAATAAACTTTGACCGATTCTCATGGTGACCAACCCAATAAATTAATTTTTGAATCTTTTAAATCCGCCGACGAAATCTTGCTAGTACACATGTCCAGCATCAATTCAAGATGCCTCCCAAGAAGAAGACTGCTGGGCCAGTAGAAGCTCCAGCTGAGGAAAGCTCTGCGAAGAAGGTAAGCAAATTCAATCGTATTATCATGGCAGACAGCTTACTTTAAGTCTAGGCTCAAGAATCTGCGCCAGAAGTCGATGGACCCTCAGTAGAACCCGAGAATACCAAGCGCAAGAGGGCGACGAAAACTAGACAAGCTCCTGCTGTCGTGGAGCCTGCGCTTAAGAGAGATGATGATGTACAGATTCTTCCCATGCGATTCTGAATTTTTCATTGACGATCATGCTAGGGCTTTGCTGCTTTACTCGAACCATTCTACGATGGAAAAAGCTTGACAGATCCGATCAGTACTGCAAAGGTAGGGAAAGAGTTGACGGATTGCTGGAGTATTCTCTAATGCGCTTCAGGATAAATGGAATCTTGTACCGGCTTTTCTAAAAGTCAAAGGTCTTGTTAAACAGCATATCGATTCCTTCAACTATTTCGTCGAGCATGAAATCAAAGACATCGTCAAGGCAAACAAAAGAGTCACCAGCGAGGTCGACCCAAAATTTTGGTTAGAGTCAGTTGGAATGTTTTCCGAAAATATGCGTGTAACCCGCTGACAATTGGCAGATATACCGATATTCGTGTTGGCGAGCCGGAACGAATGGACTATGATGATCGCAAACCGCAAAATGAAATTACACCTAATGAATGCCGTCTTCGTGACATGACATATGCTGCGCCAATTAGAGTCGACATTAAATATATGCGAGGGCGGACTATAGTAGCTAGGAAGAATATCGCAATTGGCAGAATGCCTATTATGTTGAAGAGTTCAAAATGTCGGCTGGCTGGAAAGAATGATCGCCAGATGGCTCACATGAACGAGTGTGCTTTGGATCCTGGAGGATATTTCGTTGTTAATGGTACAGAGAAAGTCATTCTCGTTCAAGAACAACTCAGCAAGAACAGAGTTATTATCGAAGCAGACCCCAAGAAAGGAATCGTTTCTGCTTCCGTTACTAGGTCAGAGCATATTTTCCAACTGTCCTCTCATATCACTAACTTTTGAACAGTTCTACACATGAGCGCAAGTCAAAAAGTTATGTAATGCTTAAAAAGGAGCGAATCTCTCTTCAGCACAATATTTTGACAGAAGCTTTACCGATTGTGATTGTACTGAAAGCCATGGGGATCCAATCAGATCATGAATTATTACTTCTAGTCGCTGGATCTGATGAGAGATATCAAGATGAGTTTTCAGTAAATTTTGAAGAAGCCACCAAACTTGGTGTCCATACTCAACATCAAGCTCTTGAATATATAGGATCTCGTGTCAAAATGGGTAGCCGAGCCCGAGCACCGGGAGGGGGACCTCGGAGCCGCAGTTATGTTAATGATGCTCTTGAAGCACTCGCAAATATTATAATCACACACGTTCCGGTTGTTGGTCTAGACTTCCGCCCAAAAGCACTCTACATTTGTTTTATGGTTCGCCGAGTCCTCATGGCCATGGTCAACCCAACGCTCGTTGATGACCGAGATTACGTTGGTAATAAGCGTTTGGAACTTGCTGGACAACTTCTTTCCTTACTTTTCGAAGATTTGTTCAAGAAGTTCAACACTGATCTGAAGATGAACATTGATAAAGTTCTGAAGAAACCTAACAGGGGTATGGAGTTTGATGCATACAATCACATGCAGTCACACGGCAACTATATCACTATTGGTATGAACCGCGCTATTTCGACAGGAAACTGGAGTTTGAAAAGATTCAAGATGGAACGGGCCGGTGTTACGCACGTCCTTAGTAGACTCAGTTACATCAGTGCTCTTGGAATGATGACAAGAATCAGCAGTCAGTTTGAGAAGACTAGGAAAGTCAGTGGACCCAGAGCTTTACAACCTTCTCAGTTTGGCATGCTTTGTACATCCGATACTCCTGAAGGAGAAGCTTGCGGACTGGTTAAGAATTTGGCACTCATGACTCACATCACTACTTATGATGATGAAGAGCCTGTCAAAAAACTAACTTTCGTTCTTGGTGCAGAGGACATCGTTTCTATGAGTGGCAAAGAAATCTACGAGAAGGGAGCTTACGTTATTTTCGTTAATGGAACACCTCTTGCACTCACTCGGCAACCCAAGAAATTTCTCAACTCATTCAGAAAATTTCGACGTATGGGCCGTATTTCGGAGTATATCAGCATTTTTATCAACCATCACAGCACATCTGTTCATATTGCTACAGATGAAGGTCGAATTTGTAGACCTCTGATTATTGTGGAGAACCAAAAGCCTAAGGTTACGAAACGTCATCTTGAAGAGCTTAGAAAAGGAACAATGGATTTCGACGATTTTTTATACAAAGGACTTCTCGAATACGTTGATTGTAATGAGGAGAACGATTCTAATATTGCCATCAGAGAAAATTATATCAACGAAGCGACTACACATCTTGAAATCGAACCTTTCACTGTGCTAGGAGCGGTCGCAGGACTTATTCCTTACCCGCATCACAACCAATCTCCCAGAAACACATATCAATGTGCTATGGGTAAGCAAGCTATCGGTGCCATTGCATACAATCAATTTTCTCGTATTGATACTTTACTTTATCTTATGGTCTATCCACAACAACCTATGGTCAAGACTCGTACGATAGAGTTAATCAAATACGACAAACTTCCAGCTGGTCAAAATGCCACAGTCGCTGTCATGTCCTTCTCGGGTTACGATATTGAGGATGCACTAGTTCTTAATAAAGCCTCTTGTGATCGTGGATTTGGACGTTGTCAGGTGTTCCGTAAATATTCAACACAATTGAAAAAGTATCCTAATCGATCTCAAGATCGTATTGCAGATAGAGTTATTGGCGAAAATGGCAAACCTATTGCAAAACACAGGATATTGGGATCTGACGGAATCGCGTTGGTTGGTGAGAGAATCAATGCTGGCGAGGTTTATCTAAATAAGGAATCTCCTTCAAATCCAAACTCAACTGGAATGGGCAATGATTTCAACCTTAACGATATGAAACCTGCACCAATGGGTTACAAACTACACGATCATGCTTACATTGACAAGGTCATGCTCTCTCAAACAGAGAATGAAAGCGGAGTCCTTAAAGTTCAAACTCGTCAAACTAGACGACCTGAGTTGGGAGATAAATTCTCATCTCGCCATGGTCAAAAAGGTGTTGTTGGTATCATTGTTAATCAAGAAGATATGCCATTTGCGGATTCAGGAGTTACTCCCGATATTATCATGAACCCTCACGGTTTCCCATCTCGTATGACGGTTGGTAAAATGTTGGAATTGCTCTCTGGAAAAGCTGGTGTCATTAATGGCACTCTCGAATATGGTACTTGTTTTGGAGGTAGCAATGTTGACGTCATGGGACAAATTTTGATCGACAATGGATTTAGTTACTCGGGTAAGGATTTCGTCACAAGTGGTATTACGGGAGAATCACTACCAGCCTACGTCTTCTTCGGTCCAATCTACTATCAAAAACTTAAGCACATGGTTCAAGATAAAATGCATTCTCGATCTCGCGGTCCTCGTGCCATTCTCACTCGTCAACCTACAGAAGGTAGATCGAGAGATGGAGGTCTTCGTTTGGGTGAGATGGAGAGAGATTGTCTCATTGCCTATGGTGCAAGTCAATTATTACTCGAGAGACTTATGTTGAGTAGTGATGCTCATCAGGTGGATATTTGCGAAACTTGTGGATTGATGGGATACTCGGGTTGGTGTCAGACGTGTAAGAGTTCTAAGGGGGTGAGCACAATGACGATGCCATATGCAGCGAAGTTGTTGGTGCAGGAGATGCTGAGCATGAATGTCTTGGTGAGATTGAAGCTAGAGGATGAGTTTCCTCATTCGGGTCATGTGAGAGGATGAGTAGGAGGTGATTAGATGGAGTTCATGATGAGCTTGCTGAAATGGAAAGGAAGGGAGGGGGAAAGAATAAAATTTGATATCACGAGGGGCATGGGCGTAGGGGATTTAAGCGAAGGTCTTTCTAAATGCATAGCAATGGCGCATAATTAGGTAGTTGATTTGTAAAATACCATAGAGTTTGATCAAACATATTGATATTGATGTAAATTACATAATGTTACATATGGACTCAAAGATATATCTGCTCTCGATCCCACCCATTCGATATCGTCGTGCTTCTTCACAAAGCATCACTTCTTCCATTCATTCAGTGTTTGGATGGTAATGCTATTCCTGCAAAAACAGAATTCATGGAAACCGACATGAATAGTGAAGACAGCATAGCATAGGGTAGAATCATTGTAAGATTATTCTCTCTCCTCCCCCTTCTCACTCTATTTAGATATATGATAGATACTTGGTCTGCTTACCTATGTATGTATCGTTGCCCTTGCAATTTTACAGTTTACAGTTTACAAACCCCTATTTGTTATATTGTATAATATGATATTCTTGAAATTGTATTGACCACGTACCATGTATGATGTACGATTTACTATGTATATACTCGCGACATGTTAATAAATCAGTAGATTGAATTGAATTTCTACTGGGTATGGGTATCTAATATGGGTATGTAGATATGTATGTAGATATGTATGTAGATATAATCATCAGTGATAACTCTCTTGCTGCCTGTTCTTTCTTTTTGGTTATCTTCATGTTATCTCTCTCTCTCTCTCTCACACACACACACACACACACACACACACACACACACACACACACACACACACACTCACTCACTCACTCACTCACCTACACTAACCCAGGAAATCACAATACAAACACACAATCAGTTTCGTACAATACAACACAGCACAATACGCCAAAATACAGACAATCCAAGTATCTCGTATGTAAAATTGCATTTGTATAAACTACCTAGGTAAATAAAGACCTGCAAAATGACGCCCGGCCCGCGCGAAAAAGGTAAAGGTAAAGGTTAGTCTCCCTTTTCTCCTCTCCTCCCCCCAAAAATGCCATTAATCATATCCATGTCCATAACCGTAAAATTCGTATCGTGCGTGCTTCCATCCATCCATCTCTCCATTCTCGTGAATTCATGTTCGTGTCTTGTATCAATCAATCAGTCATCCATCAGCCCATTTTCATAAATCCATATATTTGCATCACATCTCAGCACATCTCATCTCATCTCCTCATCCTCCTCCCCATCCACCTCCTCCGGATGACCCAAAAGCCCCGCCACATTCGCCATATCATAATGTTTCCTCCTCATCGCCTCAAACTTCTCATGTTTCTCCCTCTCCTCCTCCGTCATGCCCCCCATTTCCGCATCCGCATCTCTGCCATTCCCCGCCACGTGAACCTTCTTCTCCTCTCCCTCTCCCATCTCCACTTCCCTCTCCGGAACCGCCTCTTCCGGTTCCCCCAAACTCAATCCCGGGATTTCCTCATCCCGTTGCTGATTCCGCTTGTGTCCCCCCTGCACCTTGTCCAGCTCATCCACCACAATCTCCCCCGCATCAATCGTGCGGATCTCATCCGCATCCTCAGCCGGATCGTAGTGTTTCGCATACGGTGTTTTCGGCTCGTTGATCTTCATCGTGGAGCTCTTTTCCTGCTCGGTTAGATACAGATTCGCTTCGTCCCATTGCAGACGCATGTTATTCGAATCGTCATGGTTGTTGTATGTGGATCCGGAGGAAGCACGACGGATCGGACGGCTGGCGGAAGAGGAGCGACGGTGTCCGGCGTTTTGGAGTGTGTTTTGGAGTGTGACGTCGTGGTCGGAGATGGCCGAGGTGGGGGGGGTGCTGGGGACGGCGACGTGTTTGGGTGAGGTGATGGGAGGGGCGGAGGTGGTTATGGGGGCTTGGAAGGGAGGAGAGCGGTGGAAGGAGTTTTTGAGAATGCCTGTGGTTTGGATGTTAGTTGATTTTTCTCATCTTCTCCTTCTCGTGTTTGATTCTTTTCTCGAACCGAATTGAAAAAGATCGTGGAATAGCGGGGTAAAATCCGCACGCACACGGCATTTTTTGGGAAATAAATCAAGAACATACCTTTAGGGCGTTTTACGGTAGGACTGGGAGGACTGTGAAGAACCTGTGCTTCTGAAGAAGACATAGTAGCAGCCATGATTATAAGCGTTTTTTGTAATATATCGATAAAAAGGATGTGTATGTGGTTGCGATGGTGGAAATTGGATTGCGATGGAAAAGAATGGATTCGATTGGGATTTTAACTTGATTTATTTGTTGTGGTTTCTTGTCCCGACCGGTAATGGTGATGGAACTTGCCTTGCCACCCACTTTCTTTTATTCAAGGGGTCGGGGTGAGAGTTTTCCGAGTTGGGGTTGGTTCGGTACCTAATGAACGCGAGCTATCTCATAAGGGTTGGTTGGGCTTCTGGAATAATGTAAAGAAAGCTGCGGCGGTAGATGGAGATGGAGATGGAGATGTAGTTGGAGGTGTAGAAGACGGAAGATGGAAGATGGAAGATGGAAGAAATTAGAAAATAAAGTGATCAAGCCAGCTTTAGATATACTCGAGTACCTAGTAGATTCCCCAAAGTACCTTAGCTATCTTCGTCTACGTCGTATTGATAAACACAAATTGATTCTCGCCAAAACCAACAAATGTTCGTGTGACTTCGTAAAATGAAATCAAGAGCAGCTGAGTATTATGTTTGGCCTGTGAAATGGAGGGGTAGAGTGAATGAAAAATGTGAACGTGAATATGAGTTTACCTGTGTTGGTTAGTAGAGAAATGTGAAAGACTCTTCACGCTGGAGGAAGACGATGTTATGCATATGGATCAAGTGGTGGATGGTTGGACATGATCGGGTAGCAGTATGAGTGTGACTGTGAAGTTAATCAAAGCTTAGAGTTACTACTAGTTGTACTACTGTACGGAGTTGTTGTCGTCGTTGTTGTTTTATATACTCCATCTCGAATTATATACTGAGGTGTTTACGGAATAGGTATCTCTGTAGATTTCACCATGAGCTCATCTAGGTAGGTATCTACTCTCAATATAGTTGCCATAGATCGCTTGATTGTAGCATGGGACACAGTCAAGTACCAGTAACACAGAAGTAGGTGGTTAATAGTTATATTCATCTATCTACTCTTCTATCTACTCATCTATCTACTCATTCATCTATCTACTCTTCTATCTACTCATCTATCTACTCATTCATCTATTCACTCATTCATTCGTTTCTTTGTTTCAACTTTCCATCTCCCATACCAATATCATTCATTAATATCATTCATCCATTCATGACCTACCTACCTACTAGCGCTAAATAGCTAGCTCCAAATATTTCACAAGGAAATCGCGGCAGCCCAATTGTTTTATTCTTACTCTCCATGGTACGATGATTTCCTAATCATGAAACGTCATCTTACAGCAGATCATTTTTCTTGGGATTTCTTTCTCGTGCATCATGCATGGAGTCGAGTTCCCAAAAGAGACTACTCTTATGGAGAGAGGGCAGAAAACAGAGAAGATGTGGAAGATGTGGAAGATGTGGATCGAGTAGTCCGTCGTAGTAGGTAGGTATACCGGTAGTCCTTCCGATGTATCTCAGATATCTCACGCATCTCACGCATCTCACATCAAAGTAGAGCCAATTCCTACCTATACAAGTCAAGTTTGGGCAAAACGGGAGCGGGGTAATTTTGAATCCCAAGTAAGTAAAGGAATCTTGGGTGCTGCTGACCTGTGCTCTGTCTGTGCTTTGTACTCACCATTACATCATATCGAGACATTCATCCATAAGAGGGTTCCTCAACTTTCTAAAATATGCAACAAATACACTTTTCTTTATTTTTGTATCGGAATTCGTACTCTCGTTCTTGGACCAATAAGATATCATATCATCGAGTTTCAAAATATCTGAAACATATTCTCCTCTAGATATGATATAGCAAAGTCTACTTTCGTAGTCTCGAGGCAGTGTCCCTTCAGTTTCAGTATCAGTCCGTGCACTTGGTGTGATTCTTCACATGACCTTTCTTCTCTTAGTAAGGCTCTAATCAGATTTCATACATCGTGCAAGTCATTCATTCATACGTATCTTTTCTTCAACCCTTTATTCAACACTCGAATGCTCATATATATATGTATATATATACCTAATGATAATACTCAAATGACGCTCCGCTGGCTCTCCGAGGGCCACTGCCGTGGAGGCAGAATAATCAAGGGAGAAATAAGTATTCAATTGTCTGTTCTGTCATAATGGGTAAAGTCCCTAGTATCCATCTCTATTCCTGCCACTCGATTTCCTCTTTCTTCCTTCCATTCCATTTCTAACAAGTACAAGATTGCTAACACCAATCAATATGCTAGATGTATTAAGCACGGGCAGCACGTGGAAATGACATTACTTTTTGATGCTTCTAGATTCGAGAGTCTAAATACTATTCCTACCACCCGATTTATCATTATGATTCCTTTCATTCTTTATATCACATTACTCTACATTCTTGAGGTACTGTTTGACGTCACTTTATATGATTTGAATTTCTGACCGGAAGTTCCGGGCGATGGCACATGATGTTTAGACTTGGATGGGATGTTTAGGTATTGTCCGAATAGGTATTTAAATCATGGGGCTTAGGGATTGAATCCTGTATGTGGTATTGTCAGTTTCTAGTATAGTGGCCGCATTGATGATTCGGTTTAGGATGTCTAGGTAGCTTTTCTGTGAGGCTGTGAAATTGGATGAAAATAGCTGGGTGTGATGGTGAGCTTTGGGGGTTTTCTTTTGGTGTATTTATGGTTTTGAGATGTGAGGTCGGGTGAAGATAGTTCTGAGTCTGGACTCTGGAGTAGTGGTAACTCTTGAGCTTTTTTGTTCTTTTTTTGATTTGTTTTACGGATATGAGATATGAGCGCGAATTAAGATAGCTAGGGGTAACAGTAACTCTCGGATAGTTTCTTTTTTCTTCGACTTTGCCGCTTCTGAGGCAAGGAATTGGATTAAGGTAGCTTTGAGTGATGGTTAACTTTGAGACTTCTTATTTTTCTTTACATTTACATCCTCTGAGACCTCTAATATTGGATGACGATAACTCGGGCTAGGTTATGGAGTGATGGTGAAGCTTGGTCTTTATCGTCTTTTGGGGGTTTACGACTTCTGAAATATCTTGATGCATCTGGCCTTTTGGCCTAATTCCTTCGATTGACTCTGCTCTGAGGAACTTGGATTCCTAAGAATTAGGACTAGGTTCGCAGCCTCTTTTTTGAAAGGCTTGTGAAGTTTGTTCCTGGGTTGGATATGTTTTTCTGTTGTGCCCGTTAATGACAAAAATGTCAGCAATGATGTATAGAATTCCCCTCTTTCGCTGTTTCGATACAAACAATACTCGGATTTCAGAGCAATACATCCGGATAACTCCAATGAGTTTATCTAATAGTTTGTTTCCACACTCGCAGTACTTGCTTGAGGCCAGTACGCCATTGAGATCATCAGTAAGGAAAGCTGGGATTAAATCTATCTGTTCGATTTTAATTTGGATATCATGGTAAGCTCTAAGTGGGAAGAAAGTGCAGAGTCATTCCTCTTGCTACACCGGCTATGAAGTGCACACGGATTCTTTTGTTTATGAGTAATCTATTTATCTGGTTCGTTAGGTACCTCGTGTACAATGGGAGGAGATGTACAACACATTTCATTAGTGGCTTTCTTGATTCCAACACGCTCTATCTCTCTCATGCACCGAAAAGAAGGGTAGCCAAACGGAGGTTCAAGAGACCAATCATACGTTTCATGCCCTCACCCCACTTTTCTTCTCGACTCTCCTTGATCGCTTCGAATGAGGCTTTTGAAAGGGGCGAACAAGAGATTGGGAGATTGGGAGATACTCGGGCATGAATGTGATCGTGGGTTATGTAATCTTACTTAATTCTGGCTCATCTCTTTAACCCATCGAGGAAACTATCGCATTTCGATTTCTTTGAATGGAATTGGTGATGCACAGCCACCGAGTACTAGTCTATGTCCTCGGGTCGAAGAATTTTCAGATTGATAAAATTGAGATGGGTGGATCGGGGAGTTGGATCATTGCGAAAATGGAAATGGGATTGGAATTGGAATTGGTAATAATAATAATAATATGATGAATAAAAAGATTCCGTATGCATTCATTCCCGTACCTGGCGAATATCTAATGGTGATATTTTGAAAATCGATGTTTGTGGTGTTGAACTATTGGGGATATAGCTAACGTCATCTGGGTAGAGTATTGTAGGTAGGTAGGTAGGTAGATAGGTAGATATTTGATTTGATTTGATTTGGTTTGTTTTATTTCTGCTTTGGTGTTTTGGTGTTTTGGTGAGGAGTACGGGATGCTGAGGAATAGGATTTGGGGGGATTTAATAGATGTTGATGGGGTTATTGTGGAGTTTTGGGGGTTGGTGAATTGGTGTGTTGATTTTGCGACGAGGGGGGGTGCGTTGAGGGATGTGTAGATGTGATATTTGTGTGTGTATATGTGCGTGTGTGTGTGTGTGTGTGTGTATGATGCTCCTAGGGCCAATCATAAGATATGCTGAAAGGATTCACTGTTCTACATGCACACTAGCTATCATTTTTCTACCTATTCATCAAAAGATACATCATCTCTTCATTCCATGGGTAGTCTTTACACGATTATCGAGTCATTATAATGCAAGTCTTCGTTTTGGATATCTATAATCGGATGGAAATTTCTTGCTCTTGAGGTTGGGGGCGCGAGATTGTTTGGGGAGGGTTTGTGGTCGGGACGTTTCGAGGTGAATTTTCTCTTTTGATAATGAGGGGGAGTGGGTGATGGGGATGCTGGTCTTGATATTGACTTGCTTACCCGTTTTACACTTTCTGGTACCTGAAACCCTAGTTTTAGCATGTGGTTGTGTCTTGAAAATTAGTCGGACAGGAATGTGTTTGATTATATAGAGAATTGATTATAGTGGTCTTCTTGAGTGTTTAGAGGGTTGATTTGAAGTATCTCTTTTTTCTTCTGGATGTAGTGTAGATGGAAGTTGTGGAAGGTGTGGAAGTTGTATTTGGTATGCCGAGTTTAGGTATATTGGATTGACGGGAGTGATAATCTAGTATTTATTATCTTGATTATGGATATGGATCTTTGAGGTTGGGTTTTGGAGTATGAGATTGGTGGGAAAGTTTATACTGTATCGTATTGATCTCAGTGCTGGGTATTGATGAGATATAGTAAGTTCGCTTCCAGATAGGGCATTGAGCTGAACGACTGTTTTTTTCTTTTTGCTTTACATTTTCTTACTCTTTATATATACATATACTCTCTTATAACAATTGGATTGAAGAGAGGATTCATGCTGCTTTTCATTTGAAATGATGCGTAGATTTCTTGGAAGAAATATCTTCCGTTGCAACTTTCGGATCTAATGTTTCACTCTTTACTTCAATGGGGTCAGAGAATGGACCTTTTTCCAGACCGCTATTGGTGTTGGTGTGGTATTTTGAGAATTGAAAATTTGAGGTTTGAGGTTTGACTTCTCAGTTGATTTATCATCGTCGTCGTCATTTTCCTCGTCGACGTCTATGGATAACAACTTATTAGGTTCGGAATTTTACTTTGGATTGTAAGTTCATGTAATTAACCAAAAAATTGTTTCGGAATGAATATCTATGAGCTGCTTTTCTTTCTTAAGGGAGATGACTTTGGTGACTGATTGCAGGTACCTAGGTAGTATAGTATCGCAGAAGAAGTTAGATGATAAATCTCGGATGGCAGAAAAGGAGGTTTCGCTATGAGTTGATTGTCTTTGTACCCCCTACCATCATAGGGTAGATGATTTATAAAGGAATATTCTTCAAGATTTATGATATTAAAGACGCGGAAGATTATAGTATTTCGAATTGACTGATTGTTGCTGAGTTTCGAGTTGATAGGAATCAATCAGCGGTTCAACGCGAATTAGTACTTAATCTAAATTCCTAGTCCTAGTTGTTACAGCCTCGAACTTGCTTTGGAATTTGATGCTTTTGTGGTCGGTTTAGTGTTTATTTTGAAGTGACGAAAGGGAAGCTTCGAATTCTATTTCGAACCTTTTACCTCTCCTCCACATAGATCCACACCGTCGATTGCTATAGCCAATGATGAATTGTTGGCTTCCTGATGAAAGTTTTTGAGAAGTTCTGGGAATCGATAGTATCACTGGTCATTGAAATGAGGATAGAAGAAAGGAAATCCTAACAATGTCTTCAATAATAAATGAAAATGAGCGCTTTCCATTTCATTTGAAGGATACGAATGATGATGGATGCGATGGAAAACACGTCTCTTTTTCGATCCCAAGCAGCTTCTCAATTTCGAGTTTATATCACAAATTTGTTTCATAGTATTAAGATTAAATAGATGGGTTTTAATATTATCAAGTTGAAGTGTAAATCTAGATCCTTCTAAGATACAGATCACAGAGTCGTACTCGAGCGAGCCAAATGAGTTTCAAAGGTCTTTTTTGATTACGGTAAAATGAATGATTCCAATCTCAAGAGGAAAGGAAAGGAAATGAGAGAAAGACTGAAACAAGAAATTCTGAGGAAGTTAGTCTTCTGTACCGGTCAATTCCTCCAGCCGTCAAATCAACCTCGGATCACACTACGCGATAAACTTGCAATAGTTCATGATGCGACTATTGCCTGACGCTAAGCTGCAGTGATATTCCCATCTTGCTTTTTACCTTGCTTTTCATTTTCTTTTACACCTTCTCTTCTATTCTGCGTGGTCTCTTCAGGGGACGATTTATCTTGCTTAACAAGGTCTTGCTTGGCAGGGTCTTGCATAGGAACCCACTTGATAGCAAAAGCGCCAACAACAGATACACAACTTAACGCCAGCGATACACAAAATGCCCGGATTATGGAATCACTAATGGCGGTCTTTGCTGTCTCTTCAGTTTCTGGTGGCAATGATGACAGGATTTTGAGTAAGGCAGACAGCAAGATAGAAGACGGGTTGGAAGACTGTTGCAGAAGCGGTTCAAGACGCTTGTGCATCTCCCCTTGGAAAATGCTTTGTGCTACTGCCACGAAGATTGAGGCACTGAGATTTTGGACAATTGTTATAAATGTCACACCGATGGGAACATCTTTTTCCGGTAATAGGGTTTGAACGATATAACTTAGTTGACCAAATCCAAACCCAATTCTAATGCCGTACACAAGTTGATAACGGGCAATTCTTGCTGTAGAAGAATGTAGGTTGATGGTAGTGAGTAAAGCAGCTCCAGCAATTGATAGTGCAATTTCAATGATCATGGCTGGATTGTATATAAGGCTACCCCGGCTGCGATTGATAGTGGTTTTAATTCGGCTGTGGCGTTGACAGCGCAGTTGCAGGCTGAGAAGCATGGATTTCCTCCATTGTATTAGGAGGTGTGGGAATGGAGTACTTAAGCTGCGTGTTTGTCGGTGGGATGTTTCTGTGTGGTTGATTTACATATGGTTTAGTTAGATGAAACAGTATCTGAGATAATTGAGCAATTGTGTTGTAAGTGTTTGAATTTTTAAGTGAATACTTTGTTGAGAGGATCTCTCACGTATTGTTTTATTCCAATATCTCAAATCCATTTTTGCACCTCGCTTGATTAGAAATTACACAAGGTACCTATCTATCTATCTTTTCTACCTCACCGAATTACTTCACATTATATCTCCTATATTAAACTATATCATATCATCTATCTATCCATCCCCAATACCTATCCATTCATCAAAGCTGTAAAAATAGGTTTAACATAATAAATTAATTAATCATCCCACAAATTCCCCATCCCACTCGACACCTCCCCCAAACTCAACTTCCTCAACGGTTCCACCCGCGCCCACTCTATCCCTCTCCATAATTGTGCAGTCTCTACTTCACTCTCATTCTTCGAAATTCCAGCATTCGCTCTCCCAAATAATCTTCGCTTGAAGGGGCGCGGCCCGAGAGGTGCAGGTTTGTAGAGAGTTTCTGGTTCGTCAACTTCGGGGGCTATGTTTGCTTGCTTCGCATTTCTAGGTTCTTTCGGTTTGAGTTTTACTTTCTCTTTCGCTTTCTCTCTCTCTTTTATCTTCTCTTTTTCTTTCTCGAGAACTTTTCCTTTCGGCCGCAATTTCAACGGTCTCACTCCCTGTGGCTTTTTCTGAACAATAGTTTCCTCTTCTTGATTTTTTCGAATTCAGGGGTCGAAGGAACACTTTCGATAAACGCCCCGGGAATTTTCATCTCTCGACTGGTGGGTCGTTTTTTTGTGGTTCCGGGTTTCGAATACTCGATAAATGCGCCCGGGACTTGGATTTCTGTGCTGCGTTTCTTGATCACGATGGCGGTGTTGGGTGATTTGTGGGGTGTCTGAGAGGGGATTTGGCTCCCGGTCTTCTTTTTGGGGGTGAGAGGTGTGGCTTTAGTGGTCGTGGATGGGGATACGGGCTTGATATTGTGATTATGATTTTGATTTCGATCAAGAGGCCCTCGTGCGATGTTGGGAAATACATCTCGAATGTTCGCTGTAGATCTTTGCGGTTCAAAACTTCCGCCTCGGTTGGGTAGAGAATCTTTCCATGATTTTAAAGATGGTCTAGGTTCTGCAGACTTTTGTTTTGATGCAGATTTTACGACGGGATTTTTGGATGGATGGGTAGTCATTCCTTGGCGTGAAGCGAGTGGTTTTCGTTCGATTTCGAAACTCCCACCTCGTACGGGAAGAGCATCTTTCCACGATTTGGGCGGGTGTTTGAGAATTTTGTCGCTTTCTACAGGTTTTCTTTTGAGGGGGGTGATAGGCGCATGAGGTGTTTGTGTATATCCTTTCGTGAATCCTTCTGGCATTCTGGAAGGAGCAGGAACTAATGGTCTTCTTATCATCATTTCGTTTAGGATTGCAATTGGTAACGGTTGAGTAATAAGAGGTTTTCGGGGAGATATTCGATCCAGTGGTGAAGAAACTCTGGTTGGAACTAAAGCCACATCGGGCTTGATGGCTATTTCTGGAGACTCGGCAGTTCTGAGCACTTGTTAGTATGCCTGGTTTTCTGAGAAGAGTAAATATATACCGCATGGTGGATAATGGAGATCGCATTGAAGCGTCGATTATATTACTACTCGGTGTTACGTTTCTTTGTCTTCCTATTCTCTGTGATATAAAGTTTCCGGAAGATTTCGACGCTGGATGCGCGCAAGTGCCGCACGTGGTACTGGGATTGGATGGGACGCCCAACGATATCGCTGAATCGGATTGGGTTACGCACTTCTCGTTATCGTTTGAATCCGTTACAGTACTAATGTTTGTGCTCGTATCTCTTGTGAGATATGACCAGCCGATTCCCCAGCCTTTGCTCTTTTCCTTCTCTTCATCTTTATCTTGCGATAATACAAGCGTAGATGAAGGCGTAGAGACACGTTCAGAAATAGGTGTATATCTCGGTCTTAACGGCACAATCCTTTCTCTTTCTTCCGGAAACTCCCCCGGCATAGAATTCACACTAACCTGGGACTCAGATTTTGGAAGTCCCTCTGCTATTGCTAGTTCAGTAGGCACAGGTTTCCTTTTGATGTTCGTCTCTCTAGTAATTCTCTCCTTCGCTAAAGCAAGCGAATAATTTTTCTCCCACTCTTCCCTCTCATTTCCCATAAACAGATAATCGTCAGGAAGTGATGGTATGGAATCAGCACTTGCTGATGCACTCGCCAAACATGACTGTAAAATATTGGCAGCTGAGGGATTGAGCGAGGTAAGATTACTATCCACGAGATCGTCGCCGAAAGAAGAAACTCGGCAGTTTATTTCTCCGTCTTGAAGAATATTGGTGCGCGTAGGGAGCTGGAAGGGGTATTGACAGGCTTCGAGGGCGGTGAGGATGGTTCCTGTTGCTACGCTGTAGTTGTGAAATGTTAGCTTGACCCAACAGCAATTTTCCTCCCTCCTGTATATTATGACGGTTCATGATGTCAATCACACCATACCATACACCATATCATACATAGAAAAAAGAAAGAACACAAACTCACAACCCAACACAGCTCAAAACCAACCCTCCAATCTGCACCTTGCAATCCGTCGTTCCGGAAACACACACTTTCGATTTCGATACGACGACGCTCGATACGATGATCGATAACATCCACGAAACAAGCGTAACGCGCGCAGCTATAAAGCTATACGCGTGCAGTTTCAACTCTGGAGGACGCACGAAGCCGATGGGATGGTTTTTGATACTGGCGGAAAAATGAAGGAGGAGATAGATGAGGGTGAGTGAGGACTGGAATGTGTTAGTTGTTGTTATACTGTAATGTGTTTTCTTTTTATTCTTCTGTTCCATTTTCACTCTCGTTTTCATTCATCCTTCTCTCGCTAAAATACAATCGAGTCCTCAAAACAAAATTCTCTCGGTGGGGGGAAGAAACACATCAAGAAAACATAACTCACCCCAACAACTACGAACCCCGTCCCAACTCTCAACACAAGCGCAAGCGCATGCCCGTCCCCAAAAATCTTAACCGTTAACACAATACCCGTCACAACACACAGCAGCAGAATAACCAATGTTGCGCACACAATGAGTGGTGTTAAGATACGTTGAGTGAGCGAGATTCGTGGGGCAAGTGATGGTGTGAGGTGTGGGAGATGGGTGATGGGGATTTGGCCGCGGGGCGCGAGCACAGGGTAGGGCTTTTTGGTCATTGTGGCGTGGAGCGTTGCTGGGGAACGGGTTGGATGGAGATGCGGATGGGTGGTTATGTCATCTGTAGTAAGATTTCTAGGTATGTATGTGTGCTAAACTATGGGATATAAAAAATAGAGAATGATTAAGAAGAAGAGATGATAGTGATGCTGCTGCTGCTGCTGATGATGAAAATCTTCTTAAGCATCAGAGTTATCTATAGCTATGTATATCTATATATCCAGTTGTATCCAAATGCAAATCTCCCAATGCATCACAAGAATCCTCAATCATTAATTGCTCAACCATCATGCCGATTTTTCAAATCCTATTCTGCCGCTCCTGGATATCAAAAATAAGATAGTAATCACGTTTTTCAAGTTTTCGCCGCATCAGGTGGAAATATCCTAGAGAGTAGACGGGGAAAGTGGCTGGGTGGATATCTTACTTTCGACAGAGAGAGATCAGAAAATAAAAAATAAGAAGGCAGGGGTCTTACGTTTATTGAAGATGATGAAGAATGTAGGGTTTTCGGCAATTATTTTATTTACCCAAGGGGCTATTGAGTTCCTGACATTCATTCCTAATCGTGGCGTTGGGACTCGGAAGTTGAGCTTACATTACTAAGGGGTTGGGCGTGGTCAAGCGAGATGGAAGGAATTTGGATGGCTTGCCGATATCGGGTGGTATGGATCTGTAGTTGTGGCTTACGCTTTTTTCCCCCGATTGGACTTGTATGATTATGGATAGGATGGTTGGCTTCTTATCTTGGCAGACATAGAATATGCTGTGAGATGAATGTCTTCGGGAAGAATGATGGGAAAAGGTGATATGAAGTTAATTATCTCTTGGGTTTTACTCGTATGTATCATATCACTTGTCTGGAAATCGGGGAATTTAAAATTTTATGGTAACTTCAAGGTTATTGTAATGTTTAATTATGTACGATCTATCTATATTTAAGGTCTGACATGCTAACATCATGATGGTATTGGATTTCTAGATTGACCGAAGATGTGTAGTGCCATGATTATATTGACTCATTCTACGCCCATATAGCGAGTGCAGAATTCCATACGAACCAGGTGTTACTGGGAGGGAAAAAGGATGAAGTATCACTTGTCAAATAGATTGTCGAATCGACGTAATGCATTGAAAGTGAATATATATATACGTACATACGTACATCCACCTCTATGTGTTCGAATCCGCAACAGATAAATCACACGGTAAAGAAAGGCAATGAGAAGGGGAAAAAAAACAAACGGAGGAAGTAAAAAGATATGAAGGGAGAATGGAGAGAAGAGAAGAAGAAAAAAGAAAATTGCTGAGGAGGAGGGAATTCTGGAAATCCCCAAAAGTCGTTTCCTAGGTCACACTCAAACAGAGTATGTGTATTCCTACGATCTCCCTAATCATGACTGATTTACCTAAATAAATCCGGTAACATCGCTTCAAATTTCTGGGCATTCAATAAGTGAAATTATTGCCTGATGTTTTTACCAGACATGTAGGAAATTTACCCAGCAGATCCCAACCCTTGAATCTCCACGTCTCCATATCGGCTCTGAAGTCTCCTTCTACATACTCACTCCACCACCAGCCCCTCACCCCAACGGAAATAACCCATGCTTCACACCCGTATCAGATACCTTGGGTTCGAATCCTAATTGTCTAAGAAACAAATTTCATATTTCGAATGTCATATACCCCCATATTCTCGTTTCAACGTCACGGGATGAGTTTCCAAGTCCTCAATAGCGAAAGTATAAAAGAGATGGAGAAATGATTTTCGTTTCGCAAATATGTGAATACGGACAGATAAGGATGTACACGAGGAAGACGAGGTTTCAGCAGATCAACAGGAGTTCATCCCGTTGTGTTTTGATGATTACATTTGAAGCTAATACTTGTTGCACGCCCCTGCGGCATATTCCTCGGTACTCACGAACTATGAGCATCTCGTCAAACGCTCCTACCAAGAGCCACTAACCTCAACTTGCATAGTCACACTGCTCTTAGGAGGGTTAATTCGAACACATCCTAAATTGGAAAGACGTACTTTTAAAAAATTTGAAGAATCACGATAGACTTGAAAAGCTTGGAGATATCCAAAGAAGTCACTTAACGTTGCAATTTCATTGCATATCCTCTATCATTCAAATTTCCAAGAGAAAGTCAAAAATCTCTTCAAATGCGTGTTGATGAGCATTGTGTTGTAAAGTACCAAAGCCTCGCCAAGTAACTGCCGTCCTCCATTTCGTGTCTAGATGGATCATATTTTGGCGTTAGCGCAATGGGAATAGTGCGGCTTCGCCCTCAGAGCACGGCCATCAAGGTCTCCAGGTCCCCCATCTCAAAGGGTTCAAAAAACTCTAAGTCCTCTCGACTTTTTCCAAATTGGGAATTAACCTCTCAACTTCCAAGGCCAAGCTAAGTCTTCGAGAGGACATTACATATTCTATCATCGAATTTGTATTCTTAGCAAATTCTCTCACAGAAATGAGCACCCTCAACTAATTTCTACGCACTTCTTTAAGAGAATTCAAACTATTGGTCCCGAATTTGCTTATTTCATTGTGAACGAAGAATGCTACACCAAACTCGTTGAAATGGATACTCTTGGAGATAGTATCATTTTGAAATTGAATAACAATACATAGAATTATAACAGATGTAGTGAGGTAAAGCCGAATTACGGATCATAAGCTTATCAATATTTGAGCAGCTCATGATCGAGAATATTGACAGATTGATTTGATAAAGAATTTGAATGTGTAAACTTTTGGTGCACTGGTTCTCTTCGTCCACGGCGAGCCTACCTCGGAATTTTAGCCCCAAGCTAAATTAAATCCCACGTTTCGGAGCTATCCGTCTTAGCGGTAGCTCATGAGCTAAGCTCGGTTAAGCTAGACCACACCACCGCTCGTCAAACGCTCTAGGCGCAACGAATCGGCAAACACCACCAAAGTCCAAGGCGCCAGCGAAGAATTACAAATGAAGAAACTATGCGATGTCATCAAACTTGTCCAAAGAAGGTATGTTCTGCATAGTTCTCCAAGCTTTAGCTAAAGTGGATCTTATCTTGATTTGGCCAAAACTAACCCCTCCTCTAGAAAATCACGTGACAACCAAGGTAAAATGGCACGGCCATCGAGCTATCGTGAAACCACTTTCGCAACGAAAATAACTCTTCACTCCTCTGTGAAAGTCCACCACAGAAATTCGCGAGCATTGCCGCCAAGATACATACCAATCCCTTTCTCCTCCAAAGTATTCATTTCACTGTGCCCAAGCAATCTTTAGAGTGGTAATAAACTTTTACCGTGTTTGCAAGGCAGCCTGGTTTTCATTGCCAAGGAGAAGAAGATGCTATTTTGCCATAGAAATAAAATAGAGTTCTCTTAGACTCTTCGGTACAGTATCAAGATGATTGAATGAGCGCGGTGAGTAGAGACTCTGTTCTGAACTACCTTTGTGTCCAGCATGGACAAACAAGATGAACTAGATGGATGAAGATGAAAGTTATATGAGGATCGAAGAGTATATAAACCTCTCTGGTTTCCCTCAAATTCGAATTATAATCATCATCATCATCATCACATCCATTCTATACTCACTCTACAAACAAACCAAACCAAACCAAACACTGTATTCACTTAACATTCGTCTTCAAATCCATTCTCTCTGTTCAAAGGAAAATCAATCACTCACATCCATCAAAATGAAGTTCTCAGTTATCACCCTCCTCGCTTGCGCTGCTATTGCACAAGGAGCTGCTCTCCCACAAGCGGCAGCTACAACTTCAGCTGACGCCCCAATTTCCACTGCTCCCAACAGTGTTGTTCCTGCTTCCACCGAATCCCACTTCAGTGGACAATTTGATGCCTCGGGATCATTGGTCGCAAAGGTTGACGATGAGCCCACCCAAGCACTTCAAAAGCGCATTGCGCCAGTTGTAGTTGTAGCTGGAATCGCCGCCATCAATGGTGTTGCCATCTTGACCAAGATCGCCGTTGAGATTGGTAGCCAAACCATTGCGAACCTTGGAAAATGGAATGATGTAAGTTGCTCCTCAAACATGGAGTCCCCAAAGAGATTTTCACATGCGAGATGGTACTAATAATATTTTCCAGGCCCGCGAGAAATTCACTCAAACAACCACTGCCAACATGTGGTCCAGAAACCCAGATTACAACAAATACCCCGCTGCCGTCTGCTACAACAAGGGATATTCCCTCAAAAACCCTGCTGGTATCGTCGGAAAAGTCAGCGCTAAGCTTTCTCTTGGTCTTCTCAACACTGATTACGACTGCATGTACATGACTGGAAACAACGCATTCTATACTCGATCCGAGGGTGGATACATCAACGTAAGAAGACTATTCCTGTCTGATAGTAAACAATACTAACACCTCGCTAGCTTTCCTACACATATAATTCCCGCTGCTCATTCGACGGAAAGACTGGTGATTTGACCTGCAATTAGAGAGAGCATCTAGTTTTCGAAACAGCAGCTCGAGAAGGATTAATCAAAGGTTGGCTCCATCGTGGACCTGCCATCAGACATGTGTGCTAGGTGGCCACCTAGTCCCTTGTCTTGTTTTCATATCTCTGTTATCATTGGGTGTTTGGGTCGTTCAGCTTTTGTTTTCCTTTTGTTTTTTTGTAATGTTAGTGCCTAGTTAGTCGAATCGAGCTCCTTTTCAAAATTCGCGAGTCCATGCATGCTACCTCTAATTTGATATACGCAATAATATTTTGGTGAGTTGACATACTATGGAAACCTTTCTATTAACTAGCTAGCTCGCTAGAACCACGGCAACGGGGACATGGAAATATCTTCGCTTCTGACAAGACAGCCCCGTGGAGCAAAATTTTCTTGTAACAAAGTTCAAACGTCACATATACGCTGAAGTGTGGTTCCGGAGAATCTAACAATTAGAGTAGTCAGCAAGCCTATCATAATTGCTTTAGCGCTAACCATATCAAGATTAGGAAACTCGGCTGAGCTGCAACACTACACACCACTAAGGCTTGGATATATAAGCAAACACATGATCCTGGGAGTCCAGCAATTGGTGTATTTAAGAAGCCCATGCACCTCACCATAATAACAACACTGTCTTTTTTCATATCAGAAAATAGTGAAAGGATCAAAAAGCATCATGGTGGCTATTCAAGCACGACGTCGAAATGATGTAGAGTCTATCCCAACTATTTTCGATGCATCTCAGCCTTTGGGACCTTTCATTTATGAGCCACTGGACTCGGATTCCGATAGTGACTCTTTCCGGCTTCTAATGATAGAACCGTCCCTGAAAGAGAATGATACGCTGTCGTGCAAGTTGGTCAGTACCAAGTTTGGCGAAAGACCTAGGTTCAGAGCGTTGTCATACATGTGGGGAGACGATAATGCGAACAAAACAATTATGCTCTCCATTGTTTTCGCAAATTGGGAATGCAGTTGCAGTTCTGGGTCGATGCGATTTGCATTAATCAAAACGATAGTACTGAACGTAACAAGCAACTGATGATAATAGAACGGATATACTTTCAAGCGAAATCCGTCATTATGTGGCTGGGGAAGAAGTACGAGAGATACAAGAAGTTAGCTAGAGCTCGAAATGATCGTGTTGTTTTTGAAAGAATATACACAGAAGGTCCGCAGGCATCAGATACCACCTCAGAGACTACGATTCGGTCGGAAGAAACGCTCGAATCGCCGAATATAGGGTAAAAGACGAGGATATCTTGATTGCGGACAATGAGGAACGAGAAATGGTTAAAGAGCTATGCGCTGATAGATATTGGAACAGGTTATGGATAATTCAAGAGATCGGGCGAGCACGGCAGATAGAAGTTCTTTTTGGTGAAATCGACATGTCTTGGAAGGCATTCATCAAATTGGTAACTTTGCACAATAATAGTGACGAGGGTGCTTGGAGGTTAAACTCACTGCTTCGAGAAAAATATTCTGGTGCCCATATTTTTCGTAAGCTCTTGAGTGACCATCGAGAAGCGTTATGCAAGGAGCCAAGAGATAAGATATACGGCTTAGTTGGTTCAGCAGCTGATACTATCGGATTTCCCATGGATTACGACAAATCTCTGGTCAAAGTATGGGTGGATACAATGAAGTTTATGAATCGTGGTGGGGGTCTTTCGAAAGACGATATTATTTCTGTTGGAGGGCTCGTTAAGAGTCTGCTGATCGGAGCGAACTCGGGGCCCCTTGAACAAGCTCTACCATTGAACCATTCGCAATCTACTCTGACCCTCTGCATAGAAGATACCAAAAACAGCAGTCCCGAAGTATTTGGACTCAAAGGCTATGTCGTCGGATGCATGGTAGCTGTCAGCCCTTCCCCTACCGAAATAGTTTCGAATATGCAAAAGGCCGATCGATGGGACTCTGAAATTTTACAAAATTTTCCAAAGGAGCTCGGTGAAGCCCACCGTGAGAACGATGAACTGACGCACTATATTTTAGAAGCAAAAAACTCCGAGCTAGAATCAATTGCTTTCAGTCACATGAGTAGTGTGCCTTGGAAAAATTCGTGTAACTATCACAGAACCCCAGAATTTGTTGACGAGTGCAAGATTAAACAACTGCAAGCCGAATACTCTGTTGCATCACAAGATATCTCAACGACGGCTCCTAGCTCAAATCTATTTCTCGTCAAAAACTACTACCGCAGAGAAACACCCTGGAAAATGGGAATTGCGACAAGCCTAGCCCGCCCGGGAGACCTAGTTTGCTGGATCAGCGGGGTCTCGAGAGCTCTTCTACTGCGTCAAATTGGAAAATCGGGAAACGCCAAAGTATGGCAGGTACTTGGCACAGCGTTGTTCACACGGCATCTTGATTTAAATGACAAAACACGCCATGTAACCGATCTGACTTCGTTTGACGAGGAGACAATGGAATTAGAGATGGACGCATCGACAATTTATGTTCTCTTGTCTTAAAGGATAACAGACACTTAGCATTGTCGATGAAAGTATATTAACGAAGAAGACATTGCAACAAGTTGTGCCAATCGAGATGTTTCCGAAAATTGAAAATGAAAACACTCTTAAAATCTAGACATCATATCTCTTCCAGAAGAATATGATAGTGCCAACAGCATCTCAGGCCCTCAAAATCCAAGAGAGACGCACGAGCGAGTGTTATATGATTGTTGTTACAAACATACCATCAAAAAGGCCATGCGACATCCCATATCCCATATGCCATACACCATTTGTCTGTTTGTATACCTAAATACCTACCTAGGTAATATGCATACCTAGTATACCTCATCCAACAAAAGAACCGACCCGGAACCCCTGCCAACAACAAACGAAACAAATAAAGCCCAGCCAATAAAGTTTCCCCGCCCAAAAAGATACCAAAATATATCAGATTCACTATCATTTTTGGGTCCGAGGTCAACAATAAAAGATTGGGAGCTTCACTTCTGGGAGGAAAAATAAAAGAAAAGAAGATAGGATAAGTAAAGTAAAAGATTTCAGTTTCTAAAACTGAGAATCGAAATCGATCTTTCTTCCCTCATCTCTCGTCTGAAAAATTTCTATCCTGCTGTTTTCTTCACAGCTTCAACAACTGAAAGAGCAACAGCTTTAACTCGTCGCATCGAATACAAACACGCGTGCGCAACGGGTTTATCCAAGATGTGTAAGTTACTCTGAATTCATTCTAGCATCTTCCTTTGAATCGATCTTTGCTTGCGTTGCAATTCAAACCTTTGCACCTTCTTCTCTTCCTACCCATTTCCTCTCTGCAAACCCCACCTGCGTCTTATACCAATCGAGCCTGATAAAACAAGAATCAAACTAACAATTCAACTCAAATTTGACAGCGTACCCAATGGTTGTTCTTCCCAGCAGCAGCGGGTACCGTCCCAATAAGGGCGTCAAACGTGAACATGATCCCGACCAAATTCACGATATCAGTTCCAAAAGTCCAAATGCAAATGGCACTTCAAACAATCACACACACCAGCATAAGAAAAAAAAGAGTCACCATCCTCAAAACCAGGCCGAACAAAGCGGAGGCGGAAAGAAGAGAAAGAAGTCTAAGCACAAGTCTTCTCAATCACAGCAACAAGACACATTAATGAGTGGAGGCTTAGGAGATATGAGCGTGGAGTTGGGAGAGCCGATCTTATCACCTCCTGACGATTCTCAAGATTTGACACCCAAAGTTGCTACAGCTATGGAAGTAAAGCATGCGAAAATGAACAAAGATGGAGGCGGTGGCAAAAAGAAGAAAAATAAGACGAAGAAGAACAGGACCGTACATTTTGAAGAACCTAGTAGTAACTATCGCCCACCGCACGTTGTTGATGAGGAAGAGGAGGCAGAAATCGAGAGATTCGAGATGAATCGTGATACAGCTGCGCGCGAAACATCTAACTTACCCGTTCGATCTCACAGCCCAATCTTACCACCAACATCCAGTCCAATTCTTCCTCCTACCCGACCAAAAAGATCCTTGAGCCATGGTCCACCACCTCCTATTCTCCCACAGGCTTCTCCAAGTCGGATGAATCCACTGTATGTTCCTCCCACAATCTCGACTCCGATCTTACCTCCAGCTTCACCTTTCAGAAGAAGACGTGGGTCAACTGATAATGCCTTTTCTCAACCGCCACCAACCTTCTCAACAGAAGCTTCCAGTCCACAGACTACTCAATCAACACGTGCCAAACCAACATCCGCCAAATCAGCCGCACCTAAATCTAAGGATGACGAATGGGAGTTTAGCACTGGAAAATTCGAGCAATGATCGGTGATCCAATGGAAAAGGACGCCCAAAGAGAGGAGAGTAAGTTGCATTCACCGATTTCCCATCTCGGTATCTCAATTATTGCTAATTCCTTTCTGCCCACTTAGACGTTGCATTTTCATCCAACTACATCCAATCCCCAATGCGACAAGCTCAAGGTATTAATTTAGGAGGCGTCAACTTCAACATTTGGCACATTAAAAACCGTGAAACCTTTATCTTCAAGAGTAAAAGCACTGTAATACAAGTCTGCTCTGTAGCTCAAGGTAGCATATGGGTATTCCTCGGAATCGAGAAGTTTCGCATATCGAAAGGTGGGATGTGGCGTATTAGAGAAGGAGAGATCTGCTCGGCCAAAAACCAAGATGGTCATGAGTGTGTCTTGCACATCACCTCAATTCCAAGTGCTTCTACATTGGTAAATCAGTGAAGGAAGTTGAAAGGAGATATCTGAAATTTCTCGCGAATTGGAGTTACACTTTGATGCACTTGCATTTGCAGTACATGAAACGGGGGTTTTCATTTAGAGAAGGCCTGGATTTTTTTTGGCGAATGCAGCAGGAAACCAATGATTTTTTATTGCACTCGCAGTCATGAAAGGGGGCATTATTTGTTTAAGAGGGTTGAAGCTCCGCATTAGGGAATTATATACATACCATGCTTTTCGCAAGTACTCCTCCACCAGAATCCTGCAAGGCAGAAAAAGCTTTCCCGAATCTATCTTGAGTCAGCCCATTCAGAAGATTATCTGCGGACTGAATGTGTTCGTGAAAAGAGAGTGCTCCCGTGTTGACCCCTGCAACCTAGAATGTCTCACCAACTACGGACCCGTATTCTCGTGGCGTTCACTAGTTTAACTGACAGCTGAAAGATTCCCCACCAAAAGCCCCCAAAACTTCCCAATCAGATTAATCCCCATCCCGCAAAGTGATCCTTTCAGGCTTAAACATTGAGAAGCTGGAGGAACCTTAACTTTATTCAGACGTTAGGCTTGAAATGGTACTTATTTTAAGTATGGTAGAAATTGGCTGCATAAATTGAGCCTCAACGTCCATCAATATCACGAGCTGATTTGATCAATTTTCTTTTGTGCTGTACAATAGGCAGTAGGATAGTAGGGGTTTTGTGCCGTTGAGAGTTTATTTGAATGTTCCTTCCCCTCTGAACACAATGCGTAAATTGTAGATCTTGAATGCCAGTCGCCCAAATCGTTCGTAGTGATTAAGTTTTGGTAGCACAAAATGATTTTTTCGTTGTTTCTGGTGGGCTCGAGTCTTTTGCCAGCAATTTTGGCGAAGGCGCTTCCCTGGACACCAGCAGTTCAAACGTCTACTGCAAACAATCGAGCACCGGTGCAAGGAGGGTGGAGTCCCAGTCCAACAGCAGCTCCGAACAATGCTCTGAAGGTGCTGGATCTATTGAAACGTCAAACAACTGCGAATAACACTTGCGGATATTACAATGGCATTCAATGTTAGTACTTCAACAGTCAACTTCGCATGCAAAAAGACAGATATAAACTAACAACATGAAGCGGAACCTTATACTTGTTCTGGAGCAGGCTACTGTGCCCATAATTCATATTCTGCTGTCGGATGCTGTACCGGAGATATCAATTCTTGCGATATATTCACCGCTTGCATTGACTACTCCTCGTCCTCGGCGCTTTGTGCTCTAGCAGACGGGTTAACAGGATGCTGCAACGATTCCGATTTTCCTTATTGTGCAACTTTCCTCTGGAATAACCCTCAAAGAAGCATGTATCGCTGCGTAACGTCTCCGGCATTTTATCTCATGTCTGACTACCCAGTCACTGGTACTGCTTCAACGACTGTCGCGTCTTCTGTCACTTTATCTCGAAGTGTCGCCTCAGTAGCGAGCAGCATTCAAAGTGGAGATGATGCTCAGGATGTAAGCAGCGCTTCTCGAAGTTCAGTGACCTCTGCAGGTTCGCGTAGCTCAGCATCTTCATCGTCACTAGCAACTCCATTCGCAGGCTCAACAACTCAAAAGAAATCCGGAGTTCCACTAGGAGCTATTATCGGTGGAGCTGTTGGAGGTGTGGCAGTAATTGCGCTTTTGATTTTTGCCATCGCTTTCTTTGTCAGGAGGAAGAAATCAAATCCCTCACCACCACAGCCTCCACCTCAAGTCTCAACAACCCTCCCTGATAACCCATATCACGGACCACCGCCAAATTCACCACCGCCCTTCTACGATAATCGTACCAGTATTGCAAAACCGGCTTATCCTGTACAACATACAACTGAATTGGCGAATACTGTGTATATTCCTCCTGCTATACCGGAGTATTATCAGCCACCGAAAGATGACGTCCCTGTTTCACCCGACTCCAACACACACAGATTTTCAAATAGTCAAATATATAGCGATCCAGGCCATCAATACTCCGAGCTGGACGCAACTGCTCTGAATCCTTTGAATGGGAATAGAGTGGAGTTAGGTAGTGAGCCGGGGAAACCAAGTCATGGAACAGAAACCAGTCCTACAAGATGAGAATGTTCAAATTATGATGATGATTCCGATCACAATTCTCCGAGAAGATTTTGGCCATTTATCAGATTCACAAGATGTTCGTGAGGAACATTTCATATGGAGTATGAGAGGTATCTCTTGCGAGGTGAGATGGAAATGTTGTATATGATAAGATTTTCCGATTTGCTCATAGAGTGTTTTTTAGAATATATCTAATATAGTTTATATAAATTAATGTTCAACTTGAGCCTTTTGCTAGTATATACTAGGTAGGTATGTTTTGGTGCTTCGACAAGATGATGTGGTTTATTTGTGAAAACTTGCCTTGGACGGGGCTCCAGTCGTAATATACCGGAAATCGATTCAATCCCTCTCGTGATATGGACGACAAAGAATATCTTGATTTGAAGTTGTGACAACAGCCAGGTGTTGATTTGACATCTTATAGAGTCTCTGCTATCACTTTGCACGATTTTCAAGGTGTCTGAGAATTAATAAGAGTGTTACATAACTTTCTGAGAGCACGGACCATCAACCAAAAACGACATTACAGTGAAGAAGCTTCATAAAAACCAAGCAAAATGACATTCATACATTGTACACTTTGATATACAGACAACGTGGAACAGATTTGATTCCATCAAGTGAACGAGATCGTGATCTTACATTGATCTCACGCGAAGTATCGTTCATCAAAGATAAGTTCCATAGCGAGATCACAGACATGCCCACCCCACTATCGTGGATCTGTGATGCGATACTGCATTTTCGGTTGTCGCCCTTCGTCAGGTTTGTTCGATATCAGGTATAACATTCATTTACTGTTGTAGATTGACATATTGGGAAACTACGAATACTCAATATTGCTGTGAGCTACTTTTGATCGTCACTTCCTTATTCAACTACTAGGTAATTCTTTCCCTCATCGGCCCGAAATTCTAGCAATTTCTTCCTTTTCTGAAAAATCCCGTTCTACCAAGATTCAATCTTTAGAAAACAATCCTTAAGTATCAGTCCCATCATTATCCGTCCCGTCAAGTATTAGTTCTATCATTCATCAGCCTACCAAGTATTGGTCCTATCGAGAAACATTCCTATCAAATTACTTGCCAATCATCCATACACACATCTCACAAAAATGCCTGAAATATTACGAGTTGGAATTATAGGGTTAGGGGAGATTGCACAGGTATTGTCATCTAGGAACGTCTGCAGCAAACGCAACTAACTCTCAAATACAGGTCTCACATATCACAGTCCTGAACAACCTATCCGACTATTTCACCATCACATACCTCTGTGACCCCTCTGAAGCTGCTCTGGAGCATTGTTCAAAAAAAGTTGCTGGGAACACCCCCAAAATAACCACAGATGCGGCACAGCTTTGTTCGTCTTCCGATGTCGATGTGGTTCTGATAACAAGCGCACACGGTTTCCATGCGTCCCAGGCCATACTTGCCCTACATAATGATAAATACACCCTAGTAGAAAAGCCATTGTGCTTATGTTTCCGAGATATTGAGCAGCTTGAAGAAGCCGAAAAGGGATCGGCAGGCAAGATCTTTGTTGGGTACCAAAGGCGCTACGCCCAGGCATTCGTTGATGCCGTAAAGGAAGTAGGTGGCCTGGGCAAGATCCAATATGCCCGTGTCAGAGATATCATCGGACACAACAGCAATTTCGTTGATCAATCGGCGACATTCCCTAAAAAATTCTCAGATTACAGGCAGGCGGATTCCGAAGCTATGTCAGCGGTTCTGAATGAGCAGATCATCCACGCCCTTGGGAAAGAGTATGGGATGGACGTAACTCCTGCGGCTAAGGAGTTTTTCGGATTCTTTTCAATGTAATATCCCCACACAACTTCAGATTTCATCAGTCACTTACTGATTTTCTAGTCTCGCTACTCATGATTTGAGTGCAATGAGAGAAATACTTGGTGGAATGCCTCAAAAAGTGCTAGGATCATCTCTAAGCTTACCATTTTGGACAGTATTATTCCAATTTGATGGCTTTGCTGTAACATATGAGTCGGGTGTTCATGGCGTCCCAACATTTGACGCACACCTAGAGGTATATTCGGAGGACAAGATCGTTCGGGTCAATTACGATAGTGGATATATCAAAGGGCTTCCCGTCACGATGACAATCAGGGAAAGAATTGGCGAATCGGGATACCAGGAAAGAACTGTGAGGAAAACGTATGAGGATCCATATACTTTGGAATTTTTAGATTTCCATGATTGTGTTATCAATGGAAAGACCCCTAAGACAAGTGTACAAGACGCGAAGCAAGATTTGGATCTTTTCAAGATGATCCTTCAATCCTCAAATTCCCTACAATAGAATACATACCTAGGTAGAACAATAAAACCCGACGTTTTCAAGAAGTCAAAGCGCAACAAGGTTTTCATCATCTACACCCAAGTTCATGGAGTCTTCTTTACCTTGCAAACAACGCCTTTGGAAATTTCAATGGTTTGATCCTTACCGAATGATGTTTGGTAAAGTTGCCTGCTACATACTGTTCTACATCTCATCTTGACTAACGCTGCTTCTGACCAATTTTTCAATACCGCTGTTTGTAGGATTCGTCTTTCGGGTCCGATTGAGCCTAGAATTCTCCCGTCCTCAACTATAATATATTAATTATCACAACTAGTGTGTGATACTGTTCGCTAAAATGATTTAATTCCCAGACAATTTGTTCCCGTTTCAGCACCTCATCGCTTGTCAACGTTCTTCCCTGAAACATGCCTTCAAACATTCGTCTTTAGGTCGTTCATGATGGAAACCAGTTTCGCTATTTGAACCACTTTTGGTAAAAACAGTTTTATACCTGGGACAGGAACTTCGTTTGTCTGTAATGAATCTTCTATATAGATTTTCGAACGAACTACATAGCCACAAGTGATTTAATAGAAACGACAAAGTTTGCTCATGTTTCGTCGTAGTGTAGATATTCGCCACGATTGGGCTTCATGATTGGGTATAACATGATCTTTGAATACTCCAAGGTACATGTCAGCTCTAGATCATATTGAACGGCAAGCCGCAAACCTTGTGAGATTGCAATCCTTCGACTTCTTGGCAAGCACATTGTGAATGTGCTTTGGTTGGTCCGGAAAAGCTGCAAAGTTTGTTTGTATTACTCGAGGTCTATAATACATCATGTACACGATAGAGGAATAAGTCATCCGGATATGCCAACGAGTATCCGCATCCTGTCTACTCGAGTAAATCATCAACGGAAAATATTCCCCCCGCATTAATGTGGGGACCTATTGGAATGGTTAGGGTTACCCCATGATCGTCTGCCGTGAAACTCTCATTTCTATGCTTGGCAATAATCTTCTCGTTCCACACACAAGTCATTTCATGTTTTCGTGAAAATGCGCACGGCTTTGTGATCTAGATTGAGCCCAAGTAGCGAGTTTGTGGTAAACAGAATAAAGTTTCATTTTTCATACGTGCATCATGGATAATGGATATCGTTTGCAGACGGGGACAGTTAGTCGCACAGACTCAATCTCAACACCAACCTTGTGTGAGGACTTCTCTTAAAAGTTCGGAGTAGGAAGGCGTTCGTTAAGAATGGAAAGGGAACTTGGGGTGGTTTAGATTATGAAAAGAGTTCTTCTCCCCATATTTTGTGACATATCGCCAATGTTGACATCTTACCCTGGCTCGTCGAATGCAAGTTTACTTTGCTGGTAATGTCTTCAGTAAGTCGAGCTTCATTCATTGCAATCTTCCTGTGAAGGCTAGTGCCCCTTTAAGTTCTTAATCCAACTTGCGTAGTAGCTGTCAGGATCAACCAGAAGAAGCGTGTTCTATAGCTTCGTTGTATAATGAAATACTAACGGAACATCAGGGCGATGAATTGAATGATACAAGAGTACATTTACTACTCGTAGGAACGATACTTCCAACAGCTTTGGGTACGACATTTGTGGCCGGACGTCTCTATACTCGGGGAGTCATCACTAGAAACTGGGGATGGGATGACTTTTGCATTGTTATAGCATGGGTACGATACTTCATTACACTATAAGGTCACTTTACTGTTGATCCTCTCTAATAACTGGAACAGATCCTTACCATCCTCGTCGCAGTCAACAATGCACTCTTCTGTAGCTATGGCGGCGGCCGTCATGTTGAACTCCAGACCCCGTCAGACATAGAGCCCTTCTTCATCCTCGCTTTCGTGTCTCGAATCCTCTACCAAGTATCTCTTATGACGGTAAGAGTTGCCATCTGTCTGGTCTATTCACGAATCTTCCAAGATCGACTGAGTAGAATCATCGTATACAGTCTATTGGCTTTCCAAATTGTATCAACGATTCCTCTTACGTTGATTGTCATTTTCCAATGCGATCCAATCGTTTCGCAGTGGGACCTCAGCGTGGAACAAGTTCGTTGTATTGATCCCTTGCCGGGAATCATTGCCTTTACCACTTGTAGTGTCTTCAGCGATGTGGCGCTTATTCTTTTTGTTGTGCCAAGAGTTTGTATGTATTATCTTCCTTACCCTCCTGTATTTTTCAATCGAGAAGAACGGTTTTTAACGATGCCAAAAAGTACCCCTCAAAATCAACAAACGTCAAAAGGCAACACTAGTCGCGATCGTCAGTTTCGGTATCCTCGTCATCATCGCCTCGATCATTCGCTTCATTCGCTCTAAGCCCATTTTTACCAGTAGAGATTATACGTGGGATCTGTGGGAAATCACAACGTGGTCGAGTATTGAACTTAATACTGCATTGTTCTGTGTTAGTGCGCCGTGTCTAAGACCGCTGGTGAGGAAAATGGTGCCCGATATTACGTGGTTGAAAAGTGCGGCGACTGCGAGTAGGAGTCAGGCAACGACAGTTGGAAGGAGAAGAAAGAGCTCGGCTGTGGGTTTGCAGGGGAATAGCGGGAATGTGAAGATAGGAGGAGAAGAGATGCCGCAAAATGATTTTAGAATGGCGTCGAGATTCACGGTGGGTGGATCACTGAGTTCTCTCAATAATGATCGACCTGGAATGGGAAGGAAAGAAAGGAGCAGAGGAAGAGGCAGAGAGGAATGGGAAATGAGTGTACTTGGTTCGCGAAAGGGGTCGAGAGCTGTAGTGGACGAGGAAGATTGGATTGGTCTTGTTGATGATGGGACAGATGAAGAGGAGAGAATTAGGGACAGGGTGCGGGAGTTGAGCGGCGTTCCGGTTGTGGGAGTTGGGACGTAGACTAGTACAAAGGGGTACTAATTCTTTGAGGTGGTTTGAATGGCGCAATTGTGGATAGATAAAGGGACGGCTGGATGCCAGGATACTTCGTGGAACTCGAAGCAAGGCGTTTATTATATATACCAACTATACCATTTTTTTTTTGGAAACGGAAAGGACTAAAAAGGGAAAGCAAGGGGGCGGGAAAGATCCGAAGAGAAGATACTTCCAGCTATGAATCTGGATTTTGAATTACCAAAAATTGACTAAGAAAATAGGCTCATAATTCATTACTGTGGCACTTATACCTATGACTTATCGTCTTACACTGCGTGGATCCTTGTCAATGCATGCGAATTCTGAGACTATTCTTCATCAAATGATTCTCTACAATACACAAAGTTGATTACAGAAATATGGAGCTTATCCAAGAACATAGATTTCGTCAATATCTCAATGGTCGATAATTCAAATATCTATCCCAGACAAATGGTTTCATTACCTGAACGCCGTCGCTTAATGCATACATTATTGACCTAGGTACCTTGTCCCCATCCGTTTCCTTCGTTTCTTGATGATGTACAATTGATACGAAGATATTACCTTCTGCCCCCTCTACCCGCTGGAGCGCCTCCCATCCCGGGCATTCCAGGCATTCCAGGCATACCGCCGCCACCCATCATTTTCTAAAGACAAGTTAGCAAGGTATCAATACTGAGGATAAACTAGAGGATATACCATCAGACTAGACATATCAGGCATACCACCGGGCATGCCTCCAGCACCACCACCACCGAGCATTTTCTATAACGATTGTTAGCGGTGATTTGACATCAAAATGGTTAGCAGGACATACCATCATGCTACTCAAATCTGGCATTCCACCGCCTCCACCGCCTCCCATCGAAGCGAGTCTCTTTTGCATGGCGGCCATTTGTTGTTGTTTGTTTGCACCTCCCATTGCACCTTGTGCTTTTTGCATATTCTTCATACTTCCACCCATTGTCTTTGCCATACCAGCCATCATCTTGTGTTGAGTTAATAAGTCCTCTATTTCCCTTACACTTGTACCACTGCCGCAAGCTATCCTCGTCATTCTAGTGGGTTGTTCGAGGAATATTTTTCCGTCTGAATCGAGTTCTTTGGCCGTCATAGAATCACAAATGTAAATCATACGTTTGAGTTTCATGGCACCATCCTCATCGTCCATTCCTTGCATCATATTTCCCATACCCGGAATCATACCAGCCATCTTCGAAAGAGGTCCCATCTTCATTATATTAGATAATTGATCGCGAAGATCACGAACTGTAAAAATACCCTCCACGATGTGCTTCATGGTGTCCTTTTGATCTAACTTCAAAGACTGAACATGCTCCATAAGTCCTTGCATATCTCCCATACCCAGTAGTTTGGAAACAAATTGTGTGGGTGCGAATTTTTCTAAATCAAGCATATGTTCTCCGGTTCCGATAAATATGATAGGTGTATGTGTTGCTGCAACTGCAGAGATTGCACCACCTCCGCTTGCATGCCCATCGGTTTTCGTGATAATAATGGCTCCAAAGTCAGCAGTCTCTTTGAAGGCCTTACTTTGTGCCTCAGCTTGCTGTCCTATACTGGCATCCATTACCATTACAGTTTGGTCGGGCTTCACAGCTGTTTGAATATCCACCATTTCTTGAAACAGAGCATCTTCTTGTCGATGTCTTCCACTGGTGTCCACAATAATAATCTCGAATTTCTCCTTCTTAAATTTATCCACACCCTCCTTCGCCACAACTGCTGGATCCGTTTGTGTGAGAGAACCGTAATATGGAATTTTAGCCTTTGTAGCGTTTTGTTTCAACTGATCGAAAGCACCTGCACGGAAGGTATCCGCGCAAACCAAACAAGCCTTGAACCCCCTTGATTGATACCATCTTGCCAATTTTGTACACGTCGTAGTCTTTCCAGCTCCCTGCAATCCAACAAACATGATAATATTCGCTTTGCCCTTCTTTGGCTTGAAAGGTTCGGCATGAGGATCGACAAGCTTGACTAGTTCATCATATACAGCCTTTTGAATGACTTTCTTCTTGTTGACAGCTGGGGCAAGCTCTTTAAAGTTCACGGAGGCTTTGATGGATTTTCGTAGGTTTCCCACTAACTTTACATTTACATCGGCCTCGAGCAATGCAGAACAAATCTCCTTGATCATGCCATCGAATGCCTAATTGATATTAGTAGGAGGAACGTTGAGAGATCTTGACAATTGTCCTTGACACTGACCTTTTCATCCAAATTGCTAGATCTTGTGAGATCTGTAACTGCAGCATTTATGCGCCGACCTAAATCTTGAAGAACCATGATTGTAATAGTTTATGCGACAGCTTTATTGACAGACTTCAATGTATGGCCCCAGATGAGATGGATGCATTTAATGATTTAATGTGGCTCGAAGGTGTGGGACAAATAAAAGCGCGGGGAATTTAGTGTACCGAAAGGTTTATCCGTTCTCCGAAAAATCCAAAAATTTCCTGGTTACGATAAGATTTAATTTTCCTATCAACTATTGTTCAAAGTGAAATAACTATCAATTCAATCACAACAACAACAATGGCAGGAAATGTTTCGAAGAAGCGTAAGGTGGAGGATGGAATGAAAGGAAAAACCGGTAGACCTACCAAGAAATTCAAGAAACAAACATACTACGAATCCTCATCCGACGAAGAAGAATCCGCAACAACTCAAGATTTTCAAGCAGTCAATTTACAAGATTCAGACGAAGAGGAGGAGGGACCCAATGATGCAATCACAGGCACTTTATCAGACGAGGATGATGAGCCAGATCTCAATGCCGCAGATAACGAGTTGGAAGAAGAAGTCACCGATGCCTCAAATTCCGATTCAGAAAATTCAGATGACGATTCGGACACAAATTCAAACCCAAATTTAATAAAGGCACGAAAGCGCAATGACCCAGAGGCATTTGCTACATCTATGTCCAAGATTTTGGGATCCAAGTTATCGGCGAGTAAAAGAAATGATCCAGTTTTGTCGAGAAGTCAGACGGCAATAGAAGCTAGCAAGGAAATGACGGATTTGGCCTTAGAAAAGAAGGCAAAGCATAAGATGAGGGAGGAGAAGAAGGCTGCAATGGAAAAAGGAAGAGTCAAGGATGTTTTAGGTGCTAGTACGGCATTTGATGCGAGCAATGGTTATGGAAATGGAGAAAATGTCCCAAGTGTACAGGCCACGATGGAATTGGAAAAGCGGTTGAGGAAAACTGCTCAAAGAGGTGTTGTCAAGCTCTTTAATGCTGTCAGAGCAGCCCAAGTTAAGGGAGAGGAGGCAGCCAAGGAAGCGAGACAAAAAGGAGTTGTAGGACAGGGAAGGAGAGAGGAGAAAATAAACGAGATGAGTAAGAAAGGATTTTTGGATTTGATTGCAGGTGGAGGTGGATTGAGAAAAGGAGAGATCGAAGAGGCCTGAAAAAGGATGGAATATGTTCTAATTACGTTTGGCATGGTATGGCGTTAGAGGTGGGATTTTACCCCTCATGAGGGTTTCGTTAAAGCAAAGTACCTAAGTATCCACCAACTCCTTGTCCATCATTGATATAGAGTATATGTACAAAGGACAGATACCCTTTTTAATATGTCCAACCTACAACCCAAATGCAATGCTTCCCTACACCATTATTTAGGGATAATGTCTCAAACCATTCGTGACCGTACATGTGATGAGGTTATGTCGCTCATCCACATCAACTCTTATTACTGAAATCGCTGGCTTGGAGATTTCGTGTCATAGAAGGAAGCCTTACGCGCAACCCATCCAACTCTTTTGACATCACAATTTGACAACCCAATCTTGATGTTTCCCTCAAGCCGAACGCTAAATCCAACATATCATTCTCATCATCATCCGGCTCGTTCATTTTATCGTAGAATGCTTCATCTTCGACTATAACATGGCATGTTGAACATGAGCAAGATCCTCCACATGCGCCTATAATGATTATCAGTTTATGGTCCAAGGATAATTGTCTTCTTAACCAACCTTCCATTTCCAAGTCATTGGCCTGTGCAATATCCAAAAGATTGTCTCCTGCCGATACCTCAAAAGTATGTTCATCTCCCTCCTTATCGAAGAATGTAACATGTAAGCTGCAAATCAATTAGCATTGGTATAAAAATAAATATTGACAAGTGAAAAAACCTACCCTTCCCCAGGCTTTGGGGGCGTTACATGCCCATGTAAAGCTTTTGATGTAGCTGAGAATTCTCGACGGGCAGCTGTAGATCTCCTGTTCTGTCTGATCTCGCACATCTGCTTCGTGCTGGGTCGCGACCCTGATATCGAGAAGGGACATAACAGAGCGGGCGCTGCGGGGGGTCTGCAGGAAAATCGAATAGGACTATCGGCCACTGTCGCAAACTCTCTTCGTAGAGATTGAGTTGTGGTTCTGCGAATGCCTGCAAAGGCTCGGCTTGTACTTCGAACTGCAGACATCTCGTCTTTATCGTGATTGTTGTGAAGAATGGGTGGGGTTGAGGAAGTGAGGAAGGTCCGGAGTTGAGGGTGGATAGATATGTAAGTGAGATGGATGTAGACTTCTTTTGCCCGAAGTAAATGTTTGATTTTTCAGATGCTTGTTGAAACTTCTTGACACTTTTAAGAATTGAAACAGTAGAGAATGTTCTTGCGAAGGAATCAAATATTTTTATTGTTTAAAATTATTGCAAGCTTTCCACAACTCTTTGCATCTTTAAACCAAAAGTTGGTGGCATTACATTTTGTACTCATATAAAAATATTCGTAAATCCGCGCATAACCAATCGGTGTATTGCGATTACTCCGAAATTTTGTGCGGTTCAGGGCGGTCGAACAAGCTGTGAGCAAGGCCTATTCACGGATAAGGCAGATCAGTCACCTATCACTCCAGTTCAGCCAGTTCAGCCAGTCCAGCTTTGGGGCCAATGTGATCCTTGTTGATGAACTCTCCAATTGAACATCGTAGGGAAAAAAAAGCTTGAATACCTTTACAAGGTAGTTCTTCCACCTTGCATTGACGGACCGACGTGGAAAACAAAGAGACGGCGACAACAACTACATAAGAGAATTTGTGTAAATTTTCTTTCCCCTCGTTTTTCTTCTTGAATGCAACATAACCCAAAATGTCGACCTCAAGAGAAGGTCCAAATCCGTTAAGACCATATTATGTTCCACCTTCTATCGGAATACCTCAAGAAGTACCTATCACGACTTCGGGAACTCATGGAGTAGGATTAAAAAATGGAAGTGCAGCTTCTTATGCATCTTCAGCTCGGGACATATTCTCAGATATTGACTACAGTGACTATCTATCGGATACCTCACCATCTACCATCGAATCACTCCAGAAGTTCGTTAATGAGACTTTTACCAACTATGCGGGGATATTGTGTGGGCAGCCCTTCGAGGTTGCAAAGACAATTTTGCAGGTAAAGAGTCAGGATATTGAGGAAGGGACAACACCAGCAGCTACAGTGGAGAAAATAAAACGACGACCATCAGAGTACAACGAGGTATGGTTTTCCAAGTGAGGGGTCGAGATGCGGAGCTAATCGGAATCTAGAACTACCCCTCCGACGACTCTGATGCGGACGAGACAGCTTACTTTACATCGGCGGCACCCCATACAAAGTCATCATCCCCATCGAGGCGTCGATATAGCAGCGAAGGATCTGGGTGGGAGGACAAGTCTGTTCCTAAAATAACACCGCCAAAGCCAAAGCCTGCACATCAATTAAACCTTAGGAGATCAGATTCTATAATGGAGGTGATAGCACAGGAATGGTCAAAGGAGGGAGCTTGGGGTGTATGGAAGGGATCCAATGCAACTTTCATCTACGGCTTTCTGCTGAAGACAATGGAAAGTTGGTCAAGCAGCATGATATCGGCGGCGATGAACATTCCGGACCCAGGTTTAGCAACACTAGCAGCGCAAGTTGATGTTACCGGTTCTCCTAGCCCATGGACGTCATTAAGTGTAGCAATAGCGGCAGCTGCTACTGCAGGTCTTATTCTTGCTCCTCTTGATCTTGTGAGGACGAAGTAAGTCATCAATCACTACTCTCAAGACATAATACTAATTCAGATAGGTTGATCCTCACCCCAACTTCAGATCCTAAAAGATCGCTCACTCACAACCTCAACACCCTACCCTCATATATATGTCCCCCATTACTTCTCATTCCTACTATTCTCCACTCCATAATCAAGCCCACTATATCACACTGCACCCCGTTACTTCTTCGAACTCGTCTCTCCATCGATCCTATTCTCACACCCACAAGTTACACAACGTTTACATTCCTTGCTCAAACACTAGAAATCTTCATTCGTCTACCAATTGAAACAGTTTTACGTCGTGGACAAGCTGCAGTACTCGCCTCAACTCAATACAACGAATCTCAAGACCTTAAAACAATTGTCGATATTGGTCCATACAATGGAGTGGTAGGTACAATGTGGTCTATTGCCCGGGAAGAAGGAGAGTCATCTAGTCCCGAGCCTATTGTAACTGTAGGCGCGGTGACACCATTGAGGAAAATTAAGAAAGTTCAAAAGAAGGGACAAGGGATCGAGGGACTCTGGAGAGGATGGAGAGTTGGTGTATGGGGATTAGTAGGAATGTATGGAAGTAAGGCTATGAGTGGTGTTGGAAGTACCGAAGGTGAATTTTAAGAAAGTCACAATACCTAGTCGTTGTCTATGACAATCATGTGTCAAGCCACTTCAAAACTTTGTGGGCATGATGGGACGGGGTGGCGTTGATTTGTTGTCATTTGTTTGGCTTGGGAACGATGGAATAGCTCTACTCACATATATAAGGCGCAAAGGAAACTGGCGTTAGGATAACGAAGATATGTGAAATGACCCAAACGTACTCACCTCTTCTTATTTGTTCTGTTTCCATTTCTGCTGTGCAATGCTATGCGATGTGTTTTACACTTGATGTTGATCTACATTTATCTGTTTTTCCAAACTGGTCTATTAGAGTTTCGCCAGTATAGTATGGTGACTCTCCATGCATCAATCCCACTAACTTCTTTATAATAGATAGCTGCGTGCGTCTCTAACGCAGCGGTACCTTTATCTGTTTCGCTGGAGGGCGGGGAATGCAGGCAGAGTAAGTATTGTAGAGGAAGTGAGATATTCAAAAGCGGCAATAGGAGATGCAGAACAAAGCGAGGGGTTGCCGTGATGCTGGTATACGAGATGTATTTGGAAGAGAGAAGAAAAGGCGAAGGGAGATCGAGGTTAGAGGGTAAAGCAGGTCAGCCGTGAAAATGTTGATTTTGCTGGGGAGTCGATTGATGGGGTTTTGGTTGACTTTGAGGGATGATCACAGAATTTGTGGGATATGTGTCAGGAAGTCTGGAGTAAAAGTTAAGGTTAAGGGGTCCCTAACACTGCTTATAATTCTTTAGCGATAGAGTCCCGTCGTAGTAGAATCCGGAAGTCAAAATCAATCACAAGCACAACCTCTTCTATCATCGTCCAAGCGAGCAATATAAAAAGACGCCATTGATAATTCTTTTCCTGCATTTACGTTTACATCAAATACTACTCGCATCGATATACATTACAGCAACAATTAATCCATTTCATTCTCAACTTATTCAACTGTCTTCCCTAATCCCCACTTCAAACTCCCACTGATATCTTGTCTATCAGATGTAACACCTGCAATCTTCAACCCCAATTCTGCTATTAATATTCCAGTCACTACGAGTATCAGAATCTGTATCCAAGTCACGTCTGCTGCGTGATCGTTTTGAAAATACAATAGTGGAGACTTTTGAATTGTTTCTTCGATGAGTGAAGACTTTTTAACGTTCTCTTGCTTGTTTGCATCGAGTGGCTTTTGCACCTTCTTAGCCGAAGAACTTTCATGTTCATGTTTGTATTCTTCATTTACGTCGAGTGGCTTTCGAACCTTCTTGACTGAAGAACCTTTGTATTTGTGTTTGTATTCCTCATTTGCATCGAGTTGGTTTTCTAGCCTCTCCGCTGCATCTAGCGGACTCTCGGGTTCGTTATGGAAAGGTAGATGACCACCGGCAAAAGGCTGTACATATTTTCCGCCCGCACCGAGACCTTCGCCCCATTTAGCACTTTTGACTGAAGGCTTAGCACGCACTGGATCTTTCAGAGTCGTGGTCACAGATTCCCGGGGTGGTCTCTGAAATGGCTTCCACCAACCCCCTACATCCTCATACCCTTTTGATTTTTCCGAATCTGAAGGTTTAGTAGGCTTTGCCTCATCTGCAGCCTTTGTCGAAGAATCCTGAGATTCATTCTGGGTCGGCTTCCACCAATCCTCCATATCCTCATATCCCTTCGCTTTTCCTTCATCAGCATTCCAGAGTCTCGGCTTATCCCAATCAAGTAGCTGAGATGGTTCACCGTATTCTCTATGTCTTCTACTTCTCTCTCTCTCCACTCTCTGGTACTCATTTTCAGTCGTACTTCGGTCTCCAACCCGCCCTACTCTCCTCGGTGCTTTCCTTGTCAATCTCCATGCCGCTAATTCTTCTTTCCTTTTGAGAATCGCTGCTGCTTTTTCTTTGTGGCGTTGCATTGTGGCATCTAATTCTGCATTTTTCTGCTTGAGGTGTTCAATATCAGGGTCGGGTTGTGAATTTCTCTTGTTTATTCTATCATTAAATTCAGCAAGCGAAAGATTCTCAGCAAGGAGTGCATCGAGCCAATGTACGCCTCCTTCTCCCTCTAAAGATTCAGTGGGAGATCCGTTTATCGTTCCCCATCCATGATCTGAACCGTTTCCCGACTTCTTTTTCGATGAATTCTGTCCTGAGCTTTCAGATCTTGGCAGTTTTTGAGAGTCAACGGATCCGTAATTTTTTTCGTAGTCACGTCGTTTGTCTTCCCATACTTTTCTTTCCAGGGAGATACGGTCGCGCCTCGAAGACGAGGTTGGGAAGTTTGGGGGGTTGGTGAGATATTCTCTGCGTTCATGAGATGGGGTTTTTCGCCTGAGGGTGTCTTTTCCGGATTGGGTAGCCATTTTGTAGTTCTCGAAGAGTGATGGCTAGGGATTTCCGAGGAAAGTTATTGACAATTCAGGGTTCCAGATTTGGATATTTGGCGATGCGGTTTGATGGGACAAAGGAGAATCATTTCTATTGAGATTATTACAATTGGAAGTTAGCTGACGCATGCAGAACATCAAAGAGAACATGACATAAGGAATGACATAAGGAATGACATAAAGCTTTTCAAGAGTAAGAAAATAGTTGCTATGATTGGATTTTGATAGGTTCATGGTATTGTTCAGAGGAAATGACTTTTCGGAAGCTGTGCTCGAAAAGCTAAATGGGTATAAACACTCACTGATCATGCTTTGATTCTACATATAGACTTGACCTCGAGAAGGGTGTTGTTTGCATTTTTGGGTTTCTCTACAGATTGAAGATTCTTTGTGATTAAACTCCGAAGTAGGTTTGAGCCCATATGTATTCACACCACCCCTTTCTTTTCGTGATCAATTATCTCTCGAGTCTCGACTGGCCGAACAAAGCAGCAGGTGTTGTCAAAAGACAATAAGTATTGTTCTTAAAGACAAAGCAATTTTTCGCGGGAAGTACTTGATTTCATGTACTTTATCCGTGAATTATTATTCAACAACTCTCCAAACATTTGAGAACAGTTACAACATTCCATGTATAAAGGTAAGAAGCTTGCAGTGGTGAAAGTTTCCTCATCAGCCTGTCAATATTTTGTGAGTTTGAAACTTTAGTCTAACTAGTATTCCGCAAACCCTCAAAAGACTTCGCAGAATTATTTCCAAATTTACTCAGACTTCCCACACCAAATTCCGAACACTAGCTGCAAACATGGCCTCAGAAGACCAATTTGTCGACATCGACTTGCACCCAGCTGGAGCTACGAGAGAGCAGGCAAGAAGACAGCACATCGTGAAATATTCCGTGCAGGGTAAGAAAACTAAGAGAAGTTGCTACCCCATCGTCATCTGCATCTTGATTATTATCATAGCGCTTCTTGGATTTTTCATTGGGTTCCTATTGATCCGTCCAGGTATCATCGGAATGCCATGCTCAACTCAGGTCAAGTCTCCCCAGCCTTCCTCTCTAGTTCATCGTCAGACCTTCACTCGTCCATTTTGCAATACTACGACAACGACTAAGCAATCAATCACGAAGACGAATTCGAAGACTCAAGCCACAGCCACAGGTACGCTAAGTGGCATTGATCCAGTAGTGATCGCGACTTGTCTCGGTGTTCTGGAAAATGCTTGCGCAACGAACAATTCACAAACAACCTTCGGCCAATGCGATTCATTATTTGTGCTCTTCTATTGTGACTTGACTGATATGATGGTCTTTCGAGATGCAATGAAGCCCGATGCTGATGGAATGAGTCCAGTCTGCCAGCCAATGAAGAAGTTTTGTTCGAGAGCTATCCCATTGAACAGAATTCCTCTAGTAGATGTCAGTCCTTGAACGATAAGTTCTGAGTTAAATGACAGGAACAGAGCAGTATGTAAGATAACGTCAACGATAACAGATATTTTTCCTTATGAACTTGTGCTTGACTTGTAAATGTGAGAATGAAAACGAGAATAAATGTGCACACATTTGGTTGGATAAGCATGGAACAAAACTAAAACGCGCAGAGAATCGTGAAAAGCCTATAGCTATAGGTCAATGAAGCTTTGCAGCTGAATTTCGAGGAAAGTGTCACTGAAGAAAGTCGTGGTAATAGTCATATTTGTCTCTTGTGTAAACCATTACCATCCTCTGGCCATGTAATCACTATATCTCGTATTGTCTGTGCGTGCGGCAAAGAGAACTCAAGAGGAATTCGTGACATGGCTTGGGAAGCCATCTGCGGTGCTCATCCACGTGGAATGGATAACTGGAGAGTGGTGAATATTCCCAACTAGGTTTCCATACAGCTCTCCGAAACTCTCCAGTTGTCATTTGATTGTTATCTTCGGTCAAGTAGTGTTGCAAACGATAGGACAGAATCATGGGGCATTCGATCTGAACTTTCCAAATATTGTTACACTTATTGATGAGAGTCCGCCGAAATCACTACAGAAATAAGTATCCAGTCGTCAATTTGAGAAGTTTCGAGGATTTCTCATTTGTAAGCAACCACAAAATTGTCGGCACTTGGGTTAGGGGGAGCTAAGACAGCTGGTTAGTGTTCCAAGCGTCTGGACCTAAATAATTAGCGAGTCATACTAAGAATTTAGTATCTTTACATTGAAACGACAAACCTCAAGAAGACACACATATATAATCGCTTGCAATACTTGAGTGCCATGATTATTATCCTTGGTGTGTAGCACAGCCACTTAAACAATATATACGTTCCTACGACGTGTATATCTTCCTCTTTAAGATCGAGATGAGCATTACTGTGTTCACTTGCTGACTTCAGGGCTATTCCAGGTTCACATGAACACCAGATGTTCTGGATGCTTTGTGCAACGATGGCGAATGAGGTACACCGAGTAGGAATTCCAGTGAGGTATCATTCTCGAACCTTGGCTGGCATTGTCAAACCTTGAATATACCATTGGCTACTGGGCAAATATATTGCTTAAATGGACCTTGCCCTCCAATTTCCAGGGATGTAAAATTCCAGATTTTAATCATATTTCTTACTGGAAATTGACAAGTCATAGTTCGTCATTTGGCTTCTGTAACTTTTGCAGTGGTAGGCCGCGCTCTGATTCTCCCGGTAGATGCATACCCGGATCACTTGCAGGCCCATACTGCATTTGAAGTGCATAAATGGACTCAAAGGTGGCCCTTCATTGGCACATGTCCACCAGAAATGTGTTTCGTAGCTCGTTGAGACGAGGCAAATTTTGTGATCAAAAACAAGGTAACCGTGCTAACGAGAAAAGGAATATGAACGCCCAGCTCAAGTGAAGTGTTTGAAAGGAGCAGTCGACCCATGACTGCATGGTTCACAGTGAATTAAAAATATATATTGAGGACTTCCCACCACGAAGAAGGTTGACTATAGTCGAAGCGATCTCGAATATATCTATAAAATCTACGTACTCCTATTTTCATGTGGTATGTATTCACATACCTTCGTACCATCTCCATGTACCTTGAACCTTCGGATCATCGCTAAATAACAATAGGCTACAGAACATATGATTCGTCCATCTGGCTATACATACCCACCAATCACCCAGCCGCTCACATCTGATTCCATAAATCATGTGTCGTTCAGGATCACACAAACGTGCCGGAGGTTCGCAATTATTCGGCGGAAAGTCCTCAACTTATAGCTCACGGCACTTCTTGCCCGAATTTTGAGCCTCAATACACAGTACAAATTTCTCACGCAAGTTTCAGACTACGCAAACAACCCTCTACCTCTCGGAGGTCGTATTTCCAAAGGAGAAGTAGATATACACTGCATTCAAAACAATATTGGTTTCCCTGGATTTCGTATTGTGCAAACTTGTTGACCCACTTCCTGATCAAATCTAGCACTCTCGAGATCGGTGGCAAAATACTCCTCTTGCCAAGATGAAACACATCGGTGTTCAATTAATGGTGTTATACAGCAGCCACTTTGTTCGTGATAGGCCTCATGTTCGCAACTAATACCACATCGGTAATGAACGAATCCTACACAAGTTTCTATCTACCAGGATGGTATATTGTGCCCCTCCCTTTGTCTAAGTGGACGCTGTGGAGCAAATACATGGATTAGTTATCGATAGTTATATTTTGCTCGTTGAATTCAACAGGTATTCTCAAAATGTTTACAAGTCTGAGAAAGGAGATCTGTAGTTTACACTCGGAGACGATAATATGACAATTCTTGGTTGTCTCGTCGTTTTTGATATCGGAATGACTCAAAGTGGAATGTATTACTATGCTTGAATATACATTTAGTCGCTATCATCCCATGGGGTTGCTGAAAGGTGCGTCGAATATGCATCGTCAGCCAGGAAGGGTTATGGTGCAAAAAAAAAAATAGGCCGACATCCAATCAATGTCCGTCACGAGGACTATACTAGATCTCCGTATACCCAGGTAATGACCTTGCTAACCTTCAGAATTGTCTTTGAATTATCACAAGTGTTCGTTTGCAATTCTTCACGACATTCATCCTGTCGCAAGCTGAATAGATACGTGCTTCTGACTAAAATCTATCAACCATTTGGTCAAAATTTTCACAGCACTCAGTAAGAGTTTGAAGAGAAGTTCATGCATTGATTTGTGAGACAAATGTGAGTTTGCTTTCTTCATGAACTTTCTGACACTTCCTGATTCGGAGTTCGACACAGAGACCCTCGCGACAACAAATAAACTAGGCACGCAAACTATTGATACAATGGCTCATCAACATCATACTAGCTTCCTCTTCAATGTGAATGAGCTTTACGTTAATGAAGATCCCGAAAACGGAGGTAGACCTCCGAGGGTAAACGAGAATGGACGATGGGTGCCACCCGTCTATAGAGATGGTTTTTTACCTCAGACTCCCGGGCGAATGTTTAGATGGAACAATGGAAATATCGAATATGCTGGGTTCAATTATCGATGGTCTGACGGGCAAGGTTTGACCTATACGAACAACGGAACACTTCAACATTATAGTAGTACAACTTTGTTTTGGTGTAATGAATTTACGCAGTTTCAAATGATAGAAGCGGACGCATCAACGATAGACATAGCAACTTCAGATTTCCCATACAACAGATGGTATCCCCTTACATTTCGGTATGAAAGAACACTTTCAAGGGTATCTGCTTCTGTGGAGGAGCAATATCTTGCTGGGAGAGACGGGGCTTGGATTGCTCAGCTTGGGCTTCAAGCCTACCGCAATCGTGAGAACCAACCGACGGAAGGACTAGCTGGCAATCTTGCTACCATTCTGGCATTGGTGGCATTCTCTTGCACTGATGATGACACTTTATACAATGTTCTAATCAATAATCTTGCATGGCGAGGGCAGTCAAGGGTTTACGACGCAGAACATGGAAGTAAGCTACCAGATCCAGGTCACACAATGATTATCAAGATCTAACCAGAATAGGACGTCCTGAGAGAGGAGTCGTGAGCAACATCTATCTAGACCCAGAGAATCCGAATGGCTCTACATATGATGCGCTCCGTCATCTCGAGTGGACGGACGGACCCATTATTTACTAATACTCGGTCCTGTAAAACAAACACACTTTTTCAATGCCTCACTACATCGAGTTTATTTTGTGAAGATTCGCGGATACTTGGAACGAATGTTTCTCTTTATTGTCCTGGAATATACCCCTCTATTGATGAAGTGGCTTGTATTTCTCAGTACTGATAATACGTTACGCTGCCATTATGGTTTGCAATGTTCTCTTCCGTTAACTTCAACTTTCCAAAATCTTTGATGCGCACATCTCAGGGCTTCATTTCATCCGGTGCTTGCTTATGTAGCAGTCTTAATTGAACTTTCGGAACTTATTCAACACCTGAAAATGTTCCATTTGGTCAAGAGAGCCGAAATTTGAGATGTGCTTCCAACGAACTCAGCGGGGTTCTCGCATAGCTGATTATTTGCAATGAATATCTATATCATGCTTGATTCTGTCTAATATACCGTTGATTTTACAATATTGCAATAATGAACAAACAGCCCTATATCACAACGAGCCGCCACGAATCAATCAGTATATCCCAAATAGCTGAATGAGAATGCGTAGAAATGAGATTTCCCATCATTGGCTGGATGCCCATGCACGATGTCGAGGTAATATGCAGAGTAACCAGTCTTGCAGCATCACATGTGGCTTAGCAGGCAACAGCCTCGTTGGGTATTGTATAAGATGGAACCTTTCGTCCTTGGAGTTCGGTCCCTCATCGCTGTTCTTTATCACGTCAATAGCCCACCATGTCATTTGGATGGTCTGCTGGGGATATTGCGCAGGCAATATCTTTGATTGTCAAGGTTGTAAAAGCCCTTGATGATGGAAGTGGGGCCCCTGATGAGTATCGCAAAATGGCTGTCTTTCTTGAGAATGTTAATCTCACATTAAAGAACCTACACGTCTTCGCTACATTAGGGCAACATCCTTCGTATGGAGATGAGATTCGTAAACAGGCTGAGAATATTCGTCCGCCTTTGGAGCGTTTTCTCAACATCATGAAGAAATTTGAACCACACTTAGGTAGCAATGCCACACCCGGCTGGTGGAAAAACATACCCCGAAAGATGTTATGGACTTTCAAGCATTCCCATCACAAACTGAAGAAGGAAATTAAGGAGTATTTATTCACGCTCGACAATCTTTTAAATAGATTTACATTGTGAGTGTTCTTTCTCAAAACCTCAACACTATTTGCAACACTCATACAATTACTAATTCATGATTACTTGAAGGGAATTCGTCCTTACTCTTCCAGACGAACTGAAACAACTATTTATCAATACTCTTACCCCCCAGGTGATTTCAGCTCTAGAAGTAATGGTCAATCCTGTGCGCAGCGAAATATCTACGATACGAAGCGAAGGGAGGAGGCAGCAAAAAGAACTACGTTCTAAAGCAGAGGAAATCATTATATTGTTGCAATTGCTCAAGATGGATGACTCCAAGTCTGAGAATAATGGTGCTTTGGATGCTGCCGTTCACAATATAAAAGAGCACATCACTAATACGCTTGGATCAACGTCCAATAATCCTCAAATACCCATCATTGACAGTTGCTCACGAATGGCATGTAATGCCGATTCACTTCCTGCAAGCAAGTTTTCGTTTCGGGCAATGAACGGAGATCCACTTGAAGCGAGCGACGAGGAGATCAAACAATCATTACGAAAAATGTAAGTCTTTCTGGTATTCTTTATAATATCCTACAATCTGATGTTGAACCCCGCAGATATTATAGCATTCCTCTATATGCAGGAATGTTCCTACGCAATCTATGGTACGATTCCGATTCTCTCACATGAAGTATCAAATATTGATTCTGTGTAGTTTATATCTCGCCAATAGGCTGAAGCTGTCGAGACCCTTGACACCCACCTTACTTGCGATGTATCACATAACTTTTCATGATGCACTTGGCCGTCCTCCAAGAGTTCTTCAGATTGATGTTTTTAATAACTTTCAAGTATGTATATCCTTACCAAACTCAACTTTTATTGAGGATATAGGTCTTCCAGGCATTTTTATGTCAGTCATTCTCTGATACAGTAGGGCAACCCTGGGTAGAACGAGGGTCATATCTACTCGCGAACAAATCAGAAAAATCTGCTCTGACGGCCGATACCTGGTCGCGTATCATTAAGCCAGGATGCCATATAGAAATGGCCATGGTGCTTGACTACAATAACAAACTAACAAACAGATGTCCTGACACCAATTGTTCGGGCGCCCTGATCAATATGACCCATTCCACATGGAGAAAATGGTTCGTAAATCCTGTCATACCCCAAAGTTCACCTGAAGTCAGCTAATTTACAAAGTCAATCATGTCAGAAAGAGATACTTGAACCTGACGTTGCCAAAAAGATTGAGAAATCTTATGCTCCTGTGTCGCAAGTGGCTACGGAACAGCACGAGACAAAAGTATCTGAGGCTATTAATAATGCAACTTTTGCTCGGTGCGTCTATCGACTAAATCTTCAATATCCGACTGCTCAATCTGCGGAGCCTCTGAAACCACAAAAGAATGATACAGAGCTTCCAACGATACAATCTAAACCTGCCCTAGCGCTGCAACGAAGCGAGTCAAAACCTGATGTGAGGCTTTCAGCTCGACCATATGCAGCAGCTTCAGTATCGCGGAAAGGCGATGTCTATACGTGGTCCTGTTGCTGGTGTCGAGATTATAATGGAGGCTACACACCCGTAGGGATGACAACTCAAATTATAAATTGTCCAGAGTGTTATCATCCAAGATGCAATGATTGTCTTGTTCAATGGGTTAAAACACGTAGCTATTATCACGATCTATAGATTACTCCAAAAGAATCAAATAACAATTAGCCATTTCAAAGGAAAAACAATGAGTCCAACATTTTCGACATATCCTCTTATATTCAATACACAGTATTTGCTCTGAGCTTGGATGATGGGGCGCCAATGTTCCAGTGTGCCTTTACCAACGAATATATAACTCTGATATAACCTCATCCATTGGATATAGGCCTGGTGATCAACTTGATTCTAACATCGAGAGTCATGATCTACTTATGGGGATAAATCACATTTGCTACGGGGTTCCACAATCCTCGAGTCTCGATTGTTCGTGCAACATGAGAAAAACAAGACTTTTTAAACGATCGGACTAGAACCATCGGCCAACATCTTCTTCTCGAGAAGTTGATAATAAACTCTTCAAACATGCATGTAAACAAAGATCTTGCAGTGACCACTTATCAAAAATAGCCACAAGCCCATTCATCATTCCCATCGACTCCACCAGAACATCAGCAAATACCTTTCAACATGACTTCCCCAAACCACAACTCACCATCCTCCACCCGACAATCTGCAGGTAACCCCGCAAATAACCATTCACCCTCTACCACAGCCACGTCTCTCATGCGTCCCCCTCGCTTCTACATGCTCCGAGCCTTCACCAATCGTCTCCTCCCTCTAACACTCTTCACAGTCTTCCTCATCACAGGCACAGTAATCCTCATCTATTCCGTTATAGACAAACGCGTTATACCTTCGAATTTCATCGCGGGCTCGTATATAACTATCGGTGTTATCATTATTCTATGGTGTCTATCACGTTTTATACTTTTCATCAGAGAAAGTTTCGGGGAGCTGGGAGTTGATGAAGCGGAGGCTGGGTTGCAGGGAGTCAATAGAGTACATGTAAGAGGATTGTGGGGAAGGGAAGAGGGGAGAGTAAAGAAATGTTTGAGGTGGTTGATAGAGACGCCGAGGAGCGATGGGTCGAAATCTCCGGGTGGGGGAGATGAGGTTGGAAATCATGGTATACGAAATCATCGAGGAGTTCCAACCCAAGATCCACAAGTTGCAGAGGAGGGGACCGAATTGAGAGATTTTGAGATTCATGATCAAGATTCTCGGATAGCTTCATCGGGACTTGCACTTCCATCTTTCGAACTTCTCTCTAACGTTCCAGCTTATCCATTCAAACCCAAACCTCAGCGTCAGCCAAATGGTCCAAATCCCCACAATCCAATACAACCACGTGCAACATCTCACCAACAACCCCCCAGCCAAACCCAAAGAACCCCCACCCCATCTCCCCAAGAAACCAGAAACCATCGAGGACCAACCCTAAATCCAACAATCACCACATCTCACGACACATTAACAGTACATCACTCCACACCACCTAACCCTTCCCAACCCGTCTCATACACAGACGAATCACGAGATGTGACTTCTCAGACTCGCTTAACACCGAATATCTTACCATTATCTCTACAGATTAATCCTGGTTCGACACATCCTGTACCGAGGTCTCGTCCTTCGAAAATAACAAGACCGCTTACGCAGAGTTCGTGAGATTTGTGTAGGTTTGGTTCATACTTTTGTTGGAAATTGGGTTGATTGATGTATCTGGGGACTACGCAATCATTCAGAGTAGGTAGGTAGGTAGGTAGGTAGGTATGTATCACCACCCCTTGAAAGTATCTACATCTATCCATCCTCCAAACATTCAATATGTTTCTCACATCTTATCATCTCCATCCAATCATTCTCCATCTCTCGTCCCCATCCTCACCCCATCAACAACAACCACACCTATCTCCATTCCCTCATTCATTCAAGACTCTCACTCCACTCCATGTACACTCCTCTCAACTCTCAACCTTTCAACCTACAATACCCCAACATCACCCATATGACAAGTAAAACCTTCTACGCCTTTCCTCGAACTGACTTGGTACGCCTAAAACCGATCCCAGGATCCACACACCTTCAAATTCGAATCAAAATCTCAATCGCAAGATATTTCAGAAAGAAAGATTGATTAATCATCACAGGTATTCATGTAATTACTTAAACAATCAACCAACTAACCACCAAATACCATAGGTAGCTTTAGCATCTACTATATGCCCTGCCTAGCCTAGGAAGATGGGTAGATAGATGTATAGATATCTAGATTCATAAAAAAACAAATCCAACCAAATAATTAATCAAGCAACCTCTCACTCTCATTCCTGCTCTTTCTTAATCTTCAATGGACAATGAAAGATCTTCATCATCCAATTCTATAAGACAACTACATCCTACAGATACCTGGATATCCATTTGGTATCTTACTATAAAAGCAAAAGTGGAGTATGTCACTACTTTCTACCTCCTTATCCTCATTTTCATATAGAATGTATTCTCATTTCACTTGGGAAGAAGAATGGTATCAGAGAATACAAGAGATACATAGGTAGAGATCTGTACGAAACCAAACGCGTGATACCAACTAAGTATCTAGGCTAATAGATAGCTCCATCAGCCCGCTCAGACGGATCATATTCACACATGCAGTAAGAGGTCCAAGCCAACATTGCAACGGAAATCTAGAACATGTTCATTCCTTTATATCGATAAATATCGCTCATTCCGAGTGCAAACAACAAAGTTTCACAAACCCTTCTGTAGTATCAATCTCTGTCACGAGTATCAATTCCTTCTGTGAACCGTATACGCAGAGATATAATCCTCACTGATTTCCCAATTCTCCTCTTCCACAACCTGACGCCCTTTGTACCGTCAGATTCCAATACGCCAAGCTTTAAAACTTTCCAATTCCATACCCTAAATACTCCACCACTTATAGCCATATGCGCATACTCAAAGAATGTCCAGACCAAAAGAGTGATAATACTAAATCCCAAACTCAAACAAGTGTAGGTCTCTCCTCACCAAATCCTGTATACCCCATTTTGACATCACCGCCAACAACTGGTAAAACTTCGTCCCTTCCATTTCTTCCACCATTCATCGTTTTTTTATCATGTGGAGTGTTTGTCTCCCTTTCTTCCCTTTTCTTTCTCCCTAATTTTTCGCACCATTCTTCTGCACTGACTATTGTTCCGTCCAAAACTCCTGATACTTGAGTCATCATGTCCAAACCCTCTTTTGCCAATACCATGACTCTTTGTGCGCCTTCCTTGGCATCACTATCTCCATCCCGATGACTTTTGCTTTCACCATTTGAAACGGAATTTGCGATTTGAAATCGTCGTGGCAGGGATGTCAAGTGCTTGCGTACGAGATCTCTTGCGTTTTCGGGAAGTGCACCACCAGCATATTTAGAGACAATATCTACCACCTCTTTCAAAGTCTTCAAGACATCCTTATTCAACTGCGCAATCTTTGCAGTCAAGGCTGAGCGTTGATCATCTGTGTGAAGCACTATTTGACGTTGATTGTTGTCAGCTCCCTTTTCGGAGTAGGGGGTGTCAGCAATGGTTCCAGAATTGTCGTATTGTTCCAAGACTGATGTCAATGCCACAATGAGTTTCCCTATGTGCTCATTTGCCCAGCGAATCCAACTGAGGCAGTATTTTAGACTTCGGAGCGACTCTTCCGACATTGCGACACTAAGTCCCGAGGTCGAAAGGACGAGACGAGATTGCCATGAGCTCCCAGGAGATGCAGATTCTTCAGATCTTCGGTTTGATGGTACTAACGCTTGCTGTGAAGCTTCGTAGCTAGGACTACGTTGATCATCATACGCAGGGAGGCTGTCTGTTGTAGAAGCCTGGCTAGGCCGACGGCGGCGCTGTTGATCAAATTGTACTTCAAACTGCATGGGCTGACCTTCGAGGTCGGCCGGAGAGGAGGTATTGACTTTCCGTCGCTTATGAGAAGGGGAATCGGATTCGGTGTCGGACGGTCCATGATGGCTCGGCCGGCGACCACCAAGGAACCAACGCACACCCCCTTCCACTCCAGTAATACGGTTGACAGAATTAATTGTATTGACAACCGGAGTAATCCTTCTTTCCACGTATTCTGCACTAGACTTGAAACGCGGACTATAATTTTTGGAAGCCGAGTATGCGGATAGTGATCCACCTATCGCATTGCCAATGAGGGGGTGGGATGTTGTGAGAAGTGAAAGGAGGGGTTCTGGTTGTGTAGAACCACCTTGTCGAAATCGAGGTGAGTGTGAAGAGGGAGCAGTACGCTGACGGGGGGAAGACTGTATGAAATCTGCAACAAAATTAGTATAGAATTCTTCCAAAAATTCTTTGCAAAACATACCGGCGCGAAGATCTCCCAATGCTTCAGCAGCAAGTCGCACATCGGGATCGTCTATAGATAGGACACTTCCCCCCCTCCTTGCTCTGTTGTCTGATAAATCTAAGTCCATACCGTTCGGCGAATCTGTACTTCTTCTAGTCGTTGTTTTTGGAGATAGCTGTGAGGGGCCCGGCTGATAATATGCGGTTAAAGGATTTGAGGACGGCCATGTCAATGGTACTTCTGCGACTGGTTCTTGCCGATATTTTGATTCTGTAGACATAGGAGGTAGAGGGGGCAAGACTCGTTCATGATGAATCGGTGGGGGGTCTGCTGTGGGTACAGAAGGCAAACTTATGGTTTGAGGGTCGTGAGATGCGTAGGATGGGGGGCATTCCCTTAACATGTGATCGTGTTCCATTTCGATAACAAACGCCGACGGCTATATGAAAATTGTTGAAAATTGATTGTAAGTAATGAGACTATACCATTAACACTTGGCATATGTGTACTGCTGAAAGAAGAACAAAATTGGTCGCGGTTCCAAAGGGTTTGTACTCGTTGAATTGGTGAATATTCTGGGAATTTTTTTGCTTGTGATACGATGATCTTCAAATATTGTAAGAGAGTACTTTGATAGAAACAAATAAAACAAAATGATTTCCTCGAACTCGAAAAATAACCAAAACTCCAAATCCCGTTGAAGGGTATATTCTCTTTCTGTTTCTCTTTCCTCTTTTCTCCCCTTTTCTCTTTAGTTGTATATGATCCCAGATTTACATGGCGCAAAACAATCGTATGAAGTTCGGGGATGATGTAGGTACTCGTAGAAAAAGCATTCACATGTGACCATCTTGCTTGCTTTTGGCTGGTTCGGTAAAGGCGAATTCATGGTGGCGTGTCGGAATTAATCTTATGAGTATCTCTATGAAGACTGAAATTTTGATGTTGATGCTTTGGGAAAATTCGGGTCAAACGATTGATGGATGGTCTTTCTGATATATATGGCCAATTGATCAGCGGAATGGTGTTGGTCTCGAAGACGTTTGGTATCAGAGTATATCACCATTGGTTTCAGGAGGTTATCATGATAGCGAAGGAATGTATTCTTCCCGCATTCCGCAAGTCATCTCACACTGCGGTTGTTTGGCATATGCATGTCGCATGGAGATGCACTCAGCCCAGTATCAATAACTTCAATAACTTCAATCATAAGCAAATATCACACATCACACACATATCACGCATGAACAAGCGAGTGAACGTGGTTGAAATCGCCGTCATGGCTTTTGAATTTTGTACTGTATCTTGCCACAAAACAACCACTTCTCTTTCAACTTCATATGTGTGGTCCCTCTGACGCCGCCCAGGCAACCTGTTGTCCAAAAAGACAATGCCCGGCCAGCTCTTATGGTACCGTTGGTATTGGTCTCCGCGCCGCGAAATCGCTAACTACATCAATGGGAAACAAGATAAGTATCAACAGAATGTTGACACAAGTTATATTTATGTGATTGAGTTGCACTGTCTAAAAGGGCGCGTTGAAGAAAAAAGAAGAAGTTTTTCTCCAAAGTGAAAGATATTTAAGCTTCGAAGATTCTGCCGTTCTGAGGCTAGTACATTTTAAGTTTAGTCCCGTCCTTAGTAAGGGAATCCGATGTTGACCGCCGAGACTCACTAGTTTGGGACCTGGAGATCTATCAATCCGAAGGGGGAAGCTTGAACGTGGGGCTGCTATTACTATTATTCAAGTGAACAACACCTACAAGGCAACTAATTCATCAATCCCAATTCAAAATATCAAGAGGAATTCAGACCAAATTCACGAATGATAACAATTTCCTTGAAGATATAATACAAGCCAACTTGGCACATACTCTCCATCCTTCAATACTATCGTCTCCTTTCTTTCTTTGATTATCTGGCAAATATGGCATCTGCTGTCTTCTTTCTCGATTTAAAGGGCAAGGTATAAACAATACTTTCTACTGCCTTTACTTCTGAATCATGTTGACGCAATACTACAGACTCTCCTTGCCCGAAATTATAGAGGAGATATTCCTATGTCCGCGGTTGAAAAGTTTCCAATACTTTTGAGCGAAGCAGAAGAAGAGAGTTCCGCAGTTCCACCATGTTTCTCAGACGAAGGAATAAATGTACATCATCACCCCTTTCTATTTGCGATCGCAGTTTTTAACTTGTACCAAGTATCTATACATCCGCCATAATAACCTCTACCTCCTAGCCCTCACTAAACGCAATACAAATGCCGCCGAAATCCTCCTTTTCCTACACAAGATAGTCGAAGTCTTCACCGAATACTTCAAAGAGCTTGAGGAAGAATCCATCCGAGACAACTTCGTCATCATTTATGAACTCTTGGACGAGATGATGGACTTTGGATATCCACAAACCACCGAATCGAAAATCCTCCAAGAATACATTACACAAGAATCACATAAATTAGAGATCCAAGCCCGTCCACCTATAGCGGTTACGAACGCAGTATCATGGAGATCAGAAGGAATCCGGTACAGGAAGAATGAAGTTTTCCTTGACGTGGTTGAATCGCTCAATTTACTGGTATCCTCGAATGGAAATGTGTTGAGGTCCGAGATTTTAGGCGCCATAAAGATGAAGTGTTACCTGTCTGGTATGCCAGAACTGCGATTAGGTCTTAACGATAAAGTAATGTTTGAAACGACTGGACGCGCAACTCGAGGAAAGGCCATCGAGATGGAAGATGTGAAATTCCATCAATGTGTCCGTCTTTCGCGATTTGAGAACGATAGAACTATCTCCTTTATTCCACCCGATGGAGAATTCGAATTGATGTCATACCGTCTAAATACTCAAGTCAAACCATTGATCTGGGTTGAATGTATCGTGGAATCGCATTCTGGATCAAGAATCGAATATATGTTGAAAGCGAAAGCGCAATTTAAACGTCGTAGCACAGCCAACAACGTCGAGATCACAGTTCCAGTTCCAGAAGATGCCGATTCCCCACGTTTCCGCACAAATATTGGATCGGTACATTACGCACCAGAAAAGTCGGCGATAGTATGGAAAATCAAACAATTTGGAGGTAGTAAAGAATTCCTCATGAGAGCGGAGTTAGGATTACCGAGTGTGAAGGGTGATGATGAACATGGAGGTGGAATGACAGGAGGATTTGGCGGAAGTATGGGTGGTGTTGGGGGTAAAGGGGCAAAGAGACCAATCAGTGTGAAATTTGAGATTCCTTATTTTACAACAAGTGGTATTCAAGTCAGGTACCTGAAGATCATTGAGCCAAAGGTTAGTTCTCCTTTTCATTTTTTGACTAAGTTCTTGTCTAATATTTTCGATAGTTACAATACCCATCCCTCCCCTGGGTTCGCTACATTACCCAATCAGGTGATATAGCAGTCAGACTTCCCGATGTAAGCTAAGACTACTGAGATCACTTTTGCATCGATATATCCACAATCGAAAAATTATACTCGGAATGGAAAAGATAAGATAGATAGATTGGGAGATAGGGAGGAGTGTAGCAATTCTGCATTATCAGGCGCCAGTGCTATGGTTCGGGGTTGGACTTGTTATTGATGAAATAAATACTACTTTTTTTCGCCATATCTTGGCCCGATCAAATCTTGATAATTTTATGAACTTTCTTTATTCTCTTGCATAACAGTCAAGGCTATTAGAATGCTTGTTCAAATCATGATGAAGTTGTTGTTCGCTGCATCGTATACCATTCCATTGATACCTAGGTGGTGGATGTGATATGAAGCGGTCTCTACATGCAAGTGTCATGATTCAGCGAGTATGTGAGTTGCAGACTTACAATAGTTTAAGAAAACATGTTATAGATTACTCGTTCAAATACTCGTATATGTGAGTTTCAATTTGAAGTTTATGATATACCTAATGAAAGTTGCTGGGTCGTTTGTGTGTGTGTGTGTGTGTGTGTGTGAATTTTAGGGTTGTGGTTTTTGATATGTTTTTATTATTTTGGGGGAGGGGGGCTGGTTTTGAGATTGGTTTGTTGGGGATTTAGAGGTAAAGAAGTAGATGGGATCATTGGATTCTTGTTTTAATTTTTGAGATGTAGTAATATGAGATTGAGATTGAGATTAAGATTTGGGATTATGGTTTTGTGTATTTGAGAATAATCATTGAAGGTATGAGAGCCTGTTGTATTAGAAGAATGTTGTTTTGAGTTTCGAAATAGGCTTTTGTGTTTGATTCCTTGGAGTTGTGCATTGGGATTTTGGTATATGATATAGGTTCTGGAGATCATTTACGTATGCTGGAATTATCTTGAGAGACAGTGATTTGGTTGAAGAGTTGCTTAGATTAAATGAGACTCTAGACCATATTGTTGATATAAGGAATTCTTGCAGAGGCTTTGGGGTAAGTGGTGTATAGAACAGGAATCATTCGAGAGGTTGTACGTGAGTTGTAGACCTGGGATCTTGCAGGACTTTTGACTCGAATTCGGTATCGAGGATTTTGAATGACTGCTATACACACTCGGAAGCATTCAAGATACTATTGGTGAGTGGCGAACCCATGGTTTTTACAGGACTTCTGACTAAATTTGTCATTGGGGATACATAATCATTTGGTATACTGTATATCAATAGTAAATCTAACATTTTTACACATCTATTGCACCAGAACTCGTCATCGAGTATTCCAAATGACTGCTATATATACTCAGAATCATTTGAAGCTCTTGAAACATCTCCCAATCCCATGTTTTCCACGTTTTTCCTCTGGAAAATCAAGTCATAAATCCCTCACGATGATTTCCTGCTCACACGAATACTGTATTTAATACTCATTCGTATGCATTTTGAGAGCTTTGGAATCGATCAAATCTTTTATATATCTTCCCGTTCCATGTTGTCCACGTTTTCTGTTTGCAAATCAAGTCATAACCACCCAAAAATGACTTATAACTCATACAGATACCATATTTAACACTCATTCGTATGCATTTTGAAAGGTTTAAAAGCGATCAACTCTTTTATACATCTCCCCATCTCACACTTTCCACGTTTTCATCACGCAACCCAAGTCACAGACTACCTCAAATGACTTCTCACTCATGCAATTACTATATTTCACGCTCATGCCTATGCATTTTGAGAGCTCTTGGAGCGATCAGAAAAGACATAAATAGTTTCGATATCCCCCTCGTTTCGTATACTTTTTTTGGAGCATCAAGACGGCTTCGATCAAACTTTGCATTATAAATATCTTCAAGAATCACAGTTTCTTTTTGATAGTCCTACGCATTTGCAAATCTCACGAAGATTCAATAAGTCTCAACAAGCTTCGATAAATTTTGATATTATTCTTTTTTTCAAGGGAGTTGAAGGATATACTGTACACCATGTCTACAAGTACAACTAGAAATGGTAACGCGGGGAACAACAAGAGTGGACAGCAGCCCGAGGACGACAAAAAATATTGGTGGCGCTGTAGAATGTTGAGAAGGGGCACTAAAGAAGGCAATACACCTTACTACAGTGTAAGTTCCTCTCCATCGCGCAAGAACAGCCATCTAACGTGTCACAAATAGTGTACGGCAATAAATGAAGCAGGACCAACCTCGTGTGGTGAATGTGGAAAGAACAGGATCGGTGGTCTTTGGATGGATCTTGGAGAGGACGAAGATACGCTAAGAGGACGTGATCCGTTTGCCATTTACATGGAAGTGGAATGGTATTTTCAGTATGAGAGAGAGGGGAGATGGCCTGCTCCTGCTTAGGGAGTGGGCTTAGAAAGGTATGTGGGTGACTTGGCATGGTATTTGATACTCGCTTCAACGGCACATCTGTTGTTCAACTCCGATTCAGATATCGTAAGTTTTGATCGTTCCATATCAAGTACGGCAATCTACTCCTCCTCGTCAACTAGACCCTTATCTCAACCGGATGGTCTTTCTCATTCAAATTCGATTTCTTTAAAGCAATTTCCTCTTCGATACTTTCTTGATACCTAACAGTTTTCTTCTACCACAGCACAATCTCATCTCAACAAAGACACGGCTACATTCATTTACAACAATTTCTATTTCTATATTTTATAGTTTTATTATCTTCGCATGGTTTTGACGGCGGTCCATTACACGCATCCATTCATTATATTCGAACACCGATCTCGATCTTTTCTTTGTTTTCTTTGGCTGGATGTTGAACGTCAGATACCGGTTTCCATTTGTATTTTCCTTTTTCGGTTCGACCTCGCTTACAGAATCTCGACATCAGGTGGTAGGGTAGAACTCGAATCGGAGTTTTGGATCTAGGTGCACAGGGCATACATTCATCTTCTCGTTATTGCATGGCTTTTTTATACAATCAATTGAGATGGTATTTCGATTTCCATATTTGTCTAGGTGCTTAGGCGCATGACTGGTTCTTGATACAATCATTCAATTGTACATAGAGGGAGTTATTGCAGCAAACGTGGGAACTTTAACTCTCCTTCTATTGATGGGTATTGGAGCATTATATACCTACTTTAATCCAAATAGAAACACATATATATCGTTACAATTATGTCTTGCCGATATACGATTTCCGTGACTTTGTAGACTGACAGACAGGGAATTAGGGAACTGCTTAAAAGACAGAATCGTCGAGGTCCAGTGATCGTTGTGAAGCTCGAAAGTGATCCTACGGTATGCTCTGTGATAGCTCCTCCCTCCCATATAATCCACATAGCACAGCGTGAATAGATAGTCTTCTTTTGACAGAACAAAATGAAACTAGAGGCTTGCAAGCAACTAGAATATAAGATTATACAATAAAATTCCAGTATGCGAGCAGTTTTTCGAAGTACTCGTTATCGATTAAACTAATTACATCATAAATCTTTTTATATCAAGAACATAACAGTTCAAATAAACCGAGATTTAATATTCTTAAAGCTGAACTATAATAGCTCTGTGCTATCTGCAATACATTTTATTCATCCTGTATGCCCTAATAACCTCCATGTGCAACTTACTGCAGAGACGTTGCTTTTCCCGAACCTGTCGAATCGGTTCGTGACGACATTTTATAGGGTATGTTAGAGACGCTTTCAGAAGTTGCTAGAGACTCGTTTGTGATATATCCTGGAAAGTGTTTACGATTTGCCTAGAATAAGGGGATTGGTAATTCCGAGTTGGTGGGTTACCTCACATAGGTGTCTAGTAGTCTCTTCTTGTAGACGACTGAAAATTACCTCGACCAGAAACTTGATTGTATCCACCGCCTTGAAATCCTGGTATATAACCCCTGGCTGACCTCTGCGCATCAGCCTGCTTTTTTGACTCGCAATTCCAAACTGAATGGCCAGATTTCTTGCAGTAGTGGCAAAGGCCCAAGCGAAGTTCTCTTTGTCGTTGCTGTTCTCTATTCTGTGTACGGAATGCGTTTAGTCTGATAGCGTCATTAGGGGAAGTGGGATTGACAGGAGCCGGAGCAACAGATGGGCGAGGATAGACCGATGTAGTAGGTGAGGTATTGTAGTATTTATGCTCCCGACAATTCTGGTACCAAATCTGAAATTTCTTTCTCCAACCATCCAGATCGTCGTTAGCACATGGGTTGACGTCCGTCATGATCATGAGCTGCAATTCGTCGGTGACTTTTTGTTTCATTGCTAATACCATTCCTCGGGGTGACTTGTAGCAAGCATTACCGAGGTATTCTAATTGTGTATAGAACGCCGAAAAATCCTGTTTCTCTTTCATCCTGAGTTTGTCGAATTGAAGTGCAGCCTCGCGTTCCCTTTCGTCTGGAATATAGAGACTATCGAGCTTCTTGAAGAACAATTCGGCGGCTGTGTATGCTGATTTATCTTGAATAATATCATCAATATCTTGGCGTTGTTCTTGGCGTGCATTGCCTTTAAGCAAAGAGACCATGTGAAGAAGCTTCGTTCTCTCGTTATCGAAAGCGGTCGAGTCTACAGCCCAGAAAATTCGTAAGTCTTGCTTCCAGGCACAATACTCGTCCCGTAGTGTGAGAGCGCTTGCAGTTTCCGCCTTGAATGGTTTTGGGGGTTGACATGCTTGTCGTCGTTGATAAAGGTGTCTTGGTTCTGCTGTTGAATCAGGGAGCTGGGACAACTGTAGCTGCAATTTTGCAATCAGTTGTGCTTGTTTTTGTGGTCGACACTCTAGTGTTTGTCGAGCTGCTATCTCATTTTGTAATTCTGCATCGAAATTCACTTGAATATCGTGATAAGCACCAAGTGAATCGTTAATTGTATTGCACATATAACCAAAATATACTTGCGCCTCTCCTGGTAATTGAGAGACTAGAAATGGGTCTCTCAGATCCTCATCAGCGATCTTTGAAAGCTCATTGGATAAAAGTGGCCAGTCCGCAAAAACGGTTCGAATATGTTTTCTCAAACCTTCTGGCGTTGAAACATCCACTGGGGTTGTCGAAGAGGGGCGAGATGTATCAGCCATCTTTGAGCACGAAGGTTGAATAACACAAAAATGAAGATATCAACGATGAGAACAACGACGGGTAGGGACAAAGGCAAAAACAAGAGCGAAAATGAAGACGAAGACGACAACGAGAAGGACATTCAATTTTAACCGTAATATTTCTCAAGATTAGATTGTCACAATAGCAACGGAACGTTTGTTGAAGGTAGGTTATATTATCACGGTGCATGAGATAGAACATAGATTGGATGTGTGATATTCTACCAGTAGAGAAGATGGTACTAAGAAGAACGCCAAACGTATAGACGTGGATACCTTAGGCATCTGCGTTAGGCTAAGCTAAGCTATGAACCAGTGACAAAAAGCTTTCGAATAATTTTAGAGACTTTCAGGGCTTAAGCCTGAAATCCAGACTATTAAGCGTCTCGTTCAGTTTCTTGACATCAGCCTTGATATTAACTCGCATCGCTCCTAGTTATAACAGGTCTAAGAGACTCGCCGCCATATATAGTTACTCTTTACCTTCAACGCTCGTAATCCAAGAGCAGTTATCGACCACCGAAACGACTAGAATATGATTGATAGACCCCGCAAATCGGCTGTATCGCTGTACAATATTGGTACATGCACGCTTGATATTTCACAGGATATCTAGGAGTAGAAGCAATCGGTCTGCATGTAGGCGCTCAAATCTTGCCAATAATACTTCTGAGCATAAAGTAAATGCTCGACTAACCACACCGTGTAAGTTAAAGCTGACGCCAAGCGAGAGATTATGCGAGCGATGGCGTAATGGGCAAAATCCGAGAACTCCCTTTTTGTCTTCAGTGTTCGGCTCTGCAGTTTCCGGATTTAACCGTCAACAACAAGATTGGATATGTTGGAGATCCTTCTGATTCAGTTGAGCGCTGATTTAGCCTGATGATGTTGTCGATTGCCACGACGACACGTGTTATCCACGTGATCCTTTACAATTTGTATTACTCGTGTGCATCCTTTTTTATTCCATCACGATATTGATGTCATCTTTTGATGACCTAGGCCAGACCATTCTCTGCAATGCATGTCATCCCTCTCTCCCTCCAATTATCTGTCTTGCTTGTCTCGAGCTGAACGGATTTTCTGTGCACACCAAATCATCAAAATTTGAGAGCATGCTTGTTTGTATACAATAGATAAGCGCAATCCGTTCCAAACAAAACAAGGCTCAGGCACAGAATCAATTATAAGTCCTCAATAAATGATGTTATTCAAGTTGGTTAATTGCTTTTGGTGAGTACAGAATTTCTTCAGCTCTTGTCTCATCAGCTCTTGTCTCAACAGCTCTTGTCTCAACCGCTTTGCTATCATGTCCTTGATCTACTCTACGCTCGGACCCAATCTGCAGCTGAAGATATAAAGTTCCCCGCGTTGCCAGAAACAGTTCGATTTTCCACCATTAACCTGCCAGGATCCGTGGATTAGCGTGCGGTACTTGTACATCCAATTGATTATCTTCATGAGAAGGTTTAACCGGCATAAAATGACTCGATGAAAAAGGCTGAGGAGACAGAAGAGGATTTGTCTTGACAGAAAGTTTCACTCGAGATAGTTCAGGACTGTCGCCACCGCTTCTTTCTCATGATTCGACCTGGCTACTATTTACAGAGTCCAGTTTGATCATACTACATTAATGGCATTCCTACGTATTCCACGCGGCATGAATATCTACCAAGAGATTACCTATCTTGAATTCGTGTGTAATCGAATCCATCCTTGGAGATAAACCTTATCACATCATGATAACCGTACAGGCCCAATAAAATTTCAGCATAGAATCACTATCGCCTACCTCAGAAAGGTACAATAAATGCAGGAAATTGCTTCTGCATTGGTTCTAACTTATACTAAAGGCTGGTCATACCGAGTGCTTGGTATAGTCGTCCCTGTGTCTCATTACCCCCGCAAATGTCTCCCAATCAATTACGGAGCCCTCGACGGTGAATTTATATATCGCGCATGAACCCATCCTAATAAGATCCGGTCACTCTTTCGTATTTTATACTAAATCGTGAATCTCTTGACCTGGGAATATCAGGTACTAAGGGTTCTAAGTACCTCCCGCGACAATGAATACGACAATGATTGACGAGGAAAAGAAAACCTCTTCGACAACTTCTCCCCCGGACTCAAATGAGTTGGATAATCTCGAAGCTCTTGGATATACTGAAGAGCTTCAACGAAATCGATCATTATTTACTCTTCTTTTTCAATCGCTTGCAATTGCAGCAATACCTTATGGAGAAGGCGGCCCGCTGATTAATGCTATATATGGAGGGGGGCAGCTTTCCATATTTGTTGGCTGGATTGTGGTTCTTATTCTAGATGAATGTGTGGCTTTATCATTGAGTGAACTTGCCTCGAGGTATCCAACCTCGGCTGGACCTTACTATTGGTCTTTCCAGGTGAGGAAGTGTTTGATTATTCTTAATCCTCCGATCCGGTTTTGTAGACGTTGATGAAGTGATATCTACCAAAGTTTTGACGATACAGTATGGATCATAAATCTCGATCAAAGCTAATTCTTGATGATTGTAGGTAGCAAAGAGACACAAGACCATACTCTCATTCATCACAGGTTGGGTATGGCTCATTGGAAATTGGACAATCACGTTGTCCGTTAACTTTGGATTTGCTTCGATGATATCTGCAACCGTTGCCATGTATCATCCAGATTTTGTTGCATCTAGCTGGCAGCTCACCCTCATCTTCTATGCCATTTGTCTCATCACATTAGTAATATGCACATTTGGCAACCGATTCCTACCTATGGTTGATACAATATGCGCTGCTTGGACGGCCATTAGTATCCTCATCATTCTTATCGCTCTTTCAGTCTCAGCGAAGGAAGGTCGACATAGTGCTAGCTATTCTCTTGGAAATTACGATACCTATTTCGCTGGATGGGGAGGCTTCACTTTCTTCATCGGTCTTTTACCAGCCGCGTATACCTTCTCTGCAATTGGCATGATCTCATCAATGGCAGAAGAGGTTTCCAACCCCACGATCAAAGTCCCAAAAGCAATAGCACTATGTGTTCCTGTTGGTGGAATAGCTGGTCTGTTCTTTATCATCCCTATCTGTGTAACGATGCCACCTCTCGCTGACGTCATCGGTGCACCCAATGGCCAAGCAATCCCTTACATCTTTCACAGAGTCATGGGCTCTCCCGGAGGTGGCCTAGGCCTTACATTCTTGGTACTTGGCGTTACTATGTTCTGCTCAATTAGTATCACAACGGCCGCATCACGCTGCACCTGGGCATTCGCTCGCGACCAAGCAATCCCCGGCTCTAAAATTTTCTCAATTGTCAACAAATCTTTAGGCGTGCCAGTAAATGCTCTCATATTCGTCACTATTGTTCAAATGCTCCTAGGTCTTATCAACCTCGGCAGTAGTAGTGCCTTCACTGCTTTTGTTTCAGTAGGCGTTATAGCACTTTCAATTTCGTACGCTATCCCAATTGGTTTATCATTACTATGGAATAGGAGACAAGAAGTATCTCACGCACGATGGAATTGTGGGCATATGGTCGGAACAACTGTAAACGTGGTGGCCTTGGTATGGATTACCTTTGAGGTGGTTTTATTCAGTATGCCTACGGCATTACCTGTTACAGAGGTGTCGATGAATTATGCAAGTGTAGTATTAGTGGGATTTATGGCAATAGCGGCAGTTTGGTATGCTGCTTATGCTAGGAAAGGTGAGTTCTGCTTTGAGATTCGAGCTTGACTTTTACTAACGGAGCATAGTGTACACAGGACCACCAGCTTCAGATGGGTTGTGAGACTTTATTCACGACGTGCACTGATTTAAAATCTATTTTTATTTTAGTTCTTGTTTTCTTAGAACTTTCCTATGTACATAGCTAGTCGCTTTGCATATAATATCTTACCTATATAATAAATGAGCTTTATATCTACCCAATAATATTGCTGATGTTTCCAAGCGAAAGTCCCCATGTCTTCCAGTATCACTTCACCTTTGATATCCATTGTGCACACTTCTCACAATAACAATTCTCTCTCGCTTATTAGGTTCATATTCACTGGGAATTTGACAATGGAGTCCAGAGCTTTATTGTCTAGAAAAACCAGCTAAATATTTAGGGAAGCTATAGCATTCCTTTTGTCCTTTAGATGTGCCGCTACTTCTCTCGTTCAGCGTTCCAGTATTCCTCGAATCTGAGTGATTTCCAACACTCTCACCCCAATAAGATAGCCCTGTCACAATCGATACCTCAATTCTCGGGGGGAAAAATGTCAGGTCGAGCCTCTCTCTCGCCTAGCGCCGCTGATAACGAACCAGCTAGGTGAGTGATTATTCTTTGGGTTTGTTCCCAAGACAAACGGGCTGACAGTGTCTGAAAGTCGTCCACTTGATGGCCATGCCAATATCGATGAGATAGCAGAAGCAGAACCTCCTCCGGAAAGTCCTCAATCACCAGCGCCAGCACCCGTACTCACAAAGAAAAAACGGAAGCAAAGGCAAAGCCAAAGGAAAAAGGGACAACAGCCAACCCGGCGGAGTGCACGAGTCAAACAACAGCAAGTACAAGCGAGAATACAGTCCACTCGGCAGGCGTTGGCTAGTGGAGATAGACGATAGAAGCGAACTAGAAAATTAAGTTAACAGGGGAAAGAATCCAGAGACTATATAGAGAGGGAGCATGCAGCGAGGGAGGAAAGAAAGGAGTTGGCGGCTGAAAAAAGATGGAACAGCGAAGCGAATCGATTGAGCAAGATGATGTTCAAGGATCAGAAGCGACCAGCAAAAGTTAAAAAGAATTCTGAGATAAAACATTTACATGCTTGCTTTAAGGAGTAATATGGGTTTTGAGTGGCATTGTGGGATGGTTGATTGGAGTATTGTTTACGCGAGGTAATTTGGGAGTTATCCCTCGAAGGTGTGGTGGGCAGTTGATCAATAAATCATTTCTTTCATTATCACCCCCTATTTTAGGCGTATCTTCCAATTCAGTTTATTCATAAACCTAACATTTATCTGAAACTCGGTACTAAACAATAACCCATAATATCTGAAGCCCTCTCGAGTTCGGAAGTTCGAACCACCAAACAAGTATTTTTAAATTATTTCTTTTATCATTGCTCCTCTGCAATTCTGTCACAAAACTTCGTCTTGTAGATATATCTAAGTAAGGTTAGGGCAAGATGCAATAGTGATGATGTCAGCAAGCTGTCGATCTTGGCAATAGTGCTGTGGGGTCATTCTTGAAGACCGCCCCACCCACTTTGTTGAGTTCTCCATCGTGCAACATTTATGTTTTCGTTTGAACGGACACGACACTTGTTGCGATGAATTTATTTTTCCTTTGTGCTGCAGACGTCTTGCAAGTGTCTTGGGATCTGCTTATTTTGGTAGCAAAGTCAAATTTGGACAAGAAGCACAATAAAGATGTCTCCATGAATTGTTGCCTTTGCAATTCCTCAGCATTCCGAGGAATTTGTTTATGAGATTGTTCGATGGGAGTTAGGTCGCTGATAGTGCCTTTAACGTCTCTTCTCCGCAGCCTTATTTTACTCCTCTCTTCGTAATCTTCGTTTCGTATGTGGTTGAAAGAACGCAGATTCGCAATATCGTATGTGGTAGTATCTCGAGAAGTCTCACTTTTCCACAGCGCACTTTGAGATCTGAGTATCATCAAATCCTCTAAAATTTGTTCTAAGAGACGGCATAGATGCACGGATGTTGTGGTTTAAAAGTCTTTGCGTGGGCTGTAAATAGTTTAGCCTCTAAATATCTACTCCACTCTTACCCGCTGTCATGAAGACGACATGTCTTCCTTTGCACAAAGTATCTTGAGCTCATTTTGATACGATACACCACTTTCTCAGCTCTGCAATGGCTGCTTTAAAGCCAGCACATGAATTGCCTATGGGTTCGAAGTCGTAATCATCAGCGCGAATCCCGTCGTCTCGAGAACTCCAGGGCTCATGACGAGTGGCGAAATACCGCTTTATTATCCAACCTTCGTTTGCGCCCCTGTACTTTTCGATCGTTTTCGATTTTCATCTTTAGGATAGCATATTTGTGTTCGGTGTCGAGACTGTAGCGATGCTGGCACATGTGGTTCTTGGGTATGGCTCGAACAGGCAGAGAACATGCACGTGTATTTCATTTAACATCTGCCAGATTTAGGGATTAGTTACCTATGAAGCCCGATTCCAAGTCATGTCTTCTTGTGGGGGTGTAGAGGCTGCCTTGTAAGCAAAGATTGCGGAAGGTGACCTGATTGAACCAAGCTCAGGAATATACATTGCCTCTTAGTTAAGGTAACATCAACTACCTTACACATCATCTATAGGTATCTCATCAATTGTTGTTAGATAGGTCACTGTGCTGCTGTGGTCTTGTTACATTATCGGTCTTTCAACCATAACTCCTTCCTCATTAGACACATGAACTGCTAGATAAGGGACTTATTTCATCTAGAGACTAGCAAGAATCACACAACACTAACACCAGTTTATCTTCACAACTCCCATGTGATTTGAATGATTTGACTCGTGTGCTTACTTTTGTCTATTACATGTAGAATTTGATAGGCTATATCATATAGCTTCCTGTCGCATTTATCCATCGCTCCTTCCCTCCTTTCCATGCCAACAGAATTCATATCTACGCGTCGCGTAACACTATCGGCGAAATCTTCCGTCAGTGCATTTAGGGTTTACATTTCGGTATTATTACTGGTCTTGCCCTCTCGGTTAGATGATAGAAAAAATCTAAAGAGACGCTTTTAGAGTCTAAGTGACAAATTCTCGCCAAAAAAACACGCCAATTTCCGCACTTGCGAAAACGCGTCAGAGAATTGATACATCTTTCGTTTCAATTTCTGTTCCTCGATTTTCTTTTTCTCTTTCTTCTTCCTACCACTTTCACATAATCACTGCTCACTACAAGCTCACACATTTACAATGTCTCGCTTTCACTCTTCTTCTTCCACTGGCAGTGCTCCTGGGGCTGCCAGTTCCAACTCTACAAACATGTCGGCCCCTTGCGGTCGTGGATATCAAGTTCCACAAACCTCTCACTCTCTCCATCCCCCACCCATCCATCCTCTCCACGTCCCATACGTGTGTGACCAACAAATGGAACTCTCTTTGGATCCTTCAAACATCCATCCACCATATAACAGGCCTGGAAACCTATCTTCTTCCACAACTTCAGCCTCTACGCAGGTCAAAAAAACCAAAAACAATTCTCCTTTGTCATTGCGTTTGATTTCTTCTTCTTCTTCTTCTGCATCTTCATCTAACTATTCAGACTCCTGTGGATCTTACGAGTCGATCGATTGGTCGGCTCTTGAGATCAAACCCCATCCTATGGCCTCCAAACGCTACAAGTCCCCCACGATGTATTCTGACTCCATCCAGGAGGAACATACATCCTCTAACTTCAGCACCGGATCCAGCGATCATTTCCACATCGGCTCCCCTTGCATCAACATAGGTCTTCTACTTGATGTGAAGGCCCCTCCCCCCAGGCCCTTCGTCACTGACGATACATCGGACTCCATGGATTACCCCACTGTCAAGGCTCCTCCTCCCAGGTCCTTTGTCGCTGACAACCTATCGGACCCCTTCTTGGATCACCCCATTGTCCTTCCCTCTGGATCTGGAATTCCTCCCCCTCCCCCCAAAACAAGGTATGTATTCCGTTCGGCCACCCCTAGCCCAGGCACCACCCCATCTTCCAGGGATTCCTTTTCGGCCCACCACACTGTCTCCATTTCCTCCGGATCCCCTTTCATGGCCTCTATTTCCTTGGACCCTTTCAATGGCCTTTCCTGTTCCTCTTCTGTCTTGACAGAAGATGGTTCAAACCCCCCTTCTCCTTCTCCTTCTCCTTTTCTTTCCGCTTCCCCCCAGCTGCCTGTAGTACACTTGCAGCCCCGCTTATTCAGGTTAGCCAGACCCAAAACTTTCACCCAGCTATACCTGCAGCAGTCTCGCTGTTTCAGTCGAGCTAAACCCAAGACTTTTACCCAGCGGTGGTCAGAAACGATCCTTGAAGAGCAAGTCCTCGAATCCCGAGCCCATATCATCACACCAGTTCGACCTTTGAGTCAAAGTCCGATGGCAGCATCAGACTCTGGTTGTGAAATTGTCGCTCAATCTCCTTTGTCAGACCCCTTCTGCATATCCCGAGAGCCCAGCCCATCCCCGGAGCCAATTCCATCCCCCAGTCCCCAGGCCACTCCCAGGAGAAACATTGGTAGGTTTCACGATGCACGCCAACTTTCATCCTCATCCTCATCCGAGGATGAATCGGACACCACCGCGGATTATCCCTCCTCCCTAGACGACGACCCCTTGGACACACCGGAGCCAGAAGCCACCCCATGGACCATTGCCCCAGTGCAATCCTGGATATCCCGGAACGCCTCGACCATTAAAACGGTTGCCAAATGGACCATTGTTGCAGCCGCAATAATCCTTCCAAAGATCCTTTGGAAATGGTAAACGACATCATCCCCTCCCCCCCCTCCCCCCCTCCCCCTATGCAAGTGAACTAACAAGCCAACTAACCACTAACCCTCAGCACCCTGATTTTTTGACCGAAAGAAATGAAAAGACACACATAAATCACCCTGGACTCCTGGACCCTTGGACAATAACGCAAGTATATCCCCCTGCCCCTCACTAACTACTAATCTAGGTGGCCAGAAATGATCCACGTCCTCGTCGTTCTGGCTGGAAACCCTCAAGTGAGGGGCTAACGGATCAACCCCACACATCTCTCTTGAACTTTTGGTAAGTTTTGCGCTTTTTTCTTATTTTTTGAATCATATGCTAACTTTTCTCTCACAAACCTCTTTTTTCTTTTCTCGTTGGCGAATTCTTCGGGAAATCTTTGGGAAATGCTGGAAGAGGCGCCCTACTTTCAATCGAGGCGTTGAGAAGATTAGAACGGATCAATGAGTCAAGTGTTATGGATGTTAGAGTATGGATTTCAGATTTCGATTGTTAGCATGGTAATCTGTCAGCAGAACAGAGATGTGAAACATGAAGGTCGTAGCTAGAGATAAAATATAAGCGAGGATGAGAAGGGTAGCAATTTCTAAAAAGAAACAATGTAATAGGTGATTAGAGATAATACATGAAAACCTTATGTCAAATCTAGAGAGCATGTACAAGTGTAGAATCTTGATTAGATTGGTGACTGCGCGGCTGGGAACTCAGCCTAAATTCTTTTGTCCTTGTCTTGTTAAAATCTGTCATTGTGTGGACTAGTGATATTCTAATTACATCTTTTCCCTCGTCGTTGCACTCGCCCACGCTCTCCAAATTTCCCCAAAATTATCCAGTCTTGTTAGTTCTATCTATTTTCTCATGTTTTCTATGTTCTATTACACCCTCATTTTATCTAAATTTTCAATTCTAAACCCACGCTCCTAGTATCATTGAAGTACGTTATCCCATTTGCCACTATTAAGATCATTTCCAAGGTATCCAAGCCATCTCAATCGCACAGAGAACGTCAATAACAATTTTCTCAATGAGTTGAGTATATATCTCCATGCCAGTCTACCTTGGCACCTCTATATCAGGATCTCTCTGTCTCAGATTTCAATATCTTGGGCCAAATACCGTTAATACTCCACCCTCAAACTTGCTCGGGCAGCGCACTAAAACTATTGAACCACTCCACTATCGCCTTCGGTGCATTATCCTCAAAGATTTTCTCCAAGTTAGTCCATGTATCTTCAGCATTCTCTTTCGCCCTTACAAACATCTTTATCTCATACTCTCTCACAGCATCCGAGATCGAAGTGCCCTGTTTCACAGCCGAAATAATTCCTTGCGCCAACTCTAAAGCATCTAACATTGCCGAATTGACCCCCTCTCCTGCAAATGGCGTCATGAGATGTGCTGCATCTCCTACTAATGTCGCGTTGGCTTTATGCTCCCACATGTGATCAGTAGGTAACATATGCATCTGCAGAAACTTCGGGGTTTTCTCCTCCTCCAACCCTTTTTCAAGCAAATCCTTGACTCCTTTGCCAAAATCAGCAAAGATACCAGATTCGCCAAGAGTTTTCTCTTTCAGCTGCTCAAGGTCTAAAGAACTCAAGCCTGCATCATTGCAATAGTTGATATCTTCGTTGTGTACAGCAACATACACTCTTGCTGAATCTATCGAGCCCCTCTGACTCAGAATAAATCTCTTTCCACCCAGTGCCCAGAAGGTTCCAGTTCCAATCATCTTAGCTATTTCTGGGAACCTCTTGGTGATATTTGGAATCGTTAACGTCATCCAATGCACACCACTAAAATATGGTTTCACATCCGTCAAGAGTGGGCGAACCTTTGACCATGCTCCATCCGCTCCAATTACCAAATCACAAGACTGAGAACTCCCATTTTGGAATGTGATGATTTGTTGGTGGGGATTTGAAGGATTTGGAGAAACGGATTGGATTTTACGTTCCCATTGAATGATATTTTCGGGCAGTGAAGACAAAAGCAACTCGATCAAACTATTTCTTGAAATTTCAGGTCGCTCTTCGTTGTGATTGGGTGCCTCGAATTTTATGTCTCCAAAACGATTACAGATGATGTGTTCTTCGCTACATTCTACGGTGAGTGACCGGAATGCTTGGAGAAGCCCACATTCTGAGAGTGCGCGTTGCCCTGATTCGACGTGAAGATCTAGGGAGCCGGATGGGATATTAACAAGACCTGGAGAGGGACGAGATCTGAGGTCGTAGATGGTGAAGGGTATTTTACTGCGGTGGAACAGAGAAGCTAGGACTAGGCCGGATGGCCCTGCACCAATGATGGATATTTTTGGAAGCATGGGTGGATGATTTGAGGTTCTAAAGTATGTATCGATCTCAAGCTGTGTTTGACTGTTCTTGACTGGTTTGACAAAATGATATAGATTCAGTACTTTGGTTGACTTATGTATGTTCTTTAACCAGCCTCATATTTGATCTGACACGATCTCGTGCAATGCCTTATATGATCATCTGCCCATGGAGTATGGTTTCAGAAGCTTCGGACTATTTAAGCCATTCATTAGGTCCCGTCTGAGAAATTGAACAGCGGAAATCTTTCCCCTAGAAGATCCGCCTGGTGTAAGGCTCATTGATACTACCATGACGGGCCCGACAAGATATCGGGCCCGTCTAATTCCCGAGATTGCTGACTTGGGTATGTTGCGCTGCACACATCAGACAACTGATAGTCAATTATTTCTAACTGTCTTAAGAGAAATCTGGAAACACACATCTACTGAGATAGCTTGTCATTCTCAAAATTATGAAACGGCAGTATGGCAGGAGTGTGTTGAGGGGTACAACAGAATTACTTCGGCACGGAGTAGGGGAGACTGTCGCCCTTATAAACGCAACCATTGTAAACATTAAGAAACTTGCCAGTGTTCTTTTCTCATTTCGTGAGGTTTGATGCAAGACTGTGGTGCTATCCCAATTCTTCGCCGTGTACTCCTTTAGTTTTTGTACATGTCATTCAAAACTTGCGGCGGAATGAATGATTGGCAGATGCTGATAAGCCCGATTGAACCTCGGTTCAGGGGTCGAGCATACAACCACCATCATAACAGTATCATCTGGAATCGAGATACTTATTGAGACAATGCGCATTGCCATCGTGAATATGTGAGAAAATTAAGATACTGGTATTTCACATTAGCGACAATGACAGGAGCACCACCATTGACAGGCGTTCGCGTTCTCGAATTCGCAGGCCTAGCTCCAGGTGAATGCCCCCCGCATTACCCCAGATTCCATTGCATCCCCATTAACATCAGTTGCAGGACCTTTCGCGGGACTTCTTCTAGCAGATTATGGAGCGTCCGTCCTACGTATCGATCGCGCAGTTCCTAGTCTCACCCACTCTTCCTCAATTCCTCCACCAACCCCCGATCTCCTTACCCGACACAAATCCTCTATTGCAGTCAACCTTAAAGCAAATGCGGGAATATCCTTCGTCAAGTCTCTCGTTGCGCATGCTGATATCATAATCGATCCATTCCGCCCAGGAGTTTTGGAAAAATTGGGACTTTCACCAGATGTTCTCCTCAAACTCAATCCTCGCATCATTCTTGCCCGAATGACTGGGTTTCGTCGTGATGGGAAGTACAAAGATATGGCCGGGCACGATATCAACTACATAGCAGTTTCGGGGGCATTATCACTTCTTGGGCGAAAAAATGAGAAGCCATTACCACCGGCGAATATACTTGGGGATTTCGCGGGAGGAGGAGCTACGTTGTTTCAGGGAATTTTACTCGCCTTGCTAGCGCGAGAGAAGAGCGGAAAGGGGCAAGTTGTGGAAGCGAACATGGTCGATGGGAGTGCATATCTTGTAACGTTTCCAAGATTGTTGATGAAGACTCCGATGTGGAATAAACCGAGAGGAGAGAACACATTGGATTCGGGAAGCCCGTTCTATGATACCTATGAAACAAAAGATGGAAAATACATGGCGGTGGGTGCTCTAGAACCACAATTTTTCAAAGAGTTGGTTAAGGGGCTAGGATTGGGAGAAACTAATCTGGAAGAGACGAGAATGGATAGGAATACATGGCCAGAAATGAGGGAGACTTTCACTAGGTTATTCAAAGCGAAGACGAGGTCTGAGTGGGAGACTATTTTCGATGGAACTGATGCGTGTTGTACCCCTGTTCTCGATTATGATGAACTCGAAAATGACACCGCCAGAGAAGGTGATCAAAGACCAATCGTTACACTCGGAGAGACACCAGCTCTTGCAATATTTAAAACTAATATACAGGACCCATCGACTGGCCAAGGCCCTGGCATTGAAGGGGGAAGTTACACCGGAAAACCGTTATATCCTGGACAAGGAGGAGAGACAACACTCGAGCAATGGCTAGGATGGAAAAGAGGAAAAGACTATGATATAGAGAATGGTGGTTTGATTAAGAAGAAACATTCGAAATTATAATCCACCATTATATCCCATTCTAAGCACCTCGACTCTCTTGTTCATTACCCCTCTGTTGTCATCTCTAAAACGCCCCAAACAAATGTCTATACTCCAATATTCAGGACCAGAACCAGAATCAGAACCTCGAGCCGTCCCCGCCTACTATCCCTATACCAACTCCGTTTCCATACCCCGATCACTGATGATATGCTCCCAAGCGAATGCAGCAAATTTGTAGCTCGACAAAACTCCAGCTTAGGCTTCGAACGTAGAACCATCTTTAACAGAATTAGTTCAGTATTAAATACAACTAATGATCATGAAGCAGACTTACAACTCAAATCTTGAAATCATCATCATCTAGCTCAATAAGCATCGACGGACTTGGAGGTGGGTTTGGAGGAGGAGATGGCGGATCATCTCTCGACATATTTGACGACGAAACGAATTCAACTTTCTGATGATGAGATACTCGTCGGTGAGGTGCCCCGACTTGTAGAACTCCGAGTGATAGAGCTGGAGGAGCAGCTTTACGCTGACGCTTCTGAAGACGCGGAGAGGAAAGATTTGCTTGAGCAATAGCCATCTTTCTTGTCTGATCCGAAAGAAAGATTATGAAAAATGTATAGAAATCAGGGGAAAAGAGTTTATGATTAACTCCGAAATTAGATATGAATAAGGTCGATTATCTCCCGTAAGAAGAAATATGATGCTCGAAAAAGTAAATCTAGGCAAGCAAGCCACTTTCGGAGAATTACCTAGATGGAAGCTGAAAGTCTCTAAAAAGCACTTGGGTCAAGGAACCACTTTCTTTGCCGACCTTCCATTGTACTTAAATACCTTGTGCTGTTCCTCCTATATTCTAGATCTATCATAAAATTCTCACATGTTCCATGGGCGCCTTCGATACCCGCAAAATGCTTCTACCTGCCTTTGTCACACTGAAGCCCTGCCTAGACCCTACATACAACCGTACTCCCGACGGCTCTTGGAAGCCTCGAGAGGGCAGTGACATTCATTCGGTCTTGGCTATTGTCCTGTTTTCCAGACCTCATTTCCAATAGATAGATACTCGTTGAACGAAGCCTTCCAAATCTCGGGAATACACACACAGAACGCTCGCAATAATAACACACCGCAAGAGAACCAAAAAAGAAGAACAACAACAATCCATTACCCGGGAAGCGGGCACCAGAGAAAATCCACGCGTTCCAGAAGCAAACATTCGAAAATGCGACAAATCACATTTCGCCAATCTCATTGTTTGGGTCCCTTCACCACGCATAGAACAGGATAGATAGAAAAGCGATATCGGGGAAGACTCATCGCTTCGCATTGCATGAATACTCAGTATGTCTGCATATCCCTCCTCGCAACTTTTCAACCTACCAGCACCAGGATCGCTCATCTCCCTCGGCACGTTGCACCCCTGATTTGTCTGCAAGCATTTGCACCTCTCTATTTCCTCGCACAAACAAACATCTTATTCTATCTACCTACCCTTCGTACGTACAAACACCTAAAAGCCTCACGAAGTACTAAACCAACGTCCCTCCACACCACAATACCACCAGCACGGTACTCGTACACTCGTGCACTCCACTCATCCCTCCACCCATTCTCCACCAATTCAAGGACCCGAACATGAAGTCCGTCAGTACCACACCTTCCAAGAAAAAAAGACACATACACAAACACCCTCTCTCTCGCTCTCCCTCTCCATATTTCCCTCACCGACCAAGAACACTCCCAACTCACACCAAGAAAACAAGCATCGCTGAAGTATTTCCGTGTCCCCGCTTCCCGTTTGTATTCTCAAGAGATCTTGTGTACGATCTGGACATTCTCCCGATACGCGGGTGTGACCTCCTTCCATTTTCTCGAATCGGTCGTTGTCCCCATTTCCCCGCATATATGCTTCATTTCGGAGGAGAAACAACCCCAGACAAAGCAAGGCAAAGAACGTTATTCGAGGTTCGGGTTACATCCAACCAAATTTACGCAGCGATGTCTTACGGAAGGTAAGTTGATGAAACACTAACACTCGATACGAGCAAATCTTACGATTGTGTACGATTCCGCCGGTGTGGTAGCGCGAGCACGTCATGTTGTGTAACGTCCCACTTTCAATGCACAAAAATCATTGGTAGGAATTAATTCTCTCTTTCTTTGCAAATGGGGCAACTAATCTAGATACTAAGTTATGTCCTTGAAACTAGCTGTAGGCACCAATAAACGAGGCGGAAAAAGATTGAAGAAAAAGAACTAAAGAGTTACAATCATTTCGCTGTAAACAACATTAAAGTCAAGCTTGCCATTCATTCATTCGCCTTATGCTTCCAAGCCAAGATATTCTCGAATCGGTGTATTCTCGGTACGATCTTTCCCTTTCACGTCCATCACCGCGTCCATGTATTCCACACATCATTATGCTCCACGCCAAAGAAAAGTAGGTATCGTATGTGGTTGTGAGATAGAAAAAAACGAGTCTAAGGTAAATGGGCCAACACAGTACTTGCGGTGAGTATCTAATCAACGTTTCTCGGTTGCTTCCCTGCCTCGGACTTTCTTGACCCGGAAGGATCGCTGCATTTAATTCGGACAGTAGCTTTATTGTACTTGACTAACAATTTCGCTCGCCTTTGAAAGTGATTCAACCATTTGTTGACATTCCTTTCTTCTTCGAACGGTGTAGTCGCTTTCTTTGAGCAAATCATCAAGAGTATCGGTTCTGTACATGTTCTCGAGAAGCTCTCTTTGCATTTCATCCTTGGTGTATCTATAACAGGTTAATCACATATAAATTGCAAATTACTCAGGGGTTCTTACTGGACGAGGTTAAGCATAATGGCTTTTGGTACCATGTCAATCATGGTTCGCTTTACGATGTTGTAATACGAATTGATGAGTAGTTCTAAAAGAAGTTAGCAATGTCAACTGAAAGTGTATTGAAATTAGACTTACTGATAATCTCAACTTCTGTGCCTTCTCTCTCTGACAAAGTTCCAGAAGCCTTAAGAATTGGTGGTGGGGCTTCCATGGCAGCCATCTTCTTCTTATTCTTGGAAGCAAAGAAACTTCCAAAGAAGCCTCCATTCTGTTCGCCCATTCCATCAAGTGTTGGGCTTGCTGTACGTGCAGGCGTTGATGGAATTGGCTTTCCTGACTTGGGATCAACCTGGACGGGCTTTGATGCATTATGTCTCTCACTAACAATAGCCATAGCCTGTAAAATAAATTAGTAGAAGTTATAAAGTGATGAACATCAAACTTACTCTGTGACCGTTGAGGAAGTCGGGATGACCAGTATTGATATAGCACGATTCCATTGCCACTAAATCTTTTACGAGTTTATTGGCAGGATCCATGGCTTTCTTAAAGAATGAAATGACGACAGCATGGAATTTCTCCTTGAGTTGAGGATACCTGCGGAATAGCGGCTTGGCAAGAAGTTGAGTAAGGATCCTGACCAGCTCGTCGTATACCAAAGAAGCGCACTTCAAACTGGGTTCTTCCAGGCGCTTAATTTGTTGTTTAACGATTAGCTCGAAAGCAGTGGTACCGACAAAAAGCGCGGGCGAAGAACCAGAAGAGTTATAAAGTATAGTTCTAATGTCAATATCCTTAACTTGATCAAATGGATCCACAGCCTTAACACCATTCGAATAAAGTTCGTGGAAGACAAAACTGATTCTAGCACCACCTGAAAGTTCGATACTGGAGAGCTCCTGGTTATTACCCTCCAAGACCGTCCGCCATTCATTTGTGAATTCTGTAATGATATTGAGCACAATGTTTGCACTATTTCCAAGCATCGAATCTCCAAGACCTGCCAACTCTGCAGTGTACTTTTGTAACGAAGTCTGAATACGAGCCTTAATATCTGGGAGAGTTTGCTTGATATGCATCATCAAGATAAGGTTCAACTTTCTGGCGAGGTATGGAGTTCCGCAATATGTGCTCTTATTCTTGTATGCTCGGTGGTTTTCGAAGAAGTTCTTCTCGTTTTCCAATGCCGCGGTAATCTGCTTCTTATTGTCGATATCCCTCTGACCTCTGTTGACGACTGGAACATAACCTAATCTCAGGGGAATAATTCTTCCAGCCAAAATGTCCACGACATCAGTTCCGTCGTCCATCAAATCGACCTTTGTCAAAACACCAATAGTTCTTTGACCTTCTGGGTCGACTTCTCGCGCAAGCTTCAATCCGTCAGAGTTAGCCAAATCGGTATTTGCACCTGTAACAGCAAGAATGATAGCATTTGGTTTGCTAATTTGCTTGAGAACCATCTCCTTAATCTGCCTTTCAATATCTCTTGGTTGATCTCCGACTGGAACCTTGGTCAAACCAGGCAAATCGACAAGAGTAAGTGTGAGGACATTTGGGGAATATATGCGAAGATTGATAGGAGCTGGGGAGATTCCCGCATTCCGACCGGTTTTCGCCTCAGTTTCCTTCACAATCTCCTCTCTAATCTTGTTGAAGTCATGGAACTTTTGCCCGGGAATATGAAGGAATTCGCCCCATTCATCAGCATTTGCTTCTTTATCACCTCCAGCGGCCAGTTCCTCCGAGTCATTGACCCCGTTTGATTTCGCGGGAGCTGGTCGATTGATAAGTTGTAAGATAAGGGGTCGTCTAGTAACAATACCGGTTCCTCGAGGTAAACTGCGCACCATCATAGATTTAGCATATGTATACACTGCGGATACGTACGTGGCAGACTCACAAGTCTCTACCAACTATGTTTTCTAAGACCGAACTCTTTCCACTCGACTGACTTCCCACCACTGCGATTTGAGGAAGATCTATGGGATTTTGTACACCGACGGTCGTGAATACATCCTGAAGCTTGTTCACCAATCTGCAACATCTGTTAGCTATCCAGCGCAATGAAATACAGCTTAAGGAGGTCCCAACGTTATAAGACCGGGGTCAGAGATACCGCCTTGTGCGGCCATGATTGCGTGTGAGTGTTGATTTTCAAGGGAGATAGATAGTTTGAGGGTATAGCGAGATCTTTCGGCAAGCTTGTCACTTGTTGGTATTTTCTGATTTTAGGAAAATGGGAGTTGGAGAAGTTCCTGTTTTAAAATGCGACTCCTGTTGATATTCTGTTGTTTAAAACAAACAGGCGTGCGAGGCCAACTTCCACGAGGTGAGGCTAGTAATATGGCCCGTGCTCAGATCCTCAGCAAGATGGATACCTTTGATGCAGAAAAGTGTTTGGCTTGGCTTGGCTTGGGTTTAGATTATCATATGATTGACAGTATCTTGAGGATAAAAGTTTGATCGTTTTTGACACTTGCTAGTAAGAAGGATTCTTAGATTTCGGCAGTGAGTAAACCCCAAGCATCCAAGGAGAATCTATGAAATCACAAATTATTAAAATGTTTGAATGGACGAGAAGTCTCTGAAATCCAGTGGGGGCGCGGGGTTGATACCCAAGCCAAGGAGGGTGTAGAGGAGTCAGAAACAGCTCACATATATTAGGTACTTATTAAATCATAGCAAAGACATTTACTCATCTATTGATCTCTAGCTCAGTGAATACTTCATATTACATACACAGCAAAAAGCAAACAAGCTCATTAGCTTCGTCATCACCCTTACGACGCTTTTTCGCCAGAGCATTAGGCATCTGTATATCATAGCAGGCAAGCACGTGCCTAACCCCCTTTCCAACATTTACGAATACGCGGATAACTTCCACCACCCAATCCAACCATGTCGCCAAAGATTATCACCGTCATTGGATCTCTAAATACCGACCTCGTAACGCTTACTCCCCGCGTTCCCACTGGCGGCGAAACTCTAACCGCTACGTCCTTCAGTACTGGTCCTGGCGGAAAAGGTGCCAATCAAGCTGTGGCATGTGCTCGTCTCTCAAGACCCAATCCCGCTTCCGCTCCATCTCATACTAGCGATGTTTTGATCAAGATGATTGGTGCTGTTGGTGATGATGAGTAGGTCTTTCATTTATTCCTTACCAAAAATCGCTGTACAATTTCTTATTTTACACACCTGCCTACAAGTGGGTTTCTCTCGTTCTGTTATCTCCATGTATTCCAAGTCAAGGACCTTATGCAAGGCTTCTATTCTCGACTTTTTTTCTGCGCGATTGGTTTTGTAGTACCAATTCTCGTCAGTTATGTGGAAAAAGTACAAGCTTCGGGATAGTAAAAGATGATCAGCCTATCCTCTTTTTCAAATGGGCTATTCACCTGTTCCACTTGTTTTGACATTTCAAACAATCAATATGAGGTCATAGGATTGACAACGGCAGGGGAAAACCCCCCCTTTCGCCCAAGATTATCAGACTTTCCCTATTCCCCCAAGCCCCCTTTATACAATATCTGATCACTTTTAAATTCACCACCTAACACACACCAAGATTCGGTCCCTCCCTCATCTCCTCCCTCAAAGACTCTCTCATCGACACAACCTCGATCCAAACAATCCCCGCCCAATCCACCGGCGTAGCAGTAATCCTCGTGGAATCCGACAGCGGCGAGAACCGCATCCTCCTCTCCCCAGGCGCAAACCACGTGAGTCACCCAACTTTCATCATCCATCATCCGTCCCCTTCCAGATCCAACACCATTCCAACCCAATTTCACTCCCCAATTTTCTTTACAAGCAGCTGCACACTAACCACAACCTAGTCCCTCCTCCCCCCCGCCTTCGCCACCCCCTCCTCCCTCACTTCCCCCCTCCCCACCCTCCTCGTCCTGCAACTCGAAATCCCCCTCCAAACCGTCCTCCAAATCCTCACCCTCGCCTCCAGCCTCTCCATCCCCATCCTGCTCAACCCCGCTCCCGCCGTCAAACTCCCCGACTCCGCCTACCCCTCCATAACCCACCTCATCCTCAACGAAACCGAAGCCGCCATCCTCACTTCGCGTCCCGTCTCCGCAGTCGAAGATCCTGCTTTTGATTGGCGCGTCGTCACAGATGAGTTTCTGAGCAGAGGCGTCAAGACGGTCATTGTGACGCTCGGGTCTAAAGGTTTGTGCATGTTTTTTTCCCAGCCCAGAATTTCTTCCCTCCTAGTCCCCCCCCTCCACCCAAACCCCAAACTAACCCCCCTCCCCCACCCCCTAGGAGCCATCCTCGCCACCTCCCAAATCTACACCCACATCCCCGCCGAATCCAACATAAAAGTAGTCGACACCACCGCCGCCGGCGACACATTCGTCGGCGCCTACGCCGTCGATCTCGTGCGCCATACTTCTCCAACCACCGAATCCACCGATCAAGACTTCGAGAAAATTCTGCTCTCCGCCGTCCAAAAAGCTTGTAAAGCAGCCGCTCGAACGGTCGAGAAAGAAGGCGCTCAGAGCGCGATTCCCTGGGCTGATGAGATTGATGTTAGGAGGAATTAGTCTTGACTACTTAATACCTAGGTACTCGAATTTACAAATCTATAGAAATTCAGATATACTTTTCCCTCCATAGAAGAGAACGTCAAATGTATACTAGCAGAGAATTCGACATATCAAGATTTAAGGCTTCAATGATACCATCTAGTTGGTTCGCAATCAATGTATTAGATAATATCTATCATTTCATGCCATGCATTTGCCTTGCCTTGCCCCGCCATTCCATCCAGCCACATCTCATTGAATAGCCCTGACTCGATTTACTCGCCATCAATCCATCAGCGTATACGTAAAGGTCTAAAGCATTGAAAACAATTTACAAAAACGCACACTGACTAAAACTCCATCGCCGTTACCGTATGTTATGTCCCAAACACCATTGATGCCTACCCATATGCAATCCTTCCTGCATTCCACCGATTCGCCACCCCGAGAGTTGTATGTAACGTGAATGAATAAGAATAAAGTTGATGAACGATGCAAAACAATGAAACGAGAAATTATAGCATCATTTCTCATAACGCACTACGAGATGCCCGTGCAATGGCGTGAAATTTCCAATTACCAGCCATTAGATTCACGCTGCGAGCCATTGAATACACTTTGTTTAGAGACTCCCTGAAGGCTATTTTCGCTCGACCATCTGATACATTTGTTAGCTCGATTCATGCCTTGATCAGATGATATGAAACCTACATCCGAACTTTGCCGTCATCACCAGCGGAAGCGAACATTCTTGGATTCACTGGGTTCCAAGAAACCGCATTGCAGCAACCTTTCTTGTGAGCTTCTAGTTTTTCTACCACTGAACCGTTCTCTCGATGGTATATCACAACATTGCCTTCTATAAGTGAATGCGTTAGTAATGCAGGCGTGCAACCCAAAATCCGAATCTTACCTTCACTTCCGCTAACCACAAAACTTTCATTGGCACCGCCGAAAGAGCTTCTGATAATGAATTCACCCCCTTTATCCCCAGATACGAAGGTTCGAATTGTTTCGCCGGTGTCTATATCCAACATGCGTGTTTCTCCAGAGTTACAATGTATCAGTAGGTGTCTTGAATTATCGCTGACGCCGATCGAACAAAGCTGAACTTTGAGGTCCAGCTCATATTCAAGCTCGCGAGTTATGAAATTGTAAACATAGAGATGGGTCAAGTGTTCGATGGCCACTAGTCGGCTCCCGTCTGGTGTGAGTGCTATGTCTCGAATACGATGATCTCGGCCCCAATCATATACGAGCTCTCCATTGAGATTCCACTGGCATAAGTTCTTTGTAGTAGCCAAGCTGCCTGTGATGAAGGATTGTCCATCCGATGTCCATACACAACAGGACACAGGCTCCCCAAAACGGGGGAGCTTCATCAACAAATCACTAGTCTAAGAAATCAGCGAGAGAATTTTGAATACGGAGTTCTAACTTACTGCAGTATTCCACAGCAAAGCTCTGTTATCACGGCCACATGTGACCATTCTCGTGTCATCAGGACTCCAAGCAAAAGAACAGACTCCACCTTCATGTTCAGAAAAGGAAGTATGAACACTGAAAGCCGGAACATTATAAATAACAAGAACCCCATCGCTTCCACAGCTTGCCAATAGAGTTCCATCATGTGAGAACTTTGTATCCCATACTTCACCAGCATGTTTGGTAAGGTCCATGATGGGCCGCAATGGAACGTTACTTCGGTCGCATGTGTGATCTTGGTACAGCGAAGGTGACTCATGTGTGTTGTGATAAACACATGTCGATATCTGATGTTGTTTTACTTGGTCAAAAAGTGTGGCCAAGCGATTCTCAGGTAACATGGCTGATGGTGAAATACATCCTAGGAGAGTGTCAGCATCACGTATTGACCGATGTCATTAATGAAAATCTTACTAGACAGTTGTGAGAGGAGTAAATGCCTGGAGTCTCCAGCGGCCCCATCCCAATTAGCCTTGACCTTAAGATCCGCAGGCGTACACATCAGTAAGCTAGTACAGGTGATCAGTGCTTAGTCGAGATAAAGATTGTAGAAACATAGCAACAAAAACATACCTTGAGAGAAAATGCAACTTGGCGGTATCTTGATATAGTGGAGTAAGCTCAGATCGCAAAACATTTATTGCTCTGCCCATGTCTTTTCGTTCAAGTAATTCCAAGAACTTTTGCTGCCGCATCCAAAACCTCATAATGTTCTTATCCACACCATCTCGGAGAACCAATCCATTCCCATGAATATTAACTCCGCCTTCCTCTATAGGCCTCCCGAAAAGCAGTTCTTCAGCTTCGGTCCACTCGCCCTGTAAGACTGCATTTCGGAAAGCTGCTACAATCGGACTTTCAAGATCATAACCACTTTCCTGACTTAATCTCGCTGCAGCACCATTGTAACCCAAATTCGTCAAAGCTTGGATCAAGATCCTAGTGACTTCCTCTCTATCATGTCCAAAATATGTAGATGTTGCTTTGACACCTGCATCTGAGTGCCCATTGGTGCTTGATCCATTCATGGCTGCCGAGGAAGAATGTGCACCATTGGCAGAGTTTGAGAGGGCTGCCTTGTGTAGACGAGATGTCCCCGCTCCATTTGAGAATGGTTTAGAGCTACCATTCGAGGTACTATCCTCCCCTTCAGATCTCATACTAGCACTTTGACGTCTTCTTTTGTTGCGGTGTTCACTTTCTAGGTTTGAAGGATTCGAAGAGTCTCCGGGACTCGAAAAAGTATTTAATTGTTCCCCTCGGCCAATAGTATGATCTCGACGTCTACGACCGAGGACTTGATCTTGAGCACGTCTCGGCCGGAGCTCAGCTTGAGGTGTACCGCGAGTTCTAGCAGCTTGCCTTGTCGTGGGATCTATGTTATATCTCTCGAATGAAGACGGAGGGTCGATTTGATCTGTTCTGTGGTGAGATGGCGGTAGAGGGGCTTGGGCTGAGAAGACAGTGCTGGTTGATCGTGGAGGGGAAGTCGGGATGGGTGGGTCGTCGGGAATGGATAAGGATGGTGGTGGTATATGGGGGTTGTCGTCTGCCAGGACGAAATCTGCGGAAGTGCCGCTGGTTGAATATAGATTCTAGAGAGGGGCCTCAAGAATCTTATGGGGTTTGTTAAATTGAAGCACCAAGATGCAAGTTGTTGTAATGCAGGCAAAAGTTAAAGTAAACAAGTGTAGAAAGTCTGGGATTGTCGTGGTTAAATGCTTGCCTCTGCATCTGTAAGACGAACAGAAGCTCGAGCGAAGTAGAAGCTGCTAATAGAGTGAATGATTAGAATCAGCCAAAGAGGTGGGTTCGAACAAAACTTGTGGAGTGAATTCGAATGTTCATAGAGAGAGATGGAATGGATGAATGAATCACAAAGGATCTTATTAATGTTATTCACATACTTATTATTCGCTGCAATAAGTATAGAGTTTGTGATGATTTAAAGTAGAAAAATGATTTATAAAGTCAATCAAGCTCTCTCTTCATGTATGTAGGGAGGTGTTTCTCATTGTAACTGTAACTTCGTAATAGAAGGATGTCGGACAGGTATTTGGGGTTCCAGCACATGAGGTATGGATGATAGCCAGGTGGGTAGGTATGTATGTGCTTGGATTAGGAATACGGTGGACCATTCGATCTTTCCAGTCAGCAACAGTCAGTCACCCTACCACCCACCACCCTATCATGATTCTTATCAACCTGGGAGCACTCGTAGATACGAAAGCGTGAGCTATTAGACTTTTAGAGAACATGTGCTACATGTAAACTTAATCTGCCACCAACCCACTTTGAGACTGCGAATCTGCAACTGGAACTGACTGGCGTTGATTCACATTGTGATGCTAGGTTGAGGAGGAAGTGAGTGCATGTAAGAAGGGATATGTGACCTCATCAAATGGACCACGCTGCATTCAATTTATGATTAGAGAGGGGGGAAAGGGAAAAGGAAGATAAGATATATAATATAGCACCGGCGAGTCGCTTCATAGGTAGTATTCTTGAATAAGAGCAGGCGACCATAATCTATATACATACCTACCTACCGAGGTACCTACCTACTCAGGTACAGTACTGGACACATTCATTATTACTACGGAGAGCTACAATTGTGATAAATGAACCCATCCTTCTTACCATTCTCGCCATTATCCGCCGTCGCCGCTGTCCGTACCAATTGGAAGCGTGTATCAAGTAAGATCACCAATGGTGGGGGAAACTTGGGATAGGAATGAAGGCGTGGATCTAGAGCGGTGCGAGCGGTGTTTAGTAAATACATATTTCGCACGCTCAGTCAGGTACATAAATACCACATACCACATACCTATTACCTATTACCTAGGTGGCTCGTAAGGAGATACCAGGTAGGTGTACCCAGACCTTCAAATCGCATCCGTGAGTAAAAGCTTCAAGCTTGTACGTACTCTTGAGGTACTCTCAGGCTCCTTCCGTTGACCGACTGATATCCATATCCACTTGCTTTATCATTGATCTCTCTGGGTCTCTCTACCATTGATCCTATTGACATGTCATGTACTCGTACATAATACATACATCGTACATATTCCACTACCACCTAATTTTCACTCTGTAGTTGGTTGGTTATTAATTAAATTCCCATCGTCTCCATCCTTGATCCTTTTATGTCACTTGGTCTTCGTCCTCGTTTGAAAGCTCGGCCCTCATTCTTAGATCTCATCAAAATCCAACATATTGATACCTTGTCAATAGCTCCAGTCGAGCTTAATCAAGAGCCATTACCACAACTTCCTCTATCACCCCCTCCAACAACAATCCAATTCATAGTTCCCAATACAAGCAAAGAAATCGCCAACATGGCTCCTCAAAGAGATGCAGATGGAGAGGAACAATTTGGTTGGTCTTTACCTGTTTTCCCTATCCTACCAACATAATTGCTAATCGCCTGCCGACAGGTTCAATTTACTCCGTATCAGGGTTTGTGAAAGACTTCATCAGGATGTCTTTCTTCAGCTAATTATCTTTAGTCCGGTCGTGGTGGCAGAGAATATGATCGGAGTTGCCATGTACGAGTTGGTAGGTTTGATTTGCCAATTTGACCCAATTATTGTGTTGCTAACTTATGGATAGGTTAGAGTCGGTCACGATAATCTTGTCGGTGAAGTTATTCGAATCGAAGCGGATAGAGCGACTATTCAAGTATACGAGGAAACAGGTATGGGAAAACATATGGCTTTGGGTTGGAATTATAACTGACTGTTGGGTATGAAGCTGGTGTTACTGTTGGAGATCCCGTTGTGCGTACTGGAAAGCCTTTGTCCGTCGAGTTGGGCCCAGGTCTCATGGAAACAATTTACGATGGTATTCAAAGACCTCTCAAAGCTATCGCAGACAACTCCAACAGTATCTACATTCCCCGTGGTATTTCCGCTCCAGCTTTGAACAGAGAAAAGGACTGGGACTTTAAGCCGATTATGAAGGTTGGAGATCACATTACTGGAGGCGACATTTGGGGTACAGTCTACGAGAACTCCCTCCTGGATGATCACAAGATTCTTTTCCCACCCAGAGCTAGGGGTACAATTACTCGCATTGCTGAAAAGGGAAGCTACAAGGTCGACCAAAAGATCCTCGAGGTCGAATTTGATGGCAAGAAGACCGAATATAGCATGATGCACACATGGCCTGTACGTGTACCACGACCAACTACCGAGAAATTGGCAGCAGATAAGCCATTTATCGTTGGACAACGTGTATTGGACGCTCTTTTCCCTAGTGTTCAAGGAGGAACTGTTGCCATTCCAGGTGCTTTCGGTTGTGGTAAGACGGTTATTAGTCAATCTGTTTCTAAGTTCTCGAACAGTGATATCATTGTATATGTTGGATGGTAAGGTTTCGTCTTTTCTAAATCACGGCGGCATTATACTAATATCATATATAGTGGAGAGCGTGGAAACGAGATGGCTGAAGTCTTGATGGATTTCCCAGAACTTTCCATTGAAATCGATGGACGTAAAGAGCCTATCATGAAGCGTACCACACTTATTGCCAACACATCCAATATGCCTGTCGCCGCTCGTGAAGCCTCTATTTACACGGGAATTACGGTAGCTGAATATTTTCGCGATCAGGGTAAAGATGTTGCCATGATGGCTGATTCTACATCTCGTTGGGCTGAGGCACTTCGTGAAATTTCTGGTCGTTTGGGAGAGATGCCTGCTGATCAAGGTTTCCCCGCTTATCTTGGAGCTAAACTTGCTAGTTTCTACGAACGTGCTGGTAAAGTTCAAGCTCTTGGTGGACCTGATCGTGAAGGTAGTGTCAGTATTGTCGGTGCTGTCAGTCCCCCTGGTGGTGATTTCTCCGATCCTGTGACAAGTAGTACTTTGGGTATTGTGCAAGTTTTCTGGGGTCTCGACAAGAAACTTGCTCAACGTAAACATTTCCCTTCTATCAATACTGCAGTCAGTTACAGTAAATATACTACTGTTCTCGACAAATACTACGAAAAGGATTTCCCCGAGTTTCCTAGACTTCGAGACCGTATCAAGCAACTTTTGACCGATTCTGAAGAATTGGATCAAGTCGTTCAATTGGTTGGAAAGTCAGCATTATCCGACCCTGACAAGATTACCCTGGATGTAGCTGCATTGATCAAGGAAGATTTCTTGCAACAAAACGGTTACAGTGACTATGATCAATTCTGTCCTATTTGGAAGACTGAGTGGATGATGAAGGCAATGATGGGATTCCACGATGAGGCCCAAAAAGCAGTCGCACAAGGTCAAAGTTGGGCTAAAGTACGTGAATCTACCGGAGAGCTTCAATCCCAATTGAGAAATATGAAATTCGAGGTTCCAAGTGAAGGCGAGGAGAAGATCACAAAGAAGGTATGTTTATCCATAGTATTCATTTGTCTGATAGTATATTTATCTAACATCTTTATAGTACGAGGATCTTGTTCAAGCTATGACTGATAAATTCGCTTCGGTTACCGATGAGTAAAAGGAAGCATAATAGGCGATTATTTTGGGGGAAGCGGTATGGTGGTTTGCATTTCTTACTTTAACTTGTATCAAAGTTTTGTTGGGTGATAGATATGAGATTGTATGCATATAACGAGCGAATGGACTTCATAAAAATGAATTTTCTTCAACAACCTTGTTGATGTGTCTACGTATAGTTTGACTGCCAACTGTTTCATTACACAAATGGCAGGCGTTGATGTCTTTATATTGTGATTGGTGAGTACAGATAAAAATGTCTGACAATATACTAAACTGGCACTCATTTCTCTCCCGAAACGAAAGCCTTTGGATCGTTCATTGAGCTCATTCGAAGTGACTCCATCGTTTTGACCTCGTTCATCTATCATTCTCTGATTGGCTGAGTAAGGAGTTTTCTTGCTGAATAATCTCGGAAAAACCTCGCTAGTTCTTTCATGACAAGAAATTATACTGAGAAGTAATTTCGACGGACCACTGTGATGCAAAACTCAAGACATTTTATTTGGGGACCAAAAGATTCCCGTCTGTAGTATATCGGTAATTATAAAACAATAATCTCCAACCTTTTGCAAGACTGACACATGATTAGTCATTAGATTTCCCTCTGATGGAAAGGTAAAAAATCATCACCAAAAAAAACACATTCAATCCCTGCACGTGAAAGACTCGGAGCATTGAAAACATGGGAAGCACAAATCCTCTTCCCACTCCCGATCCCCAAGATCCCTCCATCCAGCATTGGGAAAATGGATTGGTACTCTACTCCAACTTCATCACGGCTGAAGAAGAATCCGAAATCATCGCTTCGATCCAGAAAGATGATCGTTGGTGCGGAATCGGTAAGCGACAAACCATGCATTACGGTGCGCATTTCGATTATACCACGTTCTGCGCGTCGGAAACGTGGACGGATGTCCCAGATTGGATTGAGCAATTGGTGGGGAGGTTACCGTTTAGAGAGGAAGGGGGCGTGGATCAATTCACGGTGCAGTATTATCCCCCTGGAACGGGGATTCCGCCGCATGTGGATACGCATTCGGCGTTTGGAGAGTATTTGTATAGTCTGAGTTTGGGGTCGGCGGTGCCGATAGGGTTTAAGAGGTGTGGGATTAATGAGGAGCGGAAGATGAGGAGGCCGAAGAGGTCGTTGGGGGAGGCGATTGCAAATGGGAGGAGGGAGAAGGCGGAGGAGGATGGGGAGGAGAAGTGGGAGGTTTGGTTGAGGGAGAGGAGTTTGTTGGTTATGAGGGGGGAGGCGAGGTATGGGTTTGCGCATGGGATTAGGGGGAGGAAGTTTGATGTGGATGTGGAGTTGGATGAGAATGGGGAGGGGGTGAAGAGGAGGAGAGAGGGGAGATGGAGTATTACGATGAGAAGTGTGAAGAGAGGTGCGGAAATGGGATGTGAGTGTGCGTTTCCGGGGGTTTGTGATGCGAGGATTAGGGAGGAGAGGGAGAGGGGGGAGAAGGAGGAGGAGAAAAAGAAAGAACGGGAGATTCGGGAAAAGGGTGAATGTATACCTGAAATTACACCTAGATAAATATATTCATCAAGCCCACCATCTTAACATACTTAAACCCTAATTAATTTTAAGCGAACCCATTCTATTAATCCACCAAACACAAACTCGGAAAGCTCTCTTGAGTTTGAAGAATCTAGTAGTACTAGATCGATAGGGTGAAGGGTCCCTATCTACCATGAAATGGTTATGTCTACTAATCATTATACAATCAGCAGTTTGAGGGTCCTTGATACATCCCTTGAAACATTCCATACCACATGAATGAACATCAAGCAAATAAACAGCAAATAACTGACTAAGTAAATAAGCGAATCTATCTTTCAATCTCAACAGAAGATCACGTTATACCTAACTCTCAAATAGTAATCTTACTGTATCACAGATACAATGCCCGAATGCCATAATACCATAATACCAACATGAAGAGATACAGAGACAGAATCGAGGAGGATATCTCTATTAAATGAGAAACTTGGTATAATTTGATGTTTGTGATTGTATGTGTAGGGTGCTTGCGAGTTTTATTTTGTGATGTAGGTTGAATGGATGTAGGCAGGGGTGGATATGGATATGGAGAATGGATATGGAGAATGGATATGGAGAATGGGTATGGAGAATGGGTATGGAGATGGAGATAACAAGAGTCACTTGAATGTAGTTTGGTAGTGTTGGAGAGGAAGGGTTTGAAATGGGTTTGGGGATTCGAGATAGAGATGGAGATGGGGAGTTAGTCCCGGTGGTTGGAGTGTTGGCTGGGTAGATAACTGTGGACACCTAGATATCTACTGTATATGATTAGCTCATATCTACAACTCTATGTTAATTGATACACTAAAATGCAATGAGTATGAAAATTGTTTGATTGTTTTCATGCCCTGTGGATTTAACAATAGACAAGATAGGATTTTCCACAGTGAGCTGACAATATATCCCCTTTTCCTCCTGCCTGGTTTTATATACGAGCTGTCAAGTAGTCCAATATACTCTCTTGATATAGGACTGCATTTCCATATAAAAATCATTCATTTATGAAAAGAAAATAAGAGATTCATGTGTAGCTGGGTGATGAGGACAGCACCCGAATTGCCTACGTCCGAGTGCCAGTGACACATTTCTCCAAATCATGGTCAATCTGAATATCTCTCGGCTTTCCGATTCCGGTTGTCATTCTACCCACGGAGAAAAGAGCTACTGGAACGGTTTTTCTCGGGCTGGAGTTATTATTAGGTCTGATTCGAAAGTTTTTAACTTTTCTTGTCAACCATTCCCATTTCCATACTAGAACCATTGATGCTATCGTGACAGGTATGCTGATAGCAAAGTATAGCCAAATATCGACACCAATTCCAGAATTGAGTTCCGCTACATTCATACCAAAAACGCCGGCAACGAATGATGGTGGAATATACACCGTTGCAAAGACTGACAAAGCCCCGTAGTTTGTCAGCATTGCGACACGGTAGTAACTTCATGATATTTTGCAACTTACTTGACGTCGTTGGCTTGCTGTATTGCTTTTCTACTCTCCTGAACAGCTATAATTGCTGTGAGTATTGGTATGCTGGCACTGTTTTGCTTCATTTGGATCATGACTTTGTTTTCAAGGAATTGATAGTCTTTCAATCTTTTGCTGCGACTGTCAGCAAACCAGTGACTGGTTGCCATAGAATCAATGACACGGAGGTTCATGTTTAGCATACTCCATGTCTGTTTAAGATACTCCTCGAATGACTCTTTCTCCGACAGCCTTACTTCAATGGTGGCGAGGTATTGAGGCTTTGAGACCCGGAAGCATACATGGAAGCACGTATGCTTCCTGCGCACGGATGACGGTTTGCCATTCATTGCTAGCAAGCCGTAATGCTATCAAAGACACGTTTGCTCTTGTAAATGCATGGGCCCCCTCAAGGATATATGTCGGCTCAACTCTTGAGAATGTAGTTCTTGAACTTGGTTTTCGAGTCTCGAACGCATGGTCAGGGAAATATCAAAGTGATCACTGGATTGCTTGGGATTCCCATCGCAGATGATCAAAGCTATGCATGTAGGAAATAAGCCCAGGTCACATTAAAGAGATAACAGAAATTCCAATACTTTGTGACGATGGAAATCATTGAAAAACAGAAATAACAACATACAAGTGAAAGACTTTTTGCTTCTTCGTAACGCCCATATTGTGACGTGTTCCTCCGAAGAAGCCAAATTACCATGACAAAATGTACTCCTTTTGTTTTGGACTTCGCAGATAAAATTAGCAGAGCTGCGTCTATAGCAACGTTGATAGGGTATGACCACATGATCCTGGATGTAGCTTCTACTCGGAAGTAAAAACGCGACATCATCGCTGGCACGCTTAAAGTGGTCTCGAAAAACATCGATACTACAGCCCAACAATCGGCTAACTATTGGCGATGCATGGATCGATACGTCCTGTAAGAAGCATAAACGCGCTGACAATTGTTTGACTGGAGTTTGCTTTAGATACTCCAATAATTTCTGTGTCCTTGAGTATAATCTTGAAAGCTTTTCCCGAAGATTCGAATTCCAAAACATGCATATCAATGGACAGCACTTCTTTATGAGACTCGGTACGAATATTGGCAGAGCAGTTTGCCGACACCGAAACCTCCCCGGCTTCAAAGTTTGATAACTCTCCCATGGGGTCCCAGTAGAGGTCTTCCACGGTTTGCAGTTTACTATGATTGTGGTTGAAATCATTTGTATCTTGTAGTATACTTTTGCGACATTTCTCCAACTCGATACGTTCAATCCTGGGCTTAGCAACAGCATCGATAACTTTTGGCTCCCGCCCACTGACCGAGTCATCGTCCCGGACCTGGGCTGGAAATGAACTACTTCTCTGAGTGACCTTTGCAAATGAACTCAACTCATTGCCTGTATCATACGACGCATCCCGGCGTGCCGCGCGCTTGGTAGTAAAAAGATTAATATTAGATGTGGCCATAATGTATTTTGTTTAATGTTAATTTGGATACCGTCGGCGTCTTGAGGTGCAAAACTCGAGTGTCTGATGGGATAAATGCACACCTGAGCTTTCCAGCATGCATTCGGCCATAATTAGCATCGCAGATGCCAGTCAGGCCTTGTCAGCGCGAAACCTCCATCTAGGTAGTACTCGATAGGCGGTCCAAACATTGTTCCCCCTATACTCTTTTAACCGTATCAAGATTTGCAAGCGAATCGTAATTGAAACTTTCCAACCAATACAGCATTTACAAATACAAGAAAAACATGTGCTTTGTTGAATCTTTATGTGATGAAATGATTATGTGTATAGCGCACGATAATGGGACTTTTTGGCAAGGCATGTAATGATCTTTTTTTTAGCACGTGAAAGACGAAAACCGTGGGGTACTATAAGCTCACGGGCCATCTCTTCCGACAAGAGCTCTAGGAGAATGTGTTTGAAGCTGTTCCCTATGGTTTCAGACCTCGACGTCGAACAATTGATCATCAACACCAAAATGTGTTTGAATTATTGCTACAAATATCTATTGCTTCATTCCCAAATACTAATACATCAGATTCACTAATATCAGAATATAGTCATCATGCCTAGTCTATTTGGTAACTTTAATCTGTAAGTTAACCCCTTCATCTTCTCCATTACTCGAAATCCGCATTCTAATATCTCTCCCTCTCTAGTCCCACCGATTTCCTCGGTCGTTTCTTAAAATCGCAGTTCAAGAAACTCCCATATCCAGAGACCTCATTTGCGGGCCAAACAATAATCATAACTGGCGCAAACACAGGACTTGGTCTCGAAGCCGCTCGACACATTGTTCGGCTCGGTGCCGCAAGAGTGATCCTCGCATGTCGTACCATTTCTAAAGGCGAAGCGGCCGTTGCTTCTATTTCCGCCTCGCTTCCTAATCACAAAACCATCATCGAAGTATGGCAAGTAGATCTCACTTCTTATGCCTCCGTCAAAGAATTTTGCGTCAAAATAGACCAGCTGGACCGGTTAGATGTTATGCTTGAGAATGCGGGATTGGCAGTGCCGAAATACGAGGAGTTGGAGGGAATGGAAAGCACGGTTACGGTTAATGTGATGAGTACATTTTTAATGGCATTACTGGTACTGCCCAAATTGAGAGAGAGTGCTGCGAAATTTAATATAGTGCCGAGATTGACGATTGTAGCGAGTGATGCGCATGAACAGGTATGCTTCTACCCCTTCATCTGCTGTCTAGATTCTCAATAGTTCAATTTGGCGAGGCGTTAGCGATTTCCGAACTGCCTACTGACTATGAAATCACAACAAGAATATTCAAAGACTAACGTAAATTCACTTTTAGGCCCACTTCAAAGAACAAGCCTCTCCTCTCATTCTTCCAGCCCTCAAGAATCCCAAGCTTCAACAAGACCGCTACAACGTCTCAAAACTCCTCGAAATCTTCATCATTCGCGAACTCGCTCCCCGATTATCTAAATCTGACAAAGAACAAATAATACTCAATACACTTACCCCCGGATTCTGTCATTCTGACCTGATGCGTCATGCTGTATTTCCTTTGAATATCTTGGCTTGCATTGGTAAATCCTTGTTAGCGAGGACAACGGAGGTAGGCAGTAGGACTTTGGTTGCGGCAGCGGCTGCTGGGGAAGAAAGTCATGGAGCGTATATGGTCGATTGCGAGGTCAGTGAACCAAGTAGGTACGTAAGGAGTGAAAAGGGAAAGAATGCGCAGATGAGGGTTTATACTGAGGTCATGGAGGCGTTGGAGCAAATTGAACCAGGGATTACGAAACATATATAGGAATGTAAATAATTAGATCCAAATTTATATCTTATGAGCTTATATACCAATCATACTCACGACATCTTTAAACCACCGATTAATCACCCATCAAAATCGCTTCATGATCCCAAAACACCCTCCAACTCATAAGCACCACTTCCCCGTCTTACAGACCCCGCACTCCGTTCAAAATATTTCAAAGCTCCCTGCGTAGTCGCACAACTGCTAATACTACCCCCGTTAATATCCGCTCCCACAGGTGTCTTCTTCCCATCCTGCACTCTTCCAAGAACATGGAAGTAATACCACACCTCACTGAACACCGTATATCCATTATCTAAACTACCCTTTCCTTGCTCCGTAGCATTATATCTTGGTCCCGAACATCCAATATACGGCACGGCACCGGCCTCCTTCTTCAACGCCGATTGCAGCGAAGACAGCGTATACGTCGTTGTATTGGAAGGAACGATATGATGTTTGCTCAAAAAATCGTAAGTTGGGAGGGTGGAAAAGTAGGAGAGAGCGGTGGTGTAGAAAGAGATCAAGTCGGAGAAGGGAGTGGAGTTGTAGGTTGGTCCGTAACAGGGAGTATCGAAGGTGGAGAAGCAGGTGGCGTGTTTGGAGAATTCGTGCGCCCAGAGGTACCAGTTGGGTTGGTTTTGAGCAATCCAGTAGCTGGGGTTGGGGTGTTAGTCTTGGAAGGGGGGAGAGGGGTAGGAGGGGGAAAGGAGAGCGGAGATTTACTTGTTCATGTAGGCGAGGAGATCATATTTTCCATAGCTCTTAATGATTTCCGAAATGGGCTTTCCGGTGTAAGGAGGCACAGGTGTTCCACTTGCCGTTCCGGTTGTAGTATTAGGAGATGGAACTGGATCATATTGACGGCTACATATTTCCAAAATTAGTTCTATAGTTCTTTCTCTTCCCCAATAACTTCAGACCACAACGAAGCAAAAGCCACAAACCTCAAATCGCAATACTGCGTATAGCTCCCATTACAAAAATCGGGCCAAAGTCCATGCAATGTCCACGAATTCTTGGGTAACAATTGTCCCTCCGATTCGTACCCAGTATACGTATCCCAGAATTGGGTACTGAGAACTAGACCTCCAAAGGTCTCGGTACAGCAGGAATCGGTGAGGTCTGGAGAGGCATTCTTGGAGCAGGAGAGGTAGGGTGTTTCTTTTTCCTTGTTAGATTTTTACTTTCTTATAGGAATGTAATTGCGATTGCGCTGGGGAGGGTAAACACGCACTTAATTCACAGGTGTGATTGAAACTACTTTCTCCATATAATGATGCTTGTACACCTTGGAATGGGAATAGCAGAGGAGCGAGAAACGCAGCAATTTTAACAGCCTGCATCTTGAATTCTTTCCAAAAAACTCGAAGGGGTGATTAAGAAAGCGCAAGCAAAAAGAAATGTGTTCAAGAAATATTTGAACTTACTCTAAAGCTTAAATATAAGTAAAAAGTATTCGACCAAACTTTTAGCTCACCTCGGTCACATCGAACATGCATTAATCTACTTTATTACCGTATAGGAACTCTTACCGAATTCGAGAAAGATACTACCCCGACAGCCTAGTATCGTGCAAATTCGAAAGGACTAAAAGACGGCAACTTATCAATGGCTTGAAATTATAGAGAAGAAAGGGAAGGAAAGGCAGGTGCTCAGGAACGTGCTGCAGTGTAACCAACGACCCCTCCTTGATAAAATCTTACACGTGGGGCAGGTAATGGATCGGAAAAGATAACTTGGTATCGGAATTCCCCAGGAACGGTTTTGTTGTATTTACACCTGCCCTTCTAGGAAAGGACAATTGATCGCCAAGAATTGTGGATACTTTGTGAGTATTTCTCAGCTGTCATTCGTATATATGACCGTTGGAGTGGATATGTGCATTGCATTTGGTATATTAAACTAAACATGTACATGAAGGTTGGCCAGCTCAATGAACGGTGCTCCAAAAATCCAAAAATGTCAAATCGCTTATGCTTTTGTTTTATGCTTATGCATATCCTGAAAATATGTACAATAAAATATGAAGTCATTCGTCTTCATGAGTCGTAATTAAGGCTGGGTATCTATAATAAAACTTTCTATGGTCTTTAACCTCTTCCGAATCTTCGATCAAAGAGCTTGAGTACACCCATAACACTTGCAGCCTCCACTTCCATGGGTGCTCTACCAGCATGTTGGAGCGGTGTAGCATGAAGACGACCTAACCACGTATTCAACTCATCACTGGCTTGATCAAAATTCTTGTGGGTAGAAAGAGTCTTGTAGGTTTCTGCAACAGATAAGCTTGGAGGTGGTTCTGAAGTAGATGCCGGCTCCATTGTCTTGCAACAGCCACCGCCGGAAGAATTGCCACCACAGCATCCGTCAGGTGGAGCTGAGCTTGAAGAAGCTCTCATTGCTGCGAGTGATCGACAGAATAGTCCTGCCTTTGGATCACTTATACATTGTTTACAAGTACCAGGGCCATTGGCACAAGAATTTGAAGCTGGCGCGGCACTAACTGGTCGATGCATATGGTTGGGTTGCATGGATGGAAGTTTGACCTGTGTGTTTTCAACATCTGTATCTGATGGTGGAGGTGTAACTTCATTAAGTAGAGGTGCAAGACGATTCTCCTGTTCTCTCTCAGCACACGGGCAAAATGTTGATTGATCACAGAAGCCGCATGGTTCTATAGGTCGTGATATGATCTGAGGTGGAGGCGATGGTTCACGGATGATGGGCTGTCGTCGTGAGAACTGGGCAGTAAAATCAATCTCGAGAGGACTGGAAGGACTGGATGGCCTAGATGACAAACGGACACGCTTTTCCGAGGCGCCATCAACTGAAGGAGAATGTGCCCTTTTCAAATCCATACCGACATCCTTAAGCGTTTCTTCCAAGCACTGACAATGAGTGTCAGGACTACAATTGCCACAACCCTGAGTAGACATAGCAATGACTTGTTCGGCACAAGCACATTCGCCCAAAGACTTGCAACCGCCACAACCGATTGCTTCACTTGACACCTCAAGGTCTGGAACAAAGGGGGTTTGTTCTTGGCGTGGCAGTGGTAAGGGCTGTGTTTGAGTAGACTGGCGATTCCGGCGTGGTGGGAGAGGAACAGCTTCAGTGCTTTTGCTTTGAAGTCCATTTCTGAGATATGCTAATTCCTTGAGTGCAGTTTCCTTTTCTCTCTTTTCGTAATCTGCAATTCGATCAAGGGTCTCGCATCGTAATCTCCATGATTGAAGTTCGCCATTGAATCTAGAAACCTCTGCCTCAAGTCTAGTAATCTTCAATCTCATATCATTCTCCCGCCTCTGTTGATCTTCCTTTGCCTCCTCGAGTTGTTCCTCTAATTCACCTACTCGTGCAGCACGTCGTTCTCTAAAAGCACGTTGAGCGGCTCTGTTCTGAGCCTTTCTCTTTGTTGGTGGGGTATCAGTTGCAGGCTTTCGTCCGGGTTTCGGTCGTGGCGGAATAACCCATTCCTTAGTTGTCATGATAGTAGGGGTAGAAACACCCGATGTTGGCGACATAGTATTCATGCTTGATAGATTCCCAGTTTTGATGGCGAGAACAGGAGGAGCTGGAGCAAGGGCTGCTGGGGAACCAGCCGATGATGGTGTTGATACCGCGGGTGAAGCCATGATTCGGGTCAACGAATAGCCGATTGGCGAATTCAAGTTTATCTACCTATCGCAGAAAAGGAAGGTCACGAGATATAAATGAAAATAACTCTTTGGGACCCGACTGTTTCTTCAACACGGACTGATTGATGAATATACAAGTAAATCTTTTGTAGTGTGACAAGATTGACTATCTTTGTGGGTAAGAGAAGATTATTAAGAAATCAAGTCGTTACTCATCAGAAGAGATTATTATGAAGAAATTGAGGGCAAATATTGAACAATCGTGTACCAAATTAAAGGACGAATGAGCATTGTTTGTAAGATCAGATTAGAAAAAGAAAAGGGAGGGGGGAATAGAAAAGTGTGTGAGAGATCAAAAAGATTAGATTGATAAAAATTAGCGTGAAAAATTAGTGTCACAGTGTCATCAGTTTACTTACACAAGACGCTACTTTCCGAGAATCGGACTTTATTGGTTTTCCCTATTTTGCAGGCATCGAGGTGAATCTTAAGTGTCTGTCATATATCCTTCTAACCTCTTCCTAACCTTCGACTAACCTGACATATGATTTCAATTGTCAATCGACGAGATATATCCAATCATACTCTGTAACACGGTTGAAAATCCCTTATGCCAAGAGATAAAAGAAGGGATCTTTCATCCACGATTATCATATCCTCGGCTGTTGTCCTGGGATTCTGGCTTGACTTTGCCAGAGCTTACGTTCGTCGTCTGGGTCCTGTTATGTAAATACCGACCGACAATCTGCTCATGATTGCCTGATCAGCCTTAAAACGAAGAACTACCTGGGAATTCCAACGGAACAGGTGAGGGCGGGTGCATACAGCAGAGCGTCAACCACAAACATATCAAACGAAAAGAGCGGAACTCTCAACAATAAGATATTAAAGCTTGTTCAAAGACAATATCATCTGAACGCTCGTACTCTTACTTTCAGAACTTGATTGATTCAAAAATCTGTTACAATCATCAAACATGAGTAAATTCTACTTTGGTGGAGGATCGGGTGATGTTTCCTCAGACGATGAAGACAATCTTCCATATCCCGAAGCCCTTCCCCGATCTGATTTCTTGGCTCCATCTTTTGATGCACCAACTTATCTATCTACATTATCAGATCGTCACCAGACCCTCGAGGATTTACGTTCCGACCTTCGTGAGCGTTCACAGGGTCTTTCCAAAGAATTATTGGATCTGGTAAATACCAATTATGAACAATTTCTAAGCTTGGGCTCGGACCTTAAGGGTGGAGAAGAGAAGGTTGAAGATGTTAGAGTGGGCCTATTAGGTTTTAAAAGAGGTGTTGAGGATGTAAGAGGGAAGGTTAGAGAAAGGAAATTGGAAGTTGAGGGTCTTCTTGATGAGAAGAAAAGTGTTACTAAGGAAATAGCTCTGGGAAGAAAATTACTCGAGGTCGATTCACGACTTGAAGAGTTGGAGGATAGGTTAATGGTTGCATCCCTTGGTCGGTCACCAAATGGACTTGAAGATTCCTGGAGTGAAGACGAAGACGAGGATGAAGATGATCTTGCTATTGATGGTGTTGTCAATGGAACGAGTACGAAGAAGCTTCAAAGATTTGTGCTAGACTATCGTAACGTTGAGCATCTGTCGATCACGATCGGATTGGATCATCCGTTCATCGCGGCTCAGCAACCTCGATTACTACGGCTGAAGAACACCATTGTTCTGGATTTAAATAATGCTTTGAAGCAAGCACTGTCATTGAAAGTAGAAGGTAGACCGCGGCTGGTCAAGATCATGGGCATATACCGTGATTTGGGAGTTGGCGACGAAGCAGTAAAGATATTAAGAGATTCCAAATCGACATAGCAATTGAGCCATGTATTGTAGAGCTTCAGGAGTTTGTAGTAACATACCCAGCTAAAGTAAATGAATTTTCATTATACAGTTAAAGTACAAATGTGCATGTCATAATATGTTGTGTTATGAAGTCGACAAATCTCGAGGGGTCAAACTCGAATTGAGATCCCTGAACTCCCCATTAAGAATGAACCCAGGGCCATTTGTAGAGCTCAAAACCACTTCGACCATCTCTTTGTTGATCTTGTCACTCAACTGTGCCATGTCCTTCTTCACAGCCTCGATGAAGGCCTTGACATTTCGCTGCATTTCCTCTGGTGTGAAACCGAGTTGACCGACCGCCATTCTTACAACACCCAGACGTTCTCTATATTCAGCACCTCCAATGAGATCCTTCAAAACTAAACTAGGATCTTTCACAACGGTACCCGTCTTCGCGCTGGGCATCAGTCCTTTAGGACCCAAAACCCGACCCAATCCAGCTTTGTTCATTTTCGCAAGGGAATCCGTTTGACAAATACATCGATCGAACTCGATTCGGCCAGCCTTGACGGCTTCAAATATCTCCTCTTCTCCAACTAGTGTCGCTCCGGCTGCTTTGGCAGATTCCGCATATTTCGAGTCTGGAGGGCAAATGACGCATATCCTTAAATCAGTTTTGACTGGGTGTGGAAGTCTTAATCGATTTCGTACGACGGGACCGTTCTTGAGCGATTTCATCTTCAAATGTATCTCGTATTTAGAAGAATTTGGGGGTCTCCCAACTTCGAATGCTCTTAGATATCTATGCGCTGCATTAGTAAATATGTTGAATTGAATCAAGAAAGTAGACTAACCGCATGGCTTCACACAACGTGAATGTTTCCGCATCTTTTGGGTCATATTGTCGATATGTAGTCCTTGGCTTCTTCTTCTTCTTTTCCGTTGTCTTCCTTTTAGAAAATGATTTGGTTGGTCCAGTGAGAGCGCCTGACTTTTCCTTCTTGGAAAGAATCCTCTCTTTGAAGCCCTTATGTCGGACTTGAACTATAGGTATCGAGGCTTTTGGTGCATGTAGTAAGGTGTGTCGAGCAGTAGACAAAGACAGCCTGCTCATTTGAGCTAGGCATAATCCTGGAGCTGCCATATTGTGTAGATCGAGGCGTAAACTATTTCAATATTGGTCGAAGGTGCTCGTAATTCGAGATCATCCATAATCACTAGCGCCAAATCATAAAATTTAGCTTCCGCTCGGCGCCCGGTGAAACCCTTTCCGTGCCACCCCGCCCTGAGTCAAACAAATTCCCCCACTACCCTCAGAATTTATCTCAGGACATACTCAAAGCAATTTATTACTACTCAAATTATACAAAAAAATGAAGTCCGAAGAATTGTCTCAACTGGCGACGAATCTAGCTCCGCTAGACTTCAAGGCTATAGAGCCACACTTAATCGCCTTGGATAAGCACCTTACCCTTCGCTCGTATATTGACGGATACACGATCACTGATTTGGACTCAAAAATATGGGTCACACTTCGCACAAACAGAGTTGCTGCAGCTTTTCTAAAGAAGGGAACTTCTCTCAACCTTGTCAGATGGTATCAATTCATCGAGCAAACACATCCAGAGATTCAAGAGGAAATCAAGCTTAAGGATGAGGCCGAGAAGGCAAAGAAGACAGCTGCTAGCAAGGCGGGAGCAAGCTACAACATAGCTTTGCCTAATACTGAGAAGGGTGTTGTGACTAGATTTCCACCAGAGCCATCGTATGCCAACCGAATCACTTGCACCTCAAATTTATGGAACTAACGTTGCTTAGTGGATATCTTCACATCGGTCACGCAAAGGCTGCACTTCTCAATGACTATTTTGCACACGAGCTTTACAAGGGCACACTTCTCCTCCGATTCGATGATACCAACCCTTCAAAAGAGAAACAAGAATTCCAAGATTCTATTATCGAAGATTTAGCACTTATGGGCGTCAAGCCAGACAAGAAGAGTCATACTAGCGATTACTTTGAAGAGTTATACCAATATGGTCTGAGAATCATCAAAGATGGTAACGCTTACGCAGATGACACAGACCAGCAGACTATGAGGGAACAACGAATGGATGGTATTGCAAGCAAGAACAGAGACAAGAGTGTTGAGGACAACCTCGCCATATTCGAAGAGATGAAGAACGGCACAGAGGCAGGAAAGAAGTTCTGTATCCGAGCAAAGATGTCTGTAGACAACCCAAATAAGGCAATGCGCGACCCTGTTATCTACCGATGCCCCAACGACGATCCCGAGACTGGTGGCCCCTTGCCCCATCATCGCACCGGTACTACTTGGAAGATGTATCCTACCTATGATTTCGCATGCCCAATCGTCGATTCTCTCGAAGGAGTCACACACGCCTTGAGAACAACCGAGTACAACGACAGAAATCCTCAATATCAATGGTTTATTACCAAGTTGAACCTTACACCAGTACACATGTGGGAATTTGCTCGCATGAACTTCGTTCGAGTCTTCCTCTCGAAACGTAAATTGGCCAAGATGGTCGATGCTGGAAGAGTCTGGGGTTGGGATGATCCTCGTATGCCTACAATTCGTGGAGTTCGAAGAAGGGGTATGACAATTCCCGCTTTGAGAGATTTCATCTTGAAGCAGGGTCCAAGTAGAAATATTGTAACCATGGATTGGACCAATTTCTGGGCTTCGAACAAGAAGGAAATCGATCCAATTGCACCAAGACATACAGGTGTCGATATCAAGGATCAAGTAAAGGCAATTGTCACCAATGGTCCAGAGTCCCCATACACCGAAGACAAGCCTAAGCATGGAAAGAATCCCAAGGTCGGAATGAAGAAGGTCACATATAGCAAAAACCTCATTCTTGATCAAGAGGATGTCAAGTTATTTAAAGAAGGCGAAGAAATCACTCTCATGAACTGGGGTAATGCATTCGTGCGCAAAATCAATGGCTCTGGTCCAATTACAGATATTGAGCTGGAATTGCACTTGGAGGGTGATGTCAAGAAAACCGAGAAGAAAGTTACCTGGTTATCCTCCGACCAAACCCTTGTTCCAGCAGAGGTGTACGAATTTGACTACATGATCACTAAGGACAAATTGGAGGAAGATGACAACTGGGAAGATTTCCTCACACCAGATTCCGCTCATAAGACAGATCAGCTATGCGATAGCAATGTTGCCGATCTCAAAGAGGATGATATCATTCAGTTGGAGAGAAAGGGGTATTTCAGAGTTGATAGAGCGGCCAAGGATGGCAAGCCAGCCGTGATGTTCGGTATTCCTACTGGAAAGACGAAGTGAGGTTATGAAATGATATAGAGGAAACGAAGAAACGATATCAAAAGACTGGCAGTTATAAGGACCGTGGAATGAATAGATGAATGATATGTTGCACATTTTCAACCTCCTTTCCCTTACCGTTGTAAATTGCGATTTGAACACTTACTTCCCACACCTATTTGGCTGGAATGACGAGTGCATTTGAATGATGAGTTAAATTTCAACATTGTATTTATCTAGATTATTAAACATGATCGGGATATTGCCGTTGTACGTACATCTTATGTGAGGCTGATCTATATTTAAGATTTTAAGGTTAAAAGCTGTGAATTGGTTAAGTTTACATAAGCTTATACAAGGGTTTCAAACAGGGCTCTTCGTACAATAATGCACCGCTATAACACATATATTAATGTACGTACAACATCCTCAAACTTGATTGCGGATCTCCCACTGGATGGCATTTCGTTTGCCGCTGGAAGAACCAGGGCCTGAAATCCCTCGTAACCACGATACTATCAGTCCAACAGCTAGCAGTCAAATTTGGATCAAATTAAGCAAAGATCTCTGCGAGTCATACAACTGGCAGAGATATCAGCTTCGTGCCAAGAAATGGCGATAATATGATCCATCTTGATCACCATTGGGTATCCTTCACGGCCACGAAAAGCGATCATCTATATAAGGATGCAGACGCAGTCGCTACCCCACTGTATAGATTTTACTTAACGAGTGAAATCTCCACGTTTTATTTCGTGTGAAGTTTCTTTCTCGCCCTGCAAAAGCTTCGCATTTTTTTGGATCGATGTCGCGAGAGCTCTCCTGGAACTTCCACTTCTGGAAACGAGAGCTTGCTTCCCTCTTTTCCGGAACGTTATGCTTCATAGCTCTAGCTGCACTTCTGTGTGCGTTTGATGGAAAGTCTTTCTTTCGTTGGCATGGCATCACACTTAACGCCTTAGTATCCATTCTTTCAACCGCTGCAAAAGTTCTTGTTCTGTATTCCATTGCTGAGTCCACTAGCCAGTGGAAATGGCTCCATTTCTCAGAACAGAAGCATTTTTTGATAGATTTCGATAAGATCGATGCTGCAAGCCGGGGGCCATTGGGTAGTTTCAAACTGTTATGGAGGAAAAACCGGGAGTAAGAGTTGTAGTCTTCCATATACGATGCAGAGATGATACTCACATGAATAGGCTCATAGTACGCATTGGTGCTGTGACGACGGTTCTTGCGTTGGCTGTTGATCCTTTTACACAACAACTTGTCCAGTATCAACAGCGTCAGGTTCCTCAAAAACATGGAACTGCCGACGTTCCCAGAGCAGATCGTTATTCTAGGGGTCGATTGTTCAATACGCAACTCACGATGGTGTCAAGTAATTTCAATCCTTCCGAAACTCCAATAAAGAATCAAGACCGCTGACCCATTAAGGTGATCCGCCCATTACACAGGCCTTCGCTGACGCGGATTTCCTCATGCAATCAGCTGTCTTATACGGTCTTACGCAGCCTATTGGAATGACCACTCAACAACTTCCTCACACATGCACTTCTGGAAATTGTACGTGGGATTCATTTGAGTCCCTTTCGGTTTGTAATGTTTGCAACGATCTTAGCGATAAAATAGTGGAATATCGAGATTACAATTTTCTCTACACAGACTTGCAAACTGACAATGGTGTTGGAATTCGAGAAATGGGAACTGCATTCCGACTTCCCAACGGCTTATTCATCGATGGTTTTGATGGTTGGAACTATACCACCAAATATACATCTTTGAAAATTCCAGGTGGCATATTTATGACGACCTATGGAACTGGAAATGGCAGTGAGACGGTATCACTACAAGACATCGATACGTTGATATGGGCGATGACTTTTCTCAAAGTGCACTCCCCTCAAGATGGATCAAATCAGACGTGGCCAAACTTAGAAATCGAAGCACGAGAATGCGGCCTTTACTATTGTGTCAATCGGTATAATTCTACAATTTCTAGCGGCACTCTGTCCGAAGACATTTCCGAGGTTACTAGTGCAAAGCGAGATCCGGATTCGTGGCAGATTACAAGCTCCAAGTGGGCTGCTGTTCTTAACTCATCGACCGTATCAAGTCTTAATTTTGATAGTAAATTATCCGCGGCGCCTCGATCCGACCTATCCATAGGTGGAAAGTATAACGTCTCACAAGCGGCTGCCAATAGTGTTAGTAGCTACTTCAGCGACTTTTTTTCGACCAACCTGAACATCACGCACAATGTCACCGAGACACAACAGGCAAGATTGAATGGCTACATCATGTCCGATGGCAATCTTCAGTATAAGCCCAGCTCAATGCAAGCTTTCAATACGAGCAATGATCTTCCAGCTACATTCGCGTCTCTTGCAAAAAGCATGAGCAACTCCATCCGTGCTAACGACGATGGCGCAAAAGTACAAGCAGGTACAGCTCATGAAATATTGACCTTTTATAAAATTGAATGGGAATGGATATCATTGCACTGTTTCTTTATCATTGCCGCTACTGTTTTTATCGTTCTTACAATCTATCAGACGAGCCTCCGTGGAACTCCTGCTTGGAAGTCAAGCTCACTCGCCGTTCTTTCTAGGGGACTTATGGTAGGCCACACGTTTAGAGGCGCGGAAACGATGAGTGATTTGACTGCGAGAGCAAGAAGTGAAAAGGCTTGTTTGTATGGAAATTATAGTGAGATACAAGAATCTCGTGAAGATGTCGAGTTAGAGGAAATTGTTATGGGCCCCTCGGATGTCCAGAAGATATTTAGAGGGGCACGGTCGATAAGATGAAGACGGATTGTATGTTTGCTAAATTTATGAGAATGGTCATTGTACTTAAATTGGAGAAAGTGTATTTACAAATATAAGAAGATCATGTATTCTAGTATCCCGTTTTGAGCTTTGTGTGTGTTTGATGTGTTTTCGGTCTGAAATTATTAACGTTCAAAACAGTTTTTGATTGATTGCAATACGGAGGGGAGGTTCCAATGATATTCTCCCACACTATTCAAATAGTCCCACTGTAAGTATTCGGGGTCGTTTGTGAGATTTCAGCGTCTGACTGTGTTTTTTCTGGGGTTTTTTGTTTTGGTTCATGCATCTATTTACAAAACTAGTTAGTTAAGACAATGGATCAAGTAGGTGTAGAATGAGTGGTGGGGCTGCCTATTGGTAAGTTATGTTGGGTCTCATGCATCTCGAGTCCAACTGTTGATTCCTAGCGCGTTAGCATCACTCGCATAACTTGTTGAACGAAAATAGCACAATATAAAAGCTTTTTACTGTATTCCTTTTCCTCTGAAAATTCAATATTTGCAATTTTTCCTGAGATCGATAATTCATTGATTGAAGTCCACCTCATCCTCTAAACCTCTCATATTTAAATCCATCGTTCACCGGACTGTCATGGCAACCTCTTTACCTACAATCGTCCTAGTACATGGCGCCTGGCATACCCCTGCCAACTACAAGAGCTACAGCGACGCTTTAGAAGCACAAGGATTCAAGGTCCTCTGTCCACAACTACCTTCATGCAACGACAAATCTCCTCCTATCTCTTCATTTACAGAAGACGTCGCTGTTGTCCGCAATGTTGTGAAGTCACTCGTCGAAGCTGACGAGCGAGTTTTGATGGCTATGCATTCCTACGGCGGAGCAGTCGGTACCGACGCTGTCGAAGGTCTAACATTTGCCGACCGCGAGGCTGAAGGAAAATTCGGAGGAGTCATTCATCTCTTCTACATGTGCGCCTACATTGTTGCTCCCGGAACATCTGTCTGGGACATCTGTCAAGAAGCAGGCTTCGCCGATCTCTGGCCTCAATTCATCCAGAATTTCGATGATGGATCTACATTCCCCGTCGACCCATCTCTCTCGTTTCTTGGCGGTGTAGAAAAGGATATTATCGATAAAGCACTACCGAATCTTGTAAGATCTCCAATGTCGGCGTTTGAGTCGAAGACAAAGGGAGATGCTTGGAGGAAAGTTCCTGTTACGTATATCTTGACGCAGCAGGATTATTCGGTGCCAAGGCCGTACCAAGATCTTATGCTTGAGAAGGTGAAGAGTGAGGGGATTGTGATTAAGACGGAGGATTATGAGACGTGTCATAGTGTCTTTATTACGAAGGAGAAGGAAATGGTGGATGCTGTTGTGGTGGCAGCGGGCGACGAGAGGAATTTGACGTAGTCTGCGTCACAGAATATGCAGAGTGTCGGGAATATGATATCATTATTCTGTCAATTCAGATTGGATGGTTCATATTCTGACAATTGTTTTATTCGATCACTTTCAGAGAACTCCCAGACTTTGTCGAAGCTTTCCCCGCTTTCTAATTTTCACACGAAATGCCTGCTGTCTCGACTTAAGTGATTTATTTCGATGGACTTTAAAGGTTGTTTACCAAAAGGAGTGACCATAACATGGAACTCCATTTATTTCTCTATTGATAAGTGAGTATCAACTAGTAATGCATGGCCCCACTACGTCAGCTTGGCAACATCTCCTCCATAACGCGAGCTTGTCATACAAAAAAAGACGTTTCCAGTTGCTGTCATGAAAATTGCCTCAAGAAACCACCATTCCTCATCTGTCAAGTCTCCTCGAGCTGCCAAAATCTCAACTTCCTCTGTTATCCACGATTCCACTTGCAATTGATACGTATATGCTGCCACCTTTGCTTCCGCACTGGTTGGGAGTGATTTCAGATGCTGGAAAACCGCGACAATATTTATCATGTCTTGGATCTCACCCTCTTTTAGGGCTCTAGATTCCTTCTCGTAAGAAGCCATGTCATTAAAGATCCCAAGGTGGTCACTAATCAACCTCAGATACCTGGCAAATCGAGGGTCCTGCACATCTACACTAGATTTGATTGTGAACTTTGCGGCCGCAATGACAAACCTACGTTAATATCAGCTCCTCGGAACTTTTTTTGGGGGGGGGGGGTAAGGAGGGGTGTTTACTGTACACCCACGTTCAAGCGTCGAAAGCTCAAATATTCTTCCAACGAATGAAAACCTCCCTTTGGATGAACGCATGGAAATGTTCCAAGCAATGCCGCGATCGTATCTTTCCCGCCGTTACCCGATATCTCGTCTTCATCCGCTACAGCGCGCACGGTAAACTCCAAGTGACGATGGAAGTCGCTGATGACTGAATCCGATGGTAGTATATCATTTGGACTTCTGAAATGGCCAAGAAATTGCTCCCTCGAGTTCATGAGCTTCTCGTTATTAGTACAAACTTTATAGTAAGAGTTTTTAACACGTACTGGTGTTCCTTCCGGCGTTTCTTCCATTTTATCTTTTTCCAGAAATTTTGGTCTCAGCTTGCAGGGTCCTATCTGAGTAATTTATGCAGGGGCTTCTCTTACCGTCAAAGATAAAAAGTATCAGCATTATTACGGCGATTATTCTAGCTCGCCTCTTGCCTGCATTGGGGTACATGTAAGATGTTGCAAGCACCACCCTATGTGCCAACCCCGGGCGCAGTTCTTTCTTAGCAAGCCCGGCCAGCGTGAACCCATTCCTCATTTCCATACTCGTGCTAGGACTATCCACAGCGATTAGTTCGAGCATTTTCCTGGTCTCGCCGAGACTTGCTTTCCAGTGTTTGTTTCCGCGGATAAGCTCAAATCTCGAACGATACGGAAGTCCTGTAGCGCGGGGATTCACGCGCACGCTATTTATACTTGTACAGTCGTAATCTGTTGAAGCTTATCGTGGAAAAGAGAGGGGCGGCAAGTTGGCAAGACGGAAAGGAGCCTCTGGTACTGTATCATAAACATATTCAATGGGAGAGATGTAAGAAAGGTCTTCAGGCTTGGCGACTCTCTTCAAGTCTCTCTGGTCTTTGGGTATTGACGGTAACGAGATAAATGGTGATGATTGGGAACCCTGATACATTTCGTCCTTGTTTTGAATTTTCCAGTCAAAGGAAGCCAGAAAATCTGGTAGAGATGTAGCTGAAATCATAGTTTGGACAATTCTTCAAAGTATCAATATAATCTACGAGACAGGTTGTGAGACGAGAAGTGAATGGCTGTTCAATATCCCAATTCTATGACGCCAGTCCCCAATTCGGTCGAGTCGCTTTGTTAACGTTACCAGGGAAATACATGGTACAACGTCACCTGAACACAGAAAATATGTTTCAATGCCAAGATATCATGTGTATGAGATTTTGGGAGCGAGATTCAGCCCCTCAGCACCAAATAAGAAAGCTACTGCAGATTCATATGCTATCTCTTGGAAGGTAATCTATACACAAAGTAATATCACTAGAGCGATCAAGTCATGAGATGTAGATGTATCCACTCTGTGGGTCTTGAACAACCAATACCAGTAACTAATCACAACAGAGCTTTCCTTATTCTGTTATAAAACGCATCTTCGAATGTAACCTAGTTTGGACTATATGAGGTCTCTGTTTGCATCAAATGTGGCAAACAACATCTGCGAAAATCTTCTGAGCTGAGCTGCAGCAACCAGGATAAGTGATCATCTCTTTTAATGGCACAATTAGATACATCCAATTCAATAAATGAAAGCTTGAGGAACCCGCTCCAGTCTTGGAAATCAAGCATTCTATCACGATTTTCTACCAAAATTTGGATGGCAAAAGGTGGTCTGCTTGATATGAATACTGGAAATTCCAAAATGGACCCCCAAGAGTAGTTTGAAACGTCTAGTCCTGAGCTGAATGCAAGACTCACAAGTCTCTCCTATTTTAATGTCAACTTTACCCAGTCTGCTTAGGGACCCCGCAAGCTATCACTCACGAGTCAGATTTACCCATGAAAGCACTTACGACCTCATATGAACCCACTCATGAGAATCCAAATTGAGCCTAGATCAATCTCTTGTTTTCCCAGCGCTGAAGCAAAAGTGATCCTGGCTTTAAAGGATTGTAAATCCTCCAACCAGAAACGGAAAATAAAAGAAAATAATGTTTTTTCAGGCGGGCTGAAAATTTCTTATAATCAAGCTTACATGGTTGCAAACTAGCACGAATGCATCGATTTATTGAGTGAAAAATAGAGGAAGGTCAATCTTGATCCCCAGTGCGGCTTGGTCGATTTTGATACTATTGCAGACTTGGCGCCTATCTCGCTTTCTGAAGCGCTCCAACATGATCGAAATTTGTCAAGTATTCTTACTATGTGTAGGATCGCATAGAGAAACGATTCTTCGGTCTGGTAAAAGAGTCGAAGCAAGTTAACAAAGTAAAAAGAATGTATTACCTTGCCAATCTTTCAACATCACAAATGGGCAACAACTTGCCAGAAATATGACCATGGAAAGCAAAAGTGACAATGATACGGATGTGGATGCACTCATACCGACAATATTCCAAGACAAGCTCACGTCACAATCGCTCGGGTGAGCGGATTCCTAGACGTGCTCGCTAATTAAGTGTTTATGGAAGTGTTGTACCATCTAAGCTACAATCCTTTCTATAGAAGAAAAATGGCAGTAGAAGCCTTGGTATATAAAATCGTTTAAGCTTATACAATTTGGAAAAAGAAAGTTGATGCACGTTTGATACTTGGAGTGGAGTCACTACTTTGTGAAGATTGACTTCGAGAGAATATTTCCCCATTAATATCATTAATCTTTGGAGTTAATAAAACAAATCTACCTTAGACTGAACAAGCATTCTGGTTTAGTTGCCTAAAAAGAGTGTAACTGACCTCCTCGCTCCAGTTGGTGCATGTGTTTGATGTTTGAGTTTTACAAAAGAACCCTACGGGCAAGTGCCCGCACACATCCAGGATTTAGCACTTTTGAACAGAGAAAGAGAGATGACAGTTGAATAGATATAATTGACAATCCGTTTTAAGAGACTAGTTATTTGAAGAATTCAACTGCAACTTGAATCGGAGATCTTGCAGACCCAGCGAAGTTCTGTTTGTCACTGCCCATGCGACTGAGATACTATGGCGATCGAACTTTTGATAGTTTGTCAGCTGACGTCTGCTGCAAGTCTTCTAGTATTCGGTTGATGGTATGATTCAGACATGAGAACCTCAACGAGATCTATTTGAAATGCACAAACCAATAACTCTTTGGCCGTATTCGAGGTGTACTTCGAGCTTCTAATACTCGACATCATTTTACCTTTCATATGTCAATTGTGTAGAATTTGACTGTCTTAATTTCTTCTGACACATTTTTGCGTTTGTAAAGTTGTAAAAGTTAGTATGTAGGTTCGAAGGCTCGCTGCAGGATGGATGAATATCTAGGCATTCTTATTGGTGAACCATATCCGTGCTTCCAGAAACTTATAACTTCCTCATTCCAACAAGAAGACATGCTATTACATCCTCCCATCTGCAATCATTCATGAGAATCAATGGCATAGCTACTTTGATTTTGATACTGGAATAGTAATATTGAATCATTGACCAGAAATTAGTAAAGGCAGAAGTGATAGTAAGTGGAGTTGATGTGAGTGTGTGGAAATAAGGAGGCTTATTATATGGAGAAACGGACATCTGCATGTACCCCGCAACTGAACGGGATGATTGGAATTGATTTGATGGCCAAAACGTGATTTACAAACAAACATAGATGTCTGCTTCAAAGAGGGTCCCACCAAATATTCTGGACTTTTACTCCGTTGAAAATACCAGGAAAGAAGAGGTTCAAAAAAGTAAAAAGAAGTTATTATAATACCTCCCTTATAGAAGGTTAAAATGGAGAAATGAATTAGAAGCCGTAAGAACCGAACTCACATCTCACACAAGCGAAAGTATTCAACGAGAATGGGTCGATGGATGAGCAGTGTATGCTATCGTGCCCTTAGGTGTGAGATAATTGGATTCGTGGTGCGCGTTCTTGCCAGTTGAACCATGCTCCCTATTTGATTTAAGAGTAGAGATCCTATCTCTGTATTTATAGTATAGTGTCTTTCGCTATGGATACTTGAATGATTGGTGGTGCAATCTTGATGGAAGGGAGAGTGAAAGCTGCATGAGACTCGCAACGGGGCTTACCATCTACTCAAGCTCCCTGAAAAGGTTTGAGTTCAATCCTCACTGCTTCTATGTCAGGTCGTAAAATAAAGGAATGATATGAAGGCAGTGAGGACTGGATTCGGATTTTAACATAGTTCAGGAAGCTTTCGGAAGTTGCTATTAATTGACCTCCAAATGATGCATGGCGAGTAACTTGAGAGGACAAGGAATTTGAGATCCATACACCAGATTTATGCTTTCCATCTGTTTTGGTAGTGTAGCATGTTATTAGTCTAATGCTTTCGGATTCCTTAGTGAACGTATAATGAAGATGATTGGTTGATGAGGCGCGGGCAGGTGTTTGCAGCATGAGTCCCACAAATGAGATGGCATCTCTGCATCTCATCTCCAATCTTCGAAAATAACAAAAAGATCGATTACCAAGAAGAAGAGATTAGCAAAAGATTGATGATCTCGGAACAGTGAGAATCGAAGTCACATTTTACACATGCAGTCAGAGAACCTCATGAACCATCACCCCTGGTGCACCAGAGTTATAATGAAGATCTGGGCAATCTGCCCTCTCAGTATAGGTTCTAACCAATTGAACTATGCTCCCATTTTTGCGCAGAATTTGCATGTATGTTGGTTAGATGAAACGCTACTGGGCTTATGTGTGAAGCCTTAAGGGTGAAAGATCACATGCACCCATCATGAAGTGTTTTCATTTTGCAACACTTGAGACCCGAAGCCGGCTATCCAATGGAAACTATGTGAATTTGTTTGAATATTTAAAAGTACCGCAATATACGCCAAGCTAGATTATTGCTGTGTAGTTGCTGTTCAATATAAACTTTTGAAGTATCTAAACGTCATCAGGCTTGATAAGTTTTCTCAATTTTGTGGGATAGGTTCTCCTATTTTGCTTTCTGAATATGTATGTATTATATGGTAGAAACACAGATTTTCGGGGTAAATATGTGCGAGATTCTACCGTGATTCGGTTTTTGTCATCAGGATCTGCCATTTCTTGGACAGGGCTTCTCGGACATGAGGAAATGCAGTAAGAAATTCGATTAATTGTAGATTTATTCCTTTCAACCTTGTGGATAATTAAATCTGGCACTAATATCTTCAATTCTGAGGCTTTGACCCAATCTTATATCTGAATCATAGATACCGGTCAATTCTAACTGGTTCCTCGATGTTCGCGGACACGCAGACCCTACAAGTGGCTTCCGCTGATGACTTCTGACCTCTTAACGATCCGTACATAAGTATATAGTTCTTCGAATCAATGAAGTTTACTGTCGTCAGTCTGCGATGCTAAGAACCTGCACAGATTATATGCTGCATTCGGCACATAGTGGTCGATATAGACGCAGAAAAGATAAGTTTCTGTTGTGACTCTTATGGGAAAGGTGAATGAGGCTATAAGCGCGAAATGAAAATGCAAGGTGAGAGCAAGAACACGTTACCAAATCTTGAGAGCTACCTATGCACTTCTTAAGGGTCACATGTGGACTATCTACTGCCGCATGTGGCCGCAATCGACATTTCTTATTGGAGATCCTTTTACGAAAAAAGGCTGATTACTAGGTAAATTCAATTCAATCAATGCCCCAACCAACCATAAGAAAGCTTGAATGTAACACCTGCTGCCTGTGATAAGAATGGAAGTTCCCGCCCCAAATTCACTATGTTGATGGCATGTTCTCATTTTATTCCCAGCCAGGCGCAACACGTTTACGGGTATCTTCAGCGTCAGTACAAAGAGTGGAGACGTAATCAACTGTAAAAGACATGTTATTATTTGAACCTCTGATAGTGGCTCATTCAATGAGTCATTTTCAAATGTACTTAGAGATGCCCTATCGTAAGAGTAAGATTCAATCTAAGAAGGGTTGACTTCTACATCTCAAGTCTGTCTGATAACAATGCATTGTGGGGTAATTCTTAATAAATGATATATATCACTGTGTATATTATTACAAAACAAAGAATTTTGATTGGTTGTTCCAGGTAGTTAACCAAAGTACTCAGGAGTTCGAAGCGAGTTTAAAAATCAAGTGAGCAAAAGTCAGGATTGTTGTTATGGCCCCTGAATTACGCGAGAGGCAACAGCAACAGCTTTTTGCAACTATCAAAATTCGTTTGAACCCTAAAATGAACTATTCCTCGACAATTTCAATAAGAACAAAAAGGTTGTAATCTTCACACAATGGAGCTAAGGCAAGGCAGCGTTAAAGCAGCCTGATTTGGGGCGGCTGGGAAAAGACCCATGTCAAAAATAACCCCGATTGAGAGCTAAGAAGTGAATTACAATCGTGAAGGTACTCAGTTTGTAGTCTGAAAAGTTTTCCATAGAGTAAAAGTAATTCCCCGCCAATCTTTTCTAATCAAGCTTGAAAATACACGCACAATTGATAGATAATTCTCAAAATCAATTCATTTTGCACGCATAACTCTCAAACCACACCAGAGTTTCCTATTTCTTCTTCAAACAGTATCATCCCTCTCATATAAACTCCACATATTACAGGTGATCTATCATACAGTTATCAGCAATGAGCATCCAATGGTCCACAACCTCTTCTGGGTCGTGGGACGAGAAATACCCGCAGCTGGACCCCGCCAACCTCGGCCTGCCATTACCTATTCCCACTGAACCAATTGTCTATCCTGAGAATCCTGGTGATCTTTATATTATGAAGCCAGTATCTCACAGCTGGGCTGATGTCTCTGAAATGATCTTACACTGTGTACATAGCAGCTCACAAGACATCAAATATCACCCTGTTTGCGACCAATTGTACCAATTGATCAACTCCATCCGAGACCCCAACACTGTCCTTGAACATTATGCGAAGATCTATAACCATTTGTTCTTCGGAGGAATGGTCAGAAGCTCTGTCGTGGAAGATTCCGCTGACGACGAGATCAAGATTATCTACGACCTCGAGTTGGTCTCCGATGATATTCGAGCCGGGGAGGTCAGGTTGAATTTGGATAATAACTTGGGTCTCACCAAGGGCATTTTCGACGGCAGAATCAACCGCGTAACCATATACATCTTGGACGTACTCACTTTACACCTCGAACGGGACTACCACGAAGTTGTAAGTGAAATGTTGGGGACCCTTGCCCATGAGATGATACATGCCATGCAATTGATGTATACAAAGTATCCAGGAGACGAACTCGGAGTTATTTACGCCACGCATGGTACCAATTTTCAAAAAGCTGCGCAAGCCATTGAGCAAGCAACTCGTAATCCTTCGGGAGGGGAAGGGTGGATCTACCCGAAAATCGAAGTTGGCAGATATTGGGGGGTATTTTACGACATCCGCTTTGAAAAATACAAGGAACCGACTGATACGGAGATTCGGAACATGGGGTTAGATGTCGAGAAGCTTAGGGGAATCCTCCGGATGCGCTTAAATGCCTAAAACGATGAGATCGATCGATCAACCGAGCAAGTTCATTTGGAAACCCTCATTATCCCACTTCCTCACATTGATAGTTATCCGTCTCGATCCTCGCAATCACCTTACCGTCACTGAACAGTACCAAACGGTCCCATCATTCGCCTCTCTTTCGTTTCTGTCATACCGCAACCTCGTTCCTGGGCAACTAAGAGAGCTGCTGGCGATTCTTCGTGCGTAGTTGGTCCTTGAGACGTCTGTTTTCAAGTCATACTACGCGAAAGGTCGTCTCAATCTTGTTGAGCCAATACGAGTCTTGCATCTCCTCTCGCCCTCCGCCTTATCCTCCTCCTACTTTAATCGACAATCCTCACCGATATTCTGCTCTCGAGAAGGCTAGAAGACGGTCCAAGGTCTGACTGAGAAAGCTGTGGATGATTCTTCATGCGAAGTTGGTCCTTGTGAGCTACTTATGATTGATTGGGGCTCTTTCCGAAAGAGTAGGTTCTCTTCGCAAGGCACACAACTCGCAAAGTTGCACAGTTTCTCCAGATAAAACAATTATATTTCTTCAATCGACAAATCACACCGTTCCTCCGCTCGCGAGAAGACCCGAAGACGGTCCAAGGTCATTCTACAATTCCTACTGTACTACCGTACTCCCGAGAAGCTCGGATACACAGTCCCTGGAAATATCTACTATCATCTCCTCCCTGTAGCTCTGGCAAAACTTCAGGGCAGCTTATGACGTGTTTGCGTTTTGGCATTCACACAATCGTCTTTACGAGAAACTAGACGACTCTTTACGCTTTCATCACGTTGTCTCAAGAATTTGGATCGTTCCTTTCTTGGTTCTATCGCACGTACCAACTTTTCATTCTCCTTCTTCTGGTGTCGATTATTTCTCCTCCCTGGCGCCTTTAAGACACGGATAAGATACTATCTTTGCTTCTGAACCCTTATCGCCCTTAGAGATACGACCCGATCACTACCATATCTTCTGGTCTTACTCCTTACATTGGAGCGATATTGTGCACAAAGCTACCAGACGAATTCAGCAGACTTTCTTCTTCCACTGCAGCACTGAAACCTCTTGCTTTAGATTTAACAGGCAGTTTCTGAACAATTTCGTATTTATTTATGCCGTTGAAACACTTCTACTTTCGAAGGTATCGGGAGAATCGATTATTTTATCATCTTCGTTTTGGCATGGAACTATTTTCGCTTTGGGGGTACCAGACGAGTTTCATCTTATTCTCGCTGTCACACTAGTCTTGCAACAAGTTCCACCTCAAGATTGATCAATTTGGTCGAATTAATTCTAGTTTTCTTGAAAGCATTTAATAGCTCGTGCTATAGAGGTACCAGACGGTTGCTACCCTCCTCTCACTTTGCTCCAATTCTACAAAAGGGCTTGTCTTTGAATTTGCTAGGCTATTCTGACATTTTCTCCCATGCTCTCTTGTTGAGACTTATTCTCGTTTTGGAAGTGTCAGATCGATTCTGCTCTGCTCTCGCTTTGCAACAGTCTTATGAAATATCTTGTCTTTGAAGCTATCAGGCTGCTGGACTACAATATTTCCTCCTCTAGCATTGGAAACTGCTCGTCTTGCAGACACTAGAAGAGCTCCACCTTTTTCTCGTTTCCTTCCGGTCCTGAGGAAGATCTTGTCCCCGAATTGACCAAGTCGGTCGACTAGATCCTCTCCTCCCTTCCATCACCCAGTATAAATCATCCTTCAGGCCCATCAGCTGAGGCTTAGGCCATTCCCATTGCCCTTGCGATCGGAAAGCTTCTCATCTCTTGGTATCTGGTTCGGATCCCTCATCTTTTCGTCGCCATTCGAACGGTTTCGACGATTTCGTCTCTGGATTTTACTATACAATTAGCAGTCTCCAATTCTGTACCTAGATATCAAGCATATACTCTCTCTGCCGCCTACCAAATGCAAATCGAATCAATTTTCTTGTCCTCAGCAATAGCACGATTTCATCCGTCAAGAGGACAGAACGATCAAGCATTACTCGATATCATTACAGCAGTATAAACCACTTCGTTATCAGTACAGTGTTGGGCAAAGCAAAGTCATCTTCCAGATTCAGCAATCGAGCTTGTGCTGTCCCTGAGAAACCAGATAGATCGACAATTTCTGTCTCTTATACTTGAGAATCGCAAAAAATTTCTCTCTAACGCCCGTTATGCGCTGGTTGGTCTACTCTTCTTATTCTACGCAATGAAGAGTAGCCTCTTTTGGCAGCACCAGACGGATCAAATGTGCCAGACGGGGTGCCCATTTTTATAGTTTACTTACAACAATGGAAGGAACATCATCTCTAGTGCCTACCTACTGAACGAAGGTTAGATGTCTATTCTCGTCATCAACACATGAGCTTTTCTCCATCCTCGACACACATATGCTTTTAGCCATTGCTTTACTTTATTCCCGATAACTGAAAGATTCATATTTCTGTTGCTTGTCAGATATTGATCGAATAACTTTCCTTGATTTCAGCAATGGAGAATCTTTCACCCCTCACTATAGCAGATAGTTCATCATTGTTCCTCCTTAGCCTTACATACCGAAAAGCCTTGTTTCCAGGAAGTATCAGACAAGGGCTAAAACACTCTTCTCGCTCTCGGAAATGTGTTGGTTTGTCTCTGAACTACACCGGTTATTTGGACTTTCTCCTCCCTGCTTTCTGATATCGCATGTTTCCCGACCTCGTGCCTATTCGGTGTTTGCCAGATGATTCCAGCTCCTCGAATGCAATAAAAATCAACATTTTCCCCATCTTCCCATAGCTCTGAAGGCATTTCGACCCTGCCACCTATCTTCAGCGGGTCAAATCATTCCCTCCAACTCCTGGAGCAGGAGATGATACACTACGTACCTTCGGATTTCAGGTTTTCTTGATTAGATCATTATTCTACTATACATCTACATAATCATCTCTCAATCCAGAGGGCTTGGATTCTTGGGGGTAGGGTCAATGTGGCGCGCCCTGTTGATCTTGAGCACCTTTGGGATGACCAGATGCTTCGCTGCATACTCAGTGCCTTTACCATCGCGCAAAACTAATTGTTTACCATCCTCCGACATATCTGTCAATGCTACGGCCATGAACAAATCCTTGTCATCGCCTGGATGTTTGGTGAAAGCTGATACCTTATGCATAGCATCAATGGCTGAGCCCACCACTTGACCTTCTACGAGAACATGTTTAACTCGAAGCCCTACACCTTCTTCAACCGTGGGAATAATGATAGATCCTGGATGAGTAGGATCCTCATACACCCGAGTACAGAAGTACTCCCACTTTGGTAATGTCAAAAGCACCTGTTCTGGAATCACGCCAGATTGCTTTGGCATTGGGACAACCTCAAAATCTTCGAAAATTGTCCTCTTTTTGTTCTTGCCAGACCACCAAGTACGAGTATAGCACCAAAGTCGTCCCAACGCTCGGAATTTTCGTTCAACGTTGATGGATAATCCCTCCTCAAAATCAATGAACCTATCGATTGGTTTGATCTTGTGTGCAAGTTTGAGACCTTGGTCTGGTTCCGGGTTTATGAAGACTCGATCTCTGATACCCTTTGCAAGCAAGCTCGCCGCCTTAGGTGTGACTAAGTCTAGAAGACCTTGATACTTTATCGTTTGAGATTGTGGAATGGGAAAACCTTCTTGACAGAGAATAGCGCCATGATCAAATCTGTGTGGATCTAAAGTTTGAAGTGAGACACCAGTAACTGTGTCTCCGTTCATGATAGTATGGTGGAGTGGAGCAGATCCTCGATATCTATATATCATGGTTAGCCTGGGTATATATAGGTGACGTTGGAAAGATTTACTGTGGCAGAAGTGAAGGATGAACATTGATTCCGCCATATTCAGCACTGTTGAGAATGCGTGGTGGAACGAAGAGGCCAAATGAAACTGCGACGACAAGATTGATTGGTTCTCCATTTGTTTTCGGTAGCTGTAGATTTGGTCATCAGTCGAGGCTTTTAAAGAATGAAATGCAGATCCAAAAACTAAAACTTACATCCCATCCCGTGAATGTATCTCTCTCATGTATGCGGAGGTTTAATTCTTTGGCCAATTTCTTCAGCGGTACTGATAATGATCAGCATGCATAACGAAGAACTGACGACAAAATTTGAAGCTTACCCTCACGAGTCTCTTTCATGCCTCTTCCAGTTTTTTTACCTGGTCGAACGAGAACATCGATAGAAGCAATTCCTTTTGGATCTGACCTCTTCTCTGCCACCAAGGACCGAAGAGATTCACAACTAAACTCATCAGAACCACAAAACAAAATTCTCAAAGGGGCTGAGAGTTTCGAGGGTTTGGAGGTACTGTTGATTGTGAAAAGTCGAGAATGGAATCCATGGATTGAAAATGGCTTCGATGGGTGTACAATCCGTCCCAGTACAGCTAGGGATGTTCTGGCTTTGAGCTTCATGATTGTGAAAAATTGTGGTCAGCACAAGTTCAATTTACGTTATACATGGATAATCGTCGATGTTGAACTGACGACTGCTTAAATCACGATGCTCGAGCTGATTCCATTATTCCATCAATTTTCCTATACTGATCTTTTTGCATCACGTGCCGTCAACTCTCGATATTTTATGTAAGCCGACCTAAAATCGTATGTTCTGTGCCATGCATTCGACCCACGAATTACATCACCTTAGACATTAAACTTCCCCATAGTCGTGACGTTTACTTCCACACCAATTTGAGAACTGACCGACGCGATTCAATCAATAAATGATCTACAATACATTTATATCCTCGTCATTCTCTCATTGAGTACCTCCATCATGCAATGTCTGAGCAAAACCGAAAGGTAGTACCCGCGCAATTAGGCTTTCTAGCCATCTACAATCCTTCCTTAGGGTCTACCGATGATACACTCGACAATCAAATTGTTTATTATTACCCCTCGATTAAGCAAAATGAACACAAAAGAAGTGTCTTTACGGATACGAAAGAGGCGCGCGCTTTTGCGAAGGAGCAAAAGAATGAACAATTGAGACAGATTGGGCTTGCTCAAGGAATGGTAGAATTTGGGAGGAGTTTTTCAGAGGGTAAATCAGTGAATACTATAGAGACTGAGAAATCTCGCATTATTCTTCATGAATTAGAATCTGGCTGGTGGATATTAGCTGTTAGTAACTTTCATTCTCGAGTTTCTTCACTGTGCTAACATACATAGTCGATCAACCTCACGATATTGCCGAGCACAGCAAAGACACCAGTCAACAACGGAAAATCTGCCGAAGAACAAGGAACCGTCGAATATTCCTCTCGAGAAGTTAAACCTGCGATACTACTCCTGGCAGACGTATTAAGAGCACACTCGACTTTTCTCCTTCATCATGCTGCTTCGATGAGCGCTCTCTTTGTTCGAACGAAGCGCTCCAAATTTGTGAGCATTTTGGGTAGATATTGGGATACATATCTCTCGACATGGAATGTACTTATGCATGGAAACCCTGCCAACAATTTGTATGGGGGGATAAAACTTGCTGCATGCGGGGAACTTGGGGTAGGAGTCGGAGAGGAGGAAAGGGGGAGTGGCGAGAGAGAAGCCCTCGAAGGATTCGTTGGACAAATGGATGGGCTTGTGGATGTGATGGTCTCAAGATTCGGAGACGCGCGATCTAATTCGAAAGAAGATACCAGTAAAGGCTTTACCGATCGTCCCAAACAACCTGCTGCCTGGCTGGGTTCTGGAAATGAACCCGCGGCAGAGGATGGTGCAATTTTCCTCGGTACTGGAGCTTTGTCAAGGAAATCAGTTAAAGATATTTCACATTGGGTTGAGGATCTCTATAGATGGGGTCCGTATACTTATGGAGTTCTCGATAATCCTTCTTCTACCCGTCGCGCAAAAAGACAGCCTAAGCCCAGGCCAAGACTTGACTCAAAACTTGGAGATACAAAAAATGCTGGCCGACCAACATCTAGTCTCAGTAAGGAGATACCTATTCATGATGGACTTAATGATGGACCTAATGATGGACCTGTGCCTAGTCGATCTTCAAGTATCAGTACGGTCGAGCCCAGGCCAGTAGTGGAACAAGATGATCAAATTGATCAACCCAAACTCAAATCCATACCGCCATACCCGAAAGTTCGCAGAAATCCTGCCAGTCATACAAGTACCGAAGGCACTGAAAGCACAGATGGTGAATCGAAGGGTAAAAAGTTTACGCAATACTTGAAATTTGGTTATGGAACTCATTGGTCTTTAGGTGGATCTTCAGCAAAAGAAGAAGAGCGTAGCAGACCCTCGAGTAACACATCTACTCTTGTTTCTTCGATTGATGGTATTGTCAATACAACTGGAACATCAACGCCCACACAGGAGTCCGACGATTCTAAAGGACACTATTTAGTAGGTCTAATGGGTGATATGGACAGTGAAACGACTTTACTCGTGGATTCTAACGACGAAGACGAAGATCTCGAGAGTCAAAGCCATCGACTTGTACTCCGTACCTTAACAGTAGAATTGGAACGCGAAGAAGATGCTCGCCAGGAAGCTGATATCAGTATTGATTATTCCAATTTTGGCACTTCATTCAAAAACGCTAGCGGTTCGGAAGGTACAGGTCATTCTCATGGTTCATTTGAAAGCCAAGATCGAAACAAAGTGAAAAAATTAAGAGTCGTGGCTTATGCAAGCAAACCATTCATTTTCATTTTCCTTTTTGAATTACGAGCAGATACCTTGGCTTTGAAGGGTTTATACCGTTCTCTTCATAAACAACTCCAGTCTCTCATCAAACCTCTTCTTAAATCCACATCGTTTCGAGCTCCTAAACCAGAAGTTCCGATTTCTCCTCTTGCAAATACGAAGAATCCAACAGCTCCCATATACGATCTTCTCTGGGACCCAAAATTTCTAACTCTTGACTCAAATATTCCCAATATACCCGATCCTCAACAAGTTCAAACACAAGAACAAGCGGATAGTCTTCCTTGGTCTCGAATTGAAGCGCTAAATACACATCTACAGATTGTGCATACATATATTGCTGCGACTACTGATAAGAATACATTGGAACGTACGGCTAAAACATCAAGAGGTTATTGGATTCTTTGGACTCGCATTCCTGCACCTCCCCTGCACCTCCCGAATCGATCACAAATCCGACTTCGAAAGTGAAAATTCCGCCACTTATACCGGAGAACTCGGCGGAAAGTCAGACGAGTAAAACTTTTATGGGAGAACTTAGTGATAAGGGTAGGAAGAATAAAGATATGGATGCGAGCATCAAAGCAAATAGTAAAGCGCAAACACAGAGTACAGTAGTCAGTGGGCCTGCACATCCGTTTTTGGATGATGGTGCCGCTGAGGAAGGGGCAGAGGAGAGGAATATGGATAAAGAGATTTTTCTAATTAGGAGGGCGAGTGATTATGTGGAGGCGGGACAAGGGAGAGGTTACGGGTATGGGTATGCGGGGTGGGGAATGGGTGGTCAAGGAGCAGGGACAGGAAGTACGGCGGATGCGGGGTGGGGAGCTGCGGGATTAGGGTTAGATACTAAGAGGTATATTGAGGGGTTGTTAAGTTTGAATCGATAGTAATAGGATACTGGATTGATGGTTTCGTCTTGGGTTTAATGGAATAGGATGATTGAGAAGAGGATGCGAATGATAATGGAGATCGAGTGGATCGGGTGGATATAGAGGATTATGTGCATCCTTAGTTTTTAGTTAATTATACCCGTTTTGTTTTGGTGTCAGAGCATTTTGATTTGCGCAGTGATACTTGTGATTGTAGTGTAGCTGTAAACATGGCATAAATGCATTCGCTGGTTTAGATGATATCTCGCTACCTACTTGGCTAGATACGGTAGGTACTCAGTTATATGTATATCTTTCTTCGAATCTTCAATCTCCTCCCTCTTTCCTCCTTTTGTGTTTTGTTATCCGATTCGGTCCGTTCTATCCTTCTATGTTGTATAGTATGTATTGCTTACTTCTTGTCTGCTAATCAAGTAAGTAGCTCTTTTCTTTTTCCTGCGCTGTCATGTATTGTGTATTGTCCTTTTTCTTGGTGGGGTGAGATGAGATGAGATGAGGTGAAGATGTGGAAAGGGAGATAGACGGGGGTACAGAGGGGGGAATAGAGAGAATGCGGATGAGGTGAGGTAAAGATAAAGATGAATATGTGCAGGGGAAGAAGGGTGGGGTAGAGAGGATATGAAGAGAGGGGCGGATGGAGATGGAGATATGAATGGAGATTGGGATGATAGGGTTTGGTGAGGGAGTATTGACATGCTGGATGGGATGAATGTGGGATGAGTGGAAGTGATAAAGGGATGTGTGAATGGTGAGGTTTTTGTATTTTGTATTTTGTATTTGATACTTGGTGGTTGGTTTTGGTGCTTTCTTGGTTGGTTATTTGGATGGATAGGTAGGTAGGTAGGTAGGTAGGTAGGTAGGTAGGTAGAGGAGTAAGAGGAGATAGTAGATTGTCAATAGTAGATGGTAAATAAATAGATATCCGAATAAACAGACAAACAAGTATATAAAAATAGGAAGATAGAATATGAGAGTAACGAGAGATAAAAATGACATTTCATTGTTTAACAACCCAAAAACCAAACCAAAAACCAAATCTAAAATATAAAAAGAAAAGAAAAGAAAAGAGTATCGAGGACCTCTAGATTAAATAACCAAAGGAAATCTCAAACTTCAGAAAGATATCAAATGTTGAAGCGAGCATATTGGAGCATACACCTACCTCCTCCTCCCTCCCTCTCTTCCTCTCTTCCTCTCCCCTCCCACCTTCGCATCTTAAATACCTAGTACCAAGGTCAAATGAAATCATAGCAAAACCCCAGCCCCTTCAAACTTCAACCCAGACACACAAACACACGCAGAGATCGCCTTCCCTCTTCCTCAGAAATTCCTTCCCTGAATCTAAATCTGAATCTGAATCCCTGCGATCAATATCAACATCACACCTTCTCCCGCACCCTCACCTTCTCCCGCACTTCCAAGTCAGTCAGTCAGTTAGTTAGTCAGTTAGTCAGTCAGCCAGCCAGCCAGCCAGCCAGCCAGCCAGCCCGGAAACGATAGCCACAAAGGAGGGAAGGAAGGAAGCAAGCACAGAACGCGCTGTGCAGAAAAGGTATAAGTTATACCTACCAGCCTAATATATCCATCCCATCTATCCATCCATTCATCCAATGTCACAGACCCTCATCCGCATTATCAAAATTGCGATCAGCAGGTCGGTCAGTCAATCAGTCAATCCCCACGTCACCAAAACATCAAATCACAATCAACTCAAAGTCCAATAAAGCGATATGTGTGTATGAAAAATCATAGCAAATTTCGTGTTAAATCAAAACACTAAGTCTATCGTAAAGTAATATGTATGTACAAGAAGCTATTTCCTTTCCGAAAGGGGTTTCATTTTGTTTTGTCTCTGAATATATCTCCATTTTCATGTTGCTTTTTTCAAATTTTGCTTTTCAATATGAAACATCCACCCGCCTTCCTTTGCCTCAAGCTTTTATCTTTTCCATTGCATAACATAGTTATGGTATCGCGAAATGCATGTGCTCCTTTTTCCTCCTGAAAGACCGTATGAACGTAAAGTCCCATGGCGGGGTTAAAAAAACGCCAAGCCAAACAAGTAATGCGATGATTTGACCATGTTCATAACCATTCCATGCATAGATATTTCCCCTCAAACTCTCGTAAAATTCTCCAAAAATCAAAGTATGAACCAGACCAACAACCACGAATAAAAAGCAACCCAATGATGTGATATCCCAAAGAAATTCGTCGACTATCTTTTTCAAAAAGAAGCCATGATGCAAAAGCCATAGATGAGAAAGAGATCTACTCTTTCTGTTGTATCAAACTGGCGATAGTTATATCCAGGAGAATAAGAATTGAGTTCTTGACTTAATTTTGAATATTTGGAGGAACCAGAATATCAAAGTTGTGAAAGTCGAGAAAATGGGGATTGGGTGATTTATTCGTTGAAGTACCAAGTGGCTTGAGTACGGCCGACAGCTTCTTCGGCAAGTTGATCAAAGGCGAAGTTGGTGAGATCGATGGAGTTACCCTCACATCCCATGCACTTATCGATGACGGTTGCTTGGGTAGTCTTACCAGTGGAGGTACACTTGATAGTGATTGTCTTTCCACAGTATGGGTTGCTGTTTGAAAGAGAACCCATGAGACCAACTGGAAGAGCAACACCTGCAAAGCTGGATCCATCAGTGGTGATTCCGCAAGCTCCGAGGCCGGCTTCGTAGAAAGTGATATCTCCAGAGCAAGGAGAGCCGGGGGGGCAGACTCCAGAGCTGGATCCAGAGGAAGAGCCCGAGGCAGCAGAGCTTGCTGCTGGGGCAGCCGCGCTGGTTGAGGATGCAACATAGACTGGAGCAACAATGCTTGAGACTGCGGAGACGACTGGGGCAACAACGCTTGAGACTGGAGATACGACTGGTGCGATGCTGGTTGAGGATGGGACGACAACTGGCGCGACACTAGAGGTGGTTGGGACCACGACTGGTGCGACACTGGAGGTGGTTGGAACTGGTACGATGGAAGTAGAAGAAGTAGTTGGAACTACAGCCTCGGAGGTGGTGGATGGAGCAGCGACGGAAACGACGGAGGAAGAAGATGGCGCGACATATGGTGCGACGTATGAGGAACTTGGTTGTTGGTTGAGAACAGCGCCTTCAGAGCTACTGGCTGCGGCAGTAGACTTTGGAATATAAGTGGAAGAAGCGGCAGATGACTTTGGCTTGGTTGCCAAAGTTGTAGGAGTAACAGATGGAGCGGCGCTGCTGGTTGCAGCAGCTACTTCACCAGAAGAAACCCAGACGGTGGTAGTATAATCGATAGTCTCGGTGACCATTTCGAGTTCTGTAACCCATTCAACATCGCGCTTTTCGTGTCTGGCGGCATGTTGATGACGAGCGTGTGGTTGAGCTACAACGGTAGCGGCCAAGAGACCAGAAAGGATAGCAGTTGTATACTTCATTTTGACGGTGATTTGTTTGTTTTATTGTTCGTGAGGGATTGTTTATTGGGTATGGGTATCTGTGGATTGAATCTTGGAAACAAAAACTCAAGTTTGAAATTCAACTGAAGCCTCGAGGGAGTGTGATGTGAAAATGACTTGCAATTTCAGTGATTTGATATCGATGTTTAAAAGGAAGGAGTGAGAAAGCTGATATTTCTCGGTGGTGAGTAGGGCTGAAGTAAAGAATGTGGAAGTGAGAAGATGTTTGTTTGACCGTGATGTGGTTGTGGAGGGATATGGATTCTTTAAGAAGGCTTCAGGCTGACTTGCAGTGAGTGGGAAGAGTTGAACAGGCTGGCTGTTGTTTTTAGAAAGGGAAGAAGGAGTGTAATGTAGTATTCTGAAGGATTGACAGATACTAATCAGATTTGAGATATTGAGATCTTGGAAAAAGGAATGAGAGGGAGTGAGAGTGGTGTGTGGTGTATTATGTATGAAAGAGTGAGTGAGAAGAAAGAGATGTGCCGATGATGAATAATATTCACTATTCATTAGGAAGAAGTCTAGAGTTGTGTAAATTATGCTAAGGGCCGTCTTACCACAATGGGTTAGTGATCATGATTCAGAGGAAAACACGAGGGAAGGAAGGGAAAACAGTGGAGCGACAAGGATAGAAGCCGTGATTGACCAATTATAAGTGGAGCTGTGCACTTGGGCAGTGTGGTCGGGGATGTGTGGAAGACTGGGAGACTGGGAGACTGGGACTTCAAACCTAATAAGCTAGGATGGATAGGATGAGAAAAAAAATGAACAATCATCACCCAGGTGCGATGTGGTGAAATTGGATTGTATGGTAAGGATTGTGAACCAATCAAACGTCAGTGTTTTATTCCAATTCTTTGCCTTTTTTTTCTTTCTCAAATATGGATCCAGGAATACTTAACACCCAGGCCGCAATTTAACTCATTCCAGTTTAAACGCTTCCACTGGGTCTGACAGACTGACTGAAGACTGAAGACTGAAGACTGAAGACTGGAGACTGGAGACTGGAGACTGGTTCATACCATCGGCATTGTGTCGGGTTCCATGAGCGGCACTGCACACTATTGGCATGAAGGACATCACCACTGACAAGCTTCAAAGTGTCTCGCCAGCCATGTAATGACCCAGTTACCTGACAAGCCTTGGGAATGTACCTCGATGGAGGGAGGCTCAGCATGTTCCTCACATACCACGATATGAAATGACAATTTCTTTTTCTTCCATGTTTTAGATTATTCGCTCAACTTCTAACACCAGGAAATTCCCGAGATACTGATTCCCATAATGATTTCATTCTTCTCCATTTTCACTCCGTTTCCACTCCACTTACCACGAGAAGAAAATGCATTGGACCCAACTTTCTCCCAAGCCTCAGTCAGTCCGTCTGTACGAAGATGCTGGAGGCAGAGGACAAGAGTCAGCCAGGTACAGCTTTTATTGATTAGGCAATTGCCCCTGAATAATTCCCTCCTGTCCGTTAGTGATACAACCGTCCAAAGTTTAGTCCAATAGGAGAACAACATTACCCAGATATTTGGTCGTGAAAAGGCTTAGCCAGGTACGAAATATCCCGTTTCATCAGGACCTTCCAATCAGAGGTCGTCATCAGCCTCCACCGGGAATCCTCAGCACCTTAGTGAGATGTATGTGTATGTATGATGTTCTAGGTGTGATCTCCCCTGCATGATGAAAAAGCAAAGAGAACTTTTTATCCATAGCCATAGCATGGCAGGCTCAAGCTAAAACGCCAGCGAACTGCAAGCAACGCATTTCCGTGAGCTGAGTTGTCACGACTCGACTCACGACCCAAGATTTAACGAACTCAATCTTTTTATGCAGACGTATAGTTTACGAAAAGAATAATCCACGCATGCAAACTCACTATGCACAGTTACATACGTAGGCAGGTACCTAGGTATCCTCTTATTCTAGCCTCTAGCCTCTAGCCTCTAGCCTACCTAAGATAATCAATCCTTCCATCAGACTTTGCACACCTGCATCTGCGTCTGCATCCCCGATAGTATGAATCGTCATGCTATGTGATGCCAATTTCTAATTCATCCCATTCATTCAATTCATCCAATCCACAACGCCATGTTCTTCTTTCAAACTTCATCTAATTCCCGAATCTCCCGAGAGAGAGGTCTTACGGTGCGTGAAGATGACTTTCTCCAAAAGTTCAAAGCCCTATCAAAGTGTTGTGAAGCCACCAAACCACCAACTACCCTTCCCCCCATTTCACATATGTCCGTGTTATCAACATTTTGATTATCGATAAAAACCGCATCAGGGGTTCAAAGTTTGCGGGAGATGACTTGTTTCTCTTCAATTTCATTTCGCGGATTATCGTCATGATTGACAATTTGATTCATATTGAAGCTCTCGTCATCTTTCAATCAATCAATCAATGTGCCGGTGGTATTCTTACTCCTCGTATCATCCACGAGAATAAAAATAATCTCAGAACGGGTACCTTGCATAATCATCAAAGTAGATTGGGATGAACACAGCCATAACTTTATTTCTGGATGGTAAAACCTTACTTTGATTGCGAATAGTCCTCTGGGTAGGATTATCTTCCTTCAAAGCCTTCAATGGATGAACATTACAATTCGATTCTAAGATAAGGGTTTTGAAACATTCCTCTCTCTCTCTCCCTCTCTCTCTCCCTCTCTCTCTTTTCAAAGCTCAAGCTCCTTTTCTCATCTGATCTGGTCTGATTTCCCAAATACGACGCTGAGAAACATGAATGAAATTGACGGCTTGTGTGTTTCTTGTCATGCTCTGCCTTGGCCCATAGCCCACGAAAGCAATACTTTTTACGATGCCCAGAACTTGGAACATGTGAACATCCGAAGACCTACGTACGGAGTCCGTCAGATCAATCCATGTCAAGCATTCTACTCTATCAATCGACTGGTCAATGATTGCCCCGGAATATGCAACAAGACTGCCCGGCTACATATCAGCTACTCTGCCGTCTTTCAGCAAAACGGTAAGTAACACCGCTCGTGCTGCTACTGACACCGATTGGTTTCATCGGTGGTCGAATGGTCGAGACCGCGCGGAAAAGAAACTTCATGACAAACAGCAAATGGTAAGTAATATCACGTGTAAAAATGAGACGAGACTCACATATCGACCACAACAGCATTATCAAGCACACGCAAACTCCATTTACAAACTTTCATCCATGGTAAAATCACAATTACAACGTCAATCCCATTCATCTTACCCATGCCTTAAGCATTACTCATCAAATATCCAAACACGATCTCAAAATATCTACATGCAAATCATGTGATACAATGCAAAGTTCGCACAGACCCGAATATTATCCGCTGCTAATGTTAGGTACGAGAAAATCCTCTCTGTGCAGAACCAAAAAGACCCTCTCCATCCTTTCCATCCTTGAAAGCTTAACTCCGCCACCTCTCTTGCCCGCGTATTCTTCCACTTTGGATTTCAAGCTTTTTGTGATATCGAAACTTTTTGAAACCTTTTTCATCCTTTACGAGCAATTTCCCAAAATATCTACAGTGGTATTGCGAGAATCATGGCTCGGGGACTGGAGTGAGAAGTCCAAGTATGTGTCTATTACCTAGGTAGTCTTAGGATTGGACTACGCGTAATGTATACTGGAAGTTAGATGCAAAAGACACAACTTTGAGGCTACCTTGCACAAATGTGGAAGATGCTCGGGTTCCTTTGCTGAAAAATTAGGAATTATTTGCATTCTCTCTATGTGAACGCGGAAGTTTCCGAACTTTCCAAGAATTTCTTTCTCGCATAGTACATGATGATGGAGTCTAAAGGAGGAAAATACCTTGGACCCGAGAATATCGCACACCATTCGGATCCAAGCTTTGTTTTCCGCATACATACAAGTTGTCCACGTAGTGCGTAGCGCCTGTTTAGTATTTACTTTATTCCGTACATTGTCCTGTCGGGTAACCACTAGTAGCTTATCAATTAGGTTATCGATTAGATTATCGATTGTGCGATTGAAACGGCTCGAGTGGTGGGGTACGTTTCGACACTTAGCCCAATGGCCACATGGCACATGAACTACTCGGTCTAGAATTACAGATTTTCCTCAACCGAGGGGGCCCCCAAAACTGGGAATCTGCTCACCGAATGCCAAACAGTCAAGTGTCGGCCTTATGGAACTTGATGAGGGTAATTGTGGATATCCGGATGCTGGCTAGCAATATCCTAGTGTAAGCCCTACTGCAAGGCTGCATGACAGTGCATATCTTCTTCGGAATCTGGAAGAATCATTCCAGGAAGAAAGTTTTTTTTTTTTTTTCTTCTTCTCTCGCATCTCTTTGTGGGGAGGGCATACGTCAGAAGTTTGGGGAGTAACGGTGTTGGTATTGGTGTTGGTGTTGATCAGTTATGCCATACCGGCTTTTCTTTCTATGATGTAGGTGTTGAACGTTGAAAGTTTGAGAATGACAAGTCGATCTTCATGGAATAAACCGTATACTAAAATTGAGGTCGTAGTCGTTCTTGCATATCGCGATTGCCACTGTTTAGTTTGTAATACTCGCTCTTGGCTCTTGCGTATGATGTCGGATTGCTCCCGATAATCGGGTTGGGGAGTGTTGAGAATGAATGAGTGTAGATCGCTGTGTGATAATGGGGATGGGGATTGGGATGGGGATTACTTCACAGCTAGAAATTTTCTTGTCAGGCTTGAGTCGGGGTAGTTGGTGTCGGTTGATACTCTGAAAGTAAGAGGAGGATTGCCTCTTCCATTTTCCTTCTCTTTCCGCCTCTAGAAACACCGATTCATGCTTGTGTCACACTCTTCCTCTATTGCCATGTACCACAATTTTCCACGCTGGATTTAACATGTTTCTTCGGTAGTAAAAACATACGTAGAATAGCTATCACTTGACAAATGAGATTTATCCGGTATCGGATATGAATTGCTTGTGTTACCAAAATCTATCATATCCCGAATACTACCGGTATACAATCATTTGATTTCACCATTCATCTCCCCTCATCTCTCGCCCATCTATCCTAACTCCCTCCTCATCCCTCATTTCCATTCTCATCCTCATCTACAAACTCAAATTCACGCTCAAACTCAACTTCAAAAATTCCGTCCGTTGTAGTAGATGATATGTATTAGATATCGACTATTCATTTCACGTACAATCTATCATATTTGAAAACTCAAATCGATGATTTTTGTATAGATAGATTGATGCTTGACAGCCGATCTACTTGGTATGAGGGAATAGGAATAAAAGATTTGTTAGCGAACTTTAGTTTTGGGATTGTTGTGGGAGGTCTGGAGGATAGAGTTGATTTACTTGTATGTGTTTTTTGGGTTGAAATGTGAGCGAGATGTTGGTGTTGGTGGTGTGTTTGGTGGTGTGTTTGAGAGTTAGATTACATTAGATTATATTATATTATATCATATCTCTTGAGTGGGAATTAGAAAGGTACAATGTGTATATGAACCTATCACCCATTGGAATATCAAAATGGACGGGTCTTCATATCTTCCAATATACCCCGAAGAGCCTGTATTCTCTTTCCTTTCCTTTTCTTGTTTTTTTGTCCTTCTGTTTTTCCTCTCTCTATTGTCTGTTGGCTGAGGATATCAGCGCGTGCAAGTCACTCGGAGGAATCACCAAATAGTTCTGGGGAGATTGTAGCTCTGGGCGGGGATTATCTCGATGGTTTCTGTGGCTCGATGGATGTGCTGGGGAAGGAGAAGATCGAGGGGGATTATACAATCCGTGTTCTGCTTTCTCTCGGCGGAGGAGAGGTAAAGGAAAGAGAGATAAAGAGAAGAATGGGTCGCGATGGATTGCGAAGGCTGGGTGTATTCTCGATAGTTGTTGTGGAATTTCAGGTGTAGATGGATGGGGATCTTATGAATGGAGAGGATGATTTTTGGGTTCTTGATGATGAACTTTTTTTTAAAAAAAAAAAAGAAGAAAGAAAAGGTTGGCGATTAGGAGTGTCTTGTGGTATAGATATCTAGAGATGGGAGGAGGTAAGAAGTGGGAATGTGGGAGGTGGAAAGGGTGTTAGTATTAGTATTTGGGGTTTATTTGTTCGAGGGGTTTCTTGTCGTTGTTAGTGTTAGATTACGGTGTTTTTGTTTTTGTTATTGTTTTTGTATTTTTGGATGGTGATCATTGGAGATGTCAATGCTAAAGAATCTTTCTTGCCTATGATGTATTTCCACAATAGCACACTGCTAAATTCCGCGGCATGGTGCTAGTGGTAAAAGCACTGCGGATAGATAGACTGTAGTTCGTGTTTCTTGGGTGTGAATCTGAAATCGAAATATTGTATCGATCTTGTGGCTTCTGTGAGAAATGGATATAGATCAGTGAGGGATCTTAACGTGGGTCTATTTAAATTTTAGGGGGAGGTGGAATTTGGAGTCGACTATTAGTATGAGAATGGGCAACGGGAGGGGAGGGGGAAACGAGACGGTTGAAGGTGAATTATATAATACTGGTAGTGGATGGGTCAGAGCAGAAATGGAAAGAGTCTCCCGAGCGAATGAATCAATTCCGAGATATTGTTGTCTTGAGTAAGCGAAGCGGAAATGTTAATCCATATCACGAATATCAAGATTGTCGTGTATATAAGCTCTCGAGCTCGCCAGGAATCAAACGCTGCATAAGGTGTAGAATTTATATCAACTTGATACTACACGCGAAAATTACACCCTGGAAGCTTTTCAATCACCAGAAAAAGAAGCAACACAGCAAGATATTGATGGCAGAAGTTGAATTGTTGATGATTATAACGATGGTGTTAATCAAGTTCTAGAAGCAGCAATCGGGATTGAAGGCTTATTTTTTGTTGTCAGGACACTTTCCATCATGGTCTTGTTGTCACTTGTATGCTAACTTCATTCTGGTGGTATCTTTGTCCAACTTCATCGTCCTTTAGATTTCAATTGTTGCCTTCCTCGTGTCATTAGTACTTCTTACATTTTTCTATCGTCTATACAAGAACACTGCACAGCTAATACGGCGAGAGAGATCACATTTCTTGGAACATGAGTGCAACACTCTGCTCGATTTTTATGTGCGGTTCGTGATATCTATGAAGATAACATGATGGGGAGGAAGTGAGCTTTTTTATAGATGGGAAGTTGGAAATCGGTGTTGGTTTGAGAGGGGAAGGGGAGGGACATGGTGGCGGAGGTGGATAGCCTAACCTGCGGTCTAGGAGGGGAAAATTACCTAGATGATAAAATCATAATACTATATCGGTAAATATTCAAGTGAATAAACCCTTCATATATCTGTCTTAACAAATCGATAATTCTTACCCCCTCCCCGCCTTTTTCCCCTACTTCGAACATCAACACTAGGACCTATGGTGTCTACAGATACCTATTTAGACACCTAGACAGTCAGTGAGTTAGACGCAGCACATCTCTAGAGAAGCAAGTTCAGCATACATTCTCAGACATATAATCTAACAATCCGTAGTCGACAACTTAGGGTTGTGCAAGTGCAGAACTTAGTTTCGTCGATAGTGATGGTACTTGGCAGTGTTGTGGTGCTTGGATATTTATCATCTGAAAGTTATCAGTATGACAGGGAGTTTTGTTGTCTTTTATCTGGTATAAATTGTTATCTGATTAAGCTCTCATTCAACATAAAACCATAGCAATCAATACTTTTCTCAAATCATCCCGTAAAATTTTCATTCCGTATCACTAGTTGTCGATCTATCTCCTTCCATTTTCCTACTGCTACTTTTCTTTCTTGCCAGTTTCCTATTCTTCCTATCAGAAGAAAGTCAAATTATGCTGCGAAATCCATCGGAGGTACATTTTGGTGTTCTCTGGTTTAAGAGATGGCGAGTGTATCATACATCCCAAAGCATATTTAATTTAAGAGATTGACGATTGAACTGACCTAGGACACTCCATTTTGCGGAAACCATCATATTGGGACCTTGAACATTCATCAAAACGTGAGTGTACGTCTAACTCTGCCTCTCCAAGTGAGGGGAATGATGTTAGGACTTGATATAGTGGGAAGAGAGGAGAGGGACATGATAAAGGAGTAAGACTAACTTGTGAATACAGAGGCTGCGGTAGTATCAGGCTGTTCACGCTTCCCATCTTCTCCTCTCTATCATCCCCACTGAAGTCAAGAGAAAGCAAGCCATTGAATTAACAAGCACTCCTGCAAGTGAATACTCAAACTTTTCAAGATAACGCGAACCTCGGTTGGGCTCGTGTCATGTCCTAGCATACAGAATCTTGGCTTATAAATGCTGTGATTCCGACAATCTTTGTAGGAAGCAAGTTGTGAGCATTCTTGGTACACTGTGTATCACATAGGCATGGAATGGAAGACTGTGAGGTGGCTTTAGGTGACGTTCACGAGTCATTCGCTCATGGGAATATAGTTTTATTTTCAAATCTTCTGACATCTTCAATCGCAAAATTTCCTATTTCTCGTTCCATCTCTCGTTCCACCTCTTGTCTTATTTCAAACTCTCGTCTCCTATCTCGCCGCAACTTATATTTGAGATGATATAATGTGACATATCTTGACATCAATACTCAAGCCTGCTTTTCTACATATTCTTTCTAATCAAATGGACACCTCTATCCATCTATTGTAAGATATCTGGCTTTGGCAGGGTATGATTCGATTGCGTTTAAAGCAAGCTTGATACTGAAATGAAATATTCATTTACAAACTCAAGTATCTTGTTGCTCTCTGTTCGCTGTCGAGTTTTCCAGCCGTTGTCTTCAACCTGGTTGTTATATCGTTTGCTTTGAAGTATTGCTTTGTTGATCAATATGGAGCAGAAAGTAGTGGACATCTCTTGAGACTTGAATGAATCGATTATTTATGTTCTCACGGCTTCAATGCTCAATTTGCTATGGGAGTCGCGCAGAAATGGGAGGTAAGGTGCGGAATATTGCTTTGATCTGATAATCCCCATCGGAGCCCAATTTTGCTTTGATATACTCTACTGTTGTGTACTGTACCATCCTTCTTTTTTCTCCAACCTTCTTATTGTAACTCTTAGACACTCTACTGCTCTCCTCTCTGCAAGAATTGTTCATAGGATATAGAACTTAGAATATGTAAGGGATGTCTTGAGTAGAGTAGCTAGAAGCAGAGATCCATGGGGTCTGTGAATTGGACGAATATCTTCGTGTGGATTATGGGGCAAATAAGCGCAGTCTTGGCCTAAAATAAGATTTCAAGAAGTGAATAGAAAGATTCATATCACTGAGTAGTGATAACTTCACCAAAAGGCGTCGCCGATCTGGTCTTTCCTCGAGATCAGCAGGTAATCCTCTTGGCCTGTTTATAAAAGCGTTTGACGTTGGCTTCGGTGCTCCCACGGAAGAGAAATCGTTAATTCCTCCTCCAACTATGACTAAGGTTCCTCGTAGAAACTTCTTCCATATCAATATCAGATGAAAATCTGAGGTATGAGTGCATGACGAATATCGTTGGGATCGGTTGTTTTGGAATAAACCGAAAGTGGCACTTTTCATTCCTTTTCATCCTATAATATCCTAGGTCTAATCTATTTCATCTTATATATCATTGAATTTTCACCGTTTCATTGTACATACACTTTCGATTTCTGTGCGATATTCCTTCAGGGCACAATAGATTATTTAATCAACAGGTGAACAAGACACGACTAAGGCGACACCAAAGCCGACCAATTGGACTTTTCTCCCAAAGTTGTCAGGAAATGCTTTGGAAATATTGCAAGGAAGAATTGCTGAAATTGAGAGCGGGATGAAAAGCGAGCCTAAATCTGGGGTAAATTAGACAATCCTGTAGTTTGAAATCCTGGTGAGTTTTGACAGGGGGTGTTGATACCTCGTGCGACATCGACTTTACTTATAGACATCATCCGACATATCATGGGAAACTTTCGTGGTATCTAGATCAAATACAAGATAAGATTAATTGCTAACTTGTAGACTGACAGAACCAGGCAGGCAATAATTGTTCAATCCTAAGTCTTGTTTCTTTTCTTGGTATTGCTTTTTACCACATAATCCTTCTGTTGAAGATCGATGATTGGAAAATACAATTGGGTCTCCATCAAAAAAAGGATGTTTGGATCTTGGCTTACATTACTCCAAGGAATTGTCCTCATTGGTCGCCTAAGAGATTATATCACAGTTTTCACCAATCAGATAATTAGCCGAGACGCATCAGATCCTTTAGTACTACCCCAGAAGAGACTTGGCATTTTGGGGCTGCGGCACATAAAGTTGTCTTATCACAATCTTTAAGATGTAATCAGCTTGTTGTTCTTCATCCGCGTCACGATGGTTCCTAGATCAATAGTATCTTGATTTATATTATATGATTTTTGACATCAAGGATTGAGTACTTTCCGGCTCCAAACTTCAACATTGCGGGGTAACAGGATCGTTCAGAATGACGCAACCATGGACAACATTAGAAGCCGATGAAGCGCAATTTACTGCAGTGAGTAGTTAAGATTTGAGTTTGAAGAACTGAATACTAATCAGTCGTGCGTGAAAAGGTGGCATATTCAACTAGAAACCAAGCCCCATATAATGGAGCAGGGCTAGAAGTTTACGACAAATCTAGACCTATTCAAATCGAAGGCAAAAGGATCTTTGGAGTTCTTAGAAAGACAGTGGTAATGGTTGTTAGCGTTTTCCTCATGGTAGTGTGCGTGGTCGTTGGAATTGGAGTCGGAGTTAGTGCATCAAAAGGAAACCACAAAAATCAAAGGTAGCTAGCTACATCTCTGTTCTAGAAGATCCCACAATGTCGAGGCTATTGCTCACATATAATCAGTGAAGTCGCAGCCAATTCGAACACGACTACCATTAAGTCTACGATCCCACCCTCAGAGACCGCTATTATTCAATCGGCGACGGACTCGGAGATACTCGTTACTGCACCCACGGGATCTTAAATGCATACATTCAGAAAGTGATGGACTAACACATCCGGGCCTGGAACTGAGTTCAGTACTTGCATCGACGACGAATCTCGAGTTTCATTCTAGTCCTGCCTCCTTCGGAGACAAGTGGGCTGTCAAATGAATCCGACAAACCGAGGAGAGGGTCTTTACAGTTTATCTTTAAATTAAGGTGGCGCGTCCTAATACTGCTTAAATTATGGCACACATCCTCCAATGATCAATAACATAGGTGGTTATCTCGGCACTGACTTGAACCATCATCCTGTTGATTAGAAAACATTTTCCAGGGCGCATATGACGAGCTTCTAAGTTTCACCGAGAGCACATAAATTCTTCAATTATGAAGACCAGTGGACTGACACGTCACGAAACATTGCCAATTGTCATACTAATAATAATGACAACATTATACAACCATACGAGAAGCCTTGGCTCGGTCACTGTAATTTTACAATACTGAAAATCTTCGTTTATGCAAATGAATTCTCATCCACGTCCATAGCTAGTACGGCAACAGCGTTGGGAGCTTCATCACGTAGTTTTTTATGTTCCGGTGTCCTTTTTCCCATCCTTGTTTCACACAAGTTGAAGACAATTCTGAAGGTTCTAACAATATCGAATAAAGAGCTCACGGTAGATTCTTATTGCCAGTACTCTCCGGTCTGGACAGAAGTTCGGTGATAGATTGGCGAAACCAGTCGTCTCAACGGGCAATAAGAGAGCAAGGGAAAGGCAGTATATACTTCAAGCCTTTGAAGGCTGTTCGACGTTATTATCTTTCCATCTTCTCTCCGACTCTAGGAAGCGGCACATCAAGTTTCCGGAATGACTTATTTATGTCAGAACTTCGACTTCTAATGATGATGGCCACTCCTGGAAGCAAAACTGAGCACGATTGATAAGTCGCAATCAATTAAATGATCTGTTTCTATACTTTCCGGCTCTAACGGCCTGGAGGGGCAAGTACATCAAACCTCAGCATTCGTATCATATACCGAGCCAGTATACCAAATTCACTCATCAGACTCTCCATTGATCGCCTCTCTTACCTCGCTTTCTATTTCGAGAGCGCGATTGCAAACATTTGATTCGGCGTCTTTATCACCCAACGCCGAACAGTTATATTTACTCACAAAAGTTTAAGGAATGCTTCCTTCGGCTAGATACATTTATACTGACAGGCTATGAGCTGGATTCCCTACATCTGAAGCAAAGGAAAAGAAAAGGGAGAAGAATTGTATTATAGCAGTGCTCAATGAGATAAATCTATGGTAGCACTTGGTGATATTTCAGATCAATAATATTGGGTGATAATAGTGATGGAAGATCAGACGAGTGAAAAATCACAGCAACATGAATCAAAAAGAAAGGCTTACATGAAAACGAGTACTATCAGACGACAGTATACTGTACTGTCAAAACAAATTTATTAGCATGTAAAAGATTAGGAGTGTCATAGTACGCACTTATTGTGTTGACAGAGGTATTCAATGCAAGGTGAAAGAAAACTGCTCAGATCCAGATGCATTGAAGGCTATGTGAAATGCAGTTTCTTGGACTTGTGTGTGTTGAAGGCCTGAAGTAGAGCATCTCTTTCCAATACTTTATATAGGGATCATGTTTATAGATCTATTCTCTTGTGCCATTTCCGTACAGGCTGTAAAAAGCCTCGCTTGTTCATGACCTCGCACCTACCATCATCGCCCCCGCTTGACTGGTCAAATAGTTAGTCTATTTTCAAGTAATTCAAGCCTATATCTCCAGAGGAGAGTGGCCGTAAAGTCTGAATATACAAATGGTAATGGATTTATGAGCTAAGTAGCCTTCAATTTGAATTTTTCCTCTTTTTGGAGAAAAAACATTCGGGAGTAAGAGGAATTGGTTCTGGTAAAGGATTAAAGTATCTATACGATTACATGGTTGATCAGAGAAGATAGAATATCACTATTTATGAAGCTACATTGTCAGAGATGAAAAGAGAGGATGAAATGAATCCGCAATGAATGACAAGAGTAGACTAAATTGTGAAGCTGACTGTTCGGGAGACAGGACCGGATGGAAAGTATGATTCGGATGATAAAATAGTCAATTAGTGGACAAGATATGATATCCTGCAAAATTGATGAGATATTGGCTTGACATGACATAGCCATTGAAAGCTGATAGACACCAATCCAACGATCCAATAATCTTGATATTTTCAAGGAGCACCGATTCGTGGCCCTTTTAAGATTTCCTTTCATCTACTTATTAACTTTAATCACATATCTATAAGTGTCTGACCGCTAATTTTCATGCCCATACCTAAATACTGATTCGCTACTTAGAGGTGAATCTCGAGAATTTAAGTATGCATCAATACCAAGCACACGAAAGAGCCAGTGAGTCATTGACAAAAGAATGAAACTCTCGTCAGCTTCTTAATGTAAGATTTCTCGCTCCAAGCATATAAAGGCCCCCCTGAAGCTATAGTTTATACTCTAAGCATAAAGTAATGCAAACAGACAAAGCTAGAGAGAACAATGTCCAAACTACAATAAAAGGTGCTAGTCTATCTTCAGAACGAAAAATGCCTAGCATATTGGGGGAATGGGATAAACAAAGGGAATATGTGGAAATCTTCTCAATGATAATGCAAAGCTAAGGATAGCATAGACTCATATCGAAAATGACAGCGATAATTGACATCAGTCAAAGAAAATCACATCATAATAGAATTATAGGAAACGACAGCAAAGACTGGCTTCAATCAAAGAAATCGCATCACAATAGAATTATAACAATATAACGGTATCTATCCCTTGAATCTCCAAGGAGCCAAACTTAGATATAATTCCGCGTTCTCGAAACGAAAACAACTCAAAAGGAGGGAAACTAACTACCGAGACTCTCCTCTCCTGATCAACTGATATCTTTACCATTTCACCCAAAAGGTCCCCCCTGAATTCCCGAAATAGATTCCAATCCCACCACCATGATATCACCCTTCCAAGTTCAATGTAAACTTTGCTACGCGCTGCCAAGCTTCAATATGAATTTTTAGGCAACGATTACGAGTTATGCTCTAGAACATCTCTATTGATTTCGTACTCATAATGACATTAGACATGAATATCTCGTCTAATATTTCTGAAGGGGGTGCAGATGAAATGTAATGAGTATTGAAGAATAGAAATCCAGAGCCGGAGAGCTGGAATGAGGGGTTATGTAGTAGAGATGTGCCAAGAGCGTTGATTTTGATGGAATGGTGGATGAAAGAAAGAGAGGGAAAGCTTGCGAACTTGGGGTGTTGGGTATTGCATTGCATCTTAGTAGGAATGTATTGGGTAGACGAGAAGGCAGAAGAGATCTACGATTTGGTAAGTTTCTGTGTGTTTCAGTATGGAAATATCGTCCGTAGGTTAGATGCATTTGTTCATAAAGAATAGCAATAGTACCCATGTTTCAAAGCTATGGTGTAGATGGTGAATACGACTAGATACCCGAAATAACTGTCGCGCGGTCATAATCAAAGTAGTCTATCTCTTTCAAGTAAATGAATATCAACACAGAGCCATCAGCTTATGGACATAAAGAGAAACCCAACATGGGCCAGGCAAATATCATTCCGCCTCTCGAAAGCGCTACACCTGTTGAAAACGAACCGCCCAAATTCCAGCTAATAAAATGACAAACTCCGAGTCCCTTGAAATCAAAGATCCCAAGTCTACAGTCTAACACAACTCCAACCATCAAACAAACCACCCTCTAAAACAAAACATACGAAAGCCTCAACCCAGAAGCTAAGCCTCCCACCACCATCCATCCTCACATTAACAATCTCTCACTCGGAACCGCCGATACATACATACATACGCAACCACTCTCAGTCGCCCATCAAATCCCCCCTCCCCGACATATCCGCGCAAAACGAAACCAAAATCTCCCCTCTCCACGTTTCACCCCGGAGACTATACCCCTCGCGCTCACCGAACTACGCTGCGTCATGACTCATCCATGTTCCCATATCCAACAGTTGGGACCCGAGAACTCGGTTCCTCACCCTTGATTCGTCGATCGATCAATCAATCTAACATCTTATACCTTTCATTTAAATTATAAACATGACAGGCTACCGAGGTATCTCGATAGCGCCCTCCGACTCGTATACAGCATTCCATTAGAACCTTGCAATTTATTATTCCCTACACTGAGAACGTTTAGTTTACCGGGTTTTTGCATGTGCATGTTATTAATATATCAACAGTTACGTTAGTTGGCTTATTAGTAATCCCAATCCAGATTCCAAACGTACACACAACCAAGAGAGAAACTCTTGCGAAGCTGCGGTACCGTTACTATGGCTCTGCCGCTTGCGGAAGAACTTGGCGCGGGGTAGGGATGTACGGAGTAGAGTATGTATATGACACTTCATTCGACAACGGTGAGAACCCGCAATAACATAACGGCGTCCAAACACAAATTTACTGCATATGCACATCTCGCTCTCCCACCTCCTCTCCTCAAATCATTCTCGGATATACGGGTACAGTAAGTAATAAGTCATACATAAGCAAGCACACTGGATATAGGAAGAATCAGAAATTACCAACACTTAGACGGCGATTACCAACACGCTCCTTACCCTATTTGCCACGTTTTCTGGCCGGCGCGCTGGTGCGTTGGTGCAAGGCACCCGTATGCAGTCAATGGATATCGCACGTTGTGTCTGCTTGACGCTGATATTGTTCCGAGGGTATGGATGGTATCGGCGGTTCCGAGAACGTGCGAGGGGTCAGTAACGGGTCTGTCGGGAGAGGGTTTGGATTTTAGGGATCGGATTGAGATGACTTGTGGGTTGTTTGATATTTTGTTGGAATTTGGAATTTGGAAGGTGCAGTGGAAGTCGATGAAACTCTGAATTCTGACTCATCGAGACACTGATAGATAGGGAACATGAAATGTTATCGAATGGGTAGAGTGCTTAGTACTTACCATACTATCTCATCTGGAATTGTTCATTATGAAGTCTTTCCCCATTGGGACCGGCACACTTGTGTACTTTTATCTACCATCTGAGACTTCCTATGCCCTTTGTCATTGCTGTCGTATCCATACATCATCACCGCGATAAAAGGGCGGTCCATTTCCGTTTCTTATTCCCAATGCCCTGGCCTCGGAATTTTGTTTCGGACTTAGGATATACCATGCGCGTCTGGATGTCATGTAATGGTCTGCTTCTTAGCGTCTCGGTATCGCAGTCATCCAAGCATCTCGTCATTCCATGCAATTAGTAGATATCCAACCAAGACCGTATAACACCTTTGTCTCTCAATAGTATAGAAATGAGATCGAATCTGTTATGATCTACCCATTACCCATCCAAGTATACCCACCGAAGTACCCGAGAACACAATTTCCCACCCCTCCTGTGCCACACTCTCGCATCTTATCCTCATTCTTATTCTTATCCACGCGACCTTCGCACTTGGCATCTACTGTGCCTCATCTACTGTGCCTCTCATCCACATATACTCTCTCTATATCTTTCTCCCATCCCTGCATAACATCACCTGTCACGTCACTTGACTCCACCGTGATCCCTGAGCCAGTGCCCCAATTGTACATTTCTCGTACTGTCCGCTCAATGACATTCTATTCCGCGGACTATACGGAGTAAATGGCCATGGGAGTGAATAGAGTAAATCAAGGTTGGTTAGAAGCTCATGAAGAAAGTATGTGATATCTTGGTCTTTGCGTTTGTGATTCGTAACTTGCGTGTGCGTGCTGCAAATATGACATAGATATATTGCTAGCATAAGATGTATCACCACCCATGTATTTATAAATACTTCGTACGCGAAGATCCAATATATGCAAATGTCAATACATAGAAGCCACACCACACACCTGCATAAAATCTCCTTCCCTCTCTCCCCTGTCTACTCGCGCCCGCAAATAACACCTCAGATCTCGGCACTTATATCTACTTGCCCAACTAGGATCGTAATCCTTAATGCTAATTCTGATGTTGCATTCCCATTCTCGTTTATGATGATCTACGAGGTATGGGTCTACCGCCGTACGTTTCCTTTTTCGACCTTTTCAGTGTTCGGCCTGGAATGTACATGGATTATTTTTGGATGGAGAAGGATCCATCTCGTCCTTTGGGACGGTTGCATATAATAATTTCAATAATCCTCAATGCATCATGGGTAAGGATAAGTTTAATCCCAATTCTCAATCTTAATCTCCGAGAGATCTATTGAGGGTTTGTGATGGAAGACGAAGCTAAAATGCGGAAGACATGTGGAATGACCATGAAATAGACGCTTGCATATCTTAAACTGATAAGTCTATTGAAAGAAAGAAGAAGCGCTAACCAATTAAATCTCTCGTTCGACTCATGCATCTGGAAAATATCAAAACTTCCAAAAAAGCAATGAGCAAGTAGAACGATCCAGCCCTTTCCAAAAATACTCGGCAGAAACGTGAGAAATAGATGGTCCACTGTTTTCAGTGCTTAGGGCGGAAAAACTGGTTCAGATACTTCATACGGTGAACTTCATGCAATGATATTATTTATAATTGCGGCAAATAGGTAAATGTAAATACCTGGGGAAAGGTAAAGAGAGGATGATTGAATACGTGAACTTGAAAGGCGGTGATGAAATTCATGAACGAATGATTGGAGAATTAAACATCAAGAAGGTATGGTGTAGATGCTGAGACGCTGGCCTGGCAGATTTTCATGAATATATGTGTATACAGATATATATGCGTATGTGCCTGTGTATCTATTTTAGTACGCTCGTTTTAAAGAGTACCTGCCATCTTTCACTACCGATACACAATACCTCCACACTCTACCCCTCAACCCCAAACTCCAAATTATGTTTATTAGTAGGATGGCCAAATGTTTTCCCCCGGAAGGAACGAAGGAACGAGGGGAAAGGACGCAAATGTGTGACAAGAAGGATTGGACGACAAGGTAAGAAGTCCGATGTACAAACTATGCAACAGCCTTATCTTTCTTTCATCAGCATAGTCAGCGCCATAAATATAATAATGCAATTATTGCAGCAAGTATCAAACGTGTGCAATACAAATCGAACAATATGCTGAGAGTAAATAATAAAATGTCCCCAGCGCTTAGAAGTCATTCCTAAAACATGAACAAGAAAAAATGGGCGCTTAGACAGGCCTTTCAGCGCTAATCTTAAAATTACACATAATTTGATTTTTGACTTATGAAATCATTCGTAGAGAAACTTTTCTAGTATTTCACTTGAAACCTCTTAAAAGCTTGATTTTCGATGAATGATGATGGATTGAATGGTGATTGAATAAATGATACTTTTCTAACAACAAATTAAAAATGTAAACTTTAAAGTCACATCGCATGTACTACACCTACCTAGGTACCCTTTCCAACCCATTCCCAATATCTCATCACGAAGATTATCCCGGATCCCGCGGTCGGGACGCTTGCTTGCTTGCTTACTCGAGTATACTTTCACATTTTCACAGCACCATGAATCATGAGGCTTATTAGTCCATCAAGTGATAATTCTTGCCTCGACGCCCGTGCTTTGATATTGTTATCCTGTCCCATCTGCCCTTGCGCCTTCGCAAGTTCCGTCGTTTTCAGGACACTAATTTCTTACATGCAGGCCTGTTGCAGCTTGCTTGCAAAAGCCTACAACGCCCGCATCGCGTCCATCTTGCGCATTTAGGCAACCGAATAAAGTTGAAGGCCATAAAATACAATTAATTGGTATTTCAATTCATGGATGATGGGACATGTATCAATGGCAGGTCAGACGGATAGAAAGGAGACGAGAAGAATGCGTTGTGATAAAATGAAAGTCGTATAGCCAAGGATCCAGGCTCTTATTCAGTAGGATACGCATTCTCCGCGCCAAATGATACACTGCACACCGTCGGCTCAATTAACCCCCCAAGCGGATGATCTTATTCGTCTAACTTTGTCCAATAGGAAGAGTGTTTCCACATCGAGTTGGTACTACCTCGGTTCAGGACTCCACTGTTCACAGCGATGAAACATACGCTGGACGGCAAAAGAGAGTGGCAAGCACCGTCTAGCAGACGCAAGTGGATCATCTCATCCAAGTGCTCCTGTGACACAGCTTTCTGATGTTACTAGATGTGGTCTGAGTATCCAATGATACTTTCGAATTCAATGTCTGGCATTTCTCTTTCCTGTTTCCAACTTCATTGCCGGCCTATAGAGGCCATTCAAAGGATGAAAGATGATAATCAAGTTTGGAATGCATGGAGGTATAATAGATATTAGTACTGATTTAAATAAGGGTGCTTACGCAATCGATTTGGTCTAGTAGTACGATTATAAAATCTCCTATCCATCCTTGGCGGCTAAAGGATTGTAACGTGCGTCCGGTTGCAACAAAACAATGCGGCACCGGTCGCTTGAAGCCTTGGATGTATGCACCTGCAGCAACCGGGGAAGCGCATTTAGGTGAATCACGAGGACACGCCCTCCCAAGATTAAGAACTTTCAGCCATCCTAGCTCTATACAGAGTAAGATGTAAGATGTGGACCAAAATATGCAAAAGGATTTTGTAGAAGGTACAAACCCCGCCACGTCGTCGTTGGCCGCCTTGAAATCACTCCTTCGTATATCATCGGACAACAATTAATCATACACCGATATTATAGAAGCGATCAACAGATGAGTAACGATCGAATGTGTGATTATTTACCTTGTCTCGCCACATCTTGCTTGCACCTGGTCGGATCGGCGAGATGATTGCTGCTGGCTATTGCTGCGGCACAAATTGATGTAACAGCTCAATTTCGCGCGGGTGGATAACAGCGGTGAACCCCAGTTGATGTACTTTACGATCGGGTATCATCAAAATCGAAAGGCGCACAAATTGATAATCTCGTCGAGTTCGCGTCTAATACTCTTTTGATTGTGTTTGGTGTATAGTGATATCCGGAATCATGCGGGCGAAAGTAAATATTCGTTAGTCAATACGAAGCAATAATTTGACAATGATGTGTCCTTTCTCAATTTGGCGAAATTTTACTCCGGATTGAGCGAGCAACGTTGGAAAGGCAATAATGAAGAGGTTACAGTAGTATGTGACCGGTATCTACCGGCAGTGATAAGGCTTTCCTTGATTTCCTTGGTACGAGCCGTGATTTCTTCTTGATTCATGATCAGAGTCGGAAACAAAACCATGGATCCAGCATTTAATCAGAAGTAGAGGTAACCTTAAGATTCTTTTTGTCGAACACCTGACATTGAAAAGTATATTTTAGTTGCCGCGACCACCTTTCTCGACCTTCTTGTTGAAGAAATCAAGCCATGGAACAAGGTACGACATGATATTGATGCACGCTATCTGTGATCGACTTTAGTGTGGCCGTTTCTGAGACCTTCTTACCCAGGATCTAATCAGCGCTTCAAGCAAATGAAAGTTACTTCGTATAGACGCACGCTCGGCAACGTAACCTAAAATGATGTCCATGTTAACGCTTCAAGCGGGTCAACTCTGCCTGACCAACTCAATTGGTTTTGAACTTGGCCCAATCTCATTGTAGATTCCAGACTCTTTTTAAAGTTCTGTGCCTCTTGTGCCACCGAAGAATTACCAAATTGTTGTGACATTCTAAGGAACGTGATATTCCTGGAAGCTATCTATATTCCTTCGCATGTTGTATCTTTTCCTGAACATTCCCACTTTGGGTCGACCTCTATCGAATGGTTTAAGGCTACAATTTTCACTAGCAGGTGTGAAGAAAGAGTCGAGTTCAATTAATCCTGGTACGCCGGACGGACCTTGATGATCCTGACAATTTATTCCTGTACGATCATCCTTGTTAATGATCCCTTCGGACCTTTGTTTCATACAGACGCAGTCGACGGATGGACTGGGGACTATGTACGGGCGACAAAGTTCAGGGGGGAAAGAGGGGAAAATATGCCCCGATAATCTTGTAAGAGTGGGAAAGTCAGCAAGTCATCAAATCGTGCCGACGAATTGGCACATACCTACATATTAGTCTAGTCTCTTTCGTGTAATCCATCCGGATCATCTCACCCCCGTTTGTCTATATTGTGCTGTGCGCCAAAAGATGATTTATGCGCGTTCCCGGCTTGGGTGAATGAATGTCATTTCTAGTGACTTTGGTGACAAGGTTTGAACGATGCGGCAGAATGATTCAAGCTAAGCAAGTCGAGAAAGAAAATGTGATTTGAGTCCTTTTGGTTTTCCTTGGGTCTCTCTTGGGGGTCAATGTAAAATCCTATCATTGAGTACCGTGAGTCCTGTCAGGCTGATTTTTTGGCCGGCCGACGATTAAGGCTTGAGAAAGTCTCATGTTGGCGAACGCGCTAAAAGATTACTTGGATATGAAGCAGATGAAGCAGATGAAGCGGAATTGCCAATGAAAAAGAGAAAAAAATATTGCGTCGTTGCGTTACAGATGAAAACGCAACGTGACGCGAATGTATCATGACACAGCCTCGATGATTTGTTCCTCTTGGGGCTCTTTGAGTCTTGGGGGGTTCTTGGATGAATATACATTAATGAACGAATTTGATGGGGTTGAACGTTGTTTCCAAGGTTCGACATGATATATTTTGGATATCATACCTAGGTAGGTAGGAGGTACTTGTTAGCTACACTGCACGCACGAGATTGTACTTTATTAGGAAATGTGTTAGAAGTTTACCTAGTGAGTGTATTCATTGTGTAATATCATTAAACAGTTGCCAAACTGGGTTTGTGCATCATCGAAATTAATAGAACCTTGCCTAATCGAGATAGACGCCGAAGTAGGTTGATTGAGACGCAGCCAATGGGAAGTACAGCACAGGGGTTTTATCGTCGCGCAAAAGCGAGCAGCCGCTCAGCTCACTCCGATACAAAGCAAATGGCCCAAAATGGTCCTAGTTCTTGTATCATCATTTTCTTCGTTTATAATCTTTCAATCAATCATTGAGCTTGTTGAGCCTTACCATCTCCAATATTGAGCATTTTGTCCTGGTCTTGGGCAAGAGGACTAGGTAACCCGACATCGTCATTGGATCAATTGGAGGGGGGGGGGAAGGGGGGAAGAACTTTCCATCTTTCCGAATCACCCCAACAATGCATCGACGTGCCAGCGGATATTAAGTAGTCCTTGGATCATTTTGTTAAGAAGGCTAAATACATCCAAATTTCCAAGTCGGTGGATTCGGAAACATCTCTCATTCATTTAATGTGATTATTGGATATTATTGATAATAGCACTGCCTCCCTACCTCTTTGACAACTTTCCAAGTCACAACGAGCAACTTTTCCAAACTTACGGTGTAGATTGGGTCGGTTGTGTAGGATGTTTGAATGTAATACTATTCGTAATCTGGAGGATTAATATAAGTGTATGATAGTGTGGGTAAGAAGTATGAAAAAACGATATCTCAAATCGATAAACACAAACAATCAACCCGCATGAAATAAAAAGTCCTGGCGCCCAAACAGTAACAATCTAATGGAATTGATGACAACAAAGAGATTGTTTGGTGTTCAACGACGGCGAATGAAGCTCGAATTCACAAGATTCATATCCTTATCAATCATACCTCAATTTGGGTCATCTTTTGGGTCGAGAAAAGTATTTATAAACAAAATCAATGTATGTATGTTCTTCAATCGATTTCTGATGGTACTGATTAGAAGTATTGAAATGTAGGTACTTGCCATTATCACTATACTAGGTAGGTACTTTTAGATCATCTGGATGCAATTGAGGTTAGCTGCTGAATGTCCGAGAGAGAGGGAGAGAGAGGGAGAAAGACGTTTCCTGTGTCTTCCTTCCACGGCAATTCAGGTGACATCGACAAGTATTGCCTTGATATATCATCTCCAAGATATACCTAGGTACTCTCGGCTCACAACTCATGATTCACGACTCTCATATCTCATGTCTGTGAAGAACTTCACTTCAAATACTCGACTTCATATATAATCGTACTTTCTGTCCCCTCCCCTCCCCTCCACCTTTGCTTTTTCTTTTCTTTTAGTTCTTTCCCACTTATTATTCACCTGCTCATTCTCATTCGATTCGCATCCACCATTCACCACTCATGCACCCAAGCTGAATCTCCAACCGCCGAGGATTTACATCTTACCGAGCTAAACGCGGAACATGGTAGAAAGAAGAGACACTAGACAATTAAAAATGCCCACTTTAATCAACCCATGACGATTTGTAGTACAGAACAGACGCTGCTCAATATATTCCCACTACCCCAACAGCCATAACTTTTTTGATTCTTTGCGTCCCTTCGTTACCATTCCACTGGGTCAAAGAGATTCATCCCAAAAAATAAAGAAGGACTTGAGAAAAGACGAAACGTTTTTTGACATTTATTCCCATAAAAATATCCCGCCATTTATATCGAAAAATCTATTTCCGATTCAATTTTTCTATTTTAAGGAACTTGACGATTTTCATTGACGACATACATACACACATCCAAATCAAATCATACCATACCATACGGACATACTATACTATACGAACTATCGTCTCATCATCCCCGATATTGTACTGTAAAAGGCAGAAGGCGAAGTTTAAACTACGCCTTTACCGACGAACAACCATCTCTACAATCATTTGGTGTTACCTCTCGATTCTCAATCAAGCTCAAGGAACACGATCCATCGTCCATGAGGCAAAGACATCAATCAGCAATCAGCAATCAGCAATCAATCAATCAATCATCACCATCACCATCACCATCATCATCATCATTATAATCATATACGATTCGGCTGGACCAATCTCTCATTCATTGGAAATTACATCTCATCGAGAGACAAGAAAGAAAAACCACTTCACAGTACACGTGAATGAAGTCGAGTTCTTTCTACATTTCCTTGGCTGAAAAAAGAGACAGCATTACCTGCTTCAATCATTTGCACACCAATTGTTTGGATTCACTACTAATTTGACCCGACTTGACTTTGGGCGATAATCTTATCAGGAGGGCAATACATCCTTCAGTCAACAGCAATCCATTGTAATCATTTAATCGGCCTTTCCGAATCTTGAAAGTATATCACGAATCCAAACCGTCCGATTCCCATCCATATCACATTCCGGCTACCACACCAAAAATAATTTAATTTCGACGAGACGGTCAAGGATTCTCAAAATAACTATCTCAATCATCATCAATCCAAAGATTTCGTGGTGTTTTGTCTTTACACATCATCTGGTCTCCACATTTCTCAACGGATCTCAGCTCGGCCAAGGGGAACGACGTCGATAAGGTCACGAGTTTGGTCTTGCTGAAAGAGTGGTTATCGACAACGAGTAGCTCAACGATTCCAAACCTTGCATTTGAGTTTAAATTTAGTTTATTCAAAAAAAAGAAGCAGGAAATCAATGAATGGAAGGGTAACTCGATCAATCGACCTTGGGAGATTTACCATTTGAATTGGAAAGCGCGCGTCTGCTATTTTAAGAAGAAACGTGATCGTCATCCGAATTTAATTCAAGAAAGCTCATCATATTGGATCATCCCCATTACCAAACATTTTAAATACTGTACGTTTAACCGCCGAAGAGAGATTTTTTCTTTTGTTTCTAAAACCTTCATTGTCGCAATAGGGTAAATCAACTTAAAGGATGGCGCCTAACACCATGAATATAGAAAATAGTCCCCTTGAAACTCAGGAGCTTGTGAATTTAGCTCGAGATATTTTGGTGGTCAACT